TCGCAACCAGGTGGGCTTTGTATTTAATTATTTCACCTTCTTTGTTTGTTTTCTTGACTAGAACCCATTTATTTCCTACGGGTTTTTGGTCTTCGGGAGATTCCACTAACTCCCAAGTCTCCATACCCTGTAGTTGATTGAGCTCCATCTGGACTGCCTGTTCCCATTTGGGCCACTCAAGTGATCTCTTGGCATCACTGAGCGTCTTTGGCTCGTCCGCGTCCGCATTTCCGTGGGCGCTCATCGCAATATAGACTAATTCGGCATTTGATTTATCTGGATCATTATCCAGATCTTCGTCTGCCTCTGGGTCATGCATTAGATGGTAATCATGCTGAACTGTCTTTCTTCTGGTTCGTCTGGGCTGGCTTGGTGCGTCCGTCCCACTTTCCTCGTGTTGATCAGGATCATCATCCTGTCTGCACTTTCACGGATTTTTGGAAGGTGACTGTGGCGCGGAAGTTTCTAACTCCCCCTCACGCCGTACGTCTGTGGTTGTTGTGAGGTTTGGGACTTCGGGTCTCCTTTCCGCATGCAGCACATCTGACGCATTGCTAGGTAAAGTGTCTGGAAATATATTTTGCTCCCCCTCACGCTGTGCTGTGAGGATAGGTACATCAGATCCTATTTGCTCTTGTGGCACGTGAGGCGCATTGCCGGGCAAATGGTCCGGGAAATTCGAAGAAAATTGGAAATTATGCGAGATTTTAATCTGGCGTGTGTGCGCATCATAATATTTGATGGCTTTGGGTCCATCAATGTATCCAATAAAAATATATTTGTTGGCACAGGGCGCTAGCTTGGATAGCGTTGCGTCCTCCATGAGGACCCATACGGGGGAACCGAATTCTTGTAGGTACGAGATATTTGGTTTCGTCCCATTCCATTTTTCTTCGGGAGTTGCCCCATTTAACACCTGGGTAGGCGATCTATTTTTAATATAGACTGCATGAGCAATCACTTCAGCCCAAAGATAATGAGGTAGATCTCTCACATAGATCATTGCGCGCACTAGTCCAAGCAGTGTGCGATTCAATCTCTCAGAGACTCCATTCTGGGATGGTGAGTACAGCGCAGTCAGACCCATCTCAATCCCTTTTATTTGACACCAGTTAATTAATTCGGTGTTCATGTATTCTTGACCGTTGTCGAGCCTGAGTCGCAAGGGTTTGTTTCCAAACTTACACTCGATATAGGTAATATAATTCTTTACCTTTTCAGTTACTTCATCTTTATGCCTCATAAATAGTACTGTACTTCGACGACTGTAATCGTTAATAAATGTAATAAAATATTTCCACCCTTGTAGAGCAGCTGTCTGCGCAGGTCCCCACACATCTGTGTGTGTTAATTCTTCGGGTACCTTGCTGCATTTATCCGTCTCTTTGGGAAATGGCTTCCGCGTCGCCTTTGCTTGGATGCACGCCTCACAATTAATTTCATCTGTGCTTGGCGAGATTTCTAGGCCATCAACAAGCCCTTCGCGATATAATTGCATAAGCACTGGTTTCCCGATATGACCATGGATCTTGTGCCACTCTTCCCAGGTATGCGGGCCATATTCCTTAGCAGTATAGGTTCGCGCAGGTTGCAGAACTATTGGACGCAATTTCAACGAATATAGTCGTCCATTTTTCTTGCCTATAGCAAGAGTGTGTTTATTTTTATCTATTAGTATTGCACGACTATTACCCATAAGTACTCTTCCTCCCGCGTCGTCCAAACGCGTGATGAAGAGGAGGCTATTGGGTGCTGTCGGCGCATACAGTACACTGTGGAGACGGAATTTCACTTTCCGATCTCCTACTTCACTTTCGACATCAACCATACTGCGGCCCAATACCTGCATTGGTTGCGGTCTGATCCCCGTGATCGTGTGATCTTCGAGCGCCTGATAGGTCGCGAAGACTTCATGACGATTTGTAATGTGCGAAGTTGGCCCGGAGTCAGCAAACCACTCATAGAAAGAAGCGATTTTGCCATCAGATCTGAGAGATACAGTGTCACTATCATTATCATAGGCTATTTTTGCCTCATCCTCTTTTGGTTCGACCTCGCACACTTCGTAAGCACATTCCATCCTTTGCTGTTTCATCGGTGGGCCCCGTCTGGCTTTACTGCCGCCTTTAGCCCAACAATCCATGGCCTTATGCCCGAATTTTCTGCAATTCATACATTTGACCTTGTCGCGGTGCCAACACTCATTACCAAGATGTCCCCACTTTCCGCAGATTGAACATTTTTTGTATTCCCCGAAGGGGCACTTCTTTCCTTTGGCAACCATGACTTGGTCTGAGGATTGGCCGCGCTCGCCACGCTCGTGCCTTTGCCTATTTTCATCAAGAATGATGGCAATCAATTCTTGTGATGTAAGCTGAGGGCACACATTGTCAGCACCTTCGGCGCCAACATTGCTGCCCACGGTGCCAAAGTAAGAGCTGAGGAAAGAGTCCCAGCCCTCCAGAATGAGCTGGAAATCCTCGTCAGAAACAACCTTCCCCATTAGGTGGAGTTGTTCCTGGATCTGTCGTAGCTGTGTGATGTGACTGGAGATATTATCTTTTTCCTTGGCTTGCATCTGGTAAAAGCGCCGGCACAGCGTGAGAATCCCATGCTGTTCACGCTGTTCCTTGACTGTGTGAAGCTGCTCCCACATGGCCCGTGCCGTCTCGGCTCCAGCGATGTGAACCATCTGAGAATCTCCCAGCGATAGCACAATTACGTTCTGGGCCTTGAGGTCCTTCTCTCCCCAGACACTAATCTCCACCTCTCTCGCTGCCCTATTGGCCGGGTCATTACTCGGCTGTGGCTTCGGTGTCTTTCCGGTCACATACTCCTGGAGACCCTTATCATTAAGGATGGCCTCAACGCGGCACTTCCATGGGAGCTAATTGTCTTCCTTCAGGAGCGGGATTTGGTAAGCATTGCTATTGCTCGTATTATCAGCGCTGGTCGACATTATTTGTTCTCGTACTAGTAAGGGGGTAACAATTTTTGTAGCCACAATAGGGGCTGTTGTTATCCGAGTATTTATTAGCTAGAGCCGGGGCTCATAACCTGTTAAAAATCGCGCCTTAGTTCCCAAATAGGAAGGTAGTGATGGTGGGTCAAGATGTGTTGGGGCGCGTGATTACGCGTCCTAAAATAGATTTCTGTATATATACAGTTCTAGACGCTCCACTTTATATAAGCAAATTTCCTTCTTTATCTTTCTTTGTAATCATGCCCTCAGCTTGTCTGTCCCAAGGGAAAAATTCTGGAGGCTCCAGAATTTTATGGGTGCTACTATGGGCGCTACTTTCCAACAGGCCCTTTACTCAATGGTATAGCTCCGCATCATCAACAGGATCAAGTCTTTATTTTCATCATAATGTATGTCCCTCTTGTAATGCACTACAGTAGTGCAGCACTAGTCCCCTATCCTATACGTTACCGCCCACTTTGTCGCTGCATCGTTTTGGCGCACCTTTTCTTTGTTTCTCTTCCCATGAGCATTAATTAATTTCTTTTAATTAATTAATTTTCCACGTGCACTACACCTATAGTTAGAGTGCCGATTATGCAAGTCTAATTGAATGCTGCCGGCGACGCTCGCCATGGCCCACATGCCTCTGCCTCCCCCTTTGGGAGCAGATCCTGCTGGACACACCCAACCGGGAGTGCTGCCGGTTGGAGGTAGTTCTTGCCAGATATACCCAACTGGGAGTGCTACCGGTTGGAAGCAGACCTTGCCGGATACACCCAACTGGGAGTGCTGCCAATTGGGAGCGGATCCTGCCGGATACACCCAACTGGGAGTGCTCCTGATTTTGCGGATAGCCTGAATGCAGCAGGGGCACCTAGCCAGCAGTGCGCGGACAGGAGCTCGCTACGCTCCTGCTCTGAACCGCCGCCTGCTAGCTAGGTATGTCATCTTTCTCGGTGCACGCTCGCAATGCCTGACCGCTCCTGCACTGAACTGCAACTGGTGGTTAGATTTATTCAGCTGCCCGCCCTTCCCACACCGTGGTAGTTACATTTCTCATTTCTGTACGTATGTACTGAGTTGGGAAATTCCACACGTGCGGCACCTGGGGCAAGCACCTGGGTGCCGCCCATTGGGCACCCGGAGGATACCTCCACAGGCGCCCGAGACCGACTAAACTCACTGGCCACGCTAAGTCCTGAGCGCCTGAGATTAGAGTGTAATGGCCGGACTTTGCACACCATATAGCCTTTACTAGATTTTCGGAGCTCACACGATATGCTGCCCAAATCTGAGGAGACATAAAGTTTCTAAGATGCCTTAGGATGTATCTACCAATTTTTGCGACATTTTATTCGGGACGGGAGCGGAACGTACAGCCCTCCGATTGAGCAAGGCCCGAACTGCACGAACTGCACGACTTTGCACACCCGTGGGAACGGTCCGTCAGCGCGGCGCGAGGCCCGCTTCGCGACGCGTCGGGACTACTTCACCAGCCATAAATCTTTCCTACAGGGTGTAATTCTACTCTAATCCTTTCTTAGCAAAAGATGTTCGGAAACATGTCAGCCTTCTGTATAAAATAGTGTTTTTGTGTGAGAGGAGCATCATTTTATTGCATTTACTGTACATACTACAGAAGTGTTACTTACTCGGCTAGTTCTTGCAGTTTGGCCAATCTCAAAATTTCCTGCCTGTGCAATTCTGCCCCGTTCACCTCGGGTATTTGCACAGTGAAGGATCTAATAAACTCCTAGATAGACAAAAAAAGCAGGTCAGCCAGGTAAGAATTGAGAGTGTGCCTGGCAGGTGTGCAAAGTGATGGGGGTGTGCAAAGTGATACTGTATGTGGCTGACAATGGTGTGTAGTCGGGGCACCGGAGGCGCGCACCGCGAGACGAAGTAGTAGTGTCCGATGAAACTTGTATGCGCTTACACCGGTACCGTGTTTCATGATAGTATTAGACCACGGTCTACTCTACGCCCGTGTATGCCCTTGTCGTAACGTTCCCTTCGATAGGGCTACGCCCGCATTATGGCTGATGTTCCTCTTGTTTCCGTCAATCTTGCTTCCCTAGCAATAGAAAGTTTTCTCTATGGCATCTTCTTCGTCCTCTTCGTGACTACTACGTGGTTTCTGCTCCAGCGAGCGAAGCACGAACAAGCAGGTATTCAATCGGCTTTCCGAAGGCCTCTATTCTTGGCAGGAATTGCCATGTTTTTGACCATCACCGCCGTAAGTCCTCCGTCTCGATGTGGGCCTAGTACTTGGTGATGGATTCATGATTAGCACTGGGTACTCAGCGTCGTGCGCGCATTCGACGCCTTCGTGCACTTCGATGGAGGGAAATCCCCTTTGGAGTTTTATGCCTATCCGAGTAGACCAGCAGCGATTGCGAAAATCGGCCTGGTGAATGTGACGCTGCTTCTCGGAGATGCAATTCTCGTGAGTATGGCTCGGTCCTCTTTAGTTTTGCTCTTTCGTATAATATCGGTCGGACAGATCTATCGCCTCTGGGTGATCTCAGGGTACTGCAGAATGATTGTTGCGTTGCCTATAGTTTTTTTCCTAGGCTCTCTCGGTGAGTGTGCGCTCTACCATCCTGGTGTTTCTCACATGTGCTCGTGTCCTGAGTCAGCCTCATGTGCGGCCCTCACATATCTGGCCTCAAGAGCAAATGCAGCTACTGGATCCTTTTATACTCCAGAGGATTTCTCGACCGCTGCTGCGACTACATTTACGCTCGTGTTCGTGTCCCTCCACTAAGTTGAACTCACCGATCGAAGTAGTACTGACCTCCTCCCCGTCTTTTCCAGCACCAACATATTGTGTTCTTGTATGCGAAATTCACGGTGTTATACTCTTTGCTGACCACCTCACAACAGCACTTATTGCGTTCAAGTTGTGGCGGACACACGCCGACGTCGGGCTCGCCGGTGTGAAGGCCTACGGCGGTGGCAATCTCAAGCTCACGGTCGGTCAAGTTCGTTTCCCAGAAACATACCTTCATCTGACTCTCTGCGCCGCAGCGCGTGCTCGTCATATGCATCGAGAGCGCCGTCCTCTACGTGTACGCATGCACCTAACGCACTTCGAGTTCACTTCCCACCGCTGACGCTCCCACTCCAGTACCTGGACCGCCCTCTACCTCGGCGTGTACGCGTCGCGCTCTGTCCTCCAGCTGGCGATCGCCGACGCATGGGGCCCGATCTCCGGCATCGCGTTCATGCTCATCAGTGCCCGCGTCGCGCTCGTCCGCGCACAGAGCCAGCAGTCGGCTGCGAGTTACGTCAACGACCTTGCGCTCGCCGTCAGCGCGAACAATGTCGGTGCGGTGTTCGAGCGGCCGACGACTCCCCCTTGCGATACTGTCAAGACGGATGGAGAAGATGTGGGTAATATTGTCGGAGACGAGGAAAACGTGCGGACACTGATGCTTGGAACCTTAGACGATGGCAGCTAATTCTAATGTTAGCTGTCACTTCCGGAGGTAGAGATACATGTGCATAATGGTCTCCGTAGTTGTAAATATTGTACGACACTGCATAATTCACAGGTGTGCTTTTTATATATATTTAAAATCCTGTTTATGCCATTGTCCTCGAGGGCGGAGCCCTATGGTAGACAATAGCCCACGGATGTACTAATCATGGGGGCGTAGCATTGTTCTTACTTTCGTGGTCGTCCTCCACTACTGGCTTGCAAGCTGGGACGGGCATGCGATCTATACGTCGTGTCAGCTGGGAGGGCCTCATTAGATTGTGAATCACGTCTCGTCTGGGGTAGGGCAGTTTTCTATTCTACACGATCTACACAATCAAATATGTCTCTGCCCGTATAAGTACGGTAACTATTAACATTGCGCCGCAGCCAGCACACTAGATCTGCCCACCTGGGCCCACCGACCCGGTGGTATTCGTGGCAGTCTCGATCGGCTTCATAGCAGGGAAGAGTAACACTTCCTTGATGTCTGCGGTGGTCACGGTCGTCAGCATCAGGACCACAGAATCACCAAAGTGATAGGCCCACTCGTCGAATTCGTCAGGAACATCACGAGGCGATCGATGCCAAGACCCCAGCCGCCTGTTGGCGGAAGACCGTGCTCGAGCCTGTGATTTGACGTCAGCACCAGTGGAGTAGTCGCCGACAATTGGCACGTACGCGTCGACGAAGGTTTCGTCAATCCCCTGCGCTTCCTCGTCGCCCTGCTCCTTCTGCCGCACCTGCGTCACAGTGTCAGAGAAGGCCGTGTAATAGCCGCGGATAGGGTAAGGCGTACCTGCTCCTCGAAGCGCAACCGCTGCTCAAACGGATCGTTCAACTCCGTGTACGCGTTGCAGAACTCCTTCCCGCACATGAAGCCCTCGAAACGTTCGCACAGACCTGGTCGCGAGCGGTGCCATTTGGCGAGCGGCGACATGACTTGTGGGTGACCCACTGCAAAATTCGCTTCAGTTGAGTCTGTCTAGGCAGCATTAGGCAAATTCACTGACCGATGAAGGTCGGAGATATGCAAAGCGGTTCGATGAACTCGCCAACGAGCTAACGTCTGCGTTAGCTATCGAGTTCACGGATCTATGTGATCCGCTCGTACCTTGTCCAGGAGACGAGCATTTGTGCGAGGCTCACTACAATCGACATTGTGCTGAACGTCACGTCAGCCTCAAAATGACATCGCATCGCCTTCGACGCGTCCTCACCTTTTGACACACATCCCGTAGAAATTTGTTCGCCTCGTCTGTGTGAAGTGTCTCGCCAGGTGGAAATTTGACACCGAGCTTCTCCTCCAATGTCTCTATCATGTCGTATCTCTTCCATGGCCGCTTGAACTCGAGCTCGTATACCTTGGAACTCCCCTTGCCCTCTGGATGGAACTGGAGTGTCGTCTTCCCGCCAGTCAGGTAGCGTACCATGCCCTCGAGCAGGCTCTCGGTGAGGTCCATGAGATCATACATGTCCGCGTATGCCATATAAAATTCGCATATCGTGAACTCGGGGTTGTGGGTGAGGTCGATGCCCTCGTTGCGGAACACGCGTCCGATCTCGTATACGCGGTCGAGCCCGCCGACGACGAGCTGCTTCAAATACAACTCCGGAGCGACGCGCAGGTACAGGTCGAGGTTGAGGTCGTTGTGGTGCGTGATGAAAGGCTTCGCCGTCGCACCACCCGCGATCATGCTCGTCATCGGCGTCTCGACCTCGAGGAAGCCCAGGTTGTCGAAAAACCGCCGCACGTAGTTGATGATCTTGCTCCGCGTGATGAAAATACGCCGCGTGTCTTCAGAGAGGATCAGGTCGAGGTAGCGCTTCCGGTACCGCGTCTCCTGGTCTTTCAGCCCGAAGTGCCCGGAGGGTAGTTGGTGCAGGTTGGGAGCGAGGAGAAATGTTTCGGAGGGGACGATGGAGAGTTCGCCCAGCTTGGTCCTGGAAGGCGTACCAATGACACCGACGATATCGCCACGACGAAAGTTGTCGTGAAGGGTCGCAAACCCTTCTGGGTCTTTAGCGTCTCTGTGAAACTTGTGTGAGGAAATAGGCACGCTAGAAGGAACTGGATGAAGTCTACTGCTTGGTCGCCATAATCTGCACCTTCTTGCCCTCACTATGGAGGTCGTAGAAGCGCAAATTCTTGCTGTTTTCGCGCATGTTGTGGAGGCGTCCTGCGAGGCACTCGACAGCACCGGTCAACTTCTCTCCGGGCTTGATTTTACCCTCGGGACCGTATTTCTCTATGTATTCCGAGATGGATATCGAGACATTGAACTTGTGAGGATATGGATTTGGACTCTGGGTCTCCTTGAGCTTCTGGACATGCCGAGAACGCATCTCGAAATATTGCTGCCCGTTGAACATCGTCAGTATGTGAACGAAATCGGAACGAAGTAGGGGAGATACAGGGACTGCTGTTAATGCACAGTCCAAATGTGTGAAACATTTCAATGCGTCATAGAGACTAAGGACATGCATAACTCTACATGGGAAGGACATTGGAGATCACACGACGTAATTAGCAATCCCCTGCCAAGCTGCTGCATTCAGTGACACAGCAGTCTCTCAGCTTCAATAGTGCCTTGCAACGCGCAGCAAACAGATACCCTCTCATCTCATCAGAACTTTCGAGGAGGAGTCCAAACAGGGTAACGGGGAAAGCCAACTGACTGTGTCAGTTGCTGTCCAAGGAAAGATCAAAAATGAGATGGCCAAGTATTCTCGAATGACGAAGTAGAACTAGGACACCATCGATATCCTAGTTCCACAGCCACTGGTACAAGTTCACCGCCGCATTAGATGGCTCCTCAGGATATGAAGTCGGGCTTTCCGCATGCGCAGGTCGAGAATGCCACTCACGTTAGGGTTGAGATCGGCTTCATTGACTGCAGCAGCCTTCGGGCCTGCAGCAGGCTTCTGGGGCTGCGCAGCAGCTTTTTCTGCCTTCTTTGCCTCCTTCTCCCTCTGTTTTTCACGTCGCTTGAGCTCCCTGATCGCGTCTAGATAGGTCAAACGCGGTGCACAGAACATAGCCTGGATAGTCGGACGCACTGCTTGGAGATCATCTCGCCCGTCACTGGGTCCTTGTGCGATCCTGTGGATTCTGTCGCCATATTTCTGAGCAGGCCGTGGGCGAGAGGGAATTTTCTGTGCAGCAGGAGCGGACGTGCAGGTGATCTAGAGACGATCAGCCTGTGCATCCAACTTTTTATCCACCTTCTCTCGAGTCACGATCTGCACCTGTACAGATGCAGGAAAGGGTTGGAGAATTTCTCCGCTTAGGGTTAGGAGTTGAATAATTGAATAATTGAGAGTATATCGGAGTGCGAAATCTTCCTCCGATATATTGAGTTGTGGGCGCTTCCTCACATTGCCCGACCGCGACCGCGTGCGGACCGCAGGCAAGCCATATTCCCTACCACCACAACAGCCACCACCATCAACATGTCATCAGACAACGACTACTCCGATGAGGACAATGAGTACTATGACGAGGACGAAGATATGCTTGATTACGAAGATGACGGTGGGTGCACTGTGACTCGTGCTCCTCGCCTACTGATCAAGTACTCTGCCAGGCTCAGCCTCTGAGATGGAGATCGATGGACTGAATGACGGATTCGATTCAGGCAGCAGGCGTAAAGTCTACGAGGTGGATTATGAGTCGCTCAGCCAGTCGCAGGTCGAGGCGCTCATGAAAGCAGACGTGGATCACATCAGCAGCATCTTCGGGGTCGGGGTGAGTTCTCTCCCATATGTATTCCCTCTATATTGCTGCTTAATGTTTTCCGCAGCCAGATGTTGCGTCGCTGCTATTGCGGCACATAAACTGGAACAAGGAGAGGCTCATCGAGAAATATATGGACAACCCTACCGCGGTTGCTACCGCCGCGGGCATCTCCGCGCCAGAGAAATCGGCAGATCCTCCAACATCTTCGTCGTCGCGCAGTCAGTCCCAATCTTCCTCTACCCGCCAGACGCTGGTCGGCCCGCGGCGGACCACGCGGCGTACGACGGCGGAGGCACCGAAGTCGGGCAAGACGAAGATTCTGGAGCGGGTGAGCCCGCCAGCTGAGGTGACGAAGGCGCAGCCGTTCGTGTGCCCGATCTGCTTCGACGACACGCAGATAGCAACGCTCGCGCTGGCGTGCGGGCACCAGTTTTGTACCAGCTGCTGGGCGGCGTACGCGCACTCCAAGGTACGCACAGAGGCGGAGAGCTGGATAACGTGCATGGCGGAGGGCTGCGCCCTCGTCGCGCCTGACGCGTTCGTGCGCACTGCGCTCGCAGACGACGCGACGACTTGGGTCCGCTTCCAGGAGCTGCTTGTCCGTCACTTCGTCGCGAGCATGCCCGCGCTCAAGTACTGCCCGTACCCGTCCTGTACATACACCGTATCTTGTCCCGCGGGTGCGTCGAAGTCGACGCTCGCAACTATCGTGCCGATTGTGAAATGTGGCGCGAACGCGACGCACACGTTCTGCTTCGGATGTTCCGTGGAGAGCGACCACCGGCCCGTTATATGCGCGGTTGCGAAGATGTGGCTGCAAAAGTGTCGCGACGACAGCGAGACGGCCAACTGGATCAAGAGCAATACCAAGGAGTGCAGCAAATGCCAGAGCACGATCGAGAAGAACGGCGGATGCAAGTGAGTGATGCAAGTTTATTCACCATCGGATACACAAGCTTACCTGTGCTGCAGCCATATGACGTGCAAGAAATGCAAGTACGAGTTTTGCTGGGTATGCATGGGTGCGTGCACATGCTACTCGAAGGTCCACGGAGTGTTGAGGAGTATTTTTAGGCCCCTGGACCGAACACGGCACCGCGTGGTACAACTGCAACCGGTACGACGAGAAAGCGAGCATAGACGCGCGCGACGCGCAGTCTCGCAGTCGCGCGTCTCTCGAGCGGTACCTGCACTACTACAACCGGTGGGCGAATCATGAGCAGTCGAAGAAGCTCTCAGTCGAGTTGTACGCGAAGACGGAGAAGAAAATGGAGGAGATGCAGATCACGAGTGCGCTCTCGTGGATCGAGGTGCAGTTTATGCGCAAGGCCGTCGATGAGGTCATCCGCTGCCGCACGACACTTATGTGGACGTACGGCATGGCGTACTACATGGACGCAGGCAACCAGAAGGAGCTGTTTGAGGATAACCAGCGGTGAGTTATTCTACTTTATTTTTTGACCGCGGCACCGGCTGGTAAGCTCAACAAGCGATGTAGGGATCTTGAGCGCGCGGTGGAGGAGCTCTCTGAACTGATTGAGTCCCCGATCGAGCCCGAGATTATCACGACGCTCCGCCAGAAGGTGACCGATAAGACCGTACGTCCCTCCACAACATTATGCACATGTACCTGCTTACGCGGACCGCTCTTCCAGGTCTACGTGCAGAAGCGCAATGAGATCGTCCTTGAGGACACTGCGAAGGGCTTCGTGGAGGGCCGCTGGATCTGGAACGTAAAGGTTGAGGGCTTCGACTGAATGACGTCTCATCATACGCATCACCGCTCGCCACACAAGTATCCCTTGCCGCTATCGACGCATACCTAGGTAACCTTCCATTTTATCACCCTATCGTTACGCTGTCTCGTAATACTACACGTACCCTGCACATTTCGTTCTCCTGGGTTTGTCCGAATCCTCGTTCCATTTGTGCTCACTTATAAGTTTTCGGCGCCGGTATCACCACTGTATCTACGGACACTTGTGTCGATTACGTTGTTTCTCTACCACCACACTGACGAATCAATCGCATGTTAGAATACTTTCTGGGAGCATATGTACGCATCCCTGGGAATGTTGAACACTGCTGCGACGACGAGGAGAGTTTGTGGCGTCATTGAAATTGTATGTACGAAAGGAAGGCCAAGTCAGTGCCCGTGGCCAATTGCTCACATTAGTCGAATTGCTCTGAAGATCCTTGTCAAGCTCTGCCATGAAGCTCTCCACAAAAAGTAACTTCGGACTCACGATTCTCGGGGCCGTATCTTCCGCCAACAGAAAACCGGCATGTAAACGAAGCCGTTGTGTGCACAGTATCGTGAAGGATCGCTGTGGTCCCATGAGCTGGATACGCCGCCTTCGCTAGCCAGACACAATAGGGTGGTCAAACTAGACATGAGAGATGGGAAGGGGGGAAGGGGTGCGGCCAACGCAGTACTTAAAGCACGCTACTGCAGAGAAAGTTGCCTGTAGAGGACCGACGCTCTCTCTGGATGGGTGAGGGGAAATGAGCAAGGAAGTGCCAGACTGGTTTGCACGAGATGCGTACTGGACTTGGACATGCTCCTTCGCAGCTGGCAAGGCAGGGCGGCGAGGGGCAAGGCGGGCAGGATGAGTGTAAGTGCAATAGTTTGTCTTGGTGAGGCTGCGCTGCTGCCTCCCCTCCCGATGGAGACCGCAGATCTGGGCCACGCACTGCCAGTGGGTAACGGAATGGAGACCGTCAGTATGGTCACAGCACAAAGCCTGGTAAAGTAGATGCCGGACCCACTTGCATGGGATGGACTTGAAGACACTTCTTTGTAGCTGGCAAGACGGGGAGGCCGCCGAGGCACAGCGCACGCATGAGGGTGGATTGTAAAGATGATTAGCGACCTTGTCTACCTACGCCGCTGTCTCCCTGCCCGATAGAAACTGTGATGTCTATGCAATTTATCGGGCTCCAGATACAGTGATGTTGCAGCAGATTCAGACTGGGATGCATATGACATTGATAGGGACCACAGTCAAGATATGCAAATGTGCAAGAGCATCATGTGCAGCAGTATACACCAGCTTCGATGGTGTTGCCTCGTAGACAACCTGCTGAGAACGGCCCATCTGTCACGGTGGCAGTACCTGACCATGCAATGTCAGGGACATGGAGAATTCCCCCTTCACTTTAGATCACTGAGAAATTGTGTTCACTGCAATAGCGACTTCGAGCTGTGATATACCCACTGCAACATCAGGAAAACCCAACTTTTCCTTAAAAGGGCACTTAAATAACTTAAATGGACTTATGGTCCTTATTTAAGGACATAAGGACAAAAAGGACCTAAGGCATATTCCCTGAGTGTCTGAAATTCGACTTATTTGAACACTTATGGCCTTAAATAAGGGTTGTCAGACCCAAAAGTCTAAATAAGTCCGTAAGAGAAAGTGGGGTTTTCCTGATGAACACTACGACACTGCAACATAGTGATATAGCAAGACTGCATACTGTGTTTAGAGACTGTGACTGTGACTGTGATAGTGACATAGTGACACTGTGATAGCAACATAGCAATACTGTAATACTCCAAGCTGTGATACATTAGAAAAACCCAACTTTTTCTTATGGAGCTATTTTGACTTTTCAGTCTGACAACCCTTATTTAAGGCAATAAGTCTTCAAATAAGTGTCAATAAGTCTAATTTCAGACACTCATATAATATGCATTAGGCTCCTTTTTGACCTTATATCTTTAAATAAGAATCATAAGTCTATTTGAGTCAGTTAAGTACCCCTTTAAGTAAAAGTTAGATTTTGCTAATGTATAAGATATGCCTCATTCATGCGTGACCACACCATGTGGCAACTGATTTGCATTCTCTTCAACAACAACATTAATTAAAGAAAATTGGTTTCAGCAGAAATTATAGTATTTGCCATAGCTAAAATTATGCAGAAACCGATTATTCAGAGTGTCGAGGTGTGAGGAGGAGAATGGACAAAACTGGCCACGTGGTAGTAGTTGTGTATGAATGAGGCATATCTTACCACCTGTGTTAGTCTTACTCTGACTTTTGCATTAGACTGACTGACTGACTTTGTCAAGACAGCAAATACTGTGTTTCTCCATTAGTGCAGAGCAGGGGTATACCCCCGGGTATCCTGAGGCTTACCTGTACCCGTACCTGTGAGGGTATCGTACCCGCGCTCACGAGTACGGGTTTTACACGGGTACCTATGGGTTCCCACGGGTTTTCTTCAATTTTTTACCCTCAAATGGATTTATTTCTATTAAAATATATATGTATATTACACTACAGGGAGGACGGGTGCACAGGGAGTGCGAATGCGAGCACACAGAGAGGACGGGCATGCGTGCGCAGGGAGGACAGCTGTGGGTGCATAGGGAGGGTGGGCACGAGTGTGTAGGGAGGAGGGCGGGTGCGAGCACACAGAGAGGATGCGCACACGAGCGCACAGGCAGGACAGCGGGCACGAGCACACAGTGGCGGAGGATGCAATAATTCTACACAACAACAAAGTATCAGCCACTGATCCCTGCATGATCGCAGGACACCCACCGCTGAGCTTTCACCTCCGGATCGTCCTGTCCAAGCTCACGCTCACAATTTACAGCTTGATGTGCACCTGCCCGCCTTCGACGGCCGCGGGGATCCTGCGCATCCAGAGCTGCAGCGCGGTGACATCGTGCCAATGCCCATCGACCGTACCGAGGAGCTCGGGCTCGTCCAGCTCAGAGACATCGTATGCGCGCAGGGCGTCACCCACACCAGTAATGAGGTATGGCTCGGCGAGGGGCGTGAGTGCGAGGTGGAGGTGGCGGCGGATAGCAGCTCACAGCATGACGTGGCTGCATCAGGAAAACCCAACTTTTCCTTAAAAGGGCACTTAAATAACTTAAATGGACTTATGGTCCTTATTTAAGAACATAAGGACAAAAAGGGCCTAAGGCATATTCCCTGAGTGTCTGAAATTTGACTTATTTAAACACTTATGGCCTTAAATAAGGGTTGTCGGACCCAAAAGTCTAAATAAGTCTGTAAGAGAAAGTGGGGTTTTCCTGATGTGGGCGCCAGCCACGGGTATACCGCGGGTCACGTGGGTCACAAGATTGTGACCTGTACCCATACCCGCGCGGGTAAGGGTACCGGTACCCATGCGGGTTACCCATACCCCTGCTCTGCACTATTCTCCATAGCATTTCCACCACAGATAGTTCCTCTCCCTTTGTGATTTAGTTCTTTTTTGCCTGCGACTTCAGTGATCTCAATGTGACTTTAGCTTCTCACCTCTGACTTTCATGACTTCATCATATTTTGTCACCCAACTTCACATTTTCATCACGAGTCCTCATTCTCTTACAGGTAGCATCCCCCTAGACTCTGGTTGAGGTTCTGGAACCCACTTGCATCATTTTATTGTTGCATTGCCCTTCTCTCTCACTCAGATTCATTGTTGTTGGGTTTAGGTGTTTGTGTCGGGTGTGCACTCATCAGTGTGACACAAATAGTAGCTTCAACTCCATATTTGTTACCTCACTCTGCAGCCACTGCCAAAATATGCACAGAATGGCTGACCAATACAGTTTTTGGTTGGATGTGTGACATGTCACAATGACAGATCATTGAATGTCCTCCTCTCCTTTCATCCTGCCTATCGTGATACTCCTACCATCTGCATAATGTGTGTATTGTCTTCCAATGTGTTAGTTGCCATGATATCTGATGTGACATTACAGCTGTTTATAACATTTTCATCATACACATGAATTAATGTGACAATGCGACTCATCAGTCCAAGCAAAATCCCTCCATTGGCAGTGGTACTCTCATTAGAAAGTATCATTGGCATCACAAAAGAGGTGGTGCAACCAATTCCTATTAGTTGTGAGTGGGGGATATGCAAGGCAGAGTTGAATAGCTGGAGTGCACTCTTCCATGTGCGAGTTTTTTCCTCACTGCTCATACATACCACTGATATGTTCAACCGACCGGGTTCGTGTTTTCAAGCATATGCAACTACATCTGCAGGCAGCCAGAAACAAGGTAACATTAAACAGAACCTAGTTGAATGATCAAAAGGTGCTTATGAGCTATTGCAGGATAGAGGCTTTGAGTGTTGCTTCCAGAAGTGCACTGGTCGCATTCAAGGAACATACTCTGATCTAGAATCACATGTGGAACTTAGCCATTTGGTCAGGGTGCATTTGCCATGCCCCGTGCAAGGTAAGATTTGCATCTTGGGCAGCTCTGCGATGAAGATTGACCAAAACATGCTTTCCAGGGTGTTCCCAAGTGTTTGCACGACATGGACAGGTCTCAATACACTTCCAAGAAGATCACCCTCACCTTATAGACAAGACTGTTCCATTCAAATCGCATGTTTTGAAGTCGATGCGCCAGCCATCTCGTATCCACATTGCCCAGCTTGCTCCCATCCCCTCGGAAATGACGGAGTTGTTTCATCTTCTATCCTATCCTGTTGCACGAGCTTGCAAGCGTGCTCAGCGACTCTCCCAAGAATCACGCATATCCCGGAAATGGAGTCGCATGATGGCATCGCAGGACACCGAGGATAGTGCAGATGCCCAGCCATTCGACAACCTCACGAAGTTCGAGCCTCCCGCCAACTTCAACGACTTCATTGTTTGGCGAAAGCCGTCAGAACCCGCAATGCAGCTCTCTCGTCCGCAGTTTATCTCGGTCCCATCCATCCCCGAGGTCCCTCCACTTCTCAGTATGAGCTACAAGGCATTCTTTGCGAAGTTCAAGGAGCTGGAGAAAGCGGGACTCGTTGATGGGACGGGAGAATGGCCCGAAAGTGACGAGGGCGAAGACGTGATATTACCTGGTCCCGGACCACAGCCAGAACCAAGCTAAATAATATCTTATAGTATTTGCGTTGCGTACAGTTTTATCTTGTCTCCTTGTTTTCGCATGATATACCAACTGCTGTTCTCTACATGTTCGTACAGTTAAATTGTTGTGTCCAATTGTAGTCCCATTCGTTAACAGTGTTGCGATCTTTATCTCTTCCGACTTCAATGTTTGAATTAAACGATGTGATACAGGCTTGATACCTGAAGGATCGAAGATGCTCAGGCTTGCGACCGGCTGTAGCATAGAAATGGCTCTGCCGAGCACGCCACGGACAGTTTTCGTATCTTTGAGAGCAGAGAGCATCACGGACAAAGGTGGTCCAAAAGCTTTTGCAACGTTGTGAAAATACAGGAGGCAAATTCCTAAGCCTTTGCTCAACAATGGGTATACCCACATGCTCGTCTAAGAGCAGAGCTCGTTTATTATACGTTGTTCAAACACATTGGCAACCTCTCCGACGGGTGTAGGTAACAGTAAACGGACTATCCGTGAGGGACAGGACAGTCTATCGTGCGACCGATTGAAACTCACCAGTCTGAGGAACCTACTGGGAAGGAAATGTCGATAGGCAGGACTGAGCCGGGCCTGAAACGGGAATGGAGATAGGAAGGATGTCCAAAAGGCCAACATAGGTAGGTAGGTAGGTAGTACAACAAGTGGTCAATCAGAAATGGCGAGTGGAAGGGGTAAAAGAACGAGTACGGTAATACGATCAAGACAGAAAGTGGAGACGGACACTCAGACACGAACGAGGCGCGTTGGAAGTCCAGCCTGTAAGCAGCCACGGCCCTCGGCTGGTCCAACGGTGGAAGAGGTCCGACAATCTTGACTGCGGCGCACGCGGGCGATCACACCTGCACCGGGGCTGAAGCCTTCTCCTCGACCGCGACAGGAACCTTCTCTGTGTACTGCGGCGGAGGAACAACCTCGGCTGCGTCAGTCTCGAAGAGTACGTCAATTTCTTCAGGCTCTCCGCGCCGGCCCTTGAGAGCCCGGACGAGGACGACGCCAATGACGAACAGCATGCGGAGGAGCACGCCGATGCCGCAACCTGCACGAGCGTCAAGTGTCAGTACGTCCGAATGTACGGAGAGACAAGAAATGGCACGCACCGAGAACGAAGGCGACGGCGCGCCCTTCCCAGGGACCAAGTGCCATCAGTGCGAAGTGTATGCGGCGGAGGAAGGAGCGGTGTCTGTGCCCGCCCATGTGCATAATGTGTACGGGAGCGAACTCGCGGTGAGGCCCGCGGCCCGCGCCATGGGAGGGCTGTGCCATCTCCATCTTCAAGCCATCCTGCGTCTCCTCGGTTTCCTCGCCATCGAAATGGTCGTGAGCGTGGACGTGGTGCTTGTCTTCAAACTCGACAGAGAGCGCTTCGGGGAATGCGAACGGGGGAACGGCAGGACCGTGGTTCATGATCCAAACGCTGGGCGGCGGAGGCAAGGCGGGAATGCCAAATATCCTGTTGGACAGGTGGATGGCTTTGTCTCTGAACGAGCCCGAGCAGTGGTGCTTCGTGCCAGGCGCACCGGGCGGCGGCGGATAGACTTGAGCTACCACATTCGAAATGCGGGCGACTGCAGCGTCACTTCCGCTGGTGACCTCCTGGTGCGACGTCACGACAACGCGCAGAGGACTGGCGGTGACTGTGCGCAGAAGTGAGCGGTGAGTTGGAATATGTGGGCAGATACCAAGCAGATACACATACCGAGACAGGCGCTAGCCAGGAGAAGTGGAACGTTTAGCTTCATGCTAGTAAGTAGCTACGAAGCGAAGCCACAGGATAGGAATTGAGATGGTTGTGATATAAAACTTGGATGATGAGTGCAGAGAAAGAAACGATGTTTACGCTGATGTGGCTGGAGCGCAGTACCCGCCACCCGCCCTTACCCAGACCTTCCCACGCTTCTTATCCGCGGACTCTGCGGAGTCTGCGGACTTCTCGTCTCTGGCTTTCTATTCTCTCTGGCAACCCGGTTTATATCTGCTCACAACGAGTCAGATGCTGTGTGCAACATGACTATTCTTGTTTGCGGTTAGGAGAGTCTTTCATCGAGTCACTGCCAGTCGAATCCGTCGGAGGTTCGAGCATGCCGCATCGCTCACAGACACTAGAGACGCGTAGGATACCACCGCCCGAAGTCATAGGGATGCGAAAGTGGCTGTGAACGTACAAGAACGAGCACTATTGGTGCCACACAGCCTCAGCTTAACTCACCAGAGACCGACTCAGATTGCTACCCAAATGATGAATTTTGCGCTCTCTATAAAGTTACCATTTGCGAACAAAAAACGGTATGTATTTGCACAAGTAACAAATTTAATTGGCTAATTGAGTCCTCATTTTAGTCCTGGTTATATATGCAAACTTTATCATTGAATTTGTATGGGCGACAAATGGTTGGCGGGCAAAACTTACATTCACTCAGTACTAATCTGGGAGGGTCTCAAGTGACTCAATCTGAGTGTCGGCCACCCTTGACCGGCATCGCGTTCTGCAATGCTCGGCTTGCTTCTTCTGATTCTGTATACTCGAAAAGCTGGCAGTGCTTACAAAGGCGTAGCTATCTTCGCCTCATCAGGGTCCATGTCTGACTTTTCAGGTACGGAAATACAAGTGGTGAGAGCAGCAGTTGCGCCAGAGTTTATCGTCTGTGTACCCGCTAGCTCAAGTTGAATCCGCAGAAAAAAATCTCGTTCTTGCACATTGCTGAAAGATGTACGTCGCTGTTCTTGACTCGTCGGATTCCATATTTCAATAAAAATGCAGGTATGCACTCGGACGAGGTGGCAATAACAGCTCCACGAGAGCGCATCGGCTGGCAAGTGAGCATGTTGGTTTTTTCGAGCTGACTTTGTGTGATCAGAAAAGTCCATGAATCCTGCACATGGCGAACAGAAGATCTAGCTGTTCTCCCTCACGTGTGTGCAAATTTGTACTCTCAGGTATGGAAAGAAGTGAGGCGAGTAGCACCTCTGTCTCAGCACGTTAGTTGTCGATCCACTTCGCTTAAGCTTAGTCCATGTACTCAGAAATTCAAATTCTCGTGGTCAGCACGTATGTATTCAAGTTTGAACTTTTAGTTATGGACTCAGATAAGGAGAGGTCGGTAGCTCTGACATATGCGGGCTGCGAAATGGTCGCCCTTCGATCCCCATCAAGCCTGTTCTGGACTGGATTCTCGCCCAGTGCTGATAGACGATGCTCTCGTCTTCCCATCTGACGCCATCCCAACATCTACAGTCAAACGAGGCAGCAATTCAGTTAAACTTGATCATCCGGCAAGTAGTTGCTCTTCCAAGGGCCTGGTAGTCCGTCATCGGTTTATCCTCGTCCAATATCATAGCCATCATCACTGCCACCTAATTGTGCGCTTCAATGGCGCACTGTGGTATCGGAGGTTCTTTATTCCCTTCGTGTGTGTTGAGACTGCTGAATTCTAACTACTGACCCTTGTTTTACTCCCTCTATGACTGAGGGATCGAATATGATCTCCGCGACGCATATACCGGGCGTAATGCTGCACGCTTAAGCTCAGTCATTTTCGCTATTGCTACGATGTTGTATCAGTCCCAGGATGGTACACAGCTAAAATTCTTCTGCTAGTTGGGCCTCAGCGTTGACTGCAAGCTCCAACTTTCAAGTCACGACACTGTACCATGGACGTCGTCCCCTCCCTTCTTTGTTGGGAGGACTGGATCACATCGTCACTAAGGTCCCTTCTCGCCATGTCTTCTCGTGTGGATTACGCCCTCGTCGAGGCCGAACGCGAATCCCTTCCTTGACAGCGACAGGCGCAGATCCCTCGCCTATCTTCGCCGATGAACTAGCATCTAAGGTCCTGCAGAAAGTAAGCAACTGTAAGTCGGGGCGAATTATCAATAATCAATAATCTAGGGCTTCGGCACATGGCTGACGTTCTATGTCAGGCCGTCGTCTACGTCACTCGTTTGCAGCGGAAGCTGAAGTATGAAAATCGCCATCGAACTCGTATGCACGCATGAGGATGATATCCGTGTGTCGTGCGGTTGGACGCCACGCCGTAAAGCAGTTAATCTCACAACGTACGACTGGTTGAAAACGTCTTCACTGATTGTCTTGTGTACAGATCACAAGTAAATCATCTACTTTAAATTAGTTGCCATTCAGTACGGTCTATGGTTCGCTCTACTTCCTGTCGTCTCAAGTGGCTTGTCTGTGTAATACAACCATATCGCCTGACTGGGTAGCGAGTTTTAAAATCGAATGACATTCTGCGTATTTTACTCTATCTCACTCCATCCAAAGCAATGCTACATCAACAATACAACTCGCGCAGAGGGGCGACGAAGTACTACACGGGTACAACACGCATGTTTATCACATCCAGCCGTAAGAAAGCCACGACAATCCAACTAAAGTATTTTCGGGGCCAGTGTACTCTTAAGCAAGCCCGACCGTGGCCATGTGTGTTCTCAAGATTGACTCGCCCACTGACAGATGGAAGCACAGCCATTAAGTAAGTCATGTTTACACCTCGTTTGACAAGCGTAAGACGTCACTCACCATTCACGATAATCCTCTGCATCGCCTTTGTATCCTATTGATACGCGCCATTCATTCAGCGAGTGATTCATCAGTCAGCAGAAGAAGCACGCACGAGCATCGACGTGAAGTGCTGCCACATCGCCGCGAAGTTCTGTATCAGCAATGCTCGACAGTCGTGGCAGCAGGGTCACACGCACCAGATATAGCGGCCGATTGTACGTGTCCTTGCGCTTGTGCACCTGGATGAAGTGTGCGCGAAAGTATTCCGAGACCTCCTCGTATGTGTTGGGCCGGTCGCCGTACGACGAAATGCTACGCCCACGCCAGACCAGGTAAGTACCTGGCCAGAGGAGTGGGTCGAAAGACCACACGTACTATTTGCGGACTTTGATCCCGTCATCCAGCTTCTGTCTCAGCAGGTCCGTCTGTAACCGCATACGCGCACCGTCAAACATTGACAGGAGGGTAAGCGGACAAGAGGTCAGCAGGAGTGGTGAGCAGGAATACAGTTGCACAAACGCGCCTTGTTTAGCATAAGCACGAGTGTTGCCTTGTGCAACAGCTTGTTCGAGCAGATTGTAGTGAAGAGCTGGAGCGAATCATCGATCCTGTTCGTGCGCGGGTCTTCTTCCAGGTACTGTGAACCCATACACAAAGAAGGCGTCGAGGAAGACACGGAGGCGGAAATGCAAACGTTGATCAGTATCGACGGCGATGCCGGCAGAATCGTGAAAGGAAGCGGTGCGCACCGCAGCTCACCTGATCGAATGCGCTGATAGGAGCCAGGAAGATGATGGCAGTTGCTGTATCGGATAAGATCAGTTTTCACGACAACAGTTGAGACGCACGAAGAGGCCTCGAGGCGACCGGGAACTCCAGCGTGACCGCGCGAAGCCATGGGCGTAGGTCGCCTGAAGGTTTGGGCACTCCACACGGAAGCCAGATGGACTTCCCCAGGGACAAGCTCCCAGGCACAGAACCTTGGCCAACACACGGCAGATCACGAAGGCTCACCGTCTTCGAAATAAGGCACCCACGCTTGCCGCTATTGGATTACCGACACCAGCCAGCCACGAAGATGTAGTGGCGTGAGAATGATATCGGAGGACTCAGGGAATGGAATACTTGCCTGGCCGCGCTGTGAGTCGAGATGAGATGTCGTGGATACGAACGAGTCATGACTGCGGTCAGATGAGGGGGCAGTGAGAGAGTGGGGTGTACGCACCGCCCCACCGACATCGTACAGGATACAGCTGTATTGCGTAGCACCCATGTTAATATTGAATGCGTGTTCTTTGACACCGAGTGTCTGCAGCCGCACATGGAGAATGTCCTCTGAGAACGATGTATATTAATAAATGAAGACATGCCGGCAGAGAGATACGGACCTGTCGATGGGAGATAGTCCGGCTGTGCAATACGGTGTATGTTATCGAGGAAACTTCGGCGAGAGGGATCAGTATCGGGGGGAGCGCGAGGAAACAAGGTCGCGCACAAAGCAGCGTATTCTTCCAACCGCAACTTGTGCTCTTTCAACAATTTTACGACCGCCGCATGGCCCCAGAGCTGTTTGAGCTCATTTTGCGATGCTGCCAGTGTCTTTCCGACAATATTCATCATGGTGTACGACCTCGAAGAAGGCGCATTGCCGATGTCGGACAATGGCACTCGGGCGTCAGTGACTTGCCAGCCCGCACGCACGTACACGCCAGTGCGCCCACCAGATACGGTGATTCCCCCACTCAGTTCGGCAGCTAGCGCATCCTCGCTCGCAACTAGCGGCAGCAATTTACCACGGAGATAGGCAAGCTCGGCGTACCACATCGGGTCTGCAACAGCGGAGTTCGTGGTACCTGCGACGTTCGAGCTTGAGCTTGAACTTGAGCTCGAGGCATTAGCAGGCGAGGAACTAGAATGAGGGGGGTTGTCCGGAGATGCAAAGTACTGGTCGTCGACCTCATTGAGGATCATGCTGATAGCCTTGAGGATGTTGAAGTATACTATAGGACGCCATGACGGTCGTTCATGGTCGATAGTCTGAGAGGCGTAATGCAGTTGGAACTGCTTTTGCAGAGTAGATTTACCGGACTCCGCCTGTCCCAATAGCATCACTGTGGAACACAAACATCAGAGTCAAATCCAGATGTCCAGAACGCGAAGCGCTAGGGAGTTTTAAGGCACGTGGCAAGTAGATGGCAGTAGAGAGAGCGCGTGTTGGACAAGTAGTACACATTCACCAGGAGTGTGAATGTATGGGAGAACGGCCCAATGGTTGTCTTGAGGCTCTTGCCTACGCGAAGACATGACAAACCTTTGATTTCTCTGTGTTTCCTCCGGTTCCTTGCTTCCTGGTCGTGCTGGCACTCGAGTTATCAGCGTTGCCGTGACGCCTCGCTAACCAAAACGAAAAAATACCGACCTTAATTTCGTCATCAATTGCGTTGCTAATTCGGAGGGCTTCCTGTTCATCAATTGAAGACGGCGCACCCAGTGCTGCAGGAGGAAAGGTTAGGTCAAAATGGTCGAGGGGCATAAGGGAGTCAGTCGCAGCCATCGGAATGGACAAAAGCAGTGGGAGAGCGCAAGATGGTGGACGTCAAGCAATGACCAGCATGGCGATAAAAGCTGGCGCCCAATCCCACGGAACATCTGTGTTGTTGATGGAAGACACGGAAGCTTGACCAAAGCAATGACAGCACCACTGCGCAGGCACTGCCTTCGATTGTCAGGAACGCATGCTGCCTTCGCGCCTCCTTCAAACTTGTACCGCCGGACCACCGAGTGCGATCCGTTCTTGCGTTTGCATCTCCCAAGCACGTGCATCGTGTTTCATTCTTGGTCAAGAAGTTGCTGCATTCCAGCCCGGAGACCTGTTACGATGTGAGTATTCCGTCATAGATGCAGCAAATCACGTTGAATAAATACCTTTTGGTGATACATATTCTTCGGCCACGGTGTATGAGTCATGCAGGATTTCTACCAGTCCATGTGAGCAATCGCAAGTTGAGTCCGGAATATAAACTTGAAGGCGCCGAACGTTGTACACTTCGAAGGCGCTCATGATCAGTCTGGCAGTAGTGTGATCATGCAGGGCGATGTTCTCTTTTTGGCAGCGATAAGCTACGGCGTTGACTTTGGGACCTTGAAGGATTCCGGCCTGAGGAAGGACCGCTACTTGAGACACGCCTCGCTGCCGAGTACGTCAAACCGTAAATTACTTTAGTGGGTCCCAAGTTCTCCGTGTCAGAGGTGGATTCGGTGGGCGCTGTTGAAGTACGTGAACTTTCTCACTTCCGCTGTTAAGTAGTGACTTGCGTGTTCGCAGTCTTGAGGTTTGAGGAACGAATCATGAACGCATCATCATCTATGAAGGGTTTCATTGGACATATCATCTTTGTTGAGGTTGAACGCAGTTGGTGGCGTTCTTGTTGTCAGTTTTGGGGTCAACGTTACTTCCGTTCAGCCGGTACGTGGTTCCTGTCATGCTAGTTCAGCAGAGCATTCTTATACAGCGTCATCATATGGTGCCGAACATCAATTCTCTGCAGACTTGCAGGATATTTAGACACTCTTCTAAAATTCTTTGGACCGCTGATAATGGACAATTCTATCGAAAAATCTCAAAATAGCGAGAAATCCCACCTCTTCTTGGAACCTTTGAATCGTTTTCACAAAGTCTCGCGCCTGTGGTGGGAAGCTCCCTTGCAGTACCGAAACATCTCCAGGAAGTAGCTATTGGGCCATTCTTTGAAGGTGCACAATCCCAAGTCGTTCTCTTGTCACCTTGTAAGCTTCCAGAACATGATGGCAGGCACTGCAGCACCTGAGAGTCCGAACTGATGGCCACAGCAATACTCTTCCCCTCCTTTCTATGTGATCAGCGAGACGCCGACCCTGGCGATGCAGGCTGGTAACTGTCAGCCAGCCGAAGGAACCGAATCCACTCAACTTTTGTCGGTATGCTTTCTTGCGAAACCCGGGTTTCCCAGTAGAATTATCCGCTGACAGCCATTCATGTCAGCAACGGTGATTATGCCATAGTTGATTTACATCAAAATTGGGAAAACTACTAAACACGTATATGTATGTGGACAGGTCATCTCGACTAGTGGTGAGATGCCCAACGTGTCCACGCCACGTGCACTCAATTTTTCATCCAGGATCAAGGATAGTCGATGATTCTGATCACACCGTCTGCCAGTGTCCATAGACTTTTGTTCTCATCGTCCCATTTCTGGACAGTGACAATCCCGAGCGGAACATGCTCCCTGAACAGCGAAGGGGGAAAGCAACTCTCGAAGATTCTTGGCATCTCATACTGTCCGGTGCTGTGGTTCTGTGGTTCTGTAGTTCTGTGATTGAAAACTTGAACAGGCTCATCGCAACGTATGACGCACAGCTATCAGGCTTCTTCGTATGTCGCGGGGAACTCGGGCAGCTGTGGCAGTGTGTCTTGATTGCGCAGGTCGTCTGAACATTGTGCACATGCTCACCAGGGTATTCTTCCTAAGTTTGACTGTTGCGGTCTGTCAATCCCATGTCTTGCTCCGCCTTCACATATTCGATTTTCCGGCACCCTCCGATATCGCCTATCTCTGGAACTCCGATAATACCTACTAAATACCGCTGTCACATTGGAAGATGACTCGCGAACGCGACACACATGATGGCGTCGTGGCGTGGATATTTAAAGACATAGCGAAACCTGGAACAGTACTTGGAAGGTTAGTACGCAGGGTTTTTTCTTTTTTAAAATAGCGCTTACTTCGATGTAAGAGGCCTTCGCACATACTTCGACATGGCACCCGACTTTTCCAATCGCTCAAGCAGTGCGAGGTCATGCTCCTTCTCGATGAGCGCGTCTCTCTCCACTCCTTCCGGCCATCAATGTCGAGGATATTGAGACCCATGTGTTAATGCGTCTCTTCACGCCGATTTACGCATTAATGGAAGTCAACGAGTATCCCCTGATGGTGTCGGTTTTCATGCCTTCCACTGCCAGAACATTGGAGGATCGGAGGTCGAAAAACACAAGAGCTCCTGCACGCAGCAATCGAATCGCACGGCGAATACTAGCATGAAGATCTTGCAAGGAGGAACGAAACTTGCCCAAACGCCACGTCGTCTCGGTGGCTATGAATTCCACAACAATCCCGCGGATTTGTACGCTCAGCATGTTCTGTTTGCCGTGAGGAGACGGTGTGCCTCTGCAGGGTAAGTCTTCACGAATTCCACATCGATACTGCATCCGTCCGCACTCCGCCTGGATGACAGGTTTTGTGGCATCATCCCGACATCTGATCATAGGGTGTCTAGCTGGCCATAAAACCCACTACATTACTGGATCTGGACCTTGCTACCGCGCAGATATGTTTGTTATCGGGTGAATTGAGATCGTCAAAGGTCGAACGACCGGATTCGAGAGATAGACAGCACCGAGGTCGCAAAGTGAGACTCGTCCTGAAATAACGACGATGAAGCTAGGACAGCAACATATTGCTTACCTACGTGATGGCCTGCAGTCAGTAATTTATAAACATTTTACTCATTACAAACTCACCCCTTCCTGCGCTCAAAGCCGAGCACAACCCACAGTGCCCAGGATGCCAGTAGTGAAATCATAACCTACCTCATCCAGTTCTTCGAAAATCCCTGAAAGATCGGCTGGACCACGAGAGGTGGACCAGACGTGCTCGACTACTGTGAGGGCGGAAGGAAACACAACGGAGGAGAGAAATGTCCAAGATGGAGACTTTTCACTTTGCCAGGGAAGCCAAGTGTGCGAGCGACTTCGATCCATTTGCTCTTCGAAAAGTATGGAAGATATAGTCTGCTTCTCTTGAGCTGTTGATCGGTCACACCTGCCAGATGTGCCAGATGTGCTAGAAGACCCCCGCCGCTAAGCAGGCCTGCGCGGGCTGTCTGAGTGCAGTTGCGCGCATGCGCTGTTATGCTTCCTGCAAAAAAAAGGGCTAGAAGGACAGCGAGGTCGTAATGGTCAATAGTATTGTCAACAAAGCCATCTGGCAGCCGGATATCCTGCACGAGTTCCTCCTCAACGTCGTCCAAAGTACGCCTAGAAGCCATGGAATTGCGGAGGGACAATTCCTGATCAGTGATTAATTTGACTTGGATTTGACCCACAACGCCACCACATGAATCACGTGGGAGAACGTTGTTACATAATCTAAATTTTGAGGAACAGGCTCAGCCAGCCTATGTCCCCTAGTACAACTGTACTCTCCGCTACATTGATATTGATTGTCAGTATCACAAAATGTCGACAAGCGGATTGAAGGCAATTTCTCCGGTGCCCACAGCGGCGGACTTCTTGGATATCGTCTTGTCGAAAACACAACGAAAGACACCAACGGTATGCAGGTAGTACCTGTGGTAGCTCGTATAGTTCGCTGAATTGTGCGTGCATGTAGGTCATCCACAAGAATTTTAAAATCAGCCGCATCCGCAACTTCTACATGCGCAAGGTCAAGTTCACCCAAGATTCGTTTGATGAAAAGCTCAGTGCGATCCTGGAGGAATTTCCTATGCTCGATGTCCGTATTCATCGAATGCGGAAGATTCAGAGTTAACAGATGCCGGTTGTTAGGACCTTCACCCATTCCTTGCGTCTCTCATGAACGTGCTGTACGACAAGAACCATTACAAGCTCGCCCTTGGACAGCTTCGCACGGCAAGACATCTAATTGACCAGGTAGCCAAGGACTACGTGCGTCTTCTCAAGTTTGGGGACAGTCTGTACCGCTGCAAGCAGCTCAAACGGGCCGCACTTGGCCGGTGAGTGTGTACGCTGTAGTTTTCGGGCTATATATCAACATGGATGCACAGGATGGCGACAATCATGCGGCGGCAGAAGGATCCGCTGGCGTATCTTGAGCAAGTGCGGCAGCACATCTCCCGTCTACCCGCAATCGACCCTACCGCACGAACGCTACTGATCTGCGGGTACCCGAATGTGGGCAAGTCATCGTTCATCAACAAGGTCACCCGTGCAGACGTGGACGTGCAGCCGTACGCGTTCACCACGAAGTCGCTGTTCATTGGACACCTTGACTACCGCTACATGCGGTGGCAGGTGATTGACACCCCCGGGATTCTTGACCACCCCCTCGAGGACATGAACACGATTGAGATGCAGAGTATTACGGCACTCGCGCACCTCAAAAGTTGCGTACTGTACTTCATGGACCTCAGCGAGCAGTGCGGGTACAGCGTCGAAGCTCAATGCAAGCTCTTCAAATCGATCAAGCCGCTCTTTGCCAACAAGCCTACCCTGCTCGTGATCAATAAGGTCGACGTCATGCGTTTGGAGGACCTATCCCCAGACAATCGTGCGTTGGTTGAGGAGATCATTAACAGCGACGGCGCGCTGCACGTGCAGGTATCATGTTACACTGATGAGGGCGTCATGGAACTCAAGAACAAGGCGTGCGATGCCCTACTGGAACATCGGGTTGATACGAAGCTCAAGGGCAACAAGATTAACTCAATCATCAACCGACTCCACGTCGCCCAACCCAAAGCAAGAGATGAACTTACGCGAGAACCTTTCATTCCAGAAGCCGTCAAGACGCGACAAGCGGAAAAGGCGGCTGGAGAGCGGAGGCGGCTGGAAAAGGATATCGAAGCGGAGGAAGGTGGACCTGGAGTGTACAATATCAACCTCAAAAGTGCGAGTCTTGTACATCGGGTCGACGTCGCTGACGATCTTTTACAGAAAATTACCTCCTCGCGAATCCCGAGTGGAAGGAGGACACCATACCGGAAATCCTGGATGGCAAGAACATCGCCGACTTCATCGATCCCGATATTCTCGAAAAGCTCGAGGCGCTGGAACGCGAAGAGGAGAAGCTCGAGGCGGAGGGCTTTTACGAGAGCGAGGATGACATGGTTCGTGCACTAAAGAATTGTTTTTCTACTTTATTTTCAATCCGCACCCACAGTTCGACTCCGATGATGAGCGAGAAGCCGCAGAAGCCAAAGTTTCGCGGCAACACAAGCTCGTCTCACAACATTCCAAGAAGGCGATGAAAAACCAGGCGAAGCTTCCGCGCACAGCAGGCCTCCGTACGCTGTCCGAGCTAACAACAGGAATGACAAAAGCAGGCCTCGATCCTAGCCGGATACAGGCGCGTGCAGAGATGCTCGCAAAGGCTGCGGGTGTGAAGCGAAAGCGACAGCGTGAGGAGGAGGACGCGGAGATGGATGTCGACATGGAGGGTGACGAGGGTGACTGGATGGACGTAGACGGCGAGGAGCCTCCATCGAACAAGCGGGCGAAGGCCAACTCCGGTGTGGTCGTCTCAAAGAGAGCGCCCAGATCGAATCGGCAGCTGGCTGGCATGCGCGACGAAGCGGTGCGTATGGTTTGCGTCTTGCGTGGAGAGGTGTATGCTGATGGTACGGCCCCTGCTCCAGCAAGCATCCAAAGCTATCAAGCTGCGGAACCTTGGACAGCGCGAACGCAACATGCACGCCAAGGCTGGCGAGAGCGATCGTGCCATCAAGGTCAAGATGGTATGTGTTCCATCGGACCATATTTCTGCTGTCTCGCTGACTTTTTCGGTCCAGCCGAAGCACCTATTTTCTGGGAAGCGGAAAATGGGCAAGACGGATCGTCGCTAGTAGCTTTGTCTACCTTCACTATCGCGTGTCTTGCTATGCCGTCGTTCTATCCATCTAAGTTCCTTGTGTGCTCATCGACCGACCCAGGTACAAACAAACGTATGTATTTTTTTCGTAAGGTAATTTGTGTTCAGAACTGATGGGCATAGTATCTACAACTAACGGACATGGGTAACAAAGAGGAGGGAATAGGATATCCAATCAGTATTGCAAGAGATCAACAGATAGGACTGGATATAGGAGAAAAATCACCCACCGAGGGAATGCAATAAAAACAAGAGCAAGGCGACTGCACATCCTACGAAGTGAAAGGGACAGAGAGATCCGAATCATAACATGTTAAGCAGAGGCCAGATAAGTGCCCTACGACACCCTCAGGCCTCATTCGTCGAGTCGTAAAGTACGTGGGAGGTCGTAAGCACAGGATATGGAGGAGTCGTTGTGACGGGCGTCGACGCAGCAGTCACGCCAGTGACCGGAGAAAGTAACAGAGAAGGGCGGAGCGAGTAAATAAAATATTGGGCGTATAGGTGGGATCAATCCCAGTCTATAGAAATGCCCGCGGGAGCCTTCGCGAGACCGATGCCCCGCTCGGCCTCCCTCTGGAGCCACTTCAACGCGCGCTTGTCATCGCGCAGGTACGGCTCCAGCAACTCGTAGCATCTCCTGTTGTGTATCTGTGATCACGAACGGATCAGTGCTGACGTCGCAACATGAGAGGAGGCCGCATACCTTCAGCCACTGGCGCTCGTCCCTCGTAAGCATCTCGTCCTTCACCATCCTCGTCTGGATGGGGACGCAGGTCAGACGCTCGAAGCCAAGCCAGGTATCACCGGGGCGCTCATTCTTAGTCTGCCGCGGACATGAGATCCTGCAGACACTCAGTAATTACGATGCACTTACCCTGACTTTCTTTACGAAAAGCGCTGACTCGATACGCATACCCCAATGCCCTTCCTTGTCTAAGCACACAACAATGAGTAAATTCCTATAGTACATAAAAGTACAACTCACAAATACCGGGCTCGTTGGTCAGGACATGGCCGGGCACGAAGGGCGTCGTTGAGCTAAAACCCTGAGGGCCTTCGTGGACGTTCAAGAACGCACCCACACCATGGCCGGTGCCATGCTAGAAAGCCATGTAAGTACTGCGGCCATCGTCACGGCCACACGACGCACCCCATAGTTCATGCCGTCCTGCCATAGCGTCTTGCGCGCCAACACGTCTAACTGTGTGCCGCTCGTCCCCGCGGGGAAGATGGCACTATCGATAGCAATCTGTCTCGCTTTCAGCACACGTATCTCGACCGCAAATGAATGTACGTACGTGACCTTGCAGGACGCGCGTGTAAGCCACACACTGTTCCTCACTTGGGCGACCGAAATGAACGGTCCGGGTGGTGTCACAGGTGCCGTCTCTGTACTGCCCGCCCGAATCGCTAGGGTACAGAGAAACAACATCAGTAGAGATCCCACAAAACGAGGTCATGCCGCGCACTTCAAGTACGGAGTATTGCGGTCAATCATCCTCGCGGTAGCTTTACGGGGCGAGTAGTGTGGCAGAGCTATCAAATAGACCGTCAGATCGTACAGGTGCCATCCAACGCCCGAAACTGCGCACCGGCGTTGGGTCCACTTGCAGAGATATTCTCGTACGCGAGACCCATATAATGCTTGTTTAACCGCCTGAACTCCGTTAGACGCCATGCGGCTTCGTACTCGGTAATATCATAGCCTTGGCCCATCTTGTGCTCGAGCCATGCAAACCACCTGACGAATGCGGCTCCGTCACGCAGGTAGGCGCGCCGGAGACCATCCAGCTCAGTCTGGTTCTTGATCGACTTCATATGCTCTACGTAGGGCTCCAGTACAGTGTAATTGAAAGAAGTGAGCATCAAAGAGATGGCGTAAGAAGTTTTGGGGCTGATGATAATCTGTACAGGTATGGACAATGAGACAAGGCAACACATGGAATACACAGTAGAGCCCACCTTGCCTTCACCCCACTGCTTCCGGCGGAGGAATGTCCAGAGGTCGTTGTAATCCCTGCGCTCTACTGCAATGGACTCTAGATAACTCTCCACGGCCTCTGTGATCTTGGCCTGTTCAATGAACAGGACAGTGGTATCGAAGCCGACGAACAAGTAAGAGTGAAAGACAGGGTTAAATGGAATATCGTCTCCACGGAGATTAAGTAAGTACGCTACAACGGAGTGAGAATGTGATTCTCAGAACGAAGGGCTACAATACTCACCAATGTCAGAAAGGTTGGACAGCAGCATTCCAACCTGCATCTGAGAAGGCTTGGGTTCTGACTTCGAGTACGACGGAACAGATGGGGGTTGCTCCCTAATCCACCGGCGCACTTCCGACAGCTTCGCACTGGCTTCCCTACCGCTAAACTCGATCGTCTGTACGAAGATCGGATTGCGGGACCGCGAGGGCTTCTCGCGCCAGATGAGGTCGACCAGATTCTGCGGCGGATAAACGAGCTTGCTCTTCTTGGGCTGCAAGATGGAGTTGAGCTTCGACGCCGTCTCGTGCGGAATCATACGCGCATCGATACCGATGCGCACTTCGTCTCTGAGGCTGGCGATCCACTCGACCCAATCCGCTGGCTGGCGGGGAGCACCGGCCTTGACAAGCTCCCAGTTACGGTCTATCTGCTCCCTGGCCTGGATCCAGTAGCGCGAGTCGGCGATCAGATATGCATTCGTCTGGGAGATGACAGCTTGGCCTGCCGAGCCGGTGAATCTGCAAGCGCTTCAGCACAGATTGAACATGGGTGTGTCATGACGTACCCTGAAATCCACTCCCTCCGCTTGTCGTTGACGGCGACGTATTCCGATCCGTGGGCATCCTCAGTCGGGACGACACTGGGGGTCGAACAGCTCTCAGATCACGATGTTATAGCATAACAAGATGCACTCACTAATAATCAAGGTTTTCCTTCCGCATAAGCTCCCGGAGCGCCTCCAGCCGACCAGTCGAATCGAGGCGTGGGGGAATCGGGTCATTGTCATTGACCTTGCGCTCAAGCAACGAGCCAACAAGCGTACTAGACGACTCGGACGGGTACAAACGGGGTCGCCTAGACTTGTCTCTAGAGTTGCCGCTAGATTTGGTTATGTTGGATTTGAACGTGTTTGAGCGCGAGTTCGTGCCCGCCGGGGGCAACGGATTGCTGTAGATATGGTCGGATGGAGAGCGAGTTGCAGGCGGAATGGTCGGGTTCATATAGTGAATCGAACCGGAGTTGTACGAGTGCTTCGATGCAGTCTCGGGCTTTGAGTGATGGGAAGACTGCTTTGAGTGCTTTGACCGGTTCGAATTGTGAGGGGACTGGTACTGCGGGGCTGGTACGTCGTCGGTACGCCAAAGCGAGTTGACATCTTCGTCCGAAACCACGTCCTCCTCCTCCCGGGCCATCTCCTCCTTCTCCTTGTTCTTCTTCCCGATACCCCATCCATATCCGTATGGCCACCTGCGCTTGATTGTGGCGTCCTTGGGGGGAACGGCAGGTGCGCCTTTGGTCGTGCGCTTGGTGGTAGTCGCACGACGGAGCACAGGACGAACTTCGCGAGCCTCGTTATGGAACGACGGGACATTGTACGACTCCGAATCTGATGAAAATGTGAGCTTCTCGGCGCGCGACGTCAGCGTCGCAGTGGGAGAGTACGAGCCATGGCGCTCGAGACGATCAATGCTGGACCGCTGGGAGCTGAAGGCGTCGGTCTCTGACTTCTCCGAGTAGGTTAGACGGCGGCGGGGCTTCTTCCCTCCCAAGGAGAACGGGAGGCACAGCGGTGGTGGCGGCGGGGGCGGCGGCGGGGGAGGAGCCATGGGTGTCTCAGCGAGGAATCTGGGGGATCCGACTCAGCTGGCCAGCCTGTGAGGATATGATACAGCACACGAGGCGGACTGGGAGGACGCAGTCGATAAACTTGTCTTCGCCAGATGACCAAACCAGGCCACAACGTGGCACAGTCTCCCAGATATGGCAACTCCTAAGGCCGGCCCTAAACTTGTATGGCGCGTCTCTCGAGCACAAATAGTCTTCGTGATCCGTTTGCAATATCTGTCCACGTTGCAGCGGCGTGCGATAGAACCCTCTAGATTAGCCTTTATCATGAGGGAGCCAGGATGGGGACAGCGAGCCCGTACCCCGCAAGAGAATCTCCTTGAAAGGACAGTGTCGATCTTCCAAAATGAGGAACTCCGTGCCCAAGCTCAAGTATGGTTAAACCAATCGCACAATGACCAGCAGGGCCAGAAGAGACTGCTGCAAGTTCCAGCATGGCCCACGGTTTTCGAGAACGGGAACATGGCTAGCGTCTGCTGGGCTGATTCTCCCGGTACCGGAACGTCGAGGGACGCCGTATATTCAGTAATTGCCAGAATGTGTCCACAGGATGTCCACTGATGGAAAACGTTACTTGATATCCTTGCATAGTCGACAAGTATCGCGTCCACCGAGATGAACCCAGTGGCAAGGCATTCAATACCTGCGCTAGGCACAGTTGCCCAGGAATATTAATTGTTTCGTTAATGGCGGGCGTCGGTGAATGGTCAAGTGCCAGGGGAGGTCTAGAGTTTCTCCGGAGCTAAAAATTGAATGCTTCGCACCAATGACAGATCTTGCCTTACAACTAGACAAGCACAGCTCCATATCGCAGCAGAATTGTATGCATCAGTGGAGATACCCTCATTAATCGTTTGATGTTCAATCGAAGGAACAGAGTAAGGCGTGAAGACCGATAGACGAATTCATTTCCAGGTATGTGGCAGCGTGGAGAGCCAATCTAATGCAACGGCCTTCCGACAGGTCGCGACCACTATACACCCAGAAGCACAGAGGTCGCGCCACAGTAAAAGAACAGCAGCCTGACCAAGTTCTTGCTTTAGGGTTATCTCGAACAGCCAGTCAATTCATTAAGCTCAGGTCAGCTGCCACAGATGAGAAACACAGTGTGGGAGTAACATCGAGTGTTCGCTGCGCTGCAAACAGGTGGTCAATCCCAGCGCAAGGATAAACGACGACTCAAGCACGATAATCGCGCCTCTCCGTTGTGCCGCACCAAATGCTGGTTCCAGCACCATCTTTGAGAAAGCACCTGCATCCTTGGTGTACGGCAAGAAACTTGATGCAGCAAATGTCGTGTATTGTGGGCGTAACGATCGGGCGGCGGTGCGTTTGAGTGTCTTTAGAGTCGCACACGCATAAGCTCTTGTGGTCGATATGGGCAAAGGGCCGCCCGTGCTGAGTGCGCATACCCGATACGCTGAGCTGGTGTTGCGTAGAAACGTAAACATCCACGAGGAAGCTTTGGTCGCCTGACAGCCTCTGTCAGTCAAAGACGAGCGGCTTGGAGAAGGGGCCGGCTATTAGACGGTGACGCAACGGCGCGCGTCAGTTATTTGTGGAGTTTCAAACTACTTCAACGGGCCAGTGACGCACGGTCATTTTTCCAGCAGGCTGTAAAAGTACACAAGTTGAATACGTCAACGGGGTGTAGGGTCCCATGAGTGCACAGGTATTTGAGGATACGGTTCATGCTGGGTGTGCTGGTCTCGCTGTACAGTTAGCCTGAGAGACGTAGGTAAATGTCTATATTTTGGTGGAAGCACAGGAAATGGTGGATATAATCACTTACAGGTACCTACAACACAGCATACAAGCTGCTTGACATTCCCCCCTGAGCAAACCCTGCCAAGCGGTGGTGGCGTAGACCATTGCTCGTCTACCGTGGAGTCCGGGACCACCGCCATGCGTCCATAATAGTAGAGAGGTGCCCTAATAGAGCTTGTGCTTCTCGCGATATGAAACCGTAAGCTGCGCAGCGAATTCTTGTCCTCCAACATTGTGGCGTCGCTGGGCCATAATGACTAACAAACCTAGGCAGGCCACATTAGATAGCTGGGAAGGGCGAATAACATACGTAGCATATGGGAAAAACCAGAGTACTTCAAGGAGAGAAAGATGGGCATCCCCCCTGCGACACTTATATCCTGGTGGTGTAGGGTGGAGCTATGTGCGTCGGACACGTGCGGGCGCCTGCTCGACGCGTCTTTGCACGTGACTTGCTCCGGAAAAATGCTTTGCACCTATTTGCTCTCGGTGGCGTCTCAGAATTTGCCGACTAGTGCTCATCGGACTCTACAAGGATTGCTTACGACCCGCTGTACCCCGCCTGCAGCCGTCGCCTCGCCGCCGCCGCCCTCTCCGCCATCATGTCTCCTACTCTGAACGTTAAGGGCAGCGACTCTGCCGCGGCTCGCATCCTGGGCTCTGGTACTTCAGGTCTGTGACGCTCTCGCACCCCGTCGTCTACCCTGAGTCGCTGACGGCGGTGCGGCGTACAGGCGTTGCTGAGCTCATGATCTTCCACCCGGTGGACACCATCGCGAAGCGGCTGATGAGCAACAAGTCCAAGGTGTGTTCGTACTTCTCGTGCAGACGTGCCTCTCGATCCTCTGCCACGCGCGCAGGTGTCGTTCTCCACGCTCTCTTCGATCATCTTCAGGGAACACGCCGCGGCCCCCCTGGGAAAGCGGCTCCTGTCGCTCTTTCCCGGGCTCGGATATGCTGCGGGCTACAAGGTCACGCAGCGGATCTACAAGTACAGCGGGCAGCCGTGGTTCAGCGACATCCTGTCGAGCAACTATAAGTCGAACTTCACGAATGCGTTTGGAGAACGGAAGGGGAAGATGATGTTGCAGGCAACGGCCGGAAGGTGAGTGCCTTAGATCTACTGCAGGCGCGTTAAATGGAATTGCTGGATGAATTAGCTTGACGGGGATCGGCGAAGTCGTGAGTAGTCGAGCATGAGAGAAGCTCCTCCTTGTACTGATGACGTCCTTGTCTGGACAGGTCCTCCTTCCCCTGGATGTGCTTAAGATCAAACGCCAGGTCAACCCGGAAGCCTTCCGCGGACGAGGCGTAATCCGGATCTTCCTCGAGGAAGGTACAAATCTCTACCGCGGCTGGGGGTGGACGATGGCGCGGAATGCCCCGGGTAGCTTTGCAGTACGTCTCAAAACCTCTACCCCGCTCTTCCTTTAGTCGAACGACCATTGCCCTAGCTCTTCGGCGCGTCAGCGGTGACAAAGGACTACCTCTTCGGCGTCACTGACTACTCCAAGGCAACATGGACTCAGAACTTCGTTGCATCCATCGCGGGCGCGGTCGCATCGATCAGTATCGCCGCTCCGCTCGACACGATCAAGACGCGCATCCAGAACGCAAACTTTGAGCACAAGGTCAGCGGCGTGACGGTCGTGCGCGACCTGCTCCGAGACGAGGGCCCGATGGCGCTATTCAAGGGTCTCACACCCAAGGTATGACGTCTTCCACTCTGCCTTCTTTCACTCTGACGCACACTGTTGCAGATTCTGGTAGTCGGCCCCAAGCTTGTGTTCAGCTATACACTGGCGCAGTCGCTCATTCCAATGTTTTCAAAATACGTCTAGATGGTGGTGCACAGCTCGTCACCTCTGCTCACGCTGTAGATGCGCTTATGCTCATGCTAGAGGACAAAAAGTACTTTGCTATGCTGCTTCGTTACACGCACCACTCACTACGCTTTATCTACGCACGTATAATTGGGGATATATGGTAATGACATCGCAACGCCCGCAACTCGCTGATAACAAATAACGAGTGGTTTCCAGAAAAAGAACGGATGCAACACTACAAAATGCGTACAGGTATCCAAAAGTTCAAAGAAGAGTCAAGTCCCTGTAGCGTATACTGCGTCTTACATGTGCTGGTCCTATGCGCCTCTAGGGTCTAGAGCACTTTCACTGATGTGCTCGAAGGTTCACTGACCTGTCGGGATGCATGGCAAAGTCTGTACGCGGCGAAGGCGTGAGGTCATGACGAGCGGCTGTGGCATGCCCTCTATAGCTATCTTGTGCCATATTTGCGGTATTATGCAAAATGTGGAATCTGTCTGGAAATTGACATGGGAGGATAAAGTGATCAGTCCAAGAGCGAAACGATACGTCAAAGAGACTTACGCAGCTTGCACAGCTTATCCTCAGGAGTTATCATGCTCAGAGACACACGATGCATCCGACATCGCAAAATCCACACCAGGGGTCCGCGAAATCAACAGAACGCTCCTCTCGTCATCATCCCCCGGCTCAAGCGGCTGGGGAGAGCCCGACCTTGGCGGCGGCGAAGACCCCGCACTCTGTGACCCAGAGCTCGTAGTTTCTGGCGAGGGCTCCGCCGGCGGGCCCTCGAGCGTCGACGCGCGCGTCGTCGGGTTGGAGCGGTCGATCCTGAACCGCGAGCTCGGCCGCTGCTCTCGCACCTGCACGAGCTTGTAGCTAGGGCTCTTCCGCACGCCGTCCTTGAAGCGCATGAAACGGTCGAAGAACGACGTCACGGGCAGATCCACGCGCGGCAACAGCGCCGTGCGCGATGACGCGCTTGCGTCTGACATCTCTCGGGTATGTGGGTGCGGCGACTGTATGCGGGAGTGTGGTTGCTTGTGCGCAACGTCGCCCGGCTCCGCGAGGTCTAAGTCGCCCGGGGTCGGACAATGTGCTCGGGAGTACGTCGATAGTGCGGAGGGTGTGGACGACTCGTCCGGCGAGTGAATCCAGATCACGTCGGCCTCGCGGTCGATCTCCCACGTCGGATCCTTCGGCGTGCTGGTCGGACGTGAGCTAGGAAACAGGCGGAAGATAAACCACGGCGCGTGCAGCCACCCGTTCGACGGGAGGTGCTGGTGCGACCGGATCCCGCGACGGTACCAGTGGAATTGCCCAGCCGCGTGCTCGAGAGGGGGGGTGCTGAGGTGCGCGCGGGCATAGTCGGGGCTGCGGAGGTGTCGTGAGCGCCGGTAGAAGACGAATATGAGGACCGCAAAAATCGCAACGCACACCCCCACGACTATGGGGGTGACAATTTGCACCGTCGACCAGGATGCGTTTTCTGCAGCAAAGATGGGATCAGAGGCGGTGCGATGTGGAAGAGACACATACCAGACTTGCTAATGGCTTCTGGGATATCGGAGTCTTTGCTATCCCTGAGGGCAGTGTCCGCCAATTTTGGGATGCCGAGTTGTGTGACAGCGAAGATTGATTGATGTAAACTGTGAGGAAGTTTCGAGAAAAAATGTTGTTTGAACCATGCCTTCCACGACGGGACAGGTCCTCCGTGATATAACGAGCATGCGCTATTCGGGTTGAACGCAGCGCTGTCGCTGGCAACACGTCAGCACAGCCAACGCCGAGGAACAGTCAAGAACAAGCGAAACAGATGCGCATACACATTTCCACGGACAGGGGGAAACGGTTGCAAAAACCAGTGGAGGGAGCGGACCACTCCACCCAACTCAACTCCTCCTCCCGAACTTCTCAAAGCGAGAGCGGGAGCATCTAGATCGGGGAAGACGCTGACAGCAAAGACAGCGGAGACTCACTCACCATCTGCGCGGCGACGATACGGTCAAACTTGGCCCTGCAAAGATGTTAGCGAATTTGACACTCGGCTAAACGACACACTCAACCTCCCGTGCACCGCGGTTCGACTGCCCTGCACGGACGCCCCAGATGGTTCAACTGGATGACATGAATTCAGACACGATCGAGGGTGGATCGGAAGGTATGATCGGGGCGCACCACTGGAAGCCCTACACCGCAGTCTACCTGTAACAGTGACCATGCGAACACCATGCGAGCACTTCAGTTCCTAAACTCGAGAAGACGGATAAATACGCACAGCCGCAAGGGGTATCGCCGCAGCACTAGCCTCGCCATACCAGCCTGCCGCGACGAGCAGCAGAAAAAGACAAGGAATTTGCATGGCGCATTACCACACCACTACCACACGAAGAGCTCGACGAGAAAAGTTAGCAAGTGTTGAGATACCTCGGCGCTGCGGCGTCGCAGTCCCCATAAGTAGATCAAGGAGATCAGCGTGCATACTCCAGATTGGCGCCGCCTTTTCCCCTTGCGACTTTGCCTCGGCTCGTCTTTCCCTTTCATGCCTCCATCATCCCTAGCTTGATCACCTCTCAGGCATTGCTCAAACTGATTGATTTCATTGAACTGGACAGTGCGATGACGATATGCCGCCTTTACTCGCACACCGCACAGTTGTTACCGCGGCAGTGGCAGCTGTAGCAGATCTGAGCAAATCTGCTTGTGATATCTGGACGCTGTGACTTTGGTCCTTGTGTGCGTTCCCATTTCTCTAGCTTGACCAGCATCCTCGTGTACACCCATCGTATGGGTGTTCCAGTAGACGAAGAATTTTTGGCGCACTGCTTGTCATGAATTTCTCCGTGATTCCATTCACGTTCCAGCTGAATTCAGTGATTCCTGCGAAATGCTCCCTGTCAGCAACCCGAAGCTATGGTGAGCGCTCCTGTTTTGCAGGCATCCGAGTGCTGTCATGTTTTTGAGATGCCCCCCTGCGGGATCAGGGTATCGGTGTTCTGTTGCGAGTGGCGGTGTGGTTTCTGTCATTAACTTGTACCTTGAATAATTTGCAATCCGTCTTGCCTTCGCTCCGGCTACGAACCGTGCCTTCGAGCGCGAGATATAATTTTGCTTCCCTGGTCTTTGGCTTATTTGCTTGCTCCAGTGTAGGACCCCTGCGATCCGACTTGAAGAAATCTCGAAACCCGATTTTCTTTTCTACCCAGATGATTTTGGCCTCTCTCCAAAATTTGTCTGGATGAGTGAACAGGGCCTAGGGTCGGCCAAAATTTTCCCGGATGGCTGGTATGGCCTCCTAAGGCCGTGAAAATCGCCCTCCTGCAGCCTAGCTGTAGCGACATTGCGGTGCACATGTAGATGGGCTGCGCAAACACTTTCATTACATCCCAGAGTGGCGACACCTTCCGGTGCAAACTGTTCTCCAGGACCGCAAGGCGTAGAGGTCTCGCACGAAGTTTTTCCGAATTGTGCAACGGCATTTGGCTGAAATCCTACTAGTGTTAGCGAAACCCACCAAAAAATAAGGCAGTGAACGCGCACCACGGGATGAAAATGTTGTATGTGCAGTCCGGAATGGTGAGCCATCGTCGTGCGACATCCAGTGTTCTCCAGGTGGCATCAGGAGGCCTGATGAGTGCTCAAGTCTGGATTGTATGAGTCGGATCAAATCACCTTGCCACACATAGGCGCGTAGGCCTGGGCTGCAGACATTATGAAGGAGTATGGGGGAGTATGTCCGGTGGTTGGACGAACACGCACGACAAGTTTGCATGATATAGATATGCGGTTGGAGGCCAGTGACGAATTAGAACACCATTAGAAAGGTGGCTTGGGAAAGAGACTATTTTCTAGATAATGTTTTTCCACTCTTCAGAGGGGTAACATGACTTACCACATCGATATCCCGAGGTTAGTGCGGACGGAGAGTGTTGAAAGAACGGGGAGAAAACACAACTGTCGTTCGAGCACGACTTGAGCACCTTATATACGGCGTGCCCTTCTCAACTCTATCTCAGATCACGGCTCTCTCGAGCTCTGATTCGCTCGTTTCTGAGGTGAGTGACAGGAATGACGTAGGTTGTGTATGTGGAAGACGAAAATGGAAGGTGGCCTGCTGTGTATGGTAAGTGGACGGTCTAGAACGTTAACCTTTTCTTGTGTTCGGTTGTGGGCCTCGGAGTACGTGAGGGGGCGCTTGGAGTGCTAAACCAGAAGCACTTAGTACAGCGCAACGTAGCAATATTTTCATAATATATATACCTCATAGTGCACAGGGCCAAGGAGATACATACCGCGACAGCGCTTTACAGCCAATCTCTCGTGTCACGATGCGTAAAACTTCAAGCTTCAGACTCATAATGCATAGCGGAATCTGGGCACTAACGCCATTCATTATGAAATAGTGGACTGTAGTAGCAGTACTTAGCCGCACTTGCTCGTCCTTCGAAGGTGCGTCCTCAGCAGAAGTGGGGAGCTCAGCCTCTTGCGGAAGACTTGACGCATGCAAACAGAATATTATCTCAGGAGACGTACAGCGCTCTTCCCGAAAAATCGTGTGAACCCGCGAACTTGCGTCCTTCCAAGCAGCTAGCTATGCAGCGACTTCGAACGCAGCAGCAACATCCCCCGTCCGCTTTCCACTGACGCATACGCGGCCATCGAAGGTTCTGCAACACGTCACGGCGGTTGGTCAACGCTCGGGTTGTGTCGGACGTCTTCCAGCACGTCCCGGAACGCGTCCTCGTTCCGCGACTTCCTCCGGAGCCTTCTCGGGGGCGTGGAAAAGGTAAAAGGACGATCTGGGATCTTCTTTTCGTCAACTTTCTGCCAGGGAATTGGCTTCGCGAAGGGCGCGCGATGTTTTAACCGCGTTCTTGTATACGAAACGCCTGCCGCATCGTGTGTACTGGAGAGGCTCAGGATGACGGCCTGCTTGCAGCTTTTGTCACTACTCTCCCTATCTCCCTATATGCATTGTGCCAGGTCCCGAATGAGCAGTCATGGGGGTGTTACTCTTCCGTGATCCATCGGTGAAGACATTCTGCCCCAGGGTAGATGTATCATGATACGCATCTCAAAGTACGCAGTGTCTCCCGAGAGTCCTGCGACGTACCGATTTCTGCCGGAAATAGGTGGCTTAGTACCGCGAGCTGACAGTCCGGAGCATGTGAACGGAGTGAGAGGTGGCGAAGATGAGGAGCACGGCGCGGGGTAGTGCGGGGAGCGGAAGGGCGGCCAGCAGGTGATGTGGGGCTAAGCACAGGCCAGGCACGGCTTTGATCGAGTGCCCCGCATTCCACACTAATCCGGGGCTGCTGTCCTCGGACAGGCACTCCGACTCAATCTTCCTCGGTCTCTTCCTCACCTTCATATAAGCACACTAATCAACCCCCACTCAGCCCAAGTAACTTATACCTCTTCTTCTCTCTTTCTCTCTCTCTCTCTCTCTCTCGCGGTAGACGTGTAAAGTATCCACACACATTTCATCTCACTTCGCACTTTGGAACCGGACAGAATGCCGCATATCACAGCCGTATCGAACCCCATCACCAGATTCGAGCTGAACCCGCCCGAGTCGCGCACCTTCGCCCGCCAGGATGAGCTCCCCAAGCTCCCAATTCCTCCTCTCGAGGATTCGTGCCGCCGCTATCTTGCCGCCCTCGAAGGCCTCCAAGAGCCTCGGGAACACCTCGAGACCAAGCGCGCCGTTGAAGCTTTCCTGAGGGGCGACGGGCCACGCATTCAGGACCGCCTCAGGGCCTATGCAAAGGACAAGGCCAGGTAGGTCATTCGTGCCAGACGTGCTGTACCGAGCTGATGACTCGTATGCGCAGTTACATCGAGGAGTTCTGGTAATATTTCGTGACTCTTCCTGTCCGCGTATCTCGGCTTATCAGTGTCTCCAGGTATGAGTCATACCTCTCCCACTCAGACCCCGTCGTGCTCGCCCTCAACCCGTTCTTCGTCCTCGAGTGCGTCTGCCTCCTGGCTCACTTCCGTCGGTATTGCTGACATTCCTCACAGAAATGACCCAACCCCTGATCGCGGCTCGCAGCTGCCCCGTGCCGCCTCCCTCATCGTCTCCTCGCTCGGCTTCATACATGATCTTCGCGCAGGCATGCTCGAGCCTGACTCTGTGCGTGCAACACCCCTCGACATGGACCAATACACCCGCCTCTTCGGCACCGCGCGCATCCCGACTGACGTGCGTGCTCGTCGCGTTTTCTCATACGCCAGATCCATCACTAACTTTCCGTTACCGTTCACGGTGATAGAGAGGCTGTAAGATGGAAGTCCACGAGGACTCGCGCCACATTGTCGTCCTCCGTCATGGACAGTTCTGTGCGTATCTCTTCGATGTGCCTTCTTTCCATCTCCGACCGTTTATGTTGGGTCTTACTTCCTGTTCTGAGCCGAACTTTCTCGATTTTGTCTTCTGTTCTTCTCTGCTTCTGAGCTGAAATAGAGGTCCCCGCTGACGTCTGTGCATTTCCGCGTTTTCAGATTGGTTCGATGTTCTTGACATGGAGAACCGGCCGGTCCTTACCGAGCGGGAGGTCCTTCGGAACCTGCAAGCCATAGTCCAGGACGCGGACATGCTGCCGGTGCACGAGGTACTGTATTCTTCCCCTTCCGCCGCTCCAACTTCTTCGTCTTCATCTCATCTCACACCCCGTGCTTCCCCGCAGGTCGCGCGGAACTCCATCGGCGTGCTCTCCACGGAGAACCGCAAGATATGGTCGTCCCTCCGCCGCGCGCTCGCGAGCAACAGGAACAACGAGTCCTGCCTCGAGATCGTCGACAACGCGCTGTTCGTGGTGTGCCTCGACCACGACGCGCCGTCGAACCTCGCCGAGCTGTGCAATAACTTCCTGTGCGGGACGTACAACCTCAGCGGCGGCGTGCAGGTCGGGACGTGCACAAACCGGTGGTATGACAAGGTATGTCGTCCAGCGGAATTTACGGTCACGAGGCTCATGAGTTATCCTGCAGTTGCAAATCATTGTATGCGCCGACGGTGCTGCAGGCATCAACTTCGAGCACACCGGTGTCGACGGGCACACCGTTCTTCGGTGCGTCCCCTCGACCTTCCCATTATCCATTCCTCACCTCTCACACCACACAGATTCGCCGCGGATATCTTTACCGAAGGCCTCATGCTCCTCGCGCGCTCGATCAACCCCTCCGCGCCGACGCTCTTCCACGCGCCACTTTCGCCGTTCGCCAAGTCGTACAAACACCCGCGGGGGAGCGGCGGCCCGCCGACGCCGACGTACCTCATCGACACCGCGCCCAAGAAGCTCGAGTGGACGCTCTTCCCCGAGCTCCGCGCGGGCATCCGCTTCGCCGAGACGCGCCTGAGCGACCTCATCTGCCAGAACGACTGCCAGGCGCTCGAGTTCAAGGTGTACGGCAAGAACTTCATCACCAGCCACGGCTTCTCCCCCGACGCGTATGTGCAGATGGCGTTCCAGGCGGCGTATTATGGGCTGTATGGTGCGTCGCGCCGCGCCCATGTTGGCCTTGTCTGTCGCTGACGTGTTTCATAGGGAGAATCGAGTGCACGTATGAACCTGCCATGACGAAGGCGTTCTTACACGGGCGCACTGAGGCGATCCGCACAGTGCAGCCAGCAAGCGCCGACTTCGTGAAGGTGCGTCGCCTTACACCCCCGCCCCTCCAAACGCTGACGTCATGCGCATATTAGACATTTTTCTCCGAAGCCAGCCATGCTCAGAAGGTCGTTGCGCTCCGGAAGGCGTGCCAGACCCATTCGAAGCTCACCAAGGAGTGCTCGCAGGGCCTCGGTCAAGACAGGTCTGTCCTCTTCCCATCCTCTCCCCATCCTCTTCTGACTCCGAGACATTCACCCCGCAGGCATCTCTACGCGCTCTACTGCCTGCTCCAGCGCGAGCGCGAGGCGATCGGCAGCGCGAACCGCAACGGGAACGCGAACGGCGACTCGTCGGACGACGAGCGCCCGCTGTCGCCGCTGAGCAACACGTCGTGCGGGAGCTGCTTCGGGAAACCGCCGCTGCCGTCGATCTTCACGGATCCGGGCTGGCAGACCCTCAGCTCGTCGATCCTGTCCACGTCGAACTGCGGGAACCCCGCGCTGCGCCTGTTCGGGTTCGGGCCTGTCGCGGCGGACGGGTACGGCATCGGGTACATCATCAAGGACGAGGGTATCTCCGTGTATGTGTTTTTTATTTATTTGTTATGTGGTACGCGCGGCTGAGCGGCTCGGACAGGTGCGCGTCGTCGAAGCACCTCCAGACGCGCCGCTTCCTCGACACGCTGCAGGGATACCTGATCGACATGCAGCGTATCCTCATCCAGCTGCACCTCTCTGCGAACCAGCGCCCAGAGCCGTTCGTCGACCACGCCGGCGTGCTGCGCGACTCCAAGACCGGGCGGCCGATCAACGGCAATAGCGGCGTCGCCGACGACGATGACGCCTTCCTGCGTATGTCTCTTTTTCACCCTTTCTGTCCATGCCATTTACTGAGCAGCCTATGCGTAGCTGGGTATTCTTTCTTCGATAGCGGGGATGTAGAGCTGCTCGGGCGGCGAAAGCGGATGCCGTCGTATTATAACACCGGTGCGTCCTCTGTGGAGCTGCGGTCGTTATGCCTTTTACTCACCGTGGGGGTTGCAGGCAAGATCATCCCGCTCGCTGAGTATTCGTGATGTGCCCCGCTGCGGTAACTTGGATGTCAGATATTTTATGTGGTTTATGGGCCCGGAAGAGAACGCACGGTAAATGTACTTGTACGGGTGCGAAGTTCGTCCATTCTGTATTTTTTGTATACTACCCGTCTTGTGATATTACATTAAGAGATAAATACAGGCGGTTTGGTCTTTTCTCTTCGACTTTGCGGCTGGAGAACACGATTATGAATCCTGCTGCCAGTAGTGTATTGTGGTATACCGATCGCGAAGGCTGTGGGACAATGTGAACGGGGTGATTCAAATAGCTGGCCCGACCAGGAAAGACAAATTCAGAATCACCTAGTGATAAATAATGAATTGATGATAACCCACAAGGCCCGTGCTACGAAACAGACCAAAGTAGACGTCGACCGCAGGAAGTAGCAGTGGCAGGAAGGAAGCACCGCACGGAACATCTGTATGGCATCTGTACGATGTACATCCAAGGAGTGTTCCAGCAGGCCTAGAGCTCCTTGTTCGGTGCTGAACACACCACGACGCCAGTGTTCAGACTCTGGTCCATCTCCTTCCTTCATAATTCGGAAATGCCACTCCATGCTGCAGTAACCGCTCTGCACTCTGCCTGAGAGGGTTATGTCGCAACGCGGCCCTGAAATAATCGACCCACGCCAGAAGTAAATATTAAACAACTCGGATTGAGCACTAAGGATGCTGAGAACACTCACTCATCATGAGACCAGCGAAATTTCGGTGGTAAACAAATGTCTGAGAGCGCAACGAGCCAGGCCCTGCTCTTGAATTCTCTATCCGGGCTGCGGTAATCGTGTTAGAGGGTGTCATGTCATCAGCGAAGGTTAGCATACTGCACGGCGACGCACGGGAGTACTATACGCTGCAACGCGGTGTGTCGTGCCGCATTGGACAGAAATTTAAGTGGCGGGGGATGTTCAAGAAATGCAACGGTTACTGTCCGAATGAGATGCAGAATGGATGCTACGTACGATGACAGGATCGATGATGTAGAGCTCAACAATGTTAGGACACAGATCGAGCACATCACTTGGACTGTGTCAAATTTGCGCGTCGCCTCGGTCGTGAGGCGCTCAAGCTTTACGCCGTGACGCTGCTGGATGAGACACGAATTTTCGACCTGGAAGCTGTCGAGATGGACCTCCTTCAGCTCAGGGAGCCTAAGTGGAATAAGACCTAAGAAACCATAGCGGTGGAGATAGTGGACTCACCGCATCTCAGTAAACAGATCAATCACGAGGCGTTTCACAGTCTACCATCTTCAGAGCCTTCAGCCTAGGCAAGGCGTCATATGCTATGTCGTTGGATGTGAACTTCGTCCAGCCCCTGCTCAGCGACAGGGTGCGCAGGTTTGGGAAAGGATCGAAGCTATGTGGAGGCACCAAGATGTCCATCATGTGTTCCCGCAGCCTCTGAGAGAGAGACACCAGAGGCGAGACGTTCTTCAGATTGTTTGCGAGCTCTGGAAACACGCGGAAAGTCGACATGACACGGGTGAGCGAACTCAGCGGCTCGCAGAACGTCGCTGCGGGTTTGTGCTACAGGGACAGTGTGCGCAGGACACGAACGAGAGGCACGAAGTTAGGGTTCGACTCTAACTGTTCGACAAACATTCCAACGATCGACGAATCCCGTATGATGGATAGGGAGAACAGGAAAGGCACACCGAGATTCTACAATCAAGACGATGAGTGGACAACGTTGCATTGGAACAAGAGAACGCACATGGAACCTCTTGGAGGATAACGTTGCGTCTTGTCTCATTGACGCGTTCATCAAGGGACTGCACTAGTAGGTCCTCGGTAAATTCCAGATCGTTGGGATGATGCACATGCGGACGCCAGAATTCGTGACCATATCTCGTCTGGGAGATCTGGAAGACTGAGTGCAGATACCGGTTGCGCGCGGACAGGAGTTCGTAGAGCGACAGTACTAAGCCTGTTTGTCAGACCAACATAGTAGATGAGGTTTCAGACATTACCTGTCATCATCGGTGAAGTACAGAATATCATACAATGCACTAAGGATATCTTCGCTGACTTTGCAATCGGCCTTCGCTCGTAAAAGCACAACTCGGAGATTGTGTTTCGCTGTGATGGCATTCAGAGCTTCGGATGCCTCTTGCTCGGCGAAAGATGGGCCGATAGATATTATTCTAAGGGATGGTGCGCCCCGTATCACAGGCGCAAGTACTCGAGAGGACATCCTTGTGAGCGGATCACTGAAATCAACCCGCTCCTGGTAGTACACTACGAGCAGTGTCAAAGAGCATCCAAGGGAACGTCTCACAAGATTTGACCATTGTAAAATAGATTCAACAACGGCGTTTTGAGTGTCTGCATCTCTGTCAATCTGGTCCAAGAGGTCGAGCAGCAGTCGCTTTTTTGATTGTCTGCAAAGAATTCACGAAGCCAGGGAAAGCCGGATGTGGGGGATAAATGCCGCGACTACGGCCAGCATGACGAGAGTCTATAGACAAGTAGAGTGTTTGTAACTTGCCACCAGCCCAGGCGATGATGGCGTTGATGCGGTCGCTGAAAGCGACGGAGTCTACGGATGTATACACCAAGAGTAGGATTCTTGCTTAACTTCTCATAGAGGGCATCCACCTCAAGTTGTGCTGATGTGTGCATAGTAATAGACTCGTAGAGCCAGGAATACGGCACCAGATCTTTCCAGTCCCTGGACACCAACAGGACATTGACGGTTGATCCACACCGGCGAGAGACGAAGGTCATGTCTGTACGGAAGGCAGAAAACGTCTCATCTGAGACGATAACGACATATCTGAGTATTCCCTGACCAGCTCGAGGCATCAGGAAAAACCTCCCGGCGCCATTGTGAAGAATTCATAGGACAATTGTAGAGAATGCGTATAAATTTGACGTTTTCTGGTGAATTGTAGGAAAGCGTGCTCATTCCTTTGGCTTCGACGATAATCACATTGAAAAAACTAATAATTATTACTGGAACATGTGAATTGTGTACGCTACTAGTTCACGACCGACGCACAAAGATGTCAATATAAATTGAAGTAGGTATGCCGATTTTTGAAGGGGTTCACGTAGAATGTAGAGCATTGGTCGAGGACGTTCTCACTCGTCCAGTGAGCAGGTACGGCACGCCCCCATTTTGGTAGGAGATGAACGCTGGTTTGGATCAGTGACAGAGGCACAACAGAAGCGAGCCTTGCACCATCTTTGAGTGTCCGTTTCACCTTGTACATCTTGAGGTTTGCGTCAGGAGATGCCGTGAATTTCGAAAACCATTCCACGTAAGCAAGGTGGCGAGGTGGAGGACTGTTGTGAGGAAAAAGTCCCAAGGCTGATGACGGCAGAGAGAAAATTAAACGAATCTGTCCAACGCGCTTCGCTATATGGAGCAAGAACCTCAGGTCAGAGACACAATCGTGCTAACAGAGTTCATTACATACGTACCTTGGAGTGTCGATCCCACTAAGTCTTCGAGTCGTGCGGCACATACCTGGATGAGCGCAGTGTCGAAACGGGCAGGGACTACGACATCGCCATCTTTATCGAAGATGCGGGGATGGGCATGGATAGAATCCAAAGTCTCCTTGCCGTGGACCACTTCATTCCAGAATTTGATCTTGTGAAAGACTGGAACCGAGTGGAAGGGAAAACGGATCGTTGCTGCGCACTCTTCAATCTGCTGGATTGAGAGTGTGGGGTTGTTGTACTGAGCAATGAATCGGGCGAGAGCCGGGACGAAGAATGTCGCACCATAATGCGACGGTGAGGCGAGGAGTTCAAGGTCGACACCCTTGCGAGTGGGATGCCGAGTCATTTTCTGGTGAAGAGCACAAGCCATGTCTGGCGGCTCCCAACGACGCTCGTATGCAACCGCGATGATATTTTCGGCTGACACGGCTTGGTGGGAACGCCAGACTATGTACTTTGCATGGTGGATCACCTTTTCGCGCCGCTCTAGCCACTTGGTCATCTGTGGAAATTCATCCTTACAATTTGTTGCGCGATAGGCATCCTTGGCGAAATCGATGTGAAGCCGCTCAGTGGATTCCGTGTTGTAGTTATCAGTAGTGCCGAAAAGCCTGATGCTACGGGCGTAGTGTTCGAGGAAATGAAACTTCGGAATGTTAAATTGATCACGTATTCCCAGATCCACGAAGATATACTTGTTGGCATGATACTCCATAAGCGACGCGTCCAGAGCCTGTAGGGTCTCCTCGGTGTGAACGGAATACTGTGCAAGGTATAGAAAATCCAGAATAGACCGTGTCGCACGAACTAGAGGCGCTGCTGACAGGTCTCTGGGCATAGGAATATCAATGACTAAACCAAGCAGGAAACGGCACATTTGCTTGTGTTCTGTCCCACTGACTCGTGAAAGACTTGTGATCCCTTTGTGGAAGATGCGGATATCGTGATTCGGAGGTAGACGTCGCACACGTGCATCAATCTCGGCCGCACCACATACATCAGTGAGCCATGAAAGAAGGTGTTTTACCACTCCTTGGTACAGCTGGTGAAGAATGTCGGGAGTGATGGAGCGGAAGATGTCGACATACGGTAATTTCTCCCAGAATGGATGCTGTATGGGTTTGATGTTGGCAGATTCACAGGCTTCATTGAATTTTGGTGAGCCTAATAAATCCAGTGCTTCGTAGACAGCATCAAGGTCGCGATAGTCGTACTCGCAAGGAAAAGAACCAAGATCATCGTGGGGGCAGTCGCACACAGGACAGTCTCCGGTGTACGCACAGGTCACCAGACATTGCTCCGGATAATCCCCGACATATGCGGCCAGTATGAGATGGCAGCGACGCTCAACTCCATCACCGCTAGCCATTGCAATCCCTGACCTGCCAGCTTCTTGGAGAGGTTCCACTATGCGAGCTAAGCATGAGTGAAATAAATTCGCCAAGGTACGGCGACGTGCTGCCTTATTCTTGATATGTTCCAAGCGTGACGTTGGCAGGTATGCGAGAAGGATTTGACCTTGACGCGACGGCTTTCGGCGAATCTCCTTCGGTAGATTTCCGATGGTGAGGTACACGGGATATGCGGTCTTGTTACGAAATAACGTTAGCTGTGTCTTGTCCGATGAAAGTATGATTGGGACGATGGTGGCACCCGGACTCTCCTTTTCGAGCACTTTCTGAGGAATAGATCTGGAGTCAGAGCATGCGATGCATTGTACTAGAGAAATTGAATGTACCTGTGTGCTCCACCACCATTTGCCCGTCTTCATATCATGATACAACCGTTGTGTCTTGTCTTCATCTGCATAATGACGTTCTGGTGCAAATGAGAGATACTGCGCATGTTCGGGGTCACCATACAGCGCACGAACACATTCAACGATGTCACGCGAGAACATATCAAATGCTTCACCGGCAACATGAGCTTCTTGGTGCGTGAAAGCGGGTCGGCGTGTAGGCAACTTCATATCGATGATCTTGTTGAGCTCATTAGTGTTTCGGTAGGAGAGACCCAAGGTTTCTTGTAGCTGAATTAGAGTAATGAGTTTCTGCGTGACGGAAGATATAGATCATCGTACCCCGGGTATAGCAAGAAGATCACTGAATGCAGTAGAGCCCGATCCGCGGAGCTTCGCCCATCGCGCAACCTCCCAATCGATACAAGACATAAATGGGGCCCATTCGTTGGACTTGCCACCTTCTACATTGTCCAGGTATGATTGATATCCTGAGTGCCTCTCAAAGGCGCCATGAATCGGCACTCCAGCCATGCCTCCGAAAAGATCAATATGTGATGGCGCATTGCGAAGCTGCTCGTGGGCCTGCGGCGGTACACCACCGGGTGGACTGGGAGCAGGATCTGCTTCAGGATCCTCATCAACATCCATACGAAGATCACTGTCAGCCGCAGTTCCTGTATCTTCCCTGGGCGGTTCCCAGCCCTGCTCAACGGCATCACGTCCAACAGCCTCCTGTTCTTCGTCCTCCTCACCATCATCACTGTATTCATCCACCGTGTCCTTGTGGAGGTCTGGGTGATTGACTTCAAGTACATCATCGACCCGATTGGCATCCTCTGGGAATGGGAAATCCTCCTCCTGGTAATTGTTCCCGAAAAAATCACCCTCGAACAGGGAGGGTGATGCTGATAGGTCCTTGTGTTCCGTGACGGGGGACTGAGATCGTGCACGGGTCGAGGCACGGAGAGGGTAGTCTCTGCGGAGAGGACGGTGCATGGACTCCTCAACTTCGCGACGCGCTACCTGACATGCCGGAATCGTACTTTTGCGAAGGTGCTGGATATATGGTCCATGATGATCGAAAGAAGCCTTGCATCCTGTGCAGCGTAGCATGACTGTGTTGATGTGGTGCGAATTGCTGGAGGAGACGATGAGCAAGCCACTTTCCGTGTAGTAATGACCGTTGTATTGAGGAAATAATTGATGCGCGCAGGAAATAATCGGAGTAACTAGGCTGGATAATCTGGCCGCGGCAAATTCAGACATATTCATAAATTCAACTCCATCCGTCACTTACCTCTTTTCTCATCTTCACCTCCACTTACTTACTGTAGCCCACCCTCTCCTGAAAGTTGTTTTGTCTACACGTTCATTGATATCTCGTCCTCTCACTCACCTAGTCTTCATTCTATCCTTGATTCATCCACTTTCTCGCTCAAGTTTTGCTGTTTGTTGACACGTCACCATGGCACAACGACAGTCTGCCCGTGTGGGACAGATGTCGAACATTGATGGTCCTCCTCCTGCTAGCAAGGTTCAGCATGCACCGCAAGAGACAACAGGTAATCCAACTTGCCCATAGCTTGCAAACACTCTACTGATACCACTGCCACACCAACACTAGCCCCTACAGCAAGATTACCACGAGCAGCCAAACAAGCTCTGATGGACAATCGTCGTAGGCTGCAGTCAAACTATAACACCTGCAAGACTATCCACTCACCTTCATTCTGTCGTAGCTTGGGTTCCAAAGAAGTCGCGCCAGGGCACGGCCAACAAATCTGCATCCAGTACAAATATTCCGGCGGGCAAGTCATTAAACACCTCTCAAGCTGGCACTGCAGACTCAGAAGAGACTGAGAAAGTCAAGGTGAAGGGCAAAGTTGACAAGCGCAAGCGCAAGCGTGCTGCCTCTGCTGCTGACCAAGAAGGTAAGTTGGTTCCGGTGACATGAACGTACCAACACGACTTATGCATCATTAAATATTGCAGCCACTCCTGGTGTCAAAGAGCGTAAGAAAATCAGAGTCGTGAAGCCCTCAAAGACCGGTAAGCATGTTGTCTGACGACTGCAGAGTGTTATTGGAACGTCACCATAATTGTTTGTAGCCGCCAAATATCGTCCTGCCTGCATTGACGACAGTGACTCAGATGTCGCAGGTATGCCACTGTACTGAGACAATTATCTCAACTCACCGCATGTTTCTATAGTGCCACTTGTGACCACACAGCACCAGGCAAGCCAAGGTGTCAGTACACAAGTCGAAGAATCAGACATGAGCGAAGGACTTGATGAGAATGGTGAAGATCGATCTCTCAACATCGGTAGCGAGGAGTTGGAGGATGGCGAAGGTGAATACCGTGAGGAACACGGTGGAGTGCATGACCTGTCCAGAGAAGTGAGTTCCCCCACCATGTTTCGCAGAAGAGTCCACTTATATTATTTGTGACTTCAAGAAGGTGGGATGGGCTATCAGCCGTGCACTTGGTGAGCCATGTCAGATGCAGATGATGAGTAGAAGGAATGACGTGCACACCCAGACCATGTCAATAACCTGCCACAGAGCCCCTTGCCTTTGTCAGACCTTCCGAGGACTTCAAGCCACCCTCCTACGACTGATGACGATAGCTTCAAATCTGAGTCTCCTGTTGAACTGGATGACGACGAGGAGCCTCCCCAATCTGTTGTAGATCAGAACAAGTCCGTAGGCTTCAAGTGGACCCGCCGCAATCAGGTTATCGACGAGTCATCAGACTCAGAACTTGAAGCCTCTGCTATGGTAACGATGGCTGTGAAACCAGTGAGTCCCAGTGAGAAAGCTGTAGTTGGATAGCGAGTAATACAAGATCTTAGAAGAGGCAGAGTCAGCGTGTGAAGAAACTTGCTGAAGAGGTGCGAGTAAACAAGGTGGACTTCATGTGCCGCTACTCACCCAGCTACATGATTCAGCTGCCAACGATACATGACAGGAAAACAAAGGGCATGCAAGTACTCCAAGCCAAGGCAGCAAAGACGTCAGTGGTGGTGAAGGCGGAACGTCCTTTATCTCCTGGACTGGTCACCCATGACGATGTTGGTTCAGAGCGTCCAGTGGCAGATTCCAATACTCAGCCTTGGCTGGAGCGAAGCAATGTCAAGATTTATTTTGCTGGCAAGGTTGCGAAGATTTCTCTCAAGGCGCAAAATCCGGAGATCAGAGCTGTAATGCAGCGCAGCTTTAGTGTCGGTTGTCTGCAGGTGGTGTTTGGGCGCGAAGAGGACTTCACGCTGACTTCAGAGACTCTGGGTGATCTTATCACTCCTGTTGCTACTGGTGGTGTTGAACGGATTGCTCTCGACGCGCTGATCACCTCTGCAGACATGTTGGGATATAATGGCGAGAACGACATTGCCCATCGCTTGGAGGACGGTGCAATTGATTGCTACGTCACGCCGCTGACATCCTATGTGCGTTCTCTATGCTGCATATGAATTCTGCTGATGATCTCTACTGATACTGCAGAGTGCGCACCGTTTGGCACTGTTTCGTGCAGCAGTGAAGAAGGCCGCTGTTGGTGTAGCCATCGTGTCTCTGAACCTTGTCAAGAATACCTCTGAGGACAACGGTGAACTGCTACGCAAGTACAACTACATTTTCCCCAAAACTCCTGAGGTTTGTGTGAATTTACTTGTTGAGAGGGGGGTGCTATGAACTGATTGATGAACAGAAGGCCTTTGATAGGTCGAAGCCCTTCCAGAATGATGTCATCATTGATATTATCCGCGCCGCCTACTTCACGACTGGTCAATACACGAATCTTGGCCTTGAGTTCCCGGAGAAGTTCAGGTCGTCACTGACCACTCTGCAGGATGAGCTAGAGGTCCCACCCAGCATGGCAGCATTGGCGGCGACTGCGGTTTGTTCCCTATCTATATATGGTCTCTCTTTGCTGATCACTGCAATGTTCGATGTCAGGCTGAAGCGGTTATTCAAGATTTCAATCTCAAGCAGATCAAGGGCATGGACTTCGTCAGCAAGGCTCTCGATAACACTTACAAGGACCATATGTACTTGCTGGTCGAGATGCGCCGCAGGAAGCCGAGGTCTTATCACAAGCTGATGCACCATCTCTTCGTGGCGGCAACGTTAGTGTCATCTTGCGTTCTCTGTTGCAATTCCCAACTAATACTCAATGTTTGCAGCGGCAATCAACTGATGAATACTCATGGAAGGCCAAAAGATCAGCTACTCGCGGAGGTGGAGTGGGACAACATGGTTGAGTCGGACTGATCTGCATGTCATACCGATGTGCAAAGGATACCCTATCTCAATTCTTGTGGACAATGCAAATGGTGTCAAGAGTCTTTGCGTACTAGTGTTCGCCGGTAATAGCCACGCCCTTCTCTTTCAGTTTCTCACCTTCATACTCGCTCACCATATCCTGAGTCCCCTTAAATAGTCATACAGCCTTTTGTTATGTTCTGGTCTTCGCACTCCCATACCTGTCGGCTTATTGTAGTATATCTGTTTAGTACAGTCTTTTGCAGTAATATCATTCATTTCGTGGCGTATCATTGTGAACCTGAGGCAGACAAGGTTGAATTCAAGAGAAATTCAGCGACAAATGCATGTATTCATGAGAATTATTGCATGAAGTCGGAGGGGGCCATCTATATCCAATAATTATCATGAATGTCAATAATCGCTGGAACAAAGTTAATCTGCATAATTCTACACATTTCCGTGACATTCGGTGCAATTCCTGCGGGAGGTTTTCCCTGATGAGAGGCATCCCGCGTTGCGGCATCCTGTAGATGAAGGGGAGACAAAACGGTGGGACGAACTGTACCTCGAATAGTTCGCCTTATGTTATCCTTGGGCGCGCACTGCGGGAAGATGCGAACGAAAGCAGGAGCGTCAAACACATATTTTCACAGCGCAACGGGCAAAGCCACAGAGACGCTGAGCGGCAAGGGCGTAGTGTGGATTCACCAGATTGGCGCTGCCCCTTGGGATGAAGTCGCTGAGGCCTGCAGCTGGACACCTGCGGACAAAGCTAAGTTTTGCATCTCCATTCGACGGAGACATGCACCAGACAAAGTGTACTACATCACCAAAGAACAGGGTACGATGGTGTACAGTGACAAATGTTCTCGCTTCCATTCTTGCATGCAGTACTAGTACTTGTGCAACTGCACTGCAGTACAACCTAATGATTACACTTGCCAGAGATACATGAGTGATTACATGCTAAGTACTACGAGGCTCAAGCATCGCCAGCTGGTGCATGTCGTGCTCCTTCAGTATAAGACCACCACGGACAACGCCCTCGTGCCATGTTATCTGCGTGTCATTTAACACCGCAGGATATCGCGCCTCTCCCTCGTCTCCACACCAGTCAAAGTCTATAAGCATCGCACCTTTGTGTCCTGTCTCTGGCTGATCAACGACCATGACATTGGGAGGACGAAGGTCGCCAAATACTAAGCCGGCGTCATGCAGCAAGCATACAGCTTTCTTGATATCGTCAAGGATGGTTTGGCGGATGGTTTGGGGGATGTCGTCCCACACGAGTTCAAACAAGGTCTTCACTTGCACTAGATCCATGACGACCACATGCATCCCTCCTCCAATTGACTTGAAGCAGTGAAGTGCAGGAGCGAGACCGTGCTGCGCAAGCAATTTATGGCCTCGGGCCGAATAATCCTTGACGAACTTCACCACAACTCTGTTGTCGGTATCAGTCTTGGCCTCAAACAATGCGCGACTAGCCCTTTCATCCTTGAATCCTATCCGGTCCACGTACGTAAGATGCACGTCCCGATCGTCCTTCCGGTACGAATTGAAGTAGGGGTAAACGAAAAGACGGGCGTTGTCGGTAGGGAGTCGTAAACCCTGATAGAAGGTCTGCCACTGTTCCAAGCAAGTCTTCAGAGTATCAAAGACACGGGCAGCAGTGACGACATGTTCGTTAAGATGAGGGGTGCCACCTAGCCAGAGGAAGTCAGTGAGGGGTTCAACGAGGACATCATCTGCAATAACAGCCCCCAATATACAGACATAAGGGCCTACTATCGCAATGATGAAGGTGGGACAGCAGCAGACAGATGCCCATCCCTGAAGCTAAAACAAGCAAAACGTGTCAGAAATCGTGGACCGGAGCCAAACTTCAAAGAGACTGTATCATGTACCTGCTGCCATTTCGCGAAACCCAATGTGCCCTGGACAGCTGCGTCTGTCCCACCGAGCCCCATTTCGAGCTTGTACTGCACGATGGCGCACAATGCGTTCGTGTTAAACACAGGGCAAAAGGCCACAACAGCGCCGTCGTTACAGGACCCATCGCCCGGCGACATCGGATGGATGGACATGCCGAGCAGTTCACAAAAAAGTTCATTGATTTTGTTCTGCCGCTGCGGCTCATCCGTATAGAACTCTGACGAAAACTGAAAGATTTCGTGCGTTGCTTTCAAGATGTCGGCGGATGGAATGGTGCTGGGATCAGCCGCATGATCCGGAAATTCAGCGAAAACAGGGTGATAGATGGAGATAGGAGGACTGGTGTAATCTAAAGGGCGGCCATTTTTGATCCGAGTCTCAGAATTGGCCTGCAGTTTACGAAACTCTGATACCTTGGCACCCATGGACGGCGCGGGGTATTTTGTCTTTATGGCCGAGATGAGGTGCTCGTGGTCTGAGGGGGACGACGTGTGGCAGTGAACGAATTTCTGCGTATGCAAAGACATACCTTCAACAATCTTTGCACGTTTTGCAACAGATGTATCTGTATCCTCCTCCCTACGTCGCTTCTCTACAAGACATTCCCTGAGTTCAGAACCAGCGTTACGAATGAGCTTGGTATGGTGAAGCTTACTGTCAGCAGGAACCGTCACAACAATGTGTAGGCACGTATCATCAGGCGGCACCGTGAATGATGTTGAAATAACATCGAGAGGCTCGAGCTTCATCGCAATTGTCTTGATGTCCTTCATCGGCAGGTCATTCGCGAATGCTTTGAGTTCATTTGCAGGAATTGGTCGCTCAATCTAGATGTGGGATCAAGACTCATCAGTGCTTGCGGCTGCGACAATCAGCAAGATGACAAACCTTCCAGAGCGCCAGTGTGTTAGAATCAACACCTGCAAGCGCGTTCGCTAACTGCTGCCAAACGAGCTTTTGCAATTCAATAACCTGTGAGTTCTTCATAGCCTTGACTCTGATGGGCGACTCTTGGTGTTCCAAAAGGCAGTTTAGAGTGAACTTGTCCTCGTCGTTTGTCATGTTCCGATGCCATTGTCGATCGCGAAGGGTAGCTGGTCGATAGAGGCGGGCCCATTTCGGGGTTCATGGTATCGGAGCTCTTACAGCTAATTGTAAATCGATAGGCCCTGCCCAAAATCAATGCTCAGTCGGAGATCTGGCAAGAGGCTCGCCGACGATACTGATGGCGTACGTAAGCCATCAGCACGAGGGAAGCGCCGCCTCCTCGCAGAGACCTTGCTTGCGACATTTGCCACCGTACAGATTCGAACTTGAGACGTTGCCGAGTGGGGACTTGTCGTGCAAGATTCAGATGTACGGGAGGAACCGGGGAGTCGAAAAGCGTGACAATTAGACCTTGCAAGCAATGATGATGATGATGCATCGATGAATTCCGTATTTATATACCGCAAGACCTTGCAAGCAAGGTAACCATTGGCGTGAACGTTCAGAGATGTAGCCATAGACGCGTGGCAACCATTCAATGATACTGTCGCTCGGGGCTCTGTACGGCACGACATTGCAGCATCAGTGATTCGCAGGAGCAAGGAGATACTATTGTACGCAGATCAGTAAATGAACTATACATACAGCGTAAGAACAAGGTGATTGGACGTATAAGAACTAAGATGATACAGAGTGTAGGCTACAGGAAACAAAACGAACATCAACGACCGTTGGACGCAACGTGCACAAACCAAGAAAGCAGCGTCAGAGCGAGCGGAAAAGTCAAATCAGAGAGTATGTTGCGGTAGTGTCCTGCACAACGAGGTCATGTTCTTAGCATGAGCATCGGCGGGAGGTTCAGCTCCGGAGGCAGCGGCGGGCGCAAGCCGGAGCAGGTGCATGCCTCCTCGAGGCTCTTGCGGAGCTCGTCCCGGCGCCGGATATGTCGCGCTATGGACGACGTTCAGTACCAAGCGTAAGCGACGAGGAGCAGACCACGTACCTGCACATGGCCACAAGGCGCTGAATACGTCGAGCCCGAGAAGGAAAGACTTGGCGAGCTCGAGCGCGTGCGTGAGGGTGTGATCGAAGTTCCACAGCGCGAGGCAGACGGTAACCTGCGCGGTGAACCAATTGACCTGGAACGGATGGCGAGAGAGTATGTGTCCTGTGGTCTCTGCAAGCTGCAGTAGAGCGCCCTTGACGAGCTTTGCGAGGTGATCCTGGTGGTACACTGTGCGAGTATGCGTCAAAGATCGCCTCGGATGATCGAATGATGACATGGACTTACACCACTCCTCCGCCTGACGGCGATCGAAGATCGGCGCTGTGATGCTGTCGACTTCTTGAAGCCGGCTAAGACTAGAATTCGCCAAACTCGATCAGCACGGAGCCAGCCGTCACGGAATGAAGATCCAACGCACCGACGCAACTCATGTGTCATCGACATCCTGGTACTGAAGATGAGTCAACAAACTTCGAACACACGCCAATACAATACACCACAGATGCAGACGCACTTATACAGGATCTCCCGAGAACCATATACGAGTGCAGGGTCGAGATTGCACTCGTGCATGTCGAGTGCGTCCATGATGGAGCGTGTCTCGGCGAGTACCTCCATCGCGAACCCGGTGCGCTGCTCAGGCGTCCATTGATCATCGCGCCGGCGGATGCACCCGTTGAACAGTAGCATGCTGCGGCAGTTGAGAGCACCGAGCGACTCTTTCGGACAGTGGCTGAACAGCTGCTTGTGACTCAGGACGCGCTCATACGCCTCGCCGGGGAAGAGCAATGCATACTGTAGGAGATCCAAACGGTGTCAGAGAACCCCCACGAAGAAAAATTAGCCTAACTGAAGCGCACATTAGATGGCTCCGACAGCGCGAAGCTTTGCGGTTCTTGGTGGACCGCCGCACACTGGAAGGTGTAATTCGTGACAAGAGTGAGCGCGCTCCAGCACAGGCGGCGACACTCCTCCCTACGGAGCTCCGCCTCGCTCCAGTTGGGGTCCCACGGTGGGTTGTACGAGAAGCACGGGCAGCGATCGTGGATGGGATCCGAGCCCGGGCTGTGCGACATTGGCGTACATGAACACTTCTTCGGCGGCCGGTAATTGCCCGGCATGTAAACCACAGGCACCGAGACTGATCCAAACATGGACGTGTCCGGATTGTGGATGTCTACGGAGCACAGCGACAGAACTTGGATGATCCGGTCGAGGAACTGCAGCGCATTCGCTGCACGCTCAGGCGTGTACTGCGGATGGCAGGAAGACTCGAAGAGTGCGAGGATCTGGGCAATGACGTAGCAATTAGCCTACAGATATGAGGTGCGTCCTCAGAGATGCGACGCACCAGAGCAGCTTCAGCAAGTCTGTAATCAATCGATTGGGTGTTGCATGCCGCCTCCAGCAGTGCCTGCGCTGAATCACGGAGATAAAGTGCACGGCTACGCCCTTCAGCACCCTGCTCAATCTGACTTGACTTCATGAGCGTCGCCAATGCAAGACCAGACATGATCAAAGCTGGCTGGGTGCGAGAGCGACGATCACTATTATGTAGATCTAGGAGGAACGTCGGGAGATGGAAGAACGAGAGCCAATAGCCGCCTGCGATGAAACTGAAGGACAATCACAGAGATAATGCATTGGTGGATAGAAGAACGGCGCAAGCACTTACACAAACTTGAGCTCGTCGGTGAGCTCTCTCATCCTATTGTATGGGAAGCGTCGGTTACCGCGAACCGTGGATGATGCACAAACTGCTTACGAATATGTCATAGCGAGCTGCTCCCAAAACGTTGTGCGCAAATATTCCATCGACGGAGAAGGCGGAATATGCATAGATCTATTCTGCACGTCCTGCTGCTGGCTCTGAACAGCGTCAAGAGGGTGCGAGTACCGATTCGCAGCGAGCATCGACGCCGCATAATACCCAATCGAGGGGCGGCTGCGGGGCGACAAGGCGCGGGCATTTTGCCCACAATGCATGACCATACCCTGGCGGGACGCGGTATCCACGCCCACACTCACTTTCGCCGAAGGTAGACTTTGCTGCGGAATTGTCGAAGTGTCGAGGACAATCAAGTCCTCAGGCGCTCCGTCATTGCCATTCGACGAGGTGGATGGGACAATGGGCCTGGGCATCGCGGATTTTCCACTGACGCTCGGAACCATGGGTGTGCTGGTAAAGTCCTCAGTTTTGTCTGAAGACATGGCAGCAGCGTCAAAATCATCCACCGCCTTGCGCTTCTTGCGCGGTGGTGGGACGTCATCGTCGACCGGACGTTTCTTGCAGGAGCGCTGGCGGGTGCCTGGACGTTTGTCCGGACCCCTGCGTTTGGGCACAGCGTCGTATTCGCATTCATTATTCCGGCGGGTGCAGTTGTGGCACACTGGCCGTGTCGAGTCGCAACGGATTTTACGCGCACGGCTAGGTGCAGTTAGTGAGCATCAAGGGATACAGTAATCGAGAAAACGCGACGCACCATTGACGACATGCGACGACGACGCTGGAAGCTTCCCTGCGCACGGGACGTGCCGGCCCGGTAGCGGGAGGCGGGACCGCCGCAGGGGCCCTCTGTACAGACGTTCCCAGTGTTATTTGGGGTGATCGGTCGCTCGACGACGAGGAAGAATTGCTGCGCGATGAGTACGTATGTTGCGCATCGGCGAACGGCTCGGAAATTCTGTTCTGCGGCAAGCTGAAAGTATACTCGGCATTGGGAGGGGTGATGGCGAGGCTGGAGGGACTGTCGCCTATGTTGACGATGTGATGATGGTCAGCCAGCATGTATGGTAAGCCAGAGACGGATGAATTCGGTGGCTGTAACGAATGGAGGAGTTGTGGATCTCGGACATGGGCGCTAGCGTGAGGCGGGTCGTAAGGACGATCGAAGGCGCTTGGGATGAGTGGCTGGTCGACGCCGTGGAGGTCGAGAGGGCCAAAGTGGTACCGGGCTTAATAGCGGGTGAGATGGACTAAAGACAGCGAGACAAGATAAGAAGACCGACCGTCATGGGTGCTGGGATATGGACCATCGAAGATAGGCGAGTGGAGCTCTGAGCCGTCCTCGGAGGACTGGATACCGTCCTCGACAACGGGGAGCTGAGCGTATGGGGCATAGAGGTCGCCGTCCGCACTCGCAACCATGGCTGTGGATGTGAGAGAGAGACTGTGAGAATGAGAGCGGGTTCAGAACATGGGGATTTTCAGAGCATAGATATCAAAGCCACGCGAGCAGGGACAGGACCAAACTGGAAGAGTCTCGGGGTCACCCCGTAGACACAGATGCGCAGATGCGATCTGCTAGAACCCACCCACCGGAAAATTTTCAGCACGCCTGACAAATATCAGAAGAGAATTCCAAACCCTCGTCCGCCCGCTCGGGTATGTACTTCGCGGAAGAAACACTCGCCTCGTCTCTGGTCGTATTTTGCAGCCGTGCGCACTTGTTTCGCTCCTCCAGTGAGCTCTGATGTCGGTCCGTGGTCTGTGAACATGCACAAAGTCTTCGAGTTCCTATCAACCGCGTTACGAATGTTGAAATACCTGGGAGCGGCAACTGCCTCCGCGATTACCTAACCGAATCCTCGCGGCGGCCGTTGCCGCAAACCTCGGACCCGCATATTTCCTTACCCGGACATCTATCTCACGTTCTCCTAGACGCCCATCCCTCATCGAAGATTCGCCACCGATCTTGCTAGTAGCCGCCATTCTGGGCCAGTGCCTCAATTCCAGCGCGGAAACTCCTTGCAAGTCCTATCGACGTATCGTTTCCCCATTACTACAGAGGGACTTTACCTGGTCTGTGCGCACTCGCGGACTCCAACCGAGATTCCTGCGCAGAAGTGGTTCGACGGCGCGGCTGTTCCGCTCCATTCAATCTGCATCATGTCTCTCCTCGAGAACGTTCGCGCTTATATCCGTGGATGCCACCTCCTTCTACTTCTCCTGCTCTGGTCACGATTTCGCGCAACGGCTGCTCAATCTCTGTATAAACACATTTCGCCTTAGGGTGGCCCAAGACTGTATGTTCTATTCTCTCACGTACTCCCAGGACAGGCTACCTGCATCATCTCTGACTCTACAAATTACATGATTGCAGCGACTGGTACCCAACCTGGATGTACGCCCTCGAGGAATATCCCGACCAACCTTCTTGCTTCTCCCATCAGGTTGGTCCAGTCTCCGCCTTTCGGGGACAGAGACTTTACCTTCGAGCAGATCATGCGACTTTGACTTCGACCTGGCCAGGCGCACCCACGAGTACGTATATTCACCCCTTCTGTAACTACTCCGCCGCCTGGATGACGCCATGTACCCGAGCACGGAGTTCCCGGTGCGTCCCAATGGACACGCCGGCGAGGCTTCGCGAGCGGACCGCAAGGCTGCCATTCGCGCGCTGGGAGCTAGCAGCATCTCTGTGATCTCCGCTTCGTTTCTCCTGAGGCACGCTCGCTACTAGAAGCTCCTACACGAATCGCCGCCCGAGCCGCTCACTTCGGCATGCCAGGGCAGCGTTTGTTTTCCCTGGACGACCTTCGCGTGAATGTTGGCTGGCAGATGCGGCGAATGGAAATGACGGACTCCTTTTGACAGGACGCATGGGCAGCCTCGGCGCGATCTGCGCTTTTAATGAGGCCCAATATCAAGTATTTGCGAGTTTACAGCATGGCAGCAATGTTGCGGGAAAGAACCAGAATACCGCTCATCCCAACAATGCGGAAGCAGCAGACCTATGTCTGGATTGCTGAATCAAAACTCAACTCTACACGCCGTCCTCCAGGGCTGCGATTGTGGAGTGCGAAGCCCGGATCCATGTTCTTCTACACCCGCGTGTGTTTTGCCTAAGACGGATCTACAGGGACTCTGTGGAGCACGCTGTGGACGTAGGTTTGGTGGAGGTGCGTTCTGCATTTGCCGGAGGGAGAGCTTTCTGCCGGACGCCCCTACCCGCGAAAGACAATTAGATTGGTCCGTGCGAATTCCTACGGCGGCATCTAGCTCCCCTTTTTTCCGCTCTCTCGTACGGAAAAATATGACTCGCCCAGTTTGCTATCTCGCTCTTCAACTATATAGCTCCGTCTTCAGCCCAGGAGTATCCGCGTCAGTCTGGAGCGCCACCTGGACATATTGTGTTGACAGGAGTACTTGAGCTGGTCTCCTTGTCCCTGCCTTCTCTTCAGGGTCTTCACCTGTGCACTTGCATCACGCAACCATCACCTCATCGATAACTGCTGTGGATGTGCGCGTCCCGTTTCCATAGTGTTTCCATTCCAACGAACGAAGTCTCCACTATCTCCCCCCAGACGCCCTTCCCTCTTTCCATCCGCATCAGCTGCTCACCGGATACTCAGCCGCAAAACCACTCTGGTATCGTAGCTCGAAGTTTGTTCCGTCATTGCGAATGGTCTGTACCGGACGTGCTTATGAATGCGCTTGCATGTAGGAAATGAGCCTTCCTTTCGTTGGCACCCGCGGCAGCCTCTAAGTTTTAACTTTCATACCATCGCTCCTCGAGCATGCCCGGAGCCGGTGCGCTTATCGTACCTTGCCAATCTTACCTAGAGCGACCTGCCGGCATATGCCCGATAGTGTTCTCGTGGCGCCCTTCTGTTCCGTCCTGTTCTGTACTTTTCCGCTGTGTTCGCAGGACCCTGCACGATCCCTCCACGTCGCGGTTTAGGGTTTTGGGGCGCAACCCATATTCACCCGCGCAGAGTGTCGGCTCCTCGGAGGAGACTAGCGTCGCTTCTGTGCCATCTGTAGGGGCTCGAACATGTCAAACATGGCGCTCGCGATAGGTAGGTTCAGGTCTCTGTTTGGTGCGACTCCGAGCATGACTCAGCGTTGGCAAACAAGCCGTCACTGAGTGCACTTCGCTCGGCGCACACGCTTGCTCAGCCAGCATTGATCAATTGATGCTGTACATACCTATGTCTCTCCGGACGTTGTCTCGCGCCGCAGACTATACCAGAGGCAGGGAACTGTGTAATTATGGCGTTAGATGTGTCCAGATGAGAACTCTCACCCTCGTATGCGATCTCCAGCCACTCGTTGACATGGAAAACGCGCTCCCATTTTATATCGCTTGTTCTCCGCGGCATGGCAGGCCTTCCGGGTACCTCCGTCTACAAATGCCACCTTTCCATATGTCGGTTCGAGAAAACCACAGAAGATGGGAAGTGTGACCACAATGCCGAACGCTTCGGAACTAATTCCTGATCCTCAATGTCAAACCACAAGGGGTATACAATGCAGCGATGTTGTAAGTTGCACTAGTACCAGCGCTGGTGATTTGACAGCGGTGAGCGAAGAGCGCATCCCATCTCATGTACTGGTGGAGCCCAAAGGGGGAGGGCAGCGCCACTATAGTCTCAGGTGAGCGTCAGACGCTGTCATGGTGCCATGGTCTGTGGGAATTTACGTGTGCACGCCGCCGTCTGGTAGGTGAACATACAGTTGGTTCGCGAGCGAGATATGACGGTTGCAGCGACTCGAGGCGGTCGTCGGTGATGGCCTGGAGAACCGTGGCGTGTCGAACCGCTTTTCCAGAAAAATGTCGCGAAGGGGACATGGGAGAGACCTGCAAGATGCAGTGCGTGATTGGCTCGCCCAGGGCTAACGCTATCTGAACTGACCTGTGCCAGAACGTCTGAATTTTCGCGGTAAGATCTTCTTCAGGCTGCACTATTGCGTCCGTACATTGTGGACTCCACCGGGGTCGGTAACTCTGGAAGAAGTTATAACTCAGCGATTAGGAGCAGAGGTCTCGGGAATCCACTGGTCTTTGTCGTTAGAATGGTTGCTGGTCGTCCTCGAAATACTGGCTGGTCCTCGCAGTGTCTGCCCCTTCATCTGTCGCAATCAATTACGGAATTAGGTTTTGCTCTGATCGGCATACTCGGTGTAATCATATCGCACTGCAGGTATATCCCATTATATCCCATTCCGTATCCGTCTCATCTGCTGTCGTTTCTTTGTGCCTAGGCTCATTCAAGTAGTTTCTTGCCTATAGACGGGGTGACGGGTGATAGATTTCCATCTAGAGTCGTGCTTCCTTGTTCCGAAGCTGTTCCGCCGCGTGGAAGAACGGTGACAGCTGCAGTGGAAACACAATACTGTGTGCTGATCCCATTGATCATGAATGTAGTATCAAACTCACTCGGATAGTAATGCGTGCGACGACGTGTGCGTTCGGTTTGATTAGGTGATCTGCTCGGCCGCTGTAAACGTCCGTCTGTCAGTTTGACTTCGTTGTTCAATGACAGATCGATCCACCTTCCTGTGCTATACATAGAGATATTGCGGCCGCAGCTGGCAGGACTCGAGTTCAGCATGTTTGAGCAGCTTGGATGGTTCTAGGAAGTTACGTCTCTCGTCCCATATCATGTTCATGGCACGCTGGCACGTCAAATATACATCAGACAGGTACGTACGTGCTCTGATATCCAAAGGGCCGGGCCTCGTCTGATCACTCAGCACCTGGAAAGCAATGGGAATTTACGGACACCGGAGCGGAGCTAAGTCAGCCCGCAACGCGATCGTCGCTCGGTCAGTCGTCGCCCATCCGCTCCGCTAGATGCAGGAGTATTCTCGCATACCTGTGCTGCATTCTCCATCCCTGCGTTCTCTGTTGCACATTGGTACTGAATTATTCGTGGATATGGAGTGAGTGCTCTTCGTACACTGCCTGCCGAGTTCCTCCTCCACATTGCTACAACATGCTCTGTTCTCTTGACTGCGGGACGACTCCAGTGTGATTGCTCCAAGGCGCACACGGGCAATCCCCGATTTTCCAGCTGCCCATTGTTTACTCTTGTTCAAGTCACCACTAATGACATGATTTATTATAGGACCACCTGACAGCTGAAGCTGCCAAGGAACTTGGGTTGTAGCACTTGACCATGAAGCCGTCAGCTCAGACGATGAATGTCCGACGTTTATTCGCTGAGCTTTTTGGCCCTGCCCTCCAGAAATTGATTACTGTGTGCTGCCCTTCATCAGGGGTTCACGCCATTACGCGGTGACACCTTTTGTCTAGCTCAGATCAATATTCTAGCATGAAGCTAACCCAAGAATTTGGCTGCCGCGATTGCCAGGTATAAAATCGGCCAATCCAGAATTCCTCCATCTCGCGCCCTCCGAACACGGCGCTCTACCTCAGATATTATTTCAACGGCACCTTCCTACCGAATAGCACATTGTAGCACGTTCTCAATGTGGGCTTGAGGAATTTCCTGAGTTCATGTGTCCTTGCGCAATCGTTCCTTTGGTGCGACTACAAGGTATGTGCGGCCGCTGTTCATATGCACATGTAACAGAGGTTCTGTGCTGCTCGAGATGAATTGTCGACTCAAAGTCGCATCTGCACCATCAGACAGACGGAAATTGTGCAAGACGGTCAGTGCCGCTGCCACGAGTCGCCGAGTGCTGATATCTTCCCAGAAATATTGACCCACCATTTAGCAGCGGTGCCCATTGAATTTCTTTGATTACAAACCTTGACCGCGAGACAGAACATTGGAGAGATTGTGTACGCTGAATTGAAGTATAACATTGTGCATAGCATAGCAAACTTGGTCCAAGTCATTTGAAAAGTTCAATGCTGTTGATACGTCGCATATTTCACCCTCAAGGTCCCCGTCATGGTTGTTCGACATCTAATCACGGTACGCGGTTTAATAGTCTCATATCGTTGTGGGTTCCCTTTAAACCCTGCGGGATCAGGGTGAGAAACTAACGAAAATGGGCAATCAAAGAAGGCTCACCGCTAGTAGGAGTCGACATTGCTTCATGCATTCTGCGTGGGTATGACGTGTATCTTCACAGAGTTCATATCCGCTTCAGCTACTCCTTCGAGCGAGGACCACGTAAATGCATGTAATCGCTTCCCGAACCACTGCAGATTCTTCTTCGATATTTTCGTATGCGTGCGGACGTGGATTTCCCGAAGTGAGTTCGGAGAACGAGAGACGTCGGAAGGACGGTTTGGTTTTCGGCTACCGCGCACCTCCACAGAACGGCGAAGGACACGATGGGGAAAATTCGCTCTCTGGTTAATCTCTAACCCGACCAAAGTGGGGAAAGGCCAGAAGTCTGCCGAATTGTACCCACCGCGAGGCGCCTTGCTCATAGTTCGGATGAATTCACTGATGGGCAGACGGATATCGATGAACTGAACGCAAGAAAAGCCAAAGGGAGCGACATGCCAGTGTTCCATACGAAGATCTGCGTCGAGGGATTCCAGTCGAACAGTGTGCAGTGATGGGCAATGGACCGACCGGTTGACAATGACTCGGTCTGTATATCGACTGCGCGTAAATTCGGACAAGAAGTTCGGACAAGAAGTCGTCTTCTGGGATGTTCGACAATGTTAGATAGGCCAACAGAGGTGCCTCCATCACATCGAGGAATGGCCATATTGCGAAGATCTAAAAAAGGAATAATATGGCGTATCGATCCGGAGAAATATCCAACAACCTATGTATCGGTAGGCCAATGTAAACGTTTACGCAGATCCCTACGGTAACGTAGATGTTAACGACGTCATCGGCATTAAAGAGTGAAAAGTGGCTTATTCGCTTCAAACAAGAAAGGGCTCGCCTTGGGAAACAGAAAGAATCTCTGGCTTATGTCTGGCACTTTGAACAGTGCTCAGCTCTGACGGTGGCCCAATTAATAGCCGCATCGTGTTCCACACGAGGCTCAGCCACACGTTTATTTGGCTGCTGCGAGATCAGAGGCTGCAGCATAATAAGTGCAAACAATGCTCCCCTCGGTTCGTCCAGACTAGGCTATTAGGAAGTCTAAACATATAGTAATAAGATGAAAAATATGACGGTAATTTCCCCTCCGTAATGGTGACTACAGAGTCTTCTTGGTTATTCATAAGCTAAATATGTACGGCAAGACATAATGTCGACAAAGATCCTCAGAATCGACAAAAAATTGTGACCGAACCATCTAACCTCACATCTACCACGTCATCTGTGACCCACTCGAACAACTGCAAGTTCCGTTCAAACCAATCGCGGTCCTCTTGGGGTATCTCCCGGAGCGTTTGAACACGAATCTCTTCGATCACGGAGGGACTTTCGAAACTGGTATGTATGGGGGAGACTTTACTCGCTCTCTGGCGCACTTCAACCACATGTCGAAGCCAACGAGGGGAGACTCCAGCTTCGCTCTGGATGTCTAGGCGCACCATCCGCGGGAAGTTCCCGTAAGTACCTGGGCTTCCCCGAGATGTTACCCGGATAAGCTCATCGAGTCGGCCGCCGCATCCTACAAAATGCACGACTTCAAAAGGGTACGCAATCTCTCCGAAGACCTCGATCTTGACACCAGAGGACAGCTTGGACAGCGTGAGGCTGGGTGAGGACGGGAAGTAGGCTAAGTCATCTTGATCTATGAGCGGGTAGCTTTGATGGACATCCAGGTTAATACACCTAATTGCAGATAGAACGGGAGCGTGGATTATTGCCAAGAGAGTGACGACCTCCTCGAGCGGCATATCCTCGAATGTAAACTCCTTTAACGACTGCAATTCGACCTTTTCAACATGGGTTTGCAGCGTCATCAGTTCGAATTGAGAGCCAATGAGATGGATACAAGTAAGAAGCCTAAGGGAGTGGAACCTCTTCATGAAATCCGATGCCTCCCGCCCAAAGGGCAAGCTATCGTCAGTTGCCAACACCTTCTCCAGAGCTGGGAAGGTGCCGAGATCGAGATCGGCCATGAACTCGAGTGTAGACCGCAATTCTAACGTACACAGCTGTGGGGCGCGAAAGTTAGAACCGATGAGTGGCAGTAAAGGATAGGGAGAGATGTCAAGAGAACTGATGGGGTCCACGATGACCAAGTGTCGTAATGAACGAGCGCAGCCTTGCCACTGCAACGAGGGTAAGCATTTTCGTGCCAGGTCGACGATGTCAGCCGAAATGGTGATAGACCACCACGCTTCAAGATGTTCGACCAGCAACTTCATGACATCGCATGCTAGCGTTGTCAGAGCATGCATGTCCGTAAGTGTAATTGTCCGATCGACCTCTTCCTTGCGCCGGACGACGAGGGTCAGTTGCCGATTGCAAGATCGCTCAAGGAACAACGGGAGAGGGTTTGGAGAATGGAGACCGTCCAGGACCAAAACGAGGGACGTCCAAAGCGAGGAAGTGTTGAGTGCGACGTGCCGCCATGACCGAGAAACAGAGGCCACGCAAAGCGCAGTATAAAACTGCTCATGAGGTGCATCGTTTCTCCAAGACTCAAAAATGACGTGCATCACATCCTCCGGGATGCGGTCAATCGGTACACGCGCCGTCGAGCTCGCATCATTTCGAGAGAGTCCAAGTCCGAGTGAATCTGTATCACAAGTATCCGTCGCAGTCATGTTGTCTGTATAGTTCAAAGCGATCAGAAAAGAGTCAGAGTCAGCAAATTCTTGTAAAAGATAGCCAAAGTATCATACAAGCGTGTTTTGTGCTGTACGATTGTCCTCTGAGGTGTTATGCGACGAGGGGTGCCGGTGATGTTGAACTAATGTTGAGCTTCGCCACATTCTGGGCGACCAATTCACGTGCGACGCGTTTGGGGCGCCAGCCAAATATATGCAAATCGATTCGGTGGCTGATACTTCTCCGCTTGCGTCCAAACTCCCTCAGTGCTTGTTGCGCTCCTTCCATCCGGCGTATCAGACGTCTCGAGGAGTAAGCATGCAGTATATCGTATAACAACCCCTCCAATGTTATTTACAGCAGATTCTGGGGTGAATCCCAATCATCGCTTCTGGCCATTCCCGTTGAGAGGGCCATGACCGCGCAAAGATATGGCTTCAAGCACGAATTCTAAGCGACAGAATACCCTTACCTCTCTCAGCCCATACCCAAAGCCTACTATAAGCGTTGAGGAGTGGGAGGCGAAGGCACCGCTGAGCGACCCTGAGGCGCGCAGCGTGAATCTCGTGAAGAAGGCCAGCGAGCGTAGCTCGTTGCCATCTAAGGTATGTCATTCCCTCACTTCAATTTCCAGACCTCCCAACAACTAGAAGTTAAGTCCAGCGTAGATGAATCTGCATCGTCTTCGCGGCCGTCAACCCCGACCGTTCGTAATAAATTAGCCTTCGGATCTCGTCCCTCAACACCCAACCCGTTGACCGCATCGCGTTCTCAACCCTCACATTTACATGCGCTCCATCCAAAGCAGCCCATCCAGACGCCACAACAATACTACGATTGGTTCGCTCTCATAGACAGGTCCGTCACGCACAGCCAAGAAGCTCACTTCCGTGCGCATCTGGCAGGTGTCGCAGAGCATCTTGACACTTGTGATGGGCTCGTGCAGCGAATCGACGAGGTAGATCAGGCCTTGGAAACTATGCTGCAAGAGTGGAGGAGCGTGGAGGACGGCGGGAAAAGTCTCAAGGATGCTTGTGAACAACTCCTTGAGGAACGAGTGTGTAATGCTTTGCAACCGTGTGTATCAATATACTGAAGTACCACGCAGGACCGGCTCATCAGCATGATGGAAGCGATTGGTGAGAGGCTGGATTACTTCCAGGAGCTCGAGCATGCCACGCGCATGTTGAATTCCCCTGGAGATTCGCTGGTACTGCAGACAGACTTCCTGTATATGGTCGAGCGCGTGGATATCTGCATTGATTACCTGAAGACACACGTAAGCACCGCTTCATCTCCCCTGGTAGTTGCTACTGACTGCTCGGCAGCGCCATTTCCGCGAAGCAGAGATTTACCTCCTACGATTCCAGCAATGCATGACTAGGGCGATGACGCTGATCAAGATGTACTTCGTTGGATCCCTACGTGCGCTGACGCAGGACGTGTCGAGGCGTATGTCCGAAAAGGCATGGCAGAAATAACATGTTTTATTGCACTTGACCTCTGATCATGCTTGTTCAGGATGTCTCAGCGACAGCACAGATGCATCTTCTGTACACGCGTTTCAATTCAGTTTCGTCACAGCTAGCACCGTTACTGGCAGAGCTCGAGCGCCGAGCGCAGGTGCACCCTGAAGAGCTCTCTGCGCTGCTGTCAGAATGTCATACGGCGTATTTTGCTGCACGTAAGAGCCTGCTTGTGGGCAGGTTAGTGGAAGAGATTAGGGGATTGGACCCAACCAGGACGGAACTCGTGGAATTGGTGGGTTGTAGAGTACCGCGTCATCCGAGGCTTGCTGACAATATCTTGCGCAGACCAGAGCCGGATGTAGCTATCTGAAGCAACTCTGCACGGACGAGTTCAACCTCTTCCGTTCGTTTTTCAACTCGGGCGAAGAGCAGCTCTAGTGCGTTACGTGTTCAGCTCCCCTATAGCATTCCCTGACCCCACCCAGCCAGTACCTGGAAAACCTCTGTGACTACCTATACGACGATCTCCGTCCACGCATCCTGCATGAGCCGCGTCTAACTGCGCTCTGCGAAGTATGCACCGTGCTGCAGGCGCTGATGGTCCTCGACGTACCTCTGCCGGAGGGCGACTCGGATGAGGAGACGGACGAGCTTCTACTGGACCTCGAGCATCGCCCCCGCAGGAAGAAGCTTGGTCTGCGGATGCTTCACATCAGCCACCTGCTGGAGATGGTCCTCCAAGACGCACAGACACGGTTATTTTTCAAAGCACAAGCAGTCATTCAGTCTGATGTACGGTATTATGTGTCTAAGCCTGAGGACCTCGCATATCCCGACAAACTTGTAGGTTCGTACGATTTTACCTTCGGATTCTGGTTGGTACTGATAGGCGCGAACAGCAGCGAGGAAGCCTGTGTCAAATATGGAGGGGGGTACCGTAGAGAAGGAGAGCGTGAGCGAGCTGTTCAAGTTGAAGTCTATGGACAAGCAAGATACGTGGTACCCCACTCTGCGTACGACCGTTTGGGTGCTATCGCAACTGCATGAATTCGTGAAGGTGGGTCTACGTTTGAGGACGTACTGGCTTTTCGATGCTCACGCATCTCTAGCCCGCTATCTTTGATGATATCGCACAGGAGGCAGTTACGCTTTGCAGACAATCCCTTGTCAGCGCTTCTGAGACGCTCCGCTCAAAACATGTACCTCCATCTTCTACTCAATCAGCTTTTTCGCCGTCGGCTGTCACTCTGGACTCACATCTGTTTCTCGTGCGTCACTTGCTCATCCTCAAGGAGATTGTGCAGAGTCTCGATCTTGAACAAAGAAGTCCAGACAAGCTCCTCGACTTCTCAGCAGTAACCGGTATGTCGCTACCTTCTCGTATCATCCATCTTAGCATGCATTCATCACGATTTGTGGGCAGATACCCTGGCGTCGATGCTTGAGAGGACCTCAGCTCTGCTCCCTACGGCTCTGTTTGCCTCCCTCGGAATGCCCCGAGACGAGAATATGTCCGACATCCGGCAGGTAAGATCTATCTATGTTCTCCTTCACAGATCACCTCTGTTACCTATTGTCTCACCGTGACCGGCAGGGCATCGACCAGGAGCTGAAACGCGCCTGCGAAGACGTGATTACAGCGGGCGCCGACAGCATCGTCGGGCCCGTCCGCGCCTTCTATGACCGCGTGGGGACCATTGTCCGGCTGAACTCGGCGAACCCGTCGTCGGAGCTGCAGCAGCTGACGACGAAGCTGTGGGCGATGCCGGGCACTGCACAATCGCTGCTGGACTCATTCCGCGCTGCGTGCGTGAATGAGCCGCCGAAGATCCTTGCGCGGCTGCGGTTGTACCTCGAGGACGAGCGCACCGTGCTCGTGCTCGCTGGGCACATCTGCGACAAGGTGTGCGCGGACTACCGCCGCTGGGCAGAGATGGCGAAGATGATGTTCGGCGGAGTCGTCGTACCACCGCCGGTGGAGGAGATCAGACAGTTGCTTCTTTCTGCGGGTCGTTGGGATCAGCCGTCGACTCCCCCTCACGGCAGAGAGGCATCGCCGGCTGGTCAAGGCGAAGCAGCATCCCCACCTAGCGGGGGTTCGAGGGCAAGTGGGGAGATAAGAGCACGTGGAGATTCGAGGGGAAGCGAAGAAGTAAGAGCAGCTGGCGACCCGAGAGCGAGTGGAGATGTCAAACCAAACGGAGACTCGAAGGCTGGTTCAAAAGCAGGCTCAAATAGCAGCTCGCAGCGCGCCGGCGGCTAATTATACAGGTAGTGGGTATATATATTGCAGGGACCTATACGCTACAGAGACCATAACCAAACGAGACAGACTGGAACTGACTTAGATGACTAGTAGTAGTACGTGTGTCGTCCCAAAGTCCTCACTCCGCGCAAAGCGCGAACCAAAGTACTTGTCCCGCTGAGGAGTGACGCGTTCGTGGTTTCCGTTCCTTCGTTTCTCTGCCATTATCAGGGCCGCCCAGCGCCCTGCGCTCGTACATGTATCGTGAGATGAGGTGCGAAACCGTCTCTGATGTGTTCACTCGCCCCAGCTCTGAGCGATCTTCCCGACGTCCGCTATCTGGAACCCGACGTCCAACGCATGTGGAGTCGCCTCGGTGTCAATGTCGGCGTTCTCCTGGACTGCCGCTGACGCTGCAGCCGGTGCGTCTGCTTCTGCTGTATAGACGTCCTCTGTTTGGGGCTCTGTACTGCTCGCGTCCACACCTCCATGCTCGATTCCGCCTCCATTTCCGTTCATTTGCCGCCCCGCGTCCCTGGCGTCGTCCCCGAAGCGCCCCATCCGCCCACGGGTCGCGCTCCGCCCGCGACGTATAGCGGTGCGCACGAGGCGCGCATTAAGGATCGGACGGCGGACGGCGGCGGGCTCGGAGGGGGGAAGGTATGACGCGTCACCGGGGTGGAGTGAGGATGTCGAGCGGCTCGTCTCGATCGAGCGCGAGGGCTCACGCGAGCGGGATGCGGCCTCTGTGTCTGAGGGGCCGCGCTGTCCAGAGGTGGAGGCGGAGCGGGAGGTCTCCGGAAAGGACTTGTGGTGCAGATTGAAGGGGAGGGGCGTGTTCACGTTCACCATCTTTCTGTGGGGGTGTGAGTAGGTGAGCGACGGAAGAGGGATGGGGTGCTTACCCTTCTTTCGCGCGGACGATGGTCCCGAGGCGGTCCTTGAGCTTTTGTTGGTCAACGACATAGCTGCGCGGTCTACAATGAGCATAAAGTAAGAGCGGGTTTGTTTGATGACATAGCACACATGCATAGCGCGCTAGTTTCGTCTAATAAAAGAAGGCGAATGTAGATTCCAGACTCGGACTGATTAAATGTAGTCGCAGTTAGGATCACTTTACACGGCCCGCTAACGAACTTTGCACAGAATTTCTGAGTATGAACGTTAGTGAGAAGTACTCACTGTGGTATGTCGGTGATGGTGGTCTCGGGAATGAGGTGGGTTCGCTCGTCCGCCTCGCCCTATATGCGATAGACATGGTCAGTGATAGAGCTCGCTGCACATTACAGCGAGAAGACTGACCTGGACCGGGGAATGACTGCGTAGGCAGCAGGAGAGAAGGTGAGAGATGAGGGACGACATGGTCGTCTGAGCAGACTGACTGAGGGAGAGATGGGCGCCAGAGGTTGAGCGACATTTGTACGGTGCCCAAATCAGGCTCGACCCCGCCGCGATGCCGGGAGATCGGCGCGACTGCCTTTCTTGGCACCAACGCCGACGATCACGCCGTGACGGTCGCGTGCATTACCGTGACCGTCACCCAAGGGGCATGATCATTTAGGTCCCCGTGTCCCTAGCCGCGGTGATTGCCTTCTACATTCACACCCCAAGGGTACGGCGACGCTTTCATGATGACGATGCTTTCCCGCACTCTTCAGTGGCTTGCACGACCCAAGTCTGCCAGAAAGAAGTGCTTCATCCTCGTAATACCCGATCCAAAGGAGTTCATAGGTGACAGAGTATGTCTGCCCTCCGCCTGAAAGGGGCTGTCACTGACCTTGGAAGCTCGCCTTCTGTAGGTTATTGGAGCACGAAACTCTTATTATCTGCTGCGTTTCGGGAGTCGTTCTGTGATGCATGATCTTGTCGGTTCTGGCGTTGGGCAAGTGCTTCATTTCTCGAATGGGCTTGCAATACTGCAACATATGGACGCAGGTACTCCTATAATTACGGCTTTCTTCACCGCACAAGACCACCTGGAGTGAAGTATCCGCAATGTATGAGTAAACCATGTACAGTACCACTGCCTCGAAGCTAATGTGTCTTTCTCAGACTCTCAATGGTCTCGCATCATCGATACTGGGAAGAGAACCTCTGAGGGTAAATCAGTGCGCGACGTGCTCATCGAGATTATAGATGCCTTTCCAAGTCACGATCTCAAATCCGCTGAGGGAATTCGCAAGGCCACTGAGGAGATAGAATTAAAAATTGGCAAGGTGGCAAATTCCCGATCGCTTTATAAGAAGAAGAAGCATAAGAAGAATTGAATGCTGACCTACTTTGTACAACTCCTCAGTATCAGTTATGTGATTTCACCTTCCGAAGATCTGGGGCGGTCATTAGGGTGTGTTTCTTTCTCTTGGACCGTCCGAGGTAAAATGACTCTGATGGCTTATATTCAAATTTACTTCGCACTCACCAAGTGCAGACTCTCTCAGATATGCAAGGCCTCACTCATGCACATGAACCTGAGGAAGGTTTTCAGGAGGCTAGATACCAATTGCGAGTAGTATAGGAAAGCATGTCCTATGTACTACTCGCAATTGGTATCTCCCGACACATACTACACAAGGCAAGCAAAAGAGTCGACACCGCTACCATCCTCGGAACACCTGTGGAGATCACCACGCCTGGTCAATTCCTGAAGGAGAGTGGGGCGATGATGAAGACCGGAGAGAGGCGAGCGGAGATGAAGCTCGCCAGATGGTAGGATGAGGAGGACGCTACACAGGACACCAATACCGGCGAGGATGACCTCGCCAATGACAACGACAACGACAACACTTAGGAGTCAAGGTCCGCACTGCCTTTACGGTACTAGCTGCACGGTAAAGTACTGTTCCCCCTCACAACACTTGTGCACCAGAGGAACAAATATGGTTTGCGCCCCTGGTAGAAGATGATGTGGTCACCACTTATACTTTTCTTTTCCCATGTCTATTTCTCTCTTTTATTTATAGGACATCTTGGTAGCTTCTCATCCAATTGAATTTCATGAATGCTTCTGAGACCCACTAGTTAGCTAACGGGAACTGCAACAAACAAACAATATGCTAAGACGTGGTGTTGTCCGCTCGATACATTAGTGTCTACTATAAGACGGAAAAAAGTCCAGGTGGGGGGGAGGGAATGGCGTGGAGATCTTGAGAGTGAAATAGTAGATACCTGATCACCAGGAACATCAGTACAAACGCAATGAGCACCACTACCATACTGGAGATCACGATCTACGTTGTACTCAAAGTCTTGCCTCCTATGACCCTCAAATGCCCGCGCTCCCTGATCAATGTAACTTCGTGGTTGCGCTCGATCTTCTCCTGTGCGGCAACTATGATGGCCTTGTCTGCCTCGAGTGAGCCGGAGAAGTGCAGCGCATTTCGCTTAAGCTGTGTCGCCATCTGTGCAAGCTGTGTGGAGAGTTCTTCGTGCACCGCGGCGGAATTCTGGAGGAATGCAGGGGTTGCTGTGGGTTTGGACGTGCTCGTGGTAGGTTTCGCTGGAGTGGGTGTAGGTATGAAAGAAGGTGGGAGGAGCGTAGCCGAAGAATCGATTGGAGGATGATGTACTACATGCTCGTCAGATGAGGACAAAAGCAAGCCTTGCGCAGAGAGAGGAGGTACTGCAAGTTCGATAGACGGTGAGAACTGTGGCTGCATCGGCTCCAAGCTCAGACGGGATGCATCTGTAGGTGCTGAGGGAATAGATAATGATGGTAAGATGGCTTCCAGACGTATTGCTTTACATCGGGGAATTCGCCTGGATCTTGTTTGAGCTTGCAGCGCTGACAAGCGTGACCAAGTGTGATGCGAGTTTGTAACCGCGTGTAAGAGCTTACAATCGACGCGTCGTGCTGGTACATATCTTGTGGGTCTTCATCGCTATGGTATAACTATGCCCAGAGCATGCGCACGGGCCATTGCTATTCTGTTTTGATCTCCGGAGTTACTCTGCATTCTACACGTCTTGTAACACCTTCCCGGCTGCAGCCCAGCTTGATGTTCAGCTTGTAACGTCTTGTCAGAGTGTTCCCGCCTTGACTCCTCTGAACAAGAGATAGCTGATAATGCGACGTGCCGTGCCTCTCCCCTGTGCCCTATCATAGCTATCATACGAGTTCCTGCTGCTGGCCCTAAAGTGATCGGTATGCATGTTGAACTTTCAGGGCGTCCGTCCTTCTGTGTATCATCTCTCTTCTTCTCCACTCACCACCTCCTGCATGTTGTGATGTGACTCCCGAGCTGTATGGTGCTCCACAGACATGTTTGTCTGTGTCAATGTATGGGGAGATATTTGTGTGCCTATATTTATCATCCTTGAGCTGAGAAGCTCCGTGGGTACTCCCATGTTGTTGTGTGAAGGGGATGGATGCCGTGTTTGACTACCATATTCACATCTCATTCTCCACAGATTTTAATGGTCATTCACAGTGTCTGCGGACATGCGCAACAATTTCCTCCTTCATCGCCCATATTTGGCCGCGACCCATCATGGCTTTCAGCGAATCCGGTGCCAGGGTATCCCTAGTGTGTGTGCGTGCAAATATTCGATGGTCATTGGTCGCACTGGTGGTCTGGCAGTTTTCGCGATGGATTGGGGTGATTCAGTGTATGTGCGCATATTTGGAACAGTTGGCATTGGTATGGTTGAATATATTTGTTAACTTGGGTATCTCATGTCCGATATGGTGGTGAGTACTGGGGCTAGTGATATGACTGTGATTTGCTGCACTCGAATGGATGCTGTCGCACCTGGTGGTGAAATGTAAGATCTTACAGGACACACAAGAGCTATCATCCTGCCTGAGTCCTGGAAGAACTCCGACCTTTCGCAATGCTTATTGTTCTTGGCAAAGGCTGCATAGTCTTACCTGTGATTATACTCGTGAATACAAGCCTTCTACACCTTCTATATATGTTATACCTTGTAATGACTTACAATCGCTCATAAGACCCATACCAGAAAGATGCAAATTCCCCGATGTAGGTAGTCTGCTTTCATTTGAGGGGTAAACACCGTCGCTCGCCATTTCGGAGTTACATAAGCATGTTGATCTCCGAAACGCGTGGAGTGGATCTTGTAGAACGTGACACGTCGCCTTCAGCCTGAGGGCGTTGTCCTTGTCGCGTAGTTTCATTCTAAGTGTTCACTCAGCTACCATCCTCGTAATGTAGTAATAGATTCTACATTTATTGGGCCACGTTCTTTTGAATTCAGATCACCTGAAGGTCGGCTCTTGTGCCGTCAAATCCTGGCCAAATCTGTACACTGTGACCCCCACGATTATCAGCTCGAAGGTGTCTGCAAGGCACTAGATGGAGCTGATGTCCTCGCAATCACACCAACGGGCTCCGGAAAAACTGTGTTTCTCATGATGTCATCTTGAACGGCATCGCAAGAGGTCAGAGTCAAGCCTACACATTGTAGATGTGAAAGCGAGGGCAGTCGTGTCAAGTCTGCGATCGGGACGTAGTGACAGATTGGTGTAGAGGACTCATTACCGACAGCCTACAGGACTGTGGTATGAGTACATATTTTACCAAGGCATACTTACAAGGCCTCAAGAACGTGTTGACGCGACGCGACAACCACTGTCTCGGGCAGGAACCTGCAGCCGGCAACACGGCCGGAATCCCGGCATTGCTTCGGCATCGTCGTTCACGAGCGAAATGGCGAGCGACGGCTAAAGGGGCGCGTTTGAAAGCAGACCTATATCAGTCCATCCCTCCCACCTCTCGTAGGACTGATTTTGTAGTCTGCCTTTGGGAGACTATGCTTTAGGTGAGACACGCTATAACATGATCAGTAGGCGCCGGTGGACTGTCAATTTGGCGGTAATCAGCCTTTCTTCTACATTCACACCCCAAGGGTACGGCGACGCTTTCATGATCATGATGCTTTCCCACACTCTTCAGTGGCTTGCACGACCCAAGTCTGCCAGAAAGAAGTGCTTCATCCTCGTAATACCCGATCCAAGGGAGTTCAGAGTATGTCTGCCCTTTGCCTGAAAGGGCCTATCACTGACCTTGGAAGCTCACCTTCGGTAGGTTCAAGTTATAGGAGCACGAAACTCTTATTATCTGCTGCGTTTCGGGAGTCGTTCTGTGATGCATGATCTTGTCGGTCCTGGCGTTGGGCAAGTGTTTCATTCCTCGAATAGGCTTGCAATATTGCAACACATGGACGCAGGTACTCCTATAATTACGGCTTTCTTCACCGCACAAGACCACCTGGAGTGAAGTATCCGCAATGTATGAGTAAACCATGTACAGTACCACTGCCTCGAAGCTAATGTGTCCTTCCCAGACTCTCAATGGTCTTGCATCATTGATACTGGGAAGAGAACCTCTGAGGGTAAATCAGTGCGCGACGTGCTCGTCGAGATTATAGATGCCTTTCCAAGTCACGATCTCAAATCCGCTGAGGGAATTCGCAAGGCCACTGAGGAGATAGAACTAAAGGTCGGCGAGGTGGCAAATTCCCGATCGCTTTATAAGAAGAAGAAGCAGAAGAAGAATTGAATGTTGACCTACTTTGTACAACTCCTCAGTATCAGTTATGTGATTTCACCTTCCGAAGATCTGGGGCGGTCATTAGGGTGTGTTTCTTTCTCTTGGACCGTCCGAGGTAAAATGACTCTAACGGCTTATATTCAAATTTACTTCGCACTCACCAAGCGCAGACTCTCTCAGATATGCAAGGCCTCACTCATGCACATGAACCTGAGGAAGGTTTTCGGGAGGCTAGACACCAATTGCGAGTAGTATAGGAAAGCATGTCCTATGTACTACTCGCAATTGATATCTCCCGACACATACTACACAGGGCAAGCAAAAGAGTCGACACCGCTATCATCCTCGAAACACCTGTGGAGATCACTATGCCTGGTCAATTCCTGGAGGAGAGTGAGGCGATGATGAAGACCGGAGAGAGGCGAGTGGAGACGAGGCTCGCCAGATGGTAGGATGAGGAGGACGCCGCACAGGACACCAATACTGGTGAGGATAACCCCGCCAATGACAACGACAACGACAACGCTGAGACGTCAAGGTCCGCACCGCCTTCACGGTACTAGCTGCATGGTAAAGTACTGTTCCCCATCACACTGTTTACACTGTTCCCCCTCACGACACTTGTGCACCAGGGGAACAAATGTGGCTTGTGCTCCTGGTAGAAGGTGATGACCATGACACTCGGTTCGACTCAACTGTTCCTCCCGAGCGACACTGTAATCTACTATTTCACTCTCAGGATCTCCATGCCATCCCCCTCCCCCGTCTCATAGTAGACACTAATGTATCGAGCGGAGAACATCATGTCTTAGCATATTGTTTGCTTATTGCAGTTCCCGTTAGCTAGTTAGTGGGTCTCAGAAGCATTCATGAAATTCAATTGGATGAGAAGCTACCAAGATGTCCTAGGTGATCCTGATCACCAGGAACGTCAGTACAAATGCAATGAGCACCGCTTCCTAAGTGCTCGGTAGCTGAGCTACGGAGGGAGTGTGCACGGCTCACTAAGACAGCACGTTCGCCGTGCAATGTAGACTGTTAGTCTTGCGGGTTGGGGAGAGGTGGATTCCGGCAGCAGCTCAAGCTCAGAGCGGGCTGCAATAGGCACCTCATGGGACTGCGACGGCCCGAGAAGTCAGTGGGGGACCGGCAGCGGAGGGGCGAAATGCGAGGGGAGCCTGAGCGGAGAGATTCGTGGAATCCAACTCGAGCGTGAAGCGGCGAAAAGTCGTTGAGAACACAGCTAACCACCCAAGGAGCGCAGCCCACAGCAGTCATGGCTCAACGCGAGCCCGCTGACTTCCCCAACCCAGGGCTAGCGTTCCGCAGCAAAAGATCAGGTCAGAGCATATGACAACATGCATTACAGCATAGACACAAACACACAGCATTATGAAAGTAACTACAGAGAATATTTCTTTTTGAATGAGTCCATTGCAGAGGAAGTAAGTTGCAAACGAGAGGAAGTGAAGGATTGTGAGATGAAGAGTGGTAATATGGACTTAATTTTCCGCCAGTACTCGAGAAAAGCACGTGACTTCCAGCTGCCCTGCGTGGCAACAACATCTGGATGAGTACCGCGAAGCAACAGCTCGGTCGCACCGCCGATACGAAAACAATGCCCGGTGAGGTGCTCGAAACCGGCTGCTTCCCAGGCCGTGTTGACGTGACTGAGAAACCAATTGCGCGTCATCGGCACCCAACCCGCGGCATCACTTGTTTCGAATGCGAAGAATGGTGCATGCACGGGCACGCGGGCGTTCGCCCATAGGTGATGGCGCAAGGCGACGACGGCGGAGCTAGGGTCACCGAATTCGGTGGCGATGATGTCTGCGCCGAGCTGCTTAGTCGTCTTGGTCCAGGGGACATGGAATACGGTGTACTGAGTACCTCCCGGTAATGTGCGGTAAGCAACGGGCGCTGCACGCGCTACGTGCTTGACCGGGTCGAACGCACCCGCGGAAGGGATTACCAGCTCACCAAGCCTGCAAAGGTGTTAGCAGAAAGAATGGAGGAAGGCCAGGTGCATGCGCACCGACAACAGCACCAAAACCCAACGCACGCCACTGCATACACAGCAGCATCGAATGAGTCAGATAAGTCGAGGTTGGCACGCAACGTGTACAAATGCTCGACAGTGACCGGCGCACACTTCTCCTTTGAAGCCGGCGTGGTCTTTGAAATGGCCGAGCAGGTCACTTTTAGCATCTTCGCGCCTTGCCATGGGGCACCGTGCAGTGCATGCCAGAAGGATAGACCTGCCATCCAGGTGTCCACGGTTGATTGCGTGACACTCCCGCTCCACTGCGCGATAAATGCGGCTAAGAGGGGCTCCATCGCAGGCATGCGGAGGTCTTCCGAGATTGCGAGGCAGTCGCAGAATTGTGTGAAGCACAGTAGTCCGGTGCCATAGTTCTTCCAAGTACTGGGGTCAAGAGAAGAAAGCATGACATTAAAAAGCTGTACTAAAGCTGCAGATGAGGTCTGTGCGGAGAGAGAAGCACGAAATTGAACAGCATGAGGCGTGGTCCAAAGCGCGAGGTGATCGCGTGCTAGGACATGAGGACGAAAAAGAGAGGGGATAACTTTGTTCTCGGAATGAGGCTGTCTAGGTTTTCGTCGAGCCAGTGTTCGCGATGAAGGGCCGATATGTGCTGTTTCAGCCTGAACAGCACTCGGCCTCTCACACTGGGACGACGCGCTCGCACGTGCGGGCGCAGAGGATGATGGAGTTGTATTAGACATTGGCAAGGAAGGATGCGAGCTCCTCCGGGAGCTGGAAGGGGGGTTGACGATGAGACATCAAGGGGCTCAGGTCGCCGCGAGAGACCGGATCCGCCAAGTTGTCCTTGGTGTTTACATAGCGTACAGTGAAGAGAATGTTCAGCGACATGGCGATAACCTCCGCACGACGGATGAAGGAGTTTACTTGAAAGTTGCAGCTGCGACTGCGAGCGAATGCACCCTCGACACCTTTGTTGTCACCACGTACCAGGATGGTGGCGTTGTGGTAGCCGAGCACATTCACCGTTCGGACAGCAAGTTCAATCGCCACCATCTCGGCCCAGCCAATATCACGACCTTCACCCTTCCATGCATTGATCGGTCCGCGCCAGTGCCATGCGCTCCATTCGCCACAGACAATGACTCCAATGCCCCAGGAAGAGGAAGCATCGACCCAGATGCCAAGGTCCTGCAATGGGCCCCGCGATGCAAGAGAGCGGGCAACATTGGGCACGTTGAGGATGGAGAACCACCACTTCATGTCAGAGAGGACAGAACGTGGTGCGAATCGTGGTGCGTAGGGGTTGGAGAATGAAGTGATGAAGCTGCAAAGGTTGGTGAGGAACGCACGGCCGTGCGGGTAGACAAACACGATGTGCGAGAGTGTGCCATTTATGGACATCACATCTCGCTGAGACACACACCCCCGCTTGACGGCGGCGATGAATACTGTGAGTTTTGCTAGATACTTTAAACGCTTCTCCTCGGGTAGGGTGACCGACCGCTGGTCCAGGTCCCACAGAAAACCGCTATAGACTGCCTGCAAAGCGTAGTCAGAGTATTTCATCTGGTGCCACGGGACACCCAGAGGGTCAGTGATGCGAAAGATGTCCGCCAGACCGTACACATACTCATAGACACCAGAGGCAGCGAGTTGGGAAACAGGAAAACGGAATGTAATAAGGTCATCAACCCACTTCCGAGACGGCCTGATGTTGTGCGCCTCCAGGATGTCGACAATGGCGTCCATCGGCTCACCCTGCACCCCGGTCCCTGACAAGACGCCGAATGGAAGAACGTGATCAATATAGAAGTCACCTGGGTCACATTGAATGACCAGAAATGGCTTGTGCTGGGTTTGATGGGAAGATTGCGGAATGCGGAGTCGATGTCAAGACAAGCTGCCTGCGCACCAGCAGGTGCATTGACAATCTGACAAGTAAGTTAGCATTGTCTGCTGTAGACATGCTCTGGAATCCACCCGCACAAGTAGTGGGGAATAACCAAATGGTATCCCGTGCACCGAGCATGTACCAAATGGCATCAACCTCCCGCGCACCGGGCAATGGTCTGACAGTGCGATTTCCCGTGCGCCGGGCAATGATCGGAGAATGAACAGCAACCTCCTGTGCACCAGACAATGATTGCAAAAGGAGATCTCCCGCGTGCCGGGCATTGATCTGAACTGCATGTCCCCTCGCACTGGGAAAGGATCGAGAAATTATTATGAAGGAACTCACGATTTCTGCGACCTCGGCTGCAGTGCCCCATTTGGTGGGGAAGTCATCCGAGTTGATCTGGCTATTCACCGAGACTCCAAACTCGTCCTGATATGAGCAATTCTGCACGAGACGGAATTTTTTCGAATCAGCCTTTGGAACAACAGCAAGTGGAGAAGATACGAAGTAAGAGCCCAAGATATGCTCAACCTGAGCTTGCGAGTATGGACCAGTCATGCGGCCAAGAGAAACTTGCTCAGAGATATACTGGTGAATGAAATCGATGTGTTCAGCACCAGAAGAATGATTGGGAGGAGCAAATGTGCGAAGGAGCAGAGCGAAATCACCAATGGGGAAACTGTAATGTAATTTGCGAGGCAAGAAGGGATAACGCTGAAAGAGGCCGAGCGCGTGAAGAACTGACTCGAAGGCATCAGCGTCGTAAGGGGTAATGATACGCTCATGCTCTGAGACACCGCTTAGCCGCAGCGGCATGACCGTCGGAACCACAGAGGGAGCAGATGTGTCCGCTGTTTCCGGGACAGTACATACCGTGGCAGGGCATGCGACCGTGCTGGACATTCCAGGTGAGGCAGATCTCCGCGCGCATGGAGGTGGCGAGGAGCTTCTTGTTCTCTCAAAGGGTGAATGCGGGCTTGCCGTTCGACATGGTCGATCACCCGCACTGACTGGCCCGATGTCCACTCTTGCTGCAGATGAGGCAGAGCATGCTCGTGGACGCAGATGCTCTGCCGTCACGAAAGGGCTTGGCAGTGGAGTCTGCCGCACCATCGCGGTGCGGGCGACATGAATCGGGGGAGTGTGATGGTGTACGATACGGGGTTTGGGACGAACTGGCAATGGGAGCCGCAGGGATAGGAAGCGTGCCTCGAGTACCGTTCTCGATGTGCTCCAGGCGGACTTTGAGAAAGTGATCATTGTAGCTTTTCGAGTCAACGACGAAGGTCTTCTTCATGAGGAAATATCCGCGGTGCACATCGATATCAAATGCGAGGATCACTGGGAAGATCCTGTTGAAATCGCTCTGCCCGGAAAGCCACATGTAGTGCTCCAAGAAACGCTTGACAATCTCATCATCGCAGACGGCCGGTAGGATCTCGAAGTAGTTGCGCCAAGCATCGCGCCACTCCTCCGGCTTCAGCGTCTGTTCATTGGGCCATTGGGCAATGTCGATCAACGCCCTCTTGATCCCTTTGCCGTCGTGCATCTTACGATACTGAACCTGCTCCGGATGCTTGTGCATCTTGGTCATCACCTCAGAGGTGCACATGGAGAGCGGAAGATGGAAACCGTTCCTGAGAAGCGCGGGGAGTTCCTGAGGCGTCTCGATGACTCGGCCGGCAAAGAGGTCAGTTTTGATCTCTGAGTCTATGATTATCAGCGCATTTTCGCTACCCTTGCCTCCACTTCCTGCGGTAGCCTCTGCCCGAGGGCCAGTTCCGCTGTGCTTATCAACACCTGCGTTCCACAACTTCAGGGCGATGCCCCGAGAGTTTGGAGTCATCTTCATTACATCCCGAAGTAACTGCAGGTTATCGGTATCATCTTCCGGCGTCCTGGGTCGCGAAGGCGCGCCTGCAGGCATTGCCGATGGTTCCTGGGAGTCTAACTGACCCGGAGATGCACCATCTGATCCATTCAGCATTCCCAGCTCCTCGTCATCGCTGACGCTATCTTCTCCGCCCTGTCTACGCACTGCCCTAGCAGCGTTCCGGGCCTGCCGCTCCCGGTTTTCCTGAAACAAGGCCAACTGGGCCGGGTTGGGCAGGCCCGCGGTGCCTCCACCTGATCCAGACCCATCGGGAACAAATGAAGACAAATCCTTACCGCCAACGCTCGGGGGAGGTCCTTGAGACGGCGTTGTTACAGATCGACGGAGATCATGCATGTGGAAAACACCAGAATGAAAAGAAGCGAGAGGCTGTAGGTGCAGGAGGAACAGACTGGCGCTTACGGCGCCTATTCCTCCGCCTTCAGCCTCTCGCTTAGTAAGCACTAGTTTGACTTAGCGCTCGCGAGCTCGCTGCTAAGCCAAACTCCACACTACCATACTGGAGATCACGATCCACGTTGTACTCAAAGTCTTGCCTCCTACGACCCTCAAATGCCCGCGCTCCCTGGTCATAACTTCGTGGTTGCGCTCGATCTTCTCCTGTGCGGCAACTACGATGGCCTTGTCTGCCTCGAGTGAGCCGGAGAAGTGCAGCGCATTTCGCTTAAGTTGTGTCACCATCTGTGCGAGCTGTGTGGAGAGTTCTTCGTGCACCGCGGCGGAATTCTGGAGGAATGCAGGGGTTGCTGTGGGTTTGGACGTGCTCGGGGTAGGTTTCGCTGGAGTGGGTGTAGGTACGAAATAAGGTGGGAGAGGGATAGCCGAAAGACCAATTGGAGGATGATATAGTACAGGCTCGTTAGATGGGGACAAAAGCAAGTCTTGCGCAGAGAGAGGAGGTACTGCAAGTTCGCTTGATAGACCTGGTGAGAACTGTGGCTGCATCGGCTCCAAGCTCAGACGGGATACATCTGTAGGTGCCGAGGGAATAGATAATGATGGTAAGATGGCTTCCGGACGTATTGCTTTAGGTGAGACGCGCTATAACGTGATCAGTACGCAACTTCCCGCAGTACAACAGAGGAATTAAAATTTCGAATTTCGTGACCGGGATCGGACACTGCCTCCGACTTAATGTCAGACGATGAGACCATTTTCGAGTCAAGCGTGGCCGACTTATAAGGAATACGAAGACAATAGAATTACCTTGTCCACTTCCAAGACCGTGTTCTCGAGACGGTCTAAAGTCTGTCGCATATCCTCATACCGCTGAAACATAGCGCTAAAGCGGGAACCACGAACTTGAGCGCAACTACGGACCATGCGTTTAGCGGAGACACGCACGCATTGTCGAAATCCTCGCTTAGCTCCACGTTCTTCAGTAACTTGCGGGCATGTCTTAATTTCTGCGAAACAAATAAGTCGCTTCTACCATCCTCGCCCGGTGCCAGTCAGCGAACAGAGAGTATTACCCACCTGCAATGTGCCGCGAGTCTTTATCCATGTGGCAGGTAAACGGTCGTCGGTCCAGTCCTCGGAGGCAACTGTCTTCTCTAGTCTTCGAACAAGTCTGGCGAGGTTTATTCTGTCATGAACCGTCTGTTCTGAAGCGTTCCCATTCATTTTTGTGAGCTCGGAGTGGATGTGGACGTTCATAGTTAAGTACTAGTACTGTGTACTACTTACGCGGTCCGCGCGTGACGGAAGAGCGCTATGCACGCAATATGCACGTGCACGGTTCTGAGCGCTTCTGTTCAACTGCACAAGTTTCTCTCATCTGCAGTTATCTGCAACCATCTACTTCACGCTATTGTGACGATCTGTCGACATCTGTTCGTATTTTCTTGCTACCATATCTTGCCATTGCTTGAGAATTTCTTGCTTGAACTGAGAACATTTACTCGTCTGTATCGATACTTGTTTGAAGCATCTCTGTATCACTACCAATCATGGCTAGAGGCAACGGCAATCGCGGTCGCGGTGGCTTCCGTGGTAGTCCGCTGCGCGGGGATCCAGTTCAATCTCGAGGAGGCAGGGGACGTGGACGAGGGCGAGGCAGAGGAAGCGGGGGCGGTACGCCTGATTTCCTAGATGACTTCGACTTTCCGGTCCAGAATTGGCCTGCGAGTATGTACTCCCGCCTATGTCGACGCTACACGATGCACAAGGCGGGTTTTTTTGGGTATTTATTGTTGCTGATGGCAGCCTCCAGATGCACCGTCCACGAACAGTCCTGGTCGGGGCAACTGGACGCCCCGCTCTCGCGGCCGAGGGCGGCCGTATTCTCCCCACGGTTCGGGTTTCTCTACTCCACGGCGGGGCATGGACAGTCCTCTCAGTCGGGGACGAGGGTATATGCGTTATGACGATATAGAGGATTTTGCCATGTATGAAGGTCCTGGTGGTCGCGGAAGGGGAGATGCGTCACCGTATGACCGAGGCGGCCGCGGGCGGACACGCCCCGGCCGCGGATTCTCAGCATCCAGGCAAAGAGCTGGCGTTCCGTTATCGAAGTTACTGCAGGAGGATAGACCCCTGCTACGTCCGATCGTTTTTGTGCGCTCAGTGCACACAGCGACGCTATTCCAGGAGGAAGAAGATATATTGCAAGGAGTCGTTGAAGCTGCCGGTATGTATGCAGAAAACTTTCACAGGACTGCATCGACTGAGAACATTGTCTCAGGTGATGACGAACAAAGTCATGTCCCCACCGCCAGCAAGGTCGCCCAAGTTTTCAGTGGAGCAGACGCTGAAGAGTCTGACAATGGGGACAATGGGGACTCTTCTTCAGCGGATCAACTGGAAGAGATCGGCTTCGCAGACATTGGAAAGGTGCAAGCTGAAGTGGATGCTGCTGCCGCTTCGGTTGCTACTAAGGACCAACGGCCTTCAGCTGCCATTGAAGTGAACGCTTCAGAAGAGAAATTCACCGGTTTCTACGTCGACACTGAACCCACTCGGAAATTTGCATTGCCTACAAAGACTGTGCTCGTAGAACATCTGGAAGGAGCGCTCGGAGATAATTCGCAAGACGATGAGGACGTCATCGTGTATGCCGCGCCTTATCCACGGACGGGTCGCGTTACTCCCGCCGTGCGAATGCCGCCGTCTGTGGTACTACCTGTGCCTGCAACATCAATGCTCTCTGGACTCTCTATTCCTGAGACGGCGCCTGCTGATGTTCAGGAAGCTGTAACAACCTTGGTGGCTGAGCGATCATCTCCAGCACCTGAGGTGCCTGCTGCCATTCAGGAAAGTCCAATATTCCCCACGGTCGAGCTGTCCCGTTTTGCACCTGAGGTTCCTTGCTCTGCTGAAAATCCGTCTTCTTCGGTTGCCCAGGAGGTGCCCCCGTCTACGGAGGCCAACGAACCGCAGTCGGAGGTTCCCATTGTAAACACTTCCGAAATCAAGGCTCAGTCTGGAACACTGTTGTCTCCCGAGCCATCTTTCGAGTCCTTCTCCTTCTCTTCTTCTTTTGCCCAGACACCGCCGAAGAAGCAGCCGCGCCGTATGCACCCTGTCGGCGGAGCACGCTCGCTCCTCATGCGCTCCCGAATGGTACGGCGGCGGTCTCTGAAGAGAGGGTTTGGTGTGTTCGGTGCGATGATGGACGAGCTGCATCTGCGCGAAGGCAGGGAGCGTGACCCGCGGGAGGCGGAGCAGCGCAGAGGTGACTCGGACGTCAATTGGGGTGACGATTCGGATGAGGTGCAGGACAGGGGAGACGAGGTGGAGGAACTGTCGAATGGGATCGGCGCGATGGATCTAGACGTGGATATTAGCGTGGAGGCGATGAGGGGTTTCGTGAAGAGTATGAGCGCCGAGGGATCGAGACACATCACGATGAACGATATCGAAGATGCTGACAAGATGAAGATGGAGGATAGCAATGAGGGCACAGACGTGGACAGCGAGAGCGAAAGTGGGGATGAAGAGGTGGAACGGGCGGTACTTAAAGAGGAAGAAATACTGGTCGCTGAAGCGGACGATGCCAAGATCGAGGAGTATGATGATGACGAAGACGACCAAGAGGAGGGTGAGGACGACGAAGAACAGTCTACCGGTGACGAAGCTACCCCACGAAGTAGCTTCCAGGCGAGGTTGCAGAGGATACGTGAGAACGCTAAGGAGAAACGGAAGGCGGAACCTCAAGGTGATTCGAGCGACGAGGCTATGTCTGTTCAGATGACCTGGGCAGATAGAGATGACGATGTCATCGCCGATATCGAGGTGAGATCCGTGACATACGACGGTGTCCTCGTTGACTGAAGAGATACTTCGCAGGAAATGCTTGCTGAAAATGCGCATATCTTGCACGGACGAGACAGAAAACAACGGAAGGCGCTATTCCGTGCTGTGCAGAATGGTGACTTCGACTCAGACGAATCCGAGGACACGATGCAGCCTGCCCGTAAGCCACGTCACCTTCGGCATTAATCGTAACGTTGACCACGAACTTTTCTAGCCAAGCGGAGAGATGCTGACATACCCCCTGAACTTAAGTATCAGTGGGAAAAAGACCGTGCCAAAAAGGCGGAGAACAAGCGTAAACGCCAACGAGCAATTCTGGAAGCTGCGGCAGACCCCCTCGCGCAACACAAGGGTGGAAAGAAGGGACGCAAAGCCATGCTCGCTGCCTCTCGGTTAGAGGCCTCGATCGAGGTTCCCAACCGTGTGATCGATATGGTCACGCTGGAGCAGCAAATCCGCCGTTTCCTCGCAGATATAGGTGGCCCAAACACAATGGCGTTACTCCCTGCAGACAAGGCGACTCGCATGCGTATACATGAGCTCGCGCTAGCGTTCAATCTGAAGAGCCTGAGCAAGGGCAAGGGTAATGCGCGTTACACCACGCTGATCAGAACTTCTAGGAGTGGCATAGGTATCAATAAAAAGAAGATCGCGAGAATATTGAGGGCGGATGGGACTGGTTGGGATACACCGGGCAGAGGTGGGAAAAATGCAGCGGCATCATTGGCTAAGCATCGAGAGGGAGAGGAAGTAGGCAAGGTACGCTCATTCAATACGTGCAATTGAAAGTGTGGCCAACCTAGTTGCTTCACAGGCCGCGCCGAAGATTGGGGAGTCGAATATCGGTTTCAAGATGCTGGCGGCCATGGGCTGGACAGAAGGCGACCGAATTGGGCTGTCCGGTGGTTTAGACGCACCCCTTACCGCGATCATGAAGAAAACAAAGCTCGGCTTGGGAGCAACATTGTAAAGCAGATGTATTGGTAGATGCTCCCTTCTTAATACAAGGTGATTCGGTGAGAATTGATGTCTGATGCTGATAATCTGGGCTCAAACAGGTTGTCCCGCACATGCGCGACTTGTCACGCTGCATGTGATCGTACATCACGTCACAATCCGTGGCCTTCCTGCGACATTTTTATTCGCCGTCGCCTACTCAACCTTTGCTACTTCAGCATGCATCTCAACCTCCTTGACCTTCAGAACGATGTTTTCGTGACCTTGACATCTCTCCTATTTTCATGGGATTGTTGTTCCCCTTGTCTCTAATGAGTCGTAAAGTCCACGTGGCGAACCAGCACGCACTCTCGTTAGTCAAAGCCAAGTTCGGCAAATTTTGGGCGTACACATTACGTTCCAGACGAACATTACTTTGGCTGCAGAAGCTTCAGACGCATTCGGGATCATGATCCAATCATTCCTATGTTCACCTACCTCCTCATGAATCACCTCCATGCGCGTCGACTCAGATATCTTCTTTCCTGTCATAGAAGACCTCATCAAAGACCTTACTCGCCCCGGAGACGACCTCTGAATAACCCACATGATGCAAAGGACCTGCATTTGAGGTGATAGGTAGGTTGCGAAGCAGACCCCGTACTTGCCGTATAAATTTGCGTGTCCTTCTGATTCGATCTTTCTGAAATATGTAGATTCTGCAATTGTCAGGTTTCGTGCACCTCGAAAGGGATGACTTACCGTGGAATAACTTGCGGTGGTCATCTGAATTCTATCATGGACTTATCATGGACTCCGTTTTACTGGTGGTGAACTTCATGTGAGCATCACCGAGGCCAAGAAGCTCAGGGTGTCAAATGGTGCAGGCGCCTATGGATAACGCCCTTAGATTCCATCAGGCACCAGTCGTTGCATTACGGTCAGTACACTTATTATGGTCTCGGCGCCATGATAGATAGGGTACAAGATATACCACCCTGCGTGCTGTCTCCGAAGTATCCTCATCAATATTGAGATCTTTTGACTGTCTTTTCTGAACATGGGTCTTCCCCAAAAACTGTTTGCGCTACAGTCTGGTGAGATGCATATAATGGATGAATACGCGAGTCTATTTATTTACGGTGGTGTCGGTTCTCTAGAAACATGAAGCTGAAGCAGCTTGGCAGGTCGGTCTCCGATCTACATCGTAGTTTCAACCAAGTACCCGGAGTCGAACACCCTGCGCTTAGAAGACGCTGCCAGTACCTGCACTCGATTCTCGGCTTCCTTTGTTGCCCCTTCCCTTCGGTTGGCACCTGATGGCTGAGGAGGACTTGGTGCTACTGGCAAGTCTCGGGCGCGCCCACAGAAGAGTGTCGGCTCGAGGCAATGTCGTCGCATGTACGCGTCCGAACCCATTTGTGTGTCCTTGTTAGTGATTTGGAGTTATTTTACAAGCTTGATGGCGAAGCGGGGGCGGCGAGCTCGAATTCAGCATGTAGTGACTCGGACGTCACAGAGCGAACGCAATCCTTCGGCTAACCTCTCAAAAGGGTAAGAACCGCCTCTGTTAGGTCACTCGTTGTCACGTTTCCCCTCAAAGGACGTGGAGGAGCCTCGCACTGAGTAGTGCCCTTGTGTGTTCAGCGATGCACTGGACGATACCGGCCGTCTTCGGGTTTGATGCGCCAATTCTGCTTCCGCCGTGCGACGTCATTCACGCGGCATGGAGGCCCCTAAGTACTTGCGAGCCCCAGCTAGAGGTCGACGTTACTTGCTTCCTCCTATCAACATCCTGGTTTCTGTAGTTCAAAATGGGTAGTGCATTTTCTGCTCTCGATGCCTGGCTGAACTTCAGCAACACCTTGACTGTCGTAAGGCAGTCCTTTCCCCCTAAACCCACCTTTAGTACGGACCAAATTCCCGATCTCACAGGCCAAGTAATAATTGTGACTGGTGCGTCCTGCGATTTATTCAGTCGGACATCATGTGCTCATAACTGGGTTTCAGGAGGAAATACTGGACTTGGGAAGGAAGTTATTACGGTAGGGCCAACATTCATTGAACGGCCATACGTTGCGATTGAGTCTCGAGGACTGTAGAGACTCCTCGAACACAATGCCAAGGTCTACCTAGCGGCGCGGAGTAAAGAAAAAGCCGATGCTGCCATCAAGGACCTGAAGGAACTGACTGGCAAAGAGGCAATATTCTTGATGTTGGACTTGACCAGCTTCGCCTCCGTTCGCCGGGCTGCTGCGGAATTCCTCGGGTTTGTCTTATCTCTGCATTTACATACGGTCTCTCATGCATTTCCATGTAGCAAAGAGAAGGAGTTGCATGTCCTCTTCAACAACGCGTAAGCCTTGAAGCATTTTGTAATGATCTAGCCAGTTAATCTTCTGGTGGCAACAGGGGTGTCATGGCGTCTCCCATTAGTTTCCTCACGGTTGAAGGATACGATATGCAGTTCGGAACCAACGTAATTGGTATATGCGCCGATGCCCGAAACTTGCACTATTTTTCACCCAATTTCGTGTAGGACATTACCTATTCACGAAGCTCCTAATACCTGCTCTTGTTGCTGGGAAGGACACTTCACCAGACTATCATGCCCGCATAATCCACACGTCGTCATCAGCAGCGTACCTGTCTACGATGGATTTCGACACGTTCGTACCCGGGCCCGCAAGGTTAAAATTGTCTCCGACCAGTCTCTACGCCCAAAGTAAATTTGTGCGTTTACCATTTTCCTGAGATCGAGGCCATTTCTCATCATGCTGTATTTGGTATCAGGCAAACGTAGTAGTGTCACGGCAATTCGCAAAGCGCTATGCCGATCAAGGCATCGTCTCTATCGCCGTTGATCCAGGTTTGTTCCGCGTTGGCGGTAACTGTTGAATGACATCTTTGACCTTTTTTGTGACAATGAAGGTAACATCCGAACAGACGTGTTGCGGAATTATGGGTTCTTCCTTCAGAAGCTCTGGGTGCGCACATGCATTTCAAACTCGTTTATCCCAGTAATTCACACCTCTGTTTATTTAGGATCTCCTCCTTTCGCCCGTAGACCTAGGTGCCCTTACCCAACTATACGCAGGTACAATGCCAGAGGCGGTGAATCACAACGGCAAGGTTCGTTCTTGTTTATCATCTGAATTCGTTCGTTTCACGTATACTGACATTCACAGTTTTTGATTCCTTATGCGCGAGTCGGCGTCTGCAGAAAGGAGGCATACGACGATGCGCTCGGTGAATGCTTGTGGAACTGGCTTGAAGAAGAGGTCGCCTCCAAGTAGGGCGTCTGACCAGGACACCTGCCTCCCGTACGGAGCACCTCTTGTTTTTCCGATTGTTGCAGCCTATGGAGCTCGTTTGTTACGATAATGCCTACGTTATGTTTCTGCATTATTACTCTGAGCCCCGATGCCACTTACACGCCACGCATTTGGCTCGGTCCAGGAAGCGTCGATAATTATGCGGAGATCCCATCCGCTTACCGACCACGCTCGAGTACACATTGCCCAATGGATGGGATCATTGTCTCACGACTCATTGCTTCGGTTGTCTCTGTATTCTGCGACAAATCACATCGAATTAATCCGCGCGGCCTGCCTGCACCGCAATCTCTAACAGCAAATGTCGTCTCCACGATCCCATGAACCTTGTCGATAGCGGAGTGCAGATGGCCGGAAGCGATGAAGCGCGATAGTTCGCTTGAACACGCAAACCCCCAGTCAGTCCAATATACCAAGCGAAGCCGTAAAAAGCGGGAGGAACGCACTTGTCTACGAACTCGACGCTCATGCCAAACGAGCGTGAGAGACTGTCGAGCGTGAGGCTGCGATACGACTCGAGAATTTGGCTGTACGCTAGGATACGCATCTCGCGGACATAGAAGCGCGTGTGGGGAGAGCAGATGCGATGGTAGAAGGTGGGATTGCTCAACGGTGCCTGCGCAGCACAGAAAATATGCGTGGGAGAACGTACTGAGGGCCAAGAAGAAGCTGTGTACTGAGAGGGGATATCTTAAAGAAATGAGCAAACCCGTGGCCCCAACGTCAGTGGTGGGATACGTCATCCCATCAAAAGCAGGATAGCAAGGCGTCATTGGCTAATGAGATATCTTCCAACACGTAGAGCATGGGACGGAATTTAGATTCATTCTGTAGGAGAATTCGTGAGTTGCCTGGAAGCACGCGATGGGAGTCAGATTTCGATGTTCATCCAACTACAAGCACGCACCTGCGGTACGGACAAATGTATTACCACGGAGTACCACTGAGTGGAAGAGACCGATATCTATCCAGCTGGAGATATTCTAGTACGTATGGCGCCACAAAATCAACAACTGTGTTGAGCGTGGGAGAGCGGTGAATATGGCGTCCTAATCGAGTAAGTCTTGTGCGCGGGACATCACGTGCTTGTGCGACGCGCCTGCAAATCGCGTCGAACGGCGAACGCGTGAGTCGTGTTTCGAGCACAAGAAGTCCCCCTGGCGCCCCCGTTCTACTACACGGCATCTATTCATCATACTTTCCGATGTTAATATTATTTAAGATTGGTTCCGGGGACTTTTGCCGTCCTATTTGCTCTATATTGGTTTAAGTGGTACGATATGCCTGAGTCCGACTCCTACTGACTGACTGACTCGAAATCCTCCCGGACATCCTTACGGTAAGCCAGCACGTACGGGTGTCCATCCCGCTCCGCTTTCGACCATCTAAGCAACACTGACGACAGACGTCTATCGTGTTCAGCTACATTCGAACCCCTACGCTAGTATTTGGGAGTGTTTCACTCTTCCAAATTCACTCCTCCATGGACCCCGCTCTGCGCGGCGACGCTCTACGCATGCAAGCAAGCTCATCCAGCCCTTCGAAATCTCCCGCTCTAACTACCCCTCCACCCACACTCGCGTACTGCGGGACCCTTCAGCACCGTCGACAACACCAGCCTGCCACGCTGGTGCCTCCTTCGACTTCCGCACAACAGCCTCATGATGGCGGCACTCCACCTGAAGCTCGCGAGCGTGCACATTTCCCTCATTTCATCCCTCACTGACTATCTTTACTTAGTTTGTCGACTCCTCCTCTCCAACTCAAGCACATGCTCGCGAAGAGGCACCTCGCACAACATACTGTACATCCCGAGAACGCAAACTCTAAGATAATTGTTAACTGCTCGCATGTTATTATAGCTCCATTGTCCCCTCCAATACATCAATAGCATTGTCTATTAACTTTTGTCGAACAGCCCGGCACTGTAAGCGAAGGTTCTGTACCTGCCGTCGTTGATTCATCCACTCTCGTTGAACCACGCGGAGTCGCAAAGCTCAGAAGACAGGCCTGTGTGTCATTTTTCAATCTTACACTAACGAGATTTGAATTTTCATCGGATGTGCTGCAATGAATCAAACACAGAAAGAGAGTATAAAAGCATCTGGGGTATACGGATCGCTACATGCTACTCTCCATGTCTACTGTCCTCACTAGTGGATGGTGGAAGTGATGGTAGACACCGAAGTCGAAGTTAACACATCGGTGGAGGTCGCGGACGCCGTAATCGTGGAGGTACGAGTGGACGTCACTGGAGTCGTGGTAACGGACTGCACATCGATCGTTCGCGTGCTCGTCACGTAGACGGTGGTGTAGACGTAAACTGATAGCAGAAATAGCAGGTGAGCGCAGGTTGGAGTTTGATATTATCAGACTTACCGGCATTGACACCAGAAGCCACGAGGACCGCGGCGGCGAGAATGCTCTTGCTGAAGTACATGATGAATAATAAGCGAGGTGGTGTAGAATAGGTATGTGTGTGTAAAGTGTGTGCGAGATGAGTGTGATAATTTTCTGTCAAAGTTCATAGGTTTATATACCTTTCGACGGTGCCATTAGCACTTTCCAGCCCCTCTCGACGGAAGCGGATTCGCGGCAGCAGAATTTGCATCCGCGCTCATTGGTCGAAGTGCCAATGGATAGTCACCGTCCGAATGCCGGATCCGCCAGCCGCTGCAGGTCGTCCCGTCCTCCGAAAGTGAGCCCAATGTGGCACACCCCGCTACGGTGCTGACAGTGTCCAATGTCTTCCTTCCGATGTTAGGACCGACGGTGGTCGTTATCCACGTTCCCCCGAATCGGCGGATTTCCACTCCCTGTTGTGGACATCTCGATTCGAGGCGGCTATACCACGATCGTCCAGGCAGCAGTCAAATCGATCACTTGTAGTTTTCGATCAACGTCCCGAGTGCTGTGTGGTTCGCCTTCCTTCCCGTTTACCTTGCCCATTTGTTCTGCATGAAGTTGTAGTGTACATGGTCCGCAGGCGCCATCTAACACACGCGTTCTGCATAGCAGTGGTCCCTCATTATCCAGGAGGATCATGTAGCAACTTACTAGTCATCCGCCGTCGTGATTTTTATATATAATCCAGTTTGTTTTGCTACTGACCTACATCAAATTTATCCCTGCCATGAGTGGACGCTCCGTCGGCGTTAAGAGATATTCCGATCGAACCTCACCAGGAACGGATATGGAAGGAAGTGTGTAATTTGAAATACATCGATGCGTCGTGCCCGACGCGTCCGCAGGCAGCTTGGTCCTGATTATTGGGAGCCATGAGTGTATTCATGGGTGCCAACGCATAGTGACGGAAAGCAAGCGTCAAAAAAATCGCGCCTGCTTACTGAAGACGTTCACCTCTGCATCGGAAAGGTCCCACACTGTTCGTCGTCGCAGCCACCTTGGCACTTCTTTCAACATGCCATATATCCCGACCTCGTAGCATCCCGTACCCCGTCGCTGGCTGCAGGATCCTTTACAAGAATTCCTCGGGTCTAAAGCATCATGTTGATGGAATGCACTCGACCACTTTACGACCCTCGTCAAGTCGCCATGCTAGAAGCGCAGCCGAACTAACTGGGGACAAGGTACACCTCGACACGGAATATGACATGGGCCATGCAGCAAGAAACTACCCGGTTAACGACAGCCCGCCTGCGGGCCCTGGGAACGAGGACGTTGATTGAGGACATACCCGCACTGCGCTTTATCCGTAATTGAATGGTATGTTGTTGCACTCAATTCCTTGTATTCTTTGGCTAAAACTCATCTTCTCCAATGAATTTTCAGGTAGATCATGCGATATTCACGGTCAATATGTTCTTCGAGGTACCTCGCCGCGTCTGCGATGCAGTATCTTCGTGTCCGGTTCACTCACAGGGATGTCTCTACTTGCGTCTCGCATCGGCTATCTGCTGCATGGAGTGACCTCATCTCTTCTCTTATCAACCGTTCTATCCTTGCCCGTACTCGCGGAGTCCATCATGGTAAAGGCCCTGGATACCTGTTCTCCCGAGCGGTACACCTGTGCGAATCTTTCTTTTCTCTGTGTCACCTTGAGCCTTAGGAGGAAGCACGCCTACTCTCTGGCACTTATAGTGACTATCAGAGTTCGTGGATTCCAATTCTGATTTTTCGCACACACATTGTCAGGCTTGATCGAAATGCCAGGCTTGCACAGAATGTCAGCCTTGATCAAAATAGTCGAGAAACCAATGCCCTCGGCTGGCATGTTCCAGACGCCGTATTCGACGGCGGAAGGCTTCATTTGGACGTGCCGCGCGGGTCGAGCTCGAATTATTTCCGCGCGCCCGTCTTTTCCGCAACCGGTCGGCTTGCGAAGGGTCCGAGTCTCCGCCTGTCCGCAATGAAGGCAGAATATCCAAGTAGGACGCGAGCCAGGGGATCCAGGTATAAAGTCCAGCTCGACGACGGCCAGAAACCATCAACTCGAATTCTTTTCATCGTCCACATATCCTCACATAACACCCACTATCAACTCAATCTTAATAAGATGATGTTCCCTAGCACTCTTTCGCTCGCTGCTGTTCTTGCCGCCTGCTCCGTGGCGTTTGGTACGCACCCATTTCCTGGTTTTCCATGCATAGTCTAATAGTCACGTAGCGAGCCCTGCCGGCGCGTCTACTACGACGGTCACGTTTATCAAAAGCATCAACACCGTGGCATACGACACTACCACTACGGTCACCGCGACTTCTTATGCTACGTCTACCGTCCCGAGAACTACAACGTTCACTAGCACCACGACGACTACGACTGTGACGCCGACCACAACTACGACTTACGTGATCATATAGGCGCATAATCACTCCAGTTGTTCTGTTATGGACATGTTATGGACATAGAGTTCGCATGTATTGATTAGATTACTATTATCTCCACTTCCTTCGCTTGAGGCATGCGCAAATTTGAGTCCTGATCAGAAACTCACGTGTAAGGACATTTAACCATAACTCTCCATCTCAGCCAAAATTCTCGCTTGCAAATCTCGTTAAATAATTCATTGCAAGTGTTTTACACCGATCTAAGTGGAAGAAAACATTTGTATGAAGGATTTATAACTGATCGAAATCTGACACGATGATCCATATTTGTACACTTTCACTGTTTACCCGTAGTATTGGAATGTAAATGTCGTTGTCAAGTCGTGTCCACACAGTCTCAATGACTCCTGCCCAAATGCCGCAGGATACGTGAGTACGATGAGAGCTTCTGGCAGTTCGGGATGGGTGGATATCCTCTTCCGCGCCCGATCTTCCGCTTGGGAGGTGGAGAGGATGCTGCTTATATGCATATAAGCTCAACGGATGCGAAGAGATGTCAACCACACCGCACATTACTCACACAATCGATAAACGCAATCCATCATGTTCGTAGTCAAGGCATTTCCTTTCGCAGTGCTCCTGCTTGCCTCAAGTCAGTGGACTCGGTCGTGATTATCAAATTGGTGGACATCATCCGATTTCACCACGACAACAACGAGGTTTCCCTCCAGTAGTTCCGCTCCACTCGTTCGCCTAGACTGTAGAGTATATCACCTGGACGTGGGGTGTGTCTTGCAGAATGAACCCTCTATATCCAATTGTAAATATGTTCGAATGGTGAGAACTCACTGGCTCAAGCCAGAATGGAAGCTCGATGCAAGGAAGTTGTTCCAAGTCGTTTGCGCGCTCAGTTACTTGGGTCAATGTCATCCATCTCACATACGACGAACTCACTGCTTAAGGCTTATCGCGTCCGGTCCTCACCCATAATCACGATTCAGCCATAATATATATGATGCCAAGGACGTGTATGGAGATCGTCAGCCGGACTTGTGAGTGCCACATCTGGCGTCTGCAGGGCCGAAGGGTCAATATGAAAATAGTGCTATTTTGTTGTACCCACCCTTACGGACCGTGAGTATGGCATCCTAATTTGTGTTCGGATTGAATTTTGCGCGAATGAAAATCCCAATGAGCATCATTTTTAATTTGGACTCTGCCTGTGCGTAAGTCGCATAGAGAAGCCGTATCTTTAGTTCCGACCAGCATCGTCAGGAGGACCGTGACGCTGACGATGTATGTTACCGGTACCGGGGTAGTAGTCAAATTACCGAGGCGGCTACCGTGTCCTGCAGATATCTGAGTGGAGTCAGACAGATCTCAGGCCCTGATTATGCAGCAAAATATTAACACTTTCGCGACTATGACCTTACTACGCCCGATCGCTCCACGCATGTAGCGATCCTGCGAAACTGCATTCAGATGGTGAGCGTCCCTGCGATACTGCATTCAATACGCGCAGACTTTTCAAAATTCAGCATCGCAAGTCGTGTGAGCATTAGTATCTGCTGTTTGCGTACCTGCGTATGTTTACTTGCACAACGTCGCGATGATGTACACGGTCGATCGTCAAACTCTGGCTCACACTCACAAGCAAGCTTCACATCCGCGGTGCATGTGTGGCAGTACTAGGTGCTCTCACGAGAAAACCAATGTCTGGCTACGCCAGAAGAAAGTAGCACCTCGGCAAGTGCGGTTTCAGCACTGCCCCGGAATAATTACGATCCAGGTCGGAGATCAAGGAAGAGCCGTACACATACCGTCTTTATTTGTGAGGACCTTATCTGCTGAAATACCGACACTGCGCCTAGGTGAGAGACGCAGTACATGTTCTTTCCTGTGGACAGCCTCGGTGTCAACGGTGGGTCCCGAGCGCCAACTTTAGACCTTCACCGGCGGTGGAATTTTATGCTGAGCGTCCGGTGTTACACTGCGAAACTTCCGTCCTCACATTCTTCGCGCTGGATTCCGGCGCAATTGAGACGTGCACAGGCGATGTCACGCACGAATAACCACCCAGGGAAAAAAAACCTACAGTGAAACTGCGAACGCGCGATCTTCGTGCGGTCTGTCGGACCAATCGAAGGGATGGAATCCACCGCCACGATGCTCAGAAGTCAAGACGTCAGGGTGAAGTCCTTCGACTGCGGCCGATACTTCTGAAAGTAATGATGCGTGAACTATGCACCGAGAGAGCATGTGCAGCACCGTACATCTTCCGGTAACGCATGCGGACACAATACACGTCCTCGGCTGTCGCAGGAGAGTAGTATGGTAGAGCGTTGTTGAACGTCGACGAATTCAAGGCCACGTCGGAACATATTATCAGATAACGAATCTCCGGATCCGCATCTTTTCGCAAAGTCTGAATGGATCACGATCGCCATAACCAAGTTCCTTGCTCACAGCTTCACCAGTGCATCATCAGATTGTTGATCCCTGTCTACAGAGACGCGATCCGTTTGCACGGGTAGGTAGGTTACCAGCATTGTGTCTACTAGGACATCGAGACGATACAGCGAGTGATCATGATACACAAACGGCACAGCGATTGCACGCACATCGCAAAGTGAAGAATAACGCTCATAACAGCGACGAAGGTATCGGGTGCCAAAACGACCAATAAGTACGGAGGATATCGATAAAGAGTCGAGCGTGACTACGCACAGCCAGGGCGGATCAACCACCCCATAAAGCGAGAAGATAAATGAGGAGGGGGACGACCACGCCGCGTCTAGCAGCCGCCATCGAACCCGGCCGCCTCGCGGATCGAGTCTAGCAGAATGTCGTTATAGTCGCCCGCGGCCTCCCACATCGCGAAGCCGCGCAGGTTCGTAGACTTGATATAATCGCCCTTGGCGGCGAACGAAGCCGCGTCGTCGAACGAGACCATCACCAACGACGTCTCGTTGTAAACATACGGCTGCAAGGCTACTAGTCAATCACGCATTGGGGGATAAAATGCCATCACCTACAGTCTGACTGCACTCGTCGAAGCGGTAGTCGATGCCTTCCACGACCGAGCCGTTGGGGTATAGCCAGCCCTCGCCGACGAGCCCGCGGAACTGGAACACGCCTGTGTAACCAGACGTCACGCCACACACGTCGGTGTTGCTCGCAGCGTCCCAGCTGTCGCCCGCAGGTTGCGTGGAGGTGAACGCGGGGTAGGCTGCGAGCGCCTGGCCGTCGCAGTCGAACGCGTTGCTCGCCTCAACCTGGAAGGAGTGCCCGTACGAGGCGACGCCGAGCACGAGCTGGTGCGCCGGCATTCCCGCCGCGGTCCACGCAGCAACAGCGCTCACCGCGCTTCCCTGCTGGTCCTGCTGTGACGCGCAGGTGTCGTTCAACGGCGCGTTGGGGCCGACGGCGGTGTCCCAAGTGCCCCAGACGTCGTAGTTCATGATGTGGATCCAGTCGAGAACGTCCGCGAACCCGGAGACGTCCGTAAGAGCGGTCCCGTTGGGGCCCTTCCAAGGCGTGAGGGAAGTGGAGGCCGTGAGGGTGAGATTCGATCCGACTGGGTCGGCTCGGAGAGCCTGCAGGAAAGAGAGGAAGTTCGTCGCATCGTCTGGAGACTGAGCGTTACAGCCGATGCCATCTGCGTTGGGGTATTCCCAACTGGGGAGATGTGAGGATGGAAGAGGGGAACGACGGAGAAGATACGCACTCAAAGTCGACACCGTCCAGGCTGTAGTTCTGAACAAAGTTGGTGATGGTCTGAACAAACGCCGTACGATTCTCTTCAGTGGCTACATTGTCGGAGAAGGATCGTGATCCACTCCAACCACCGACAGAAATCAATGCTTTGACACCCTGAAACAAAGATGAGTTATACAGGAATCAAAACCAGAATCTGGAACGTACGTTCTCGTGGGCAGTGGAGACGAAGACGGGCAGTACATTGGGATCGGAGTCTGTCAAGGAGACCTCTCCCGTGCTGGGAGCTGTGAGACTATAATTTCGATGAGAATCAGTTCGACGGCGCGGGGCGGTGTTCACTTACGCGAAGGCGTATGTCATGTGGGTGTACTTGTCCCAGCTGACGTTCGCGACAGGAAGGTATTCGCTATGCCAGCCAGTATACCATGCAGTGGCGACCATGTCGACGGTCGCATTAGCAGTCGGGGCAGCATCTCGAGCTTGCAGAGCGTGATGACGCGCGAAGGAGTGATGCCTCGCGAAGGAGTGACTTGCGTGCACTGAGGAAAGAGCAAGGAACGGCAGCGCAAAGAGAGACAGCATGGCGAGCGTCGTGAAAAAAGAATGGAGGGGAAGAGAACTGGCGATTATAACCAGATGTTGAAGTTTTAGAGAGAGTAATTAAGCGCTTATTTACACGCCCGCGTTGCTTCCACATAGCCTCGACTTCAGCGCTCAGCGTGCATCGACTCGAAGCATGTGCTAATTGGTTTCACCCCCAAATCAGTTGACAACCAAAACATCTCTGGGCCGCAGATAATTGTTATGCTTACGGTTCCTGTCACCCTGTATGTGCACATCGAGTGCCAGTGGCTACGACCACCTCCATATACACTCGGACAAGTCCGACCAGAAAACGGTTTGAACATCGTGTTCTGCGACTACCTCATGGTCTTGCGGTGAGTTTTCCCTCGGTTTTTTTTTTCAGGGTTGCGGATGTAAAAGCATCGTGCGGCGTGCATGCATTTCAGATCAATCGGGTCTTCCTCCGTCAACTTCCTGACAAATCGTGACAATAGCCTGCCATTGTATTCGACTTGGAGCTCGAATCCTGCCACCGAGGATTGTTCATGAGGTGTTAGATGCCATCCTCGTCTTCTTCAAGTTGTCCGGAATATCATCTTCTCTAACATTGCGTCAAGAGGTGAGCTTCGTTCAGGTCATTGCGGAGATGACACCAGCAGGCGGCAGAGAGTCATGGAAATCTAAGTCCGACGTTGGGCGCAACGATGCTTACGCATGTCCAGAATGTTCAACTGACGTATCCCTCGCCGCAGGGACGGGTAAAGTATGCATGGCACTCCGTGGTAAGAGGGTCAGAGGAAGAGGAGATTGAATTACTGAGTCGCCTTCCTCAAGCTCCGTCCACGACTTCGCTGTCTGCCCCCTGCATTCGCCCGTGTTCTGGCGTTTGACTCGCTTTTTCTGGTGCTCGGATTCCCAATATTCACCACCGTGGTCTACAGATGTCCTTATCCTCGCGTAGGTGCTGAGGGTACGCACACTTCCACCTAGACAATGGAGTAATGCTGATACTGAACTGCGAGTCATCCATGGCGAAGCGCAGGCATCCCAATCAAACATACTTAAATTCATATTGAGCACGCACAGATAGCCAGTCACTATGTTCCTGCCATTCCGTGATAAAGTGGACGTGTATTTGGGATGCACCATTGGACCTCGGTAGCAGGATGCGAGTGGCTAAGCATCGATCTCTGCATTAACTCGAAATGCCGGTGGAGGAAACTAGGACCGAACTCGCCAAAGACTTTGACCAGGATCTCACTCCTTAGAAACGACCGGCGCACCGCATCAAATGACACCGGACATTGCTTGCAAGCAGCACGCCAACGACGAGAACGAGAGCGAAGAGGACGCGAAGGGGGATGGGGCGATCCAGAACCGCTCGTCTTTTTATACTGTAGCTGTGCCTGTCAAAGTGTACGGTAGAAATGACAATACCTGGGTGTTATGAGCTAGCAATGACGCTCTGGCGAGAGCGGAGTAAGACTTGGACCAGGCTTAGTACTGTAGTTGTAACCAGTGTTAAAGTGCGCGTGACGTCACTATGTAGAGAGTATAACGCCGTAGAATATACGAGGACAACGTTCGCACACGTACGGGGAAACAATTGATAGGATTGTGAAAGTTGCCCAATGAAAGCGGCACGTTGCTCAGTGCCTACATGATGACCGCCCCCAAGTTTGAGGGCGGTTCTCTCGGAGAACGTTCATAGGAACTGCACCCTTTCAACTACCCGCCAGTTTTTAAACAAACAATCATCCGGTAATTCGGCCAGAAATTGGCGGAAAGGCTTCGCGACGCGCTCAAATTGTGATCTTCGATCGCGTCGAGGTCACATGATGCACCACCACGTTTGGATTCATCAAAGTAACTTCCCCCCTCGTGTATCACAGCATGTATCGTGCTCCGGTAGACCTTGACTTGCACTCTGCATCTACACGTCCATTCCTCGTTCTAGGATGGAAATGTATCCAAGTCCAACCTCAGGGGAAGCTCCCGGCCCTCCTCCATACAATGAACCCAGGAGCTGCAATTCGGAGAAGCTCAAGGAGAGCTTCTCGCTAATCGTGCACAACCAACTCGATATCCAGAGGTTGTTTAGATCAGTCGCTGGGCAACTTGAGAACACGAATCAGATCGGTGAAGACCATCCACTATGTAACGAATGGAACGGGTTAAGACAGGTGAGCCCGCGTGCGTGAGGGGATAAATGGTTCTGATGCCTCTCGCAGACACATCGCAAGCTCTACCGTGATTCACAGCAGAATGCCGCTCAATGTGCTAGCTTTCTCAACAGTGAGCAGATCGATGATCGGCACTTCGACGACGTTCTAACCTCGTGCTAGATTACGCTGTCATACTTATCCCACTGTCACGATCCTCCATGTCGCTGCGAGAGAAGAGGTTTATGATCGAGAAGTTCTTGGAGGTGAGCGGTCGTGGATCTCCGGAGTTAATTAATTCACATGTATGCTCAGGCAATACCTGCACATCTCAACAGCGCGAAGAAAATCACTGAGAGATTTCACGAGCTAGGAAAGGAGGTTGAAGGATTCCAGCTGAAGGTTGCCAGTGCCCTTCGTACCAAAGCGGAGTCCTCGGGATTTTTTGAGAACTTGTGGACCGGCTTGGAAGAGTGAGCTTCGCTACTCCATTTATCTCCTGGATGTCTCACAATCTGCAGGCTCTGTATGTCCATATGGCAGGTCAGTGTAATCTTACAATCCTCGCTACGCTCTCTCATCGTTTTTCTATGTAGGCGCTCAGGAAGCTGCTTGTCCAAATTGTGGACACCTTCAGGGCGATGCTTTCCCGCATCCAGACCATTCGCTTCTCCTGCGGTAATTCTTCTCGATGACCCTACGTTACACTGGCTAATGTCGCTGACAGTCGGCATTCGCATAGACATTGAAATGAGGCGATGTGCGTTCTAATTCTGCCTCTTTGTTGGTATTGTATTTAAATCGCTTTAAACAGACACTCCACTCACGTCGCACACGCCTCAACCTTTATCCAGAACTGTTGCGCGGCAAGTTAAGGAGGACTGCAAGGAAATCAGCGATAACCTTTCGGTCTTCGAGGATGCATGGCATATTGTCGGGCTCTCCTGTAGCGAGCTCCTGTTTAGTGTGGCTATGGCTAAGAGTCTGGCGGTACGTTCTCTTTTATTTTGGCAGTCCAACCCTAGAAAAATGGTTTATCGGATTACTCTATTTCTAGCCCATCCCGGTGGCGTGCGACAGGAACCTGAAGTCGACAGAAGCGACGTACCTCCCTTTGGTGGAATGTTTGCGCGCGTACTCCACTGGGCAGACACCTGAATTCTAGTCGCCGCAGAACACTGTGATGGACTCTTTCGCTCCCCATTTCTTGGCCCATTGTCTTCATCGACCATCCTCTGTTTTGTCCCCTGTCTGAGTAGTTTGATCGTCCATTGCCCACCCCACACATTAGGAATCGGAATACACGTGTATAGTACATTACTCATTGAACACCGCTCACGACCAGTGCAAAGAAGCCTGATGTGTGGAATCAGCCACAGACGCGTCGTGTGCGGCACGTGTGGGCGTCCGAACCTTGGCAGAATCTCCTCCTGGCACTCCTCCCGGCTGAGCACCATCACGACAATGCACTTTCTCCAATAGCGGTATGTCAATCGATGAGAGACATTCTCGAGCCTATTATCCTGATTTCTGTACTCGGTGATGAGTGGCGAGTGGCGAGTCTCTGGACATTCTCCGCGAGTTCTGGCAAGTCCGAACGCGTCTTTATCCCCTGATATTTGGTCCGAAAACGCTCCTCATTATCTGCGGAGAGTAAATATATGACATGAGTGCGGTGAGGCTGTCACCACTCACGTTTTACTTTCACCTACTCGCTCTCCCCAACTCACCACCATATCAACTGCATTCGATATGCCCCGTCAAATCGTGACGGCACAAGAGGCCATGTATCTCAAGAGTGCGATAGACGAGTTGGGGGAGCAGGTGTCAGCCTTGATGGCTGACCTTAATGGCCGCGGGCCGGTCCCGCAGTGGAAGGCTGCCTATTGGCAGGTCCATGAGCAGCTCCGCGTAGTTGGGCACAACGTCTATGGCTTTGTGCCCACGGCGAGTGGGGCGCAGGAGATGCGCACATCTTTTGAGCGGTTCGTTATGGATATGTGGGCCTTCACTGCGACTCACCTCGATAATTGTTGCACAGGCTCACTGAGTGGATGACCAGGATGGGTTCCTCCGCACAGTGCTAATAAAGGGCCGTCTCTGCTCGGAGTACTTGCTGTGCGCTGTGAGTGCAACAACCGCGCCTAGAGAGCGAAGCTGACGCCCTTGACCTTCCACAGTTGCTATGTTCGCTATTCACTCGCTTTCTTGCTTTTTGCTGTCTGTGACTCGTTATTCCCAGACTATCATTAATGCCCGTGTATCTGTAGCGTTGTCCTGTAAAGTTTGAAGAGTAATCACCGTTATGAAAGCGCATCATCGCGTGCAAGGCACATGAGCCCCGAACAACTAGCATCCTTCAATGCAGCCTGGACGCAAAAAGGTATGCACCAAATCGTTTACAGCCCAGCGCCCCAATAGCCGCAGGAGAAACCGACAGCAGAGAGAGCGTCTGAGCGCCCAGAGCTAGAGGCGATCTCTCACGTCAAAGCTGGGACGAGTATGTCCGCGAGATCGACAAGCGCGAGCCTACGAAGAAACGAGTCACAGGACATGTTGAAGGGGTCGATAACCAGGTTGAAGGGCCGCTGCTAAGGATAGGGTGTCAGTGATATTACTCGATAGCTGGCTGAGAGTGATGAGCTCCGAGGCGAGCGGGGAGGTCTTCCAGGTGTGCCGAGTGACAACGAGAGGAGCTCCGAGAGTATATGTATAAGCCCAGTTGGTAGCACAAGAGACCGGTCCTTGTAAGGGCCCGTTGACCGGCCTTCCAAATTGCGTATGAAGGATCACTATCACACAAGAGAGTCCTAAGTGCACAAATGTGTGCTCGGGAGGCGATGGACAATATCTTCAAAGATGGGCCTCTCTGGAGAAACAAGTCAGCAACGGGCATTAATATGGATTATAATAATGCCGAGAGATGCGGTGCCTCCTGACGAACCATAAAAATAATGTATGGAGTGGCAATTTCTTCGGAGAGGATGTTTCTGCGGATAACGCCATCTACAGTTGCCGGCCCTATGGCCACCAATACATTGCTGACGGAGTCATTCCAATCGCGTGGGCACAGAAGGTTGAGATTTTGACACCACACCAATGTATCACGTATAGCACCTTCATGCTGCACAAGGTCACCTACATCATATACAATGCGTGGGGATGCTCCAGATCGACAGTAGGCATCCCAAAGATCGTCAGTAGCGCGCAGTGCGAAGGCTTGTAGCGGCCTAAACATAATTTGGTCAGATCCCTCTGACAGCTGAGAAATCACCATACATACGCTACGGCACATATCTCTGACCAGGACCAGGGTTTCATGACATACATTTCAGCACCTTTTTATTTGGCCCACTCCTTGTATCTGGAGCCTTTCGCGAAGGAGGGAAGGAGGAAAGGACAACCTTCCACTCCAAGAACCTCGCACTGTTCCATGTCAGCGACTCTTGATTTCATTTAAGTCAAGTAGAATCCATCCTTCATTCACCACACTGAAATTTCCTCCAGGTGCATTTGTTCTGGTGTATTTCGCCCATCGCCGAACGTAAATCTCTGGGAGTCACGTCTATCGTGAATTGGTAGACACCGGACGTGACTCTCGAAACAAATAGTCTTTGTCTGGATCGGTCGCATGAATCGTTGATTGACCTCTGATCAGAGCCGTATGATCAGAGTGTACATAAGGAACAGAGCCTTCCTTAAACTTCCCTAGTCGCGCAGGTTAGTTCCATCGACACTTGAATTTGCGTGCTACGGACCAATAGTCTCACACCGGGCTGACCAGTCAACATGATAGGCCCCTGGTCTTGCTCGAAGGCCGCGATTGCGTCCATATACTCCTGTCGAATGAGTATCATCGGCTGAGAGTTTGCGATATATCGCCAGTGGCAGCCACGACAGGTCCGGAACAGTGCAGTCGACGATTGTATTGCTGGACCCCGTCGTGTCTCGAAAATCTTCCTAAACTGGAATTGAAGAATGCTTCCGAACGAAGTTACTGATTGCCAGTGGACGAAGCCGGGATTACGTCGCATTAATAACTTTGCCGATCTGCATCAAAAGCGTTACATGAAGGCTGGGGTCCAAAACAGAATGCCAAGTTTAAATTCAGGCTACAAAATGGATATGGCATAGAACTTACACTCTCATCTTCTCCTCGAACCTGTGCATCCACCAATCCCAAATCTTACTGTCGGAACAAGTACTCGACTCTTCCTCTCATTCTCGCGGATTGCTCTCTGGATCGCAGATGTCGTATACAACGCCGACTGAACGTGTTCGCGGAGACCACCCGATGGCGGGTCGACAGTGACCTCCATACTGTCTGCAAGACGCATTTGATGCAGAGTGTCGGTCTTGAAAGAGTCAAGGAACCTGCGCAGCTCGATGGCACCCGCTGGAGTGTCTGTTGTAACATCAGACATTAATACTCGGATGTGGAGTCGTATGTGCGAAACGCACCAAGCGAGTACACAGCTTTAGCAGGGTGTTCGACTTCAGCAACAATACCCTTCATGTCCCGCAAGACGTCGAGGGCGCCAGCATCCCACTCTCCGTAGATGCGGAATCCGAGGAGTGCATATTCGAGCCCTCCATCCGCCCAATCTTCAGCATGTGCAGAGTCAATACGGAAGTCGAGCAGGGGGTCGGGTAGTTGTGCGAAGACGTGTTCGATGAGAACATAAAGCAACTCGTGGAGTAGGACAAGAACGGCCGAGGCTACGAACGCGTCCGATTCCAAGTGGAAGTCTACCGCTTCCACGTCCCCAGAGCATTGATCCTACGATGTGAAGAATTAATGCACTGGTGCACTCGCAGGGATGGAAGTGATCGCGTACCGAGACTTGAACAGCGTTAACACAAGCTTCGGGTAGAAACACCTCGTTCTCTGCCTCTCCGACTTGAGCTCTCCAGACGGCACGGGGGACGACACGACGGGTGGTATTGCGACTGAGATACAGGTGCACATGTGGGAAGTTGTTCTGGAAGAAGTGAAGAACGTCTTCATCGGTGGGCATAGGGAGCAGGTCTCGTGCCTCGCTCCTGGCTTCATAGAAATCGAGGAGGATCTTGAGATATGCCGCGCGTGTGGACTTTGACTGTACAAGATGCTTCTGTACTTGGTACACCAGAGCGGTGACGGCCTCCCATCGATGCGGATGGTCCTCGTTAATTTTGCGGTTACAGTCATTGAAAAAGACGATACGAGACATGGTGCAGAACTAGCTTACGTGAATGATACTCATCTCAGTCCTGAAGGCATTTATATACGATTCCACACTTCCGCGCTGAAGGTACGGATATAAACCATCCGCTCTTCCGCTCGTGGACAGTTGTGGATCCGACGGTCTGCAACCAAAGCCGATGCCGCATCCGTTGCGCTGTTGGAACCGCATCCGCCGAATCCGTTGTCAATTGGCTCCCACTATAGTAACAGTGAAGGTAGGCATGCACCCTGCTACCCATCACGACGAATAGTTCTAGCAGTCAAGTGTTGCGAAGGTGGGCAGGTCAACTCGTTCATCTCCGCTACGACAAGCTTGTCGCGAAGGATGGGAACGTGGTCGAGCGTAAGTAGGATATTATTAGCGCTGGAACCGCTGCGGTACCGGTAGTCTCCGTCTAAAGCGGTCAAGCTTTCAAGTGAGACTGCGTAGACCTAATTGTTTCGTCGGTGAGTAGTTCGGAGCATTACTTCGGAACAGATGTGTCGAAAACTGCTGCCAAAGGATCTACGAAGTCATACACACTCTCAGGTATTTCTCCTTGGCCGTTCAATGGAGGTACGTTTATCTGCACCCGCCATCGGATGGTTACATCAACAAGAACAATATCCCCCTCGCGAAGGAGTTCTTCCCTCGCACGGTGCTCAAGCTTCAAGACGCTAGATGCTCGTCATTCGAATAGATCCCTTCTTGTCCTCCTCCACGCTCCGTAGTTCACGCAGAGATGTAGGCCGATCGGCATGCGGCGAGCATTCACGCTGACTTAACAACAGGCCGAACGAATTCCAGGAGTTAGTCACCGGGCGCGCTACCCACGACAAATCGCAGCTCAGTATTACAGCTTCGCCAGAGTCTCCCTGATACCGTCGCCCTCTACGAGAATGCACGGCCCGCCATAGATGACTTTGCTCTCGAGACCATTGTCCTTGATGTAAGAGACGACGGCTGCGTCCTCCGCACCGGGCTGGAGCCAGAGGGCGGGGATAGAGAGGGCTTTCGCCTGTTCGAGGATCCCCAGAGTAATCTGATAAACATACCGCAAAGATTAGAACGGCAGCGACTTCAGAATATCCGGGAAGTAGACCTTAGGATTTGTAATAATACTGATGGATGTATCAGCCGGCGAAGGCAAATCCCCTAGGCTGCGAACGGTGTTTACACCTTCGAGCGTGTCCTCTTTCTGGTGTAGGCCGAAGGACGTTAGATACGTCCACTTATCTGCCAATTGCACCTACAGGATGCACAGGGGTAACACTCAAGTCGCGAGCGAGGTACCACTTCAGAACCTAGAGATAACAACAATAAGTTCGCGCAGTAATTCAGGCTGATGAGGCGCGGTACCTTCGTCCCAAACTTGGTCTGGTCTTTCGACGCGCCTACGACAGCGTATTGAGGTGAGGAAAGGAACACTTTCTTGGTTTCCACCGAGCCAGACATGCTTCAGGCTTCAAGAAGATGGGGGTATGAGTACAAGCACTAACAGCTGAGAGCGACTGCACCCAACCGCGTCAATGGTTGGCGTATCAATCAGTCACGCCATAAGTCAGGATGCTGTCAGAATTGGCTGTGTCGATGCGGCTGCTAGGCAACATACCGACGAATATTTGGGGATAGGGAATACTGCGAAATTCTGAGACGCCTGAAGCCATTTTGCGCTGCACTTCGATGGACGATCATGGTGGCAGAAACGTCGCGCTACCACATTGGGCAGCCGTATTTGGTGGCTGAGTACTGAGTATTGAAGTCCGTCCTCGACCGTCAAGGTCACCACTTCAGAAAAATTACAGAGTCGAGCACGGATATAAGGTGAAGTTCAACCAGGTTTGAATTGCTCTAGATTTTTTTAGAGACAATTGAAATTTGCTTAGAAGTGCATGCCGGTCCAGAAACGCGTACCATGTCAAGTGTGCTCGAAGCAAGAGTCGAAATACACCTGCGCGCAATGTTTTATATCATAGTAAACGCCGATAATTTATTTCTTGAGAGTGTCATGCTCAATTATTCTCTTGGGCCAGCTGCTCATTGCCGTGCTACAAGGAACACAAAGGTGCGTACGTACATAGCCAATCTGTTTTCTTGAGGCTGATTTTCAGTGCACAGGGACTACCTGTGCCCCCCGTGAACTTGAGACGGGAGGCCCTAGTGCACCTTCTAGTGCGCAGCCCTTACAGAAGGAAGACGAAGGTAAAAACTTTTGTGTGCTCTTGTACAGATTGCCATTAACCCGGAACTACTCATCCTCTTAGCGGATGATGCTGCACCCCCTCAAGAACCGAGCCTGACGACGCAGCCTCCCCTTCGCCCTCTTACTTCTCTCCGATGGCCATACGTAGAGGAAGAGTCCGCGTACCCCGACCCACTGAAGCGTGACGACCCTAAGTCGCTGCAGCTGCATCAGTACGAAGAAATAGGTAGGCCCGTCGCTATCCTACACCACGGAAATTTATCATCTGGTTGTTGAATACCGCCGGGATGTTACAGCCACGTCTCCAGCGATCCGCCGAGCTCTCGCATCTCACCCCCAGCTTCCCGAGCTCCTCCGCTCGCTAGACCAGGTGCGAGGGGTCGATCGTGAAGAGGCGTTGCAGCGCGCTCTTGGCGTTGGTGACCCTTCCAACAGAACTAGTGAAGGCCGCTCGGAGGAAGACATCCGCGCACTGAGGGAGCTGGCTGAAGCGGTGGAGGCGGCAGTCCGTAGCGGGAAACCAGACGTTCTCGGGTTGGACTGGGGAGACGACACTTAGCTTAGCTACTTCCTGCAGCGGCAGCAATTAGGGATGCTGCGCATGATGAGTATATGTGGTACAGGTCTATGGCGTACAGCAGAAAGCGAGGATATAAGGATCAAGCAAGTAACGACGATTCGTGAGTACAACAAGGTAGAAATCCGACGCATCATGACATCTCTTCGTCGGAGTCCGATATGTATTCTTTACTTTTGCTGATATCAAAGAGTGTCAGTGCTAGGGGACCATTTGTCGCGCAGGGGAACTTACAATTGTTGGCGTTTCCGAGGAACCACAGTTTCCTCATCGTCATCGTCATCTCTGACCGTCCGTTTCTTGCCCGTCCGCTGCACACGAGCAAAATGTGGTTAGGAACGACACCACGACGAAAACCCAAATAAGCCACACTACCTTTCGCGTCGGCCTGGTCTCCTCCTCTCCGCTGAACAGTGCCTCATCGCCATCCCCAGCGCCATCCCCCCTTCGGAGCTTACGCCTCCGCTTCCTCGGCTCGCCCGCCTCGTCCCCGCTTCCGCCCTCGGGACGCGAGCGCCGGCTCGATGTCTTCTTCGCCTTCCGCTCACGCTCATCGTCGCTCTCTTGCTTCACCTCGCGAGTCCACTCCAACGCCTGTCCCCGCGCTATTCGGCGCTCCTCTGCCAGCTTCTCCGCCTGTATGCGCAGCTCCTCTAGACGTTCACGCTAAGGCAAGTCAATGAGCACAAGCGGAACGACGAAACTTACGAGAGAAAACTCACCTCTAGCGCTTCCAGCCGCTGCTTCTCCTCCTGCCGCTTCTGTCGCGCAGCCTCGAGCTTGGCTTGCGCCTCTTCCTCCCACTGCTTCTGTGTTGCGAGATGCTCGTCGCACCGCCGCAGCATGTTATCACCGTACTTCCGCCGCTGGTCGGCGATGTCGCGGTTGTACGGCACCACAGACGATTTGTCCGCGGCGAGAGACGTGAATAGCCTAGCAAACATGTAAGCCATAGTATCCGAGATTCGGGACACGAGCAGGGGAATGGCACTCACTTCTGTGCATGGCCTGCCTGCTCGATGGCGTGCTGCAACTCCTTGAGGGAGCGCTTCGCAGGGGGCACCGATATCAGCATCTCAGCCGCCTTCTGTTGGATCATGGCGATGTTGTAGAGGATCGCCTTGTCAGAGGGTAAGAGGTGGAATGCCTGTGTAGTTGAAACTGTCACAAATCCTCGTCAACTGAGAGTTTACGGGGTGAGCTCTACCTTCTGCGCATATTGCAAAGCCGTGGTCATGGCGCTGAATGACTGGTCCTTGTTCGCTTTCGCGTACCACGACCGGCAGAGGCACAGTAGTACCGGCACATTTTGTCCGTTGTAGAAACGCTTGGATGCGGTCTCATACTTGGTAACGAGTAGGTGAACAACCAAGGAAAAGCACACAAACTGCACTTACACTCTCGATAGCCCGGTCAAACTCGTCACGCGCGTAGTAACAGTGGCCCATATTGAAGTAGACACTGCCATCGTTGATGGACTCCCTGACCTTGGCAAATACGTCGAGCGCGTCGCGTGAGTTTTTCACCCGTTTCTGTGCCTCGTCAAGACCAATGGGTCCGAGACTGCCGCCGAGGGTTCCCAGCGCATCTTCCGCGGTCACAATTGCCAGCCCCTGTGCCGCAACAGCACACATAGGGTCAAGATGTAGGGCCTTCTCATAGAACTCGGCCGACCGTTGGAATCCCCGCCGCCGCTCCTCTACGCCCTTGGACGTCGCGTCGCGGCTCTCACGCGCCTGGTGGTACTGGATCCACCCAGCGGCGCATAATGAGTAGATGTCATGCTTGTCGTGGTCCTTGAGCGTCGAGAAGACGAAGTCTTTCGCGGGTTTGGGGAGGTTAGATTGGATGAGGAAGTACGTGTAATATGCGCGAAGGTTAAGGTTGCTAGGTTGAGACGCGAGCGCCTGCTTGAGAAGGTCGTGCGCTTCGTTGTTGTGGTTGAGGTCTGCGAACATCTGAGCTTGCCGTAGCTTCGCTGTGGTATGGTAAATAATGGTACCGATGCAAGAGTGGAACATGGAGAACATACCATCGACATACTCTGGATGTCTGTCCAGAAGTTTTTCGTATGCCTCTGTTGCCATGATCGTCTTACCTTCCTCCTCGTATACCCGAGCAAGATTATAGAGTATAGAGGTCGACATGCCCTCCGCCACATCCGGGGAGAGGGCGGCAACGTACGTGAGGGCGGTCTCATACATAGCCCGAGCCGTATCGACACGGCCCTCCAGGTGCTGCAGCGCCGCAAGGTTATTCACCAGTCGCGGGTCGGGCTGGCCGGTCGCCTCACTTATCCGTAGCGCCTCCTGGAGAGCGCGCTCCGTGCGGTCATTGCTTTCCCCCTGCCACAACCGTGCGATCTCGGTGTGCATGTCCATATCCTCCGCGATCTTTTGAGCAGAGCCGCTGAGCGTCTGAGGGTTGCCATTCGACTGCAAGTGGCTGTCCTCTGGGAGGTGAAGCGTCTTGCAGACGTAGTCAAAGAGCTCGCGCGCACGGACCTTCTCCTGTGCCTGGTCGGACGCGGACACTCCGGGTCGAGGATGTGCACGGAGAGATGCAAGCATGACGGTCACTTCGACCGAGCGATTCGCGCCAGTCTGCTGAAGCAGCGTGTCTAGCGCGTGGATGGCTGCGGGTATCTCGTCTGGAACAGTCCGTAAGGGCATGAGCTTTCAACACTTGAGAGATTAACCTCACCGTTCTTCAGCAGTAACTGCGCCGTACCGATGTTTGCAAGGACATTCTGCGGCGAACCTTCCTTCGCACGCGTATAATGCCATGAAGCATCTCCTGCTGAATACTGGACGCGGCACACACGCGCCGCTCGAACGTGTCCATCTGTCACTAGCGTTTTCACATCGGCGAACTGAATGGCACGCTCGGCCAGCTTCATCGCCTGAGTATCAAAGGTCAGCGGAGAGCAACACACCAGAAGGGGCGACCCTTACTCTCTTATACTGCCCTCTCTGGAGGAAAATCTCCGAGAGAGCATTAGCGGCAGCCGAGTTCCGCTGGTTCGCGTTAAAGGCCCTCTCGATGAGTCGCGTGCCGAGCATGATCTCGTTCGTGCGCTCCTCTTCCGTCTGGTTCTCGTTCTTGCTCGCATTTAATGCTTCCAGCCCGAGCAAGAGTTGCGCAGACCAGCTCGAGGGGTTCTGCCAAGCGTCAAACCGTGGAATAGAAAACGTTGGCGGGGGACACTTACCACTTCAACGCTGCGTTGCCACGCGACTTTTGCTCTCTCCTTGTGATCCATCGCCCAGAGGCAGAGACCGATGCCGATGCGAGGGTCTGGCACACATCGTGGATTCAACTTGAGGACTGTCTGGAACAATTTCAAAGCCTGAGCGAACTGCCGTCTTGCATACAGGATTTTCGCCTAAGCCAAAGTCAGTTTATGTTTATAAGGGAATATAGCTAGATCACCTTGCCCAGCAGTGCAATAACATGGGTCGGTTTTTCAGCAAGGATCCCCTCGAACGATCGAAGAGCGTCCTCCATACTTCTCGTACCCATTTGCAACACACCTCGATCGCACACGAAATTAGCCTTGGGCGCCCGTCGTAAGGACATAATCGCATACCTCGGGTCAACACCGCCAGCGCGGTACCGGCAACGCCGGATTCCGCTGCCCTCTTTTCGCCCTGGTTGAACCAATTCGCAGCTTCCTTATAAAACTCCTCCCTTGGTTTCTCAGAGGTCATCATGTCTTCGTCTAGTGGGCGGCAGTGTTACCACAAACCGGATTGCGAAGACAGGAGGAACTCACGGGCGTTCTCCAGAATGAGCTTTGGCGCATGACCCGCTCGTGCAATAGAAATGTTGGCCAGCAGACAGTAGACGGGTGGCAGGTCCGGAAAATCGCCATGAGCGTTCAGTGCTGTGAGGCGGGATGCAGTTAGAGTCCATGGTCATTCACGTGCATACGTACATTCGATAGCGTTTCGGGCGATAGACTCTGCCTGGTCAAGATACCCTTGTCGCCAATACTCGGATGCTAATCTGGTCCAGATGCCGACGCTGTACTGCCTTTCCTTCAACAGGTCGATGAGGTCGCTGGCGTCCGGATCTAGGCTGTCCAAATCAATAGCAATGACTTCATGACTACCGACCTCGATGTCGATGAACCGTGGGACTATTGTGGGTGGTGTTACCGAACGACTGCCGCTCATGTTAGTCCAAAGTTTGTAAGTTTCCGGTGTGCAGAGTTATCCGAGGGGTCAACCGAGTGGCCTCAAGAGCTAGGGTACATGCAGTAGTGGGTATCACCAGCCAGACCAAACTGGTGCAGCGGAGATGGTAATATTAATGGTGGCGGTGGTGACAGTTGAAGCGCCGGTCTGCGTCGTGGCGAAGTGAGCGCGTTGTTTGTGCATGTTGTGAATTTGTGGCTAGGCGCGCTCGGTGACTGCGTCGTCGTCGTCGTGGTGAACGACGTCCGCCTTATTCTTCGCGTCGTCCATCTCCCGATCTACAGCAAGTGCAACGATTTGTTCTGGAGCGCACAGAACGCTCTCTTCGCTCCCTTCTACAAGAATCACTGGCTCTTGTTGGCCAGGCCTCCACATCGTCCTTGACCGACGTTCGGTCATCCTTCTGCGACAGTCTCAGGACCTCTGGATATCATCTCTGACGGGATACTCAGTCCTCTGAGCTCTCTTTCTGCCGTACGTTCGCTCTCCGTCGTTGCTATTTTGTGCTGCACCGAAAAATCGAAGGTCGGACTGAAGGCACGAAGCACGGGGGCCCATCCTCCCCACATCATACATGACTGTCACACATCGCAAGAGACAGCACCAGCCAGAAGAGATACAAAGTATGTGCAACCTCTGCTATTCCGTCCTCCGCATTGCGCTGAGTTCTCACGCGTTTCCCTTACGTAAATCGCGTTTCTGCAGCGGTGAACGAACCTGGTCTCCAGATTCAATGTGACGGTTGTTTATGCGATCTCACACACTCCATCCGGATAAAATGTGCCGATCCTATCTGTGAGCCTGGCGATGGCGTCGACATCTGTCCCGCGTGCTTCTGCAGCGGGAAAGAGTTTGCGAAGCATAAACGGTGGCATGACTACCGTGTGGTCGTGAGTTAGACAATTATTAGAGAATTTGCGGCGATTCAGTCCCATGATTTTCACCTGTAGGAATTGCATTCATACCCTATTTTCTCCGACGATTGGGGAGCCGACGAGTGAGCTTTTTCATCATTTTGGTGCACATACCACCGATCACTCTCCATTTTTCAGAGAGCTACTCCTTTTGGAGGGCATTTCCTTGCAAGGCCTGGGAAACTGGCAAGCAATCGCTGAGCACGTCGGCACGCGTACGAAGGAGGAAGTCGAAGCGCATTACAACTCAGTATACATAGACTCTCCAAATTGGCCGCTGCCTGTATGCGTCATATTCTCTTGTGCAGGATGTGTCTGATGCGTAATGACTGCAGCGCATGGACCTCGAATTCAACATCGATCCCTCCGAATTTCAGGAACGGAAGCGCCGCCGCATCTCCACCATGAACACTAATCCTCCCCCAGCTCCAAAGATCGCTCCCACGTCTGCCCCAGGTGTACATGAAGTCGCCACTTTCTTGCCCGGGCGACTCGAGTTTGAACATGAACTGGACAACGAAGCCGAGGATCTCGTCAAGGACCTGGAGTTCGGCGTCTGTCTGGAATGGGGCGGCGACGAGATCGCGGAGGATGAGAACGATCCCGATGTCCGCGCGAGGGCCCGTTGGGAAGAGGAACAGAAAGCCAAGGAAGCTACCCCCGGAAAGCGTATTCCTAACGGGTTGATCAATGGTATCTTGAACGGCGAGCACTCCAATGGCGACACGCCGAAGCGGGGTGTCCATGGGAAGTCGGAAGACGGCGCTAAGAACGAGAATATCACCGCCGATGGTGAGGCGGAAGTGGAGGAAGTGACACAGCCGCCACCCATCGAGAATACCGACTCTCTTGCATTCAAATTGTCCTTGATTGAGATGTATCACCAGCGGGTGGCGAAACGCCACGAGTACAAACAGATCATGTTCGATAGAGGTCTTCTGAACCACAAGCAGGTGTGTGACCAGTCTTACCTCGAGCCCTGATATTCATGATTGCGGCTTAGATGCAAGCGGCGGATAAGAAGCGACCAAAAGATGACAAAGAAATCGTGCACCGCCTTCGCCCATTCGCTCGCTTGCAGACTGCCTCGGATTTCGAAGTTTTCACTGCGGATATCCTTTGTATGTTATCAAATTGTTCGTCTAAAAGGATACTGAAGTTAGTTGCAGACGAGGCGGTCCTCAGAAAGAGGATCCAGGAACTGCAGCACTACCGCAGGATGGGCTTGACCACCGCTGCGGACATCGAGAAGTACGAGGCGGATGTTATTAAACGGGTGCGTCTGACGTCGTTTATACCAGACATCTCGTGTGGCTTACCTCTTACCCCTTCAGGCGTCAGTGAAAGCGAATCTGACTCGCGACTACTATTCGTCGGATCGCCTGCAACTTCGCCCTGGAGGGCGCCAGTCCTCTGGCCCTGATGCCCGCCGCTCAAGCATGCCTGACGCTGACGGCCGCAAGAGTCACGAACGGGAGATGACGCCGAAACTTCCCATGGTCCCCAACGTCGCAGGTGTCGGCCCACCCGGACGCAAAATGCGTAAGACACTCGTTTTATGTATTCACGAGCGACACTGACCCCATTCCAGCTGCGCCCCTCAATCTTGCCAACAGCCCCTCCCTTCACTTGCTCACCCCAGAGGAGCAGACCCTCTGTTCCTCTCTACGGATCCTGCCCAAGTCGTACCTGATCATCAAGGAGACACTCGTACGCGAATACGCAAGGCGCGGCGGGAAGCTGCGGAGGCGCGAGGCACGCGATCTCGTCAAAATCGACGTGAACAAGACGAGTCGAGTGTGGGACTTCCTGGTTCAGGCCGGGTTCCTCAGGGTCGGGGCTACCGACCCTACGCTCACGGCGCCCAACGGTGCCGACATGAGGTGAGTACACAATGTTCCTTCTCTTTGCATGTCCTGATGTGGCGTGGGTTGTAGTCGACCGTCGGCAACACCATCGCTGAGCGCTTCGCCGAGTAAGGAGTCGCAGGCACTGGTCTCGACCAGACCGCCGCCGTTCACCACTGTTCCAACCAACATGGTATACTCCTTCACTCCATTCTCCACAAGTTCTGCACTGCCAGGCCCATCATGGCCACCTGGCTGAGCGGCTTTGCTATATAGGATGGGGTTCGGACATTATAATTTACGTGTAATCTTGTCGTTGTATACCCCCGTCGCATCTGTATCTTACCCAGCACCGCATTATATCAGCTCTGTCGTTCCTGCAGGACCTATGGTGCTCTGTCGGGCGAGTACCTCAACATATCTTCGATGATGCCCGTGTCCACAGGTATTTCGGCTGAACGGAGGTAATCATCGTTCCTGGTGGACTGTCAATACATCTGGTTCAAAACAAATCCTCGGTATCAACTCACCAGAACTATTGCGGCAGCAGATTCCTACGTGTAAGCAAACAGTGCAAAACGATGGCTTCGAAACATACCTTTGAATAATGCCTACTTCCCGAATCGCACCTGTCGATGTCGTTAGAAATTTAGATTGTTAGGAGTGCCAGAGAGAACAGACAATATGGTGACAATGGTCTGGCCTTCCTTCCATCCCATCTTCTTTGCGAGCTTGATGGCTGCTACAAGGTTACATGCGCTACTGGAGCCCAGGAAGAGGCCGTCATTGTGCACGAGGTAGCGCGACATGCTCACCGCCTCGGCATCGGTGATCCTATGCACTGTATGAGGCTTCGAACAGACGTGCACGAGCGCAATGCTCAGCGTGTCGGCACATACCGGAAAGCATCATTGATTATGGGGAGCGCGAGCTCCATGTTGTGAGTAAGCCGGTTAATCCCTCTGCGCAAGTGGATCGACAGATTGTGAAGGCCATTTGTGTGACAGTTTGAGATCCCACCTACATTCCTTCGACTACAGTGTCCACCTGATGTCGCCGCTTCGTGCCTTCCGCTTCCTTCTGGTCAAACATGACACCATGCTTCACCTTGGTAATTTCGCAGGGCAGTGAAAATGGTATGAATCTCCTGCGAGAAACTTGATTTACTTACCTTGTTATATAGCCCACTACCCTCGGGATCGGCTAGCACAACCAGGACATCATCGTCCACTGACTTCAAATATTGGCCAGTGCCAGCGATTGTACCTCCAGTACCTGCGGAGATCATTAGCCATGATTTTATTAACACACTGACTGCTAGCCTACCTGCCCCAGAAACGAACGCATTTACCCTGCCATTAGTCTGCCTCCAGATCTCCGGGCCAGTGCCGTCAAAGTGGGCAAGATAATTGCTTCTGTTCTGGACAAATTATCAATTTCCGCATTACGACGTCCGCCCCCCGCGCATACCTCAAACTGATCCGCAAAAAATCCTCTGGGTTTTGTCCGTAGCTCCTCCTCTTCTTGCGCGGACATGACAGCGTGGCCTTCAGTCAGTGCCTCCGTAGCGGTTGTCGATACGACGACGGAGGTGGTTGAGGTGCGCAGGAGGTGGTGGTGCAGGGGAGACGCGGAATCGGAGATGGGGTCGTCTGCGAAATTCTTCGCTCGTTCACGGGCCAGGTTCTTCCGGAGACAATTTGATCTTGATCATTCGTCCGTTCGAGGATAAGTTTTACTCACCACAAACTGTCATGAGCGCACAAGAGTTAGCAATCTGGACGTGAGTGATAATTGTTCGGACGCACTTGCTTCTTATCCACAATACTTGCGGGCCTCACCCTCTCCACTTCTGCGCCGAGTGCCAGTAGAGCCTGCACTTTTTCCTGGGCAACGTCGTCTGGCATGATAATTGCTTGAAGTTGAAGTGGCCGTCAGTTGAGCAAGTAGATATCAACAAAGCATGATACATACTTGCTTCATATCCTCTATTATCCATCTCATTTCGTGAACCATAAAACAAAAGACAGAGATGCACCCACCTAGCTCGTGCAATGGTCGCAATTGATATACCGGTGGAACCTACCGTACCTTCAAAAATGCGAGAGCCTGTATGTGGATACAGGAGGCCCTGCAGTTCCGCATCTTCTATCACTACAGCAGTAGACAGTTGAATAAAATTCAGCAATATTATTTTTCAATCTCAAACTCACTTCGCAGTGCGACCCGGTCCTTGACACTGCCTCCAGGATTGAGAAACTGAGAATCGATGGTCAGAGTTATGGTGCATCTTCGAGGGTGCAATCTTGACCTCCGCCTTCCCTAATATTTCTACTCCCAAAGCATCACTCAGGGAGTTTATTCTCACCAAAGGTGTATTTCCTGCGGAAGCGACACATGTAACGATAAATATATATCGGTACCAGTATCAATTTCACCACACACCGATCAACCCAGTCACGCCGCGAAGCACTTCATCGCTGCGAAGCTCTATGGGGCGTGCCTCGAATTGACGCGCCAGTCGTTCCCTCTTACGCTGCTGGTAGTATGATGCGAAGGAAGTCGAGGTCAGAGAAAGCGAAAAGCCGATTATAATCCCATAGACTATATGCCGCAGGGTTGTAGATGTCGGAAGATGCACGTTGAAAGGCAGCCGAAGAGACGGGAGCCACGAAGAAGCCATGACGCGAACTTGGTCAGATCGTGCAGACACAGGTATTCTTCAACCGTGAATACAGTGTGCTCCAAGTCAGCTATATAACCTGATTAACAGCCCGATAAACACTCAGAATTTGAGCTTGAATGATCGAGCGATGGTAGAAAGGAGCAAGCCTGAAGGTCCGAATACTTCCACGTTCCCGGGCTCGCAGTCGTGTCTCGATCACATGACGTGGAGACGCGTCGCGTTCTCGGCCGGCGCCTCGCGAGCACTATGGTTCATATTCACAAATCTCTCAATAGACAGAGTCGCAGCCAGCGATATCAGCACCATCGTTGAGTGCATCACAAGAGGAGCGGCCATCCTCAGGGGTGCAGTTGTGCCTCTGCAGTACTAAACAATCTTACTGTCCACTGGTATTAACTTTGCAACTCGTGTGGGGGCTTTATTCTTCTGTCTTCAATCTTCCCCAGCTACACTTATATGATGATGCTCGGGGGATTCTGTGACTGAACGAGTGGTTTAATTTATATGCAACTATATCCTGTCGAACCACAAGGAGCACTGCGACCTAAGACTCCGTGACCTTCCCCAGCACTTTGCGATCCTCCTCGATCAACAACCTGAGATCATGATACAGGAGCGTGCTATGAGCCAAACGGAGACTCTCCATGTCCACCGCGCCAGACAGGAGACTAAAAAGGCCGTTTTCGTTCAACCTTTTCCAGCACTTTGCGATCCTCCTCAATCAACAACCCGAGATCATGATACAGGAGCGTCCTATGAGCCAAACGGAGACTCTCCATGTCCACCGTGCCAGACAGGAGACCAAAAAGGCCGTTGTCGTTCACACCTCGAGCCGTATTCGCTGTAGGTGGCGTAATCGAAGACTGCTGTCGGTTACGAGTGACGGAAGAACTAGCGACATTGTAGGAACCAGTGACATTGGAGGAACCAGTGACATTGGAGGAACCAGCGAAATTGAAAGAACCAGCGACATTGGAGGAACCAGCCACCTTAGAAGAACCAGCGACTTTCCGTGAAGCAGAGACAGTGGGGGAACCAGCGATATTGGAGGAACGGGCAGCATGAGCAGAACCAGGTGCATCGGGAGTACCAGGCTGCAAGCTCTGAGTACGTCGAGTGCTGGCCTTAGCAGCAGCGTACGACGCCTTCCCCGTGATCCGCGCGCGCTCTTGCGCCGCAAACTCCGCGTACCAGCGCTTGGAGTTCACCTTGTGCCGCGCTGTCCTCAGGTGGTTGCTGAGCGACTGCCGGCTTATCCACTCTCGCGCCTTGCCATTCTTGCGTGGATCGTCCTGGCAGGCGTCGCAGCGGACCTTCCCGGTGACGGGATCTAGGGTGGTCTCTGGAGAATAGTGAGTGCCACAGCGATCCATAGTAGAGGTTTTGGGCATGATCTGCTCACCGTAGGGAAGAGGAGCCGGCTTAGGGGTCATGATGGATGCGCAGAGTGAGTCCTTCAAGCAGGTCGAGAAAAGAAATGGGAGTGGCGTTCGAATGGATACGCTCGGGGATTTATAGTAAATAATTCATACTCCGGTGTTGCTTATGCACGAGGCTTGCACGAGGCCGTGCCACATCTAAACAACAATAACCAAAGTCAGATTTCACGTACCACGTATTCTCCACTTCCCATCCAGTTCCTACTGTATCTTCTGGCAGCAGAATCAACCGAGCTATAAGCATGAAGAGGTAGAAGTGAAGGAACTGAACCAGTCTAAGTGGTACTTCTTCCGGCCTATCAGTGTTCACGCGGTCCCGTGACCCGTGTCGCCAACTCGGGCGCTAAGCGCTGCTCGTATTTTGCTTTGACGCGGAGCCACGATAATCTACTTACAGCAAATCCTCGCATGCACGGGTATTCCCAGTCTCCTACCCATTCGCTCGTGGGCGGAAGGGGGACTTGTTCCGAAAATGCAGGAACTTCTATGTTTTATACAAGATACCCGTAATGATCATATCACGTGCATTCAGATCTTTGTCCCGATCAACCTTATTTCCCCCAACCGCCCACGAACGACTGGCACAAAACATTTGTAAACAAATAACGCTCAGCTCAGGATAGTGACATGCCGGAGGGGCTGGGGAATGTAGCTGTGCTTTGTGCGCCAATGGAGGAGTACTTTGGGGCCTCCTGTGGGTTGTGCGAGGCGGGCCGGCAAGAAGATATAAATCATTTGATAGTGGACAACGCTTCCCGAAGGTAGAGTGGAGGAAAATCGGAACGACTACGAAGAGTGGCACAGGCGGAAGGAGGAGAGCGCGTGGCGACGATACGGCGAGGATATGGAGCTTGAAAACCGCAGGGAGCGCATTGCGATTCTCGATGTCATGGGCATCTCTGCTCTGGAGGGGTCAGTAGCCATTTTATGCTGCTGAGCCTCTGTAAGGATATGATTAGAAGGATAGAGTAGTCGAGGCGTCGGAGTTAGCCGAGGCGTTGAATACGCGCTCAACCGCGTAGAAGGGTTTTTCGTCTTTACTTTACTCGCTGAAAACTTGCCTTCCGAATAAACTCGGTTCAGTGCATTTCCCGCGACTTAAGGACCACCAAAGGCCGCAAAAGCCTTATAGCCTCTCACCGACGCCATACCGCAGGACCGGTGTGCGCGTCAGACACGGATATCCGAGGCACGAAGGTTGAAGCAGAGTGGCCACAACTGCCTTTGGGAGACTAGTGTGTGCGGCAGTGGATTGGCTGTTCATACGAGTGCAGAATAAGTAGTAGTCGACAGTATTATCCCTCGTATCGTTTTTACTGAGATACAGGCGAGTGAACAGACCGGGCAGTAGATGAGCGAAGTTAAAATTTCCCGTGCCCGTGCATGTTTTTGCCCTCTATCATTTTGGATTATCAGTGAGTCTTCCCGTTCTGTTTCGAGAGACGGTCTCTCATTATTCCTCGCGTCATACAACATTACCATTTAATATAAAATGACTAGAGCGCACATGAAAGCCAATAGCAGTATTCGCATTCCACACCAGTGATTCCACTCCAGGTAGCTCGATTCGCTGAAAAATTTTCCTTCACAATTTTTAGCAGGATGGAGGTCCAGTCATTCAATTATGTAGGCTTCTTCCAAGTTCCAGGGACTTGCTCTGCCCGTTTTGGCGTTCGACTCCACTTGCGAAGATGGTGGCGCATCTGCAACAGTACTCAGTATTTGGTGTCATCCTGTTGCTGCGATCTGTTCCACGCTGTGGGGAATATATCATGAGCGCTCGAGCACTAAGGCCTGAGGTTCACTCACGTGTATCATGATGTCTGATTTGGCAAGTTGCATACCAAGACGAGTAGAGGTCTAGTGAAAACTGAGTAGTATTTAAATATTTACTGCAGGCGCGCATGCAAGCAGATGCAAAGTACTACTCTCGCCCGCTCATTTGAACAACAGCTGTATTAATATTTCTCCCTCAATTAAAGCTTCGAGTCAGGCTGCTAACTGTAGTTTGACAGGTCCCACTGCTCGAACACCTTCAATTCCTCTGATGCGCCGCAGATCCGAATAACGGCTCCCTTGCGACCGAATCGCACTCTTCTGCCTGCCAGAAAGTATATAGCATGACGGTGAGCACCAACGTGTCCATCTCTCTGTATCCCGTCGCTCATCCATCATGCGGTCTAAAGTCAGTCTGCTCTCTGTTGTCTTCGCTTCGCTCGTTGTCTCTGTCTCTGCACTTCCGTCTCCTTCGCGCTCTGCTATCCGTATTCCGGTTCACAACCGTCGCCGCTCGTTGACTAGGCCAGACGGAACTTTTAACCACGAAGAAGCCATTATTCAAACTGTCAAGACCCAGAAGTACGAGTCCCCTCCCACTTAATGTTGCCATAATCTCTCATTGCTAACCAAAATCGCAGCAAACATCGTCAGAATCTCATCAACCTCGAGCGGAACGTAGGCCGCGCCGCATTTCCACCGGGTGCTGAGATCAAGCCGCTCGCGACCGTGCCTTCTTCGCTTCAGGCGCGCCAAAACGAGCCGCTCATCGACGAGGAGAACGGCCTTGAGTGGACGGACAACATCGCCATTGGCACGCCCTCGCAGCCTTTCCTCATCGACTTCGACACCGGCTCGTCCGACCTCTGGGTCCCGTCGCCCCAGTGCACCAGTAATGTTTGCCAGGGGAAGCACAAATACAACGCGGGCTCGTCGTCCACGAGCACCGAGAGGCCGGGCACATTCTCCATTCAGTATGGTGACCAATCCACTGTTTCCGGTCCTATCTATACCGATACCGGTCAGTCGAGCGTTCACTAGCACTGTCAGAGTCGCCCTCACAATGAGACTGACGTCCCTGTAGTGGATGTTGCGGGGGTGACGGTCAAAAGCCAGTACTTCTCCGCCGTGACCGAGCTATCGAGTGAATTCCAGGACGACCCGGTGGACGGTTTGCTTGGCCTTGCTTATCCCAAGATATCCAACCTCAACCAGGTATGGGCAATAATGTGCGCGTCCATGCTCCTTGAGTCTGACTTTGGCAGACTCCGTTCTTCAATAACGCGTACGAACAAGGCGCTGTTCCAGAGGATGTCTTCTCCTTCAAATTGGCTTCTACCGGATCTGAGCTCTACCTCGGCGGCACCAACAGCAAGCTCTACACTGGCTCCGTAGAGTATCACGACATCGACACGACAACTGGCTTCTGGCAGCCCATGGATGCGAGTGCAATTGTCAACGGAATACCCGTCGTTAACAGCATCGATACCATCATTGATACTGGTACGACTATTATGTATGGCCCTCCCGCCCTCGTCGCGTTGTTCTACCTGGCGATCCCTGGCTCGGTCCTCTTCGACCCAGTGAACGGATATTACGCGTATCCGTGCGCGCAGCCCCCTTCCGTAGCATTCAACTGGGGCGGGAAGAACTGGGCTGTCAGCGCGGAGAGGCGAGTTTCACGAACCCCTTCATCAGTTCAGAACTACACTGATCGCGCACTGCAGCTTCTCCCTAGGTACGATTGGACTCGGGTATTGTGCTGGGGCACTTGCAGGTAAGGACCTTGGATTTGGTCCCGATACCTTCCTCCTCGGAGACAGGTATGTTTGTTACTGATCGGTGTACCATGCATAGCTCACATGCTCTGCCTCCTCCTCAGTTTCATAGTCAACGTCTACACAGTCTTCTCCTTCGCTCAGAGTGCTGTAGGGTTCGCTGACCTAGCGTAGGACATTGAGGGTCAAAAAGATTCCTTCGTGGCTTGTAGCTCTGGATGTAAGTACGTTCTGTCCCGTAGCACAGAATTCGTGAGTATGAGCATGTGATCCTGTAAACGCGCATCGCCGTAGGATCCACGTTGTGCGCCATTCTGTCTGCGTTTCGACTGGTAAATGAGCGCAGCTCTGGGGGACACCTGATGTCATTGGTTGCCGTAATCTCCGGATGTGTGGACTTCAGGTTGCAAGATCACGTATGCATGTTTCTATTGAACGGCTGCGCTGTCGTCTGACATGCTGTATCCCCGCATCTTGTGTCCTGCGCTGCGGGCGTGGATTGCGCCGACCCACGCGACAACAGCGTGGTCACCTTTTCTGACTAGTGGACGTCAACCTGCAGCCAAGCACCATTGCTCGTTACCTCAGTTTCGACGACTCGTTTTGGGGCCTGCCGATATCCTCCGAGGCGTCTGTCGCTGAGCATACGCTGAAAGCATTGCGTGAAGCGAGCGACCAATGCCCGTATCATGATAGACATAGACAGATGTCAGCAGCACGTTCGAGGGTCGTAGGGAAACCGTATCCTCGCATAGCTCGAACCTGTGGGAAGACTCATTACATCACGCTCGGGGTACATCAAAACCTGCAGAGAAAATAAATTAGTTATACCAAGGTACGGACCTCCCTCATCGCCTGCGCCTCCCCAAACGCAACGAGGTATACATGAATCCGGGAATCCGCCACTTCCGGAAGCGGATCGACGAGATGAATCGCCTGAAGATACAAAGATGCAATAAAATGCCGCATGCTGCCTATCTCTAGATCGTCACGAGTTGAGGAACCGGTTTGCCATCTCGAACCCAAGGAATGTCGCGCCATTCGCGAATGGCGAACTGCGATCACCGTACGTGGCATGAGTCGTGAATGAACGGGAGCGGCGGCTTTTTCCTAAGACGCACCGTATGAGCGTGGGCCCCAGGCCACGCGTGAACGCGCCTATGCCCTCTGTGCGCCACACCTTCCGCACGCAGTCTAACGTGGACTTGTATTTTTGCCCGTCCGCAGCGGAGAATCCGTCCGTCTGCATGCGGGACTTGACCATGTCTATCGGGTATATGACCGCCCACAGCTGCACGACACGCGTCAGTCACTGGCGTCACAGGACAAGCGGAACACGTACGGCGTAGCCCGCTGCGGCGCCGAAGAGGACCGCGTTCGCGGGGTTGACCTGGTCGCGGCGGATGCCCTTCTCCGCCATTTCGCGCTGCATCAGCTTTTCGTACGCCCAGAAGTAGATGCCGTACCCGACGGCTTCGCGCCAGAGGGTCACGACCTGGCCCTTGTAGATGCCGGGGATTCCGCGCGCGGCGTATATTTTTTTGATCGCGTCGTATGGGCCGGCGTATACTGGGTTTGTCGCCGACTGGGTTTGCAGACCTTCGAAAGAGGAGATGCGGGTTTGTGACAACGGAGAGGTGGATCGAGGGTGGAGGACTCACGTATACGGATGTGCTCGACGGGCCCGGACACGACGCCGTTCGCCAGCCCCGCAAAAATACCAGATATGAATATTTGCGCATCATCCAACGTCGCACCCCCTGGACCGCCGCGGTTGTGTGCGCGGTTGTACTGCGCGCAGTACCGCTTCGAGTACTCGAGCGCGCCGAACTGGATCGAGACGCAGACGCCGATGCCCAGCAGAGGTGTCAGGGTTCCCTGTAATTATTCCCGTGTGAGAAAAGAACCGTTGCACAACGACGTAATGTGCACACCTTGTAGAACGCCAGAGGCCCTTCATTTTTCAGGATCCCGCCCGCACAGTGGAGCATTCCACTGTACGTCCCCTTCGATGCCGTCTGCATCCTCTGCAGATCCGAGATCGCTCGGGTGAACGGTTTATCCATCACCAAAGAAGACACGCAGACGTACCACCTTCACGATGTCGAACGGCTGGCCCACCAACACCTGCGGGACAGACGCGTTAGCAGACCGCTCTCGCGACTCACCTGGAGCGGTTGCGGCCGTACCTGCGCGATTCCCCCCGCTGTCCCGGCCGTCAAGTCCTTGACCGTCTTCGACATCGTCGTTCTCACCAGCAGCGTGGGGGCCAAACGGCGTTCGAGGCGAGTTGTGTCGAGTCACCGCTGACAGGATGGGGAACCAATCCACGCGCGTCTTTTCCGCGACCCCGCGTTCGGCGTCTGATAAGATAAGATTGTGTCTCGGCGCTTATCGGGCTGGTGCGATCTCACCGTGACCGCGACTTCAATCCTGCGCACAAAATACATCTGCAATATACGAAAGCTGCCATGTTGAAAGCGAAGGAATACATAGTGTGGTTAGACGGCAAATGCTGTCCCATCGTCTAACCTGAAAACAACCGCTTCTACCCATCTCGCGGTATAAATAGCTGATGACACCTCACACCTCACATCTTTCCTTTGCTCGCCGCCTTCCTCGCATTGGCCCAGACGTGCGGAGAGGTGTACTGCTGCCTGGCCTTCGCATCTGCCATTCGCCACTGCTCCTGGCTTTCTTGGGATTCTCTGTTCCACGCCTGGGCGATCACCTGCGCGGGGGTCAAATTCACATTCTGAGTCATCGGAGGCGGGTGCAGATGATTATTCGGACGTTTCGTGAAGGAAGGTGGGTCAGGGGCCATCTACAGCGCTGCATAAGGCTTTAGTGCACGGTGAGCAAGACGCACGACGTACGAGGTTCGTGAGGGGGCATTACTTGGGCACGGTAAAAATACAAGGTTCGCATTTATACGCGGGCGGGTTCGACGTCCGCTAATTGACGGAGATCGCATGACTTGGAGGGCTCGATAACCTATACGAGACGCCAAAAATGAAGGGCGAAGAGTACATAGAAACTGCCGTAACGAGACGGGAAGTAGGTGCATTGTCGTGCCCAAAAAGGAAAGGCCAAAGGGGACGGAGCAGACAGCAATGCGAAGCTGGCCGACCAGCCCTGGCGCGCAACGAGGCAGGCATTTTGCATGCTGCAGGCGAATTTGTAGGCAGATTCTCACTGCAGAAGGCGCGAAAGACAGTCATATCTCTCGGAATCAGGACGCGTTTGACACACCTTCGACGGCTTCGGGAACAATGGCCCTCGGTGTTCGGCTACTTTGCGCACGCGCCGCGCACGGCGCGAAGGTTCTCCATCGAGCGGACAATGCAGGAGGCAGAGAGATCCTTGTTCCCGATTGAGGCCCCCTTGACTGTTCACAAGTTGCCAGCAGATCCGCGAGCATATTTCCAGCGATAAGTTTCGTGACCGAAGTCATTGTACACACGAAAGTACACGAGATACAGCATCCGCGAAGCTTGAACAATGCCCGTCGGGAGCCTCGCAAGGAAAGATTGAGTTTATCAGGTCCATCGCCATGCGGGGGTCTGCGCACGCATCATTGTGTTTCGCACGTCACCCCGAAGGAGAAATCTCCAAGGCAATCAGAATGAAATTATCTCACTCGTTTGGGTAACCAGAAGGTAGAGAACTCGTCCCGCGAGTGAATTGGGATGAATTGACTCGGAAGCTGGTGTCGGTAGGTGTCGGTTGGCAGTTATTAAATTTGACCGCGAAGTGCTCGTAGCGCTAGAGCCCGCGGTGACGCAGCAGCGATGTATTCTTCCATTTCTTGCGCGTCGTAACGCCCCGCCGGAAGGTCTCGCACAAAGTCATGGGAGATGTTCGTGAGCTGACGAAAGTCAGGAGGAAGAGATAGTGGAGATATTCGGAACAACTGCCCGAGGTTGCATGAGACAGCTTGCTCATCACCGGCACCTGCTGCCAGTACAGGTCCGATGCCCACCCGATAGTACAAAACGATGTACACGCCTCTGCTTCCCGACGCACCACCACCGTACAGGGTTCCGCCACCATTTTCCAACACATCTTTCGTCGTACAATCCGGGGGTGGGCGATGGCCGATGCGTGAGCACGACCGCGAACAGCTCGAGCGACTCTGACCTTGTCCGTGCAGGCATGTCAATTTCTTCGGCGGGTCGCCGCTGAACCGCCTCTCGTGGTTGCGGTCGTCCCCGCCATTCCTTAACGCCATCGTGCTCTCCCCGAAGACGCGATGGCTGCTCTTGCAAGAGGGGCAGCCGCTCCTGGCGACAGACCCCAGCACCCGTCATCGATCGCTCGCTCGCCTGACGACGGGCGACGTACGACCTCTGCTCGGTCCTGAGCCGTTCTTCGCGCAAGGCCAACATGCAGGAGAGTTCGCACCCGCGGACGACCCGTCGCTCGAAGCTGGTCGCCTGCACGGCGCACCCATCGTGTTCCTCGGGCTCGACGAGCCCCAGACCACGTTCGCGAACGCGCTGCCCTCGTCCGACTTCAGCGGCAAGGGCGATGCCGTCGACGTAGCGCACAAGATCGAGGGCACGCCCTACTTCTCGCTGGACGTGAGCGACGTGCAGAAGACGGAGCTAGACGAGGCGCTGCAGAACTCAGAGGTCGGCAAGAGCGGCGCACAGCTAGCGTTCGCGGACGCGCGAGCGGCGATGAGCAGCTTCGACATGTTTGAAGCGGCCGTGTTTGCAGAGGCGAGGAGTTTGGTAGATTGGCAGGCTCGCAACAAGGTGCGTCGTGCTGACTCGACGGTTGGTGCGCCGACTGTACATAGTTTGCTGATCTTATGTTTTATCATGCCTCCACTTAGTTTTGCGCGGGGTGCGGTAGCCCTGTCAAGCCGCTCTGGGGGGGATGGAAATTAGTGTGTTCTTCCCTGTTCCCATGGTCGAACGGTAATGGCAGGAAACCGTGCCCTACAGGGTGAGATCCGTGAACATCCCACTTCCCTGAATGCCAAATTACACATTTATTAGAACTGGCTTAAACAACTTCGCGCATCCACGGAGCGATGCCGTGGTCATAATGGCCCCAATAGACCAGACCGGCACCAAGATTCTGCTGGGAAGAAATGTACGTGGAATGAAGGCATCTCCGTCGTGGTTACCCGTATTGATCAGGCTTCCATTTTACAGAAGAAATGGCCGACGAGATTCTACTCCGCCATGGCTGGGTTCATCGAGCCCGGCGAGTCATTAGAGGACGCGGTACGACGGGAACTGTGGGAGGAAGCAGGCATCGCTGCATGGGGAGTCAAATACCATTCGACACAACCCTGGGTGCGTCCTGCTCATCGTCGAATTCGCGAAAATATCTCTGATAGGTCGAGTTGCGTCCCAGCCGTTCCCCGCCAATATAATGGCAGGCTTCTACGCCGTCGCCGACTCCACGCAGCCGCTCCGCACAGATCTCGACAATGAGCTCGAGGGTGAGTCTCACGTCCCATAACCATCTCTCACCGTGCATTTACCTGAGGAATAAATTAATACGTCCGACAGACGCGAAGTGGTACACGCGCGACCAGGTCCTCGACGTGATCCGCTACTCAGAGGGCATCCTCCCGACGGGTACAGACCTTGCGAAGCCGTTGGCCACACCCGACGCATGGACGAGTAGTGAGGAGAAAGCCACTGGTGTCGGCACGGCGAATCCGTTGGCGGGGGACGCCGTCACGACCGCGGAGAAGGCGGCTGCAAAGGCCCCCGACGCGCGGAGCGAGGTGCCTTTCAAGCTACCCCCAGCGACGGCCATTGCGGGTGTGCTTATCAGGGAATGGGCGCATGGAAGGGCTGGGCCAGATATTCGTGTTCAGCCAGTGAAGGGTAACTTGTAGGTTCGGTATGGCCGGTGTTTATGGGGTGCCTTACTCAATGGAATTAGACCCTAGAGTTCTAGGGAATGTGGTATTCACCCTTTATCGTATGGTCAGGTATTTGACGGTCTTCAATAATGATCATGAGGCACTCAGAAAACATGGTGAATTTCCAAGTAATGAATGCATATGTCTCATATTCTCCGGAAACCATTGAGATATTGATGAGTAAATCGCAAAACAGTATGAACTGACCGCAAATTTAGCTGTCAGTTAACCTCGACAGCTAGCGAAGATAGCGCACACACAGAAATTCTTCCATGAACCCGGACAATCATCGCTTCGCCCTCTTTCCCCGTCCGCTTTCAGTATTATTTTCGCGGGCCCTCTTTTTGTCTCTGTTACCTTGCGTAGCGGGGGACATTTGTTCGTGCAATTTTCTCGTCTCTTGTAACGTACCGCAGAGAATGCGCTTTTCTCCGAGCCGAACGATTACAGCATGTTTTTTATTCAGCGAGAGACTATCGACAGTCCCTGGGGCGAGTAAAGCCTCGTCGACCTATAGAGCACATATATTACATTTCAGCCTCTTCTGACGGACGGGTGGACGCACTTCAATTGTCGTCGGATACTCGCGTAGGCGTCGCTCGAGCACTTGCATCACAACGGAGAGCACCACGGAATCAACTTTAGGTTTCGGTAACTTGCTTTTGGCCCTTGTCTTCTCCCATTCTTGTTGGGACAAGAACAGTAGCCGGACGAAGGAAACAAGCTCGTTCGGAAGTTGACAATCAGTGAGAATTACGAAGGTGCTTAAACAGGTGAAGTCAGCATCGCACGCAATAGCGGACAATCAGTGCAGACACACTCGTCGTCGGCCTCCTCAAGCCACCAGTCTACGCGCGCTTGCAGATCCTCCGCAACAGTCTGTGAGGCAACGGACACAACAAGGTCCGCGCGGATCTCTACGATATCTCCAGGGTTACCTTCGCCCGTTAGAGGTTGCCGAAGAGGAACGAGATCGACATGACCATACCGGCGCAGAAGGTCAGAATTTGGAGGGTCGCCGTAAGTGTTCCACTACATCGTTTGTCATGATCTCAGAGAAAGGCCTCCACAGAATGAACAACGTACAATCTGCTCCCCCACCTTAATAGGCCTGGTAGTCACCATCTTGAGATCTCGCTCTTCGTAGAACAGCTTTGCCTATAGCGAGTTAGTTCGTGATTGTCATGGGCGTTGATCAATTTTATGTACGTACATTCTCTGACTCGAATCGGGCGTTCAGAAGATCGGCCATCGGGACCATAGCCACATCTGCAGAATTCTCGACGTCTTCTTCATCGGCTTCCTGGTCGGCAAGAGTGTCCTCGACAACGTCGTCTTCGCCGCCTAAAAGAGTGTCTTGATCCACCGCAATTGATTGAGCCTCGTCGTCGACGTCCATGGAGTTGGCATGATACTTTTGCTCATTTTCATGCGCGGCATCCTCCTCGTCGCCCACGCTGTTCCACCTTTCTACGTGAAAACTTCTTGAGAGAATGAGGCTGCCCATGATGTGATACCTTTCTAGGGTATAGAATTGTGATATTGACTCTGCGGGGAAGAGATCTGCCCTGCTCTGACCCTAGCTCGGTCTCGACTTCGATGGAACGAACCTTATACAGGTGCATACCTTGATTGCGGGTATCAATTTCTCATGGTAGTCTCGTTCTGCTTCATCTCTTCCTATTTTGTCTGAGAACCTGCAGATCAGAAAACAAGGCGATTCGCAGTCCGACACGGACGGACCTACCACGGCAGTGCCCTGCAGCTCCTGCAGATCGCCGTCATTCCAAAACATGGGGGTATCAAATGCTGTTGGGAGAGACGCTTTGAAATACATCAGTGTGCGGTCAATAGGTCAGACCATACGCACTCACACATATATCCAGACCACTTGGACTGAGAGCCCTGTGACTCTTCCCACATCATGCAAAGTATTAGTCCTACCCAACCACGTCCTAACCCGAACTCATTCCAAGCGCCTCTGCCCAAAAGACCGGGTAGAGAGGATGTCCGCGTCGAGAGTGTGATCTCCCGAGGAATGGTGAACAGCGTGTGCCCTTCCTATGCAGATTGAGTATGTCAACACCATTGCATACTGGAGAATACACACGGATATATCCCTCAGTGCCATTGCTCCCCTCCCATGGCCAAAAAATGTGGTGAGATCCATCGAATCCGCATCGAAGAAGCCGTTTTGCGAGCGAAACCAGTTAACGAAAGCATCCATGTCGTTAACCAGCCTCTAGTAGATAGGAAGAGTTGTTCCTCTCTATGGAGTTCACCGATGATATAAGTACTAGTACTATTCAAGGGCAGGGGAATAGATTGATTGACCGATTTTGCTTCAATCCGATTACGTAAGCTTCTTATATGGGCGCCTATTATGTATTCACATGTTCCTTTCCGTCCGCCACTGCAGCCACCATCCTGCCACCGTCCTCGATGCTATGGCTATCCAGGGAGTACTGCACTCTAACTATGAACATCTAGTCAAGCTTTATGCCGACCATTTGGATACCGCGTTGTATCTGCAAAAGAGAGTCGTTGAAGATATTCTGCCTGGGCTTGTCGACGAGTTTCAGCTAGATTCAGGAACCGAAGAGAGAGTTAGGCAGTGGTTGGAGGATATCCGTGAGCGCATGTTTCACTTCACGCAGTCTTTTTCATGCTAACGCTTTCTGTTAGCTTCGATCTTCCGTGTGCTGAAGGTTCGTGTTGTCTCGTTAGCATCAGAACTCATCGCGCGACCATATTTCTTAGAGAAATAAATTCATTGCTTCTTTTGCAATGGAATCCCTACGAACGACAATTGCGTGGCGAATACGAGAGCTTCCTCATCCAATTCCAGGCCCCCCTACATCGCTTTTACGATGTTTTCCATCAGCCGCCTGTGATCCGTTTGGCCGCCCTATCGTCCTCTTGAAACTGGCTACTATGACCGAGGCATTGGGTGACGTGCGACAATCAATAATAAATAGCATGGAGATACTGCGTCTGCATCTCATGAAAGTTAATGTCAAGGTGTCCACTGAAGATCCGGTCCCCCGACCTGTTCTGCAGTGCGTTATGTTGCTTGACGTTGATGGAGTGTCACTTCACAACCTTGTTCGTTCGCCTTGAATATCACCGTTTCATATCATCTCATGGTGTTCTGTAGCAACGTCTTGATTTAGCCACTTGGTATATCTACGAATTAATGCCTCGCTTTCCCGGGATGCTTGCGGCAGGTACGTGGGCTTACATAGTGTCTTGTGAATGCCCCGAAACTGACGAATCACAGTCTTCATTTTGAATTACACCTGGTCGTACTCCGGCATGTGGGGCATCGCAAAGTAAGTTCTAGAACAAACGACTGCATTTTCATACCGCTGATCATTTTATCGTCAGGCGTGCGCTACCTGCGTCAGCGCTGTCAAGAGTATTCTTTCCTTCTCCAGCCGAGCTGATCGAATATTTCTCGCCATCTTCTTTACCGCATGGTGCGTTGCGACCATTTGCCCGTTCCTAGATGCACCTGAATTCTAATTGACGCCTTTTCGCCAGAGTTTGGCGGGTGTCTTCCTCCGCTCTCGAAACTCGAAGACCCATTGCGAATTCATACCTATCCATTAGCAGCAGAGTTTGTGGAGCATAGTCGACCACGTGGACAACCATCGCCTCCCCACCCACCCTCCATCGCCTCATCGAGTGTGGGTGCCTCGCTTTCTCCCACCTCCTCGTCGAACCCTTTCTTCGGCTACCCTGTCTCCTATCATACTTCGACCCCTACTCTGCGTCATGGTCGCCGACGGAAACGGGACCTTCTGCGGACACTCGCACGTCTCTTCTGGGCGCGCTGGCACTTCCACATCTCTGCTTCTCTTTGTCTGCTTCTGGTGTTCGTAGCGGCTACATTGGTGCGGCGTTTCCGGAAACAGGAACGGCGAGGGCTCTTTGAGTATTTGACCATGCCGCCAAGGCTGGTGAGGTCGGCAACGGCGTTCGCGCGCTCACAAATCATAGCCTAGTCGCACGCGGAGCTCCATGGGACATATAAGCTTATATTCTTGCTTCCATTTTCTTGTTTGCGGAGTTAGCTTACTGTACACGTAAGTAACTACAAATTGTATACTTCTATCTGCACTGAGACTAGTCTGCAGGAATTAATTACGACGTGAATCTGACATTTTCGCAACTCGAAGCCTCTCTGTTCGCTCCTTCGCACAAGGCTCCAGGCTCTACAGTACATCATACAGAGTTGCTTCTGTAATCCAATGACATATTCGCCTCACCCTATACGTCGGATGGCAGATGGTCAGCGGAAGAAGCTTCGTCTCGTCGCAGCTCCAGTTGAATCGATGGCGTTGTTGCGAGAAGTCGAACGCCTGCGGCCGGCTCGAGACCATCTGTCCAGCATGCTCTGACCACGCTGAGTCGCTGCGTTTCAATCTGATTTCTTATCCTCTTCCGAGTGACGTGAGTCTTCAGCCTCAATTATTGTGCGCAGTTGAGCACAGGGTCACCGAACATGTGTTGCGCTCAAGCCGTGGAACGGTCGCGGTCTTCTGCAGGTTTACGGCCATGCGCAGAGTCATCCGACCCGTTCGACAACTTCGTCCTCGCCGCGTCTTCGTTGGCGGACTACCCAACAGAGTAAAATCAACGTTGTTGTGGCTGCACAGGGTCGAGCTCATGTTGGCTGCATACAGTATCCGCAGCCTCATCCTGGGGGTGGCGGTGGCGTGTCAAGCTGTAGACTTTGTATTGGTACATGAGCGTCGACAGCACGCATGCACAATGCAGAACGTGTGCAGGGTAGCGCAGTCCACTCCTGGAAAGCCTGACGTCTGCAGCAAGGCTCGGGGATGCTACAGCTCCACTGGATTTTTTTTTGCAACCACCTCACTGTTTTTGCAACATTACCGACAGCGCGCATGTACAAGGAGAGCCTTTCAGTACACAAACTATTATTATGTCTATGTGCCAACACGTTTGATACAGGACCACTGCAAGGTGAGGGGTATCCACAATGACGATATAACTAGTATAACATAATTTACAGGAAGTATTCCGGCAACTAGGGGAGGAGTCAGTGGTTCGCAAGCGGCATGGAGAATAATGACGCACTCTTCCACCCGCGTTCTGCGCCGCTTGATGGCTGGGCCCATCCCTCTCGTTCTCGGGGGCCGCCTGAAACACGTTGAAGTACATTGATGATCCGCCAGGCCCCACTTCCAATATACTTGCAGAATTTCCACATCGATAACAATAATTGGGTGCGGACCACACCGTCGATAGGTGTTTGTCAAATAGTGATGCGTAACCCTCCATACAGAGCTGGTGTGCCCGCAGGATGTGCGACATATTGTTTGTCTCGAGAAACTTGTATACTACGCCAGAACCGAACGTGTAGCCGGCGCCGCTGCCGAACTCAACATAAAGCACTGCAGGGTCACATGGACAAACGGGGGAAGCTCACCGTGGTGAGATGGCGAAGTCTTCCTTCTCCGGATCCGGGTCTGACCACACCAAGTCCGCCATAGGACCCTCGTGGGGAATTTCTAAGTTCATGTGAGGCTCCATCCATCACGGTCATAGGATATGAATCAACCTCGAAATCGATCAACGACCTTGATCTGGTCAATTGAATGTATTGAGGGCGATAGCCCTACTTCCGGTGAGCGAGTGGCAGTAGACCTGTGAGACGGGCGTACCACCATGAACGCAAAATATCTTGTCATCAATCACCACAGATAATGTCAAGAAGTCAAACATGTCCGTAAAATATGTCCAGACATGCGAGGATCCGTATTTCCGCACACATTCGGTATAGAAGCCGTACGTCTGGACAGAGGTGAGAAAAACTCCTGGTAATGCGTAGGGCACTGACCTGGGTGACCGCTCTCGACTCATGATTACCTCTAATCAGCTGCACCCGGTCAGGCCATCGTAGCTTCAGGCATGTCAAGAGCGAGATTGTTTCGACGCTGAATAGTCCTCGGTCGACGTAGTCGCCTGGAGTTAAGTCAGCTACCCGGGAGTCTGCACAATACGAACGACACGCACGCACCCAGAAAGAGGTAGTTGGTTTCGGGAGCATATCCCCCTATCCGAAATATCTCGATGAGGTCGTAGAACTGACTTAAAGAGTGACTCAGATCGCGCTCACTCGTGCACTGGCACTCGTCTCACCCATGAATGTCTCCGACCACTGTCACTGGAGCACTAACGTGGACGACGTTTGACTCCCGCATGAGGACCTCTTTTGTTTTCTCGCATATTTCGCGGAGAAGTGCTTCATGGAGGAGTTGCTTCCGGAGCAATTGTTGAATACATGCGTCCAGATCGAAGGGTGCCATAGAGCGTTCCGCATAAGTTTTTCCTGCGCTGCGAGGGAACCATTCTTACCTAATCGTTAATCGTTGGCGCTTGCTTGACGCACTCGACCAATTTGGGCAATGTTCAAGTTGATCCTTCCCATCCAGCGTCCAAGGCTCTCTCCCTAGTCTGCTTTGTGCGTGTAATTATTTTAGTTCTGCGACGCAAAGTTGTGGACCTGGTGACTCCTACTACTTCTCTAGCTAGCTCGGCTATCTCGGATGTCGTCTCGGAAGGTGTTGGGGCTCAAACTGGCATGGCGTCTTCTTCAAACTAATCATCGTTGTCATGCCTTCCCACCTGTGGTCTATCCATGTGCTCTCAACTATATTTTCCTGGCTGTTCCTCTCTCATAGCTCATGATTCATCGCGCCGACGTCTCGTCATAATCCAGGACAGTCGAAGTTCTCCCCGGCGTCGATGGTACTTCGATCATGATGTATCGTTGATTAACTGAGGTGTGTTAAGTCGCCTGTAGTCACGTCGGTTTACTTGCCGTATGTGCATGCTTATCCCGATTCCCCGCGGCGCTTCTGCTATATCTGAAACCATGATGCATGACGTTGTCCTGCTTCTCCCTGGATATGAAATCCGTTTGGTGCAGTGCCTCGGCGCCGAGGACATTATCAGTCGCCACTGATAAATTGCCTGGAAAGCTTTTTAGCTGTATGACCATTGTCACACCATATCCAATCTGTTTGAAAGCTGACTCATAATGTGCAGTTTTGACGAGTGACTGAACTCTGCTGCAAAAATGAATGGGACCATCTCTGCGATATGTTGCAGTGGCTACAGGGAATTCCCGTGCACCCAGTCCTCCGCTGCAAATTAAAGACGGATGCACTTTTCACTAGGGGGCGGAAGGAGCCACCTTCCGACCCAATCAGAACCTTGTCGAGCAGGCCGAGCAGCTTCTCATCTGTCATGCCTCCAGAAGCTACGACATGTGGATATTACGGGATGAATGTCGGCATTTGACCAGTTGCGACCCGGCCGAAGTCCTTGTTGATCGCACCAGCACTCAGATACTAGCTTAGTCCACTGGATGGCCTGTAGAGAGCAAAGATGGTTTTGTGCGTGCGTGAGCTTTTATTCGTATGTCTACTGACCGGTGTTTCTGTACTCTGTGGACGTGCTAGGCCCCTTTTGCTACATAAACACCGCCGCTCGATCTCTGCAGCTCTTTCTAATTCCTTGACTACTCGGGTCTGATATTGCCTTCTTTAGGATCACTTAAATATGAGAAGACCTTCAGCCCTTCGAGAGCGCCTTCTCTGGAAAGAAGTAGTAAACATGGTTCCCCATAGGGCTTGATGCTGATCTGATAGGCGAGCGCGATGAACATCTATCCGCATCGCACGGACGTAGCAATCTCGATATCGCGATTCCTCGGCCACGGTTTGTGTCATACTGATGGTTGTTGAGAGCAGATTGTGCTTCTGTGCATATACACTATTCGAGTACTGTGCTACTCAGCTGCGGTCGGACTGCGCCGGAACGGTCGTAATTAGAGGATCCGAAACACTCCGTTTTGAAGAACAACGAATGCAATATTGCGGTCCTTGAACGCGACTCATTTCAACCCACAACACGCCCGACCGGCCCCGGAACTTCGCTTCCATCCGCGCGGGATGGCTTCTTACGGTTGACCGGCTTAACTGTCCATCGAAGCAAATGCGGTGGTACCTTCTAGGGCATTTCGCTGTGCACTCCATAAGTCCATTCAAGGTGATGTTCATCAAATCGCTGGCCGGTGTGCGATCTTTACCAAACTGGAATCGGGAAAAAGTGCATTCCCATTTTGTTCATTTCATGTACGAACCGGTTATACTCAGGGAAAGTGCCTTCATGTCGATCGGTCGTAGCGCCTATCGTTCCGACATGGGAAGGTGCGTTCCTGATGTCAATCCTGGCCACATATAAATGTTGGCTGACAACTCGGTTCGTCATTTGAGAGCATCCACTTGTCGTTCGCCACTGGCTATGAATCCCTCGCGCCCCTCTGATCAGACCAACAACCAAGATCCGCGCACGATGTCCGCCGACGGCTCTCACTACCAGTACCACGCGTCTTCGCAGACTGCTAGCCATCTCGCGCATGCCGGGGGGCTGCAGCAGCCTTCATACTATCATCCCTCGCGGTACAACTCCTCGGATCCACCATACCCCTCCTCCCACTACACCCCACAACACTCTCAGTATCCCCAGACAACCGCTGCTCATCAGGCCCCCCCAAGCAATATGTACTCCAACGCCCGTAGTAAGTCAGGCACATTGCCCGAGGAAACGATCTCACCGTAATGCTCCCATAGTTCCTGAGCTGACCCTTCGCGATCTCCCCTTCTCCAACACTCATCCCACGTCCGCTCTAGGCAGACAGGGACACCCGGGATACGGAGCTGCTACCGTCCCGCCCCAGCCTTACCGCCCCTGCTCTCACCCGACATCATCGTCAGCACAATACGGGTCCTCCATGTCGTCCCTCCAATCTCTGGCGGAAGGGCACCAATACTACTCCACTCCGGCGCATACAATGCAGATGTATCCCCCTCACGGCAGCCACACCCCAGGACCGCACGCCAGCATCGTCATCCCCCCCTCGACGCCGGAGGCACCCACCGTGGAGCGGTACCAGTGCGACAAGTGCGACAAGACGTTTGGGCGTTCGCATGACCGGAAGCGCCACTTCGAGACGCAGCATATGCAACCGCACCCCCACCTGTGTCCGCAGTGCAAGAAGAGTTTCAGTCGTGGGGATTCGCTGAAGCGACACATTGACAATGGTGGTTGCGAGAAGGCTCCGTACTAATTCGCGATCGTTCCCATGCCCCTTCTCCGTTGCCGTCGTGTACGTCGTTTCACGATCACGCTTTTGCTCCGTCCTGTCCATCAATTTCTTGTCTCCTGCCCCTTGCAGAATAGCTTACATCGCATTTACTGCTATTTTCTGTACTCCTCACCATACTGTAGCGGCATCTTCGAAATGTAACTCTATTTGTTGCGTGCTGATAGAAATTTCGGCTTCTTTCGTCTCGACAGCGCCATGTGAACATCTGAGATGTTTCTGTCCTTGCGAAGCCCGGCGAACTCACCATCATTAGCCGGTGTTGCAGAAAGGCAAGCCCGACGTCTTTCGCGGATGACAGCCCTTCTACGAGTTCACCTCGTAATATGATAGCTCTGGCAAGTGCAGCATATGTCCTGCTCTCCGTGTGTAAAGGAAATGATGGCGAAACCGACGACGCATTGACGTATTTCGCCCCGGTGAATACTCATACAAATAGATTTTCTCTCACCGTTGTGAGACTGCCTTCAGCACTCAACTGCAGTGGTATGCCTCGGACCTCGTAGGGCCCATGGGATCATCCCGAAGGCGAAGGCGAATCAGCCTGATCAGCTGCCAGTGGGCTTCATGACCGGCTCTTCTCTTCTTCATCTGAGATTCCTGTGAGGGGGCCAAAGCTAAAGCCCGATACTGAATCACCGATTGCTTGGATTGGCCGGCCTTCCGCGTCCAGCATGTGGAATATCTGCGCGGGGAATGGAGCCCGCTATCTTCCTGTCGCGATTCGGGCTGAGCGCTGAGCCGCAACCGCCGCAGCGGATGCCCTTTCTGTCCAGCGAAGGATTTACCCGCTGCCGACCGACACTCAGCCGCATGTGTTCGACGATATAAATAATTATGAATTCTTGAACAGCTCGTGGGCATTTCGACACTCACAATAGGTGCGGGCATTGTCCGCTGTTGAGAAGCCCAGAAGATTGGGGCCCGAGGTGGAGGAGAGCATGCCATGGAAGCAGCATCTCCGATGGGTACGCCGCCTTCAGGAGGCTATCGATATCTCGCAACTCGGGCGAGGATTCACTGATACGAAGGACCAGCTCAAGCAACCTTTTTGCGCCATCTGTCTGCTGCCTGAAGTCCGGGCCAGCAGCTACATTGCCATTTTGGTCTGATGTCTGCGTGTGACGGTAGACAGGTATCGGTCGCTGCCGAGAAGCAGACGCGCTGAGTTCAGGCTGATCTGCTAAAAAATTTGTCGGCCAGTCGGTAAACAAATGGCTCTGGAACATCACCCTGACCTACCTTCCCGCGACAGTATGGCAGAGCGGTCTCCAGTCGTGCCTGTGGGAACATCACATATAAAAATTATAGGAGACAACCTTGCCATCCTTCAATTTGGCTAGCGCATGACGGCTTCAAGAATCTCGTAGCCTCGCCGAGAAGAAGAACAAGCAGCTGGAGAGGTCTGCCTCTCGTGAGCAGATGATTGGAGTCCGAGGCAAAGAGACGTGACCCGCGTAAATCGCAGCCCTTCCATCCAAAGATGCTGTTCATTAGGACCAATGATTGCGAGATGAATCGCCAAGTCGGCGCTCGGAATAAGAAGCAGACGGAGGAGCGAAAAAGCCCATCCGATGCTCACCAGAGGATGATGGGCCCTCTCACCCAGGGTTGACCGAGTAATTGAGGACCGCTCGTACGGCTGGAGAATTCAGATAGCTTCGCCAATTGAGTTCTAATCATGAACTGGGGATAGTCAGGGGGTTATCGAGATTTCTCGCGTGGTAGAGGCCAGCTTCTGTAACATAGAAACGTGCGCCGTCGGCGTTGGCATTGATAGGGAAGCTCGCGCTGAAGAACTTCGCAAAAAAAGGATACGTCAGATGTCTGTTGCCCCGCAATAAGGTCAGTAGCTGTCTGTCCGAAACTGTTGACGCAGCCCACCGATTGTTCCGCGACGTTCAACGCTTTTCTGCCCTCACGGTAGCCAGGATCCCGGTTACAGGTACCTGTTTCAAACCTTCTTTGAATGTCCTCGAACCCGGACCCGTGGCTCAGCAGGACCCGACAATTGGGCAAGGTCCCCGAGCCAGTTACGGATAAATTTTGAACTTTCGAGAGCCTCGGGGGGTTGACCGCCATTTCGCGGACATCGGGGGGCAGCGCCTAGGAGGCCTGATCCGGGGTCGGACAAACACTTGTGGAAGCCTGGCGGGGGAGGGCCGATAGGGCCGAAGGAGGAGCCGGCGAGCCGGCGGCCTCAGAAGCGCCCAAATTTAGGGTTAAAAACCACGAAGGCAAAAAATGCGGTAAGGTCTCATTTTTCACGGACATTGGGCCAAAAAAGGCTTTTACGGACATTTTTGCCCTCTCCGGATCAGGCCTATTCACCAATTATCGGGGGGCGTCTATCGCTCCTGCTGAGGATCATCCAGAGGACGTCCGCAAAAACACAGACGTGGCCTGCCGGTGTCTGCATACCAGGCTCATGGTTATCCACCGACAAGAACGTCGACGTAAATTGAATTTCAATGTTCTGGCAATGCGAAGAGCCTGAGATTAACGCGGGCAGCGCTCCGAAGACGGACACTCTGGCTTCATTATGACATCGGACCTACCAAGGATAATCGCCGCCTGTTCGCCTGAACATCGAACCGTGAGCCGACAAACATCTAATACATACCACAACACACCACACACATATGATACAAGGCGCAGAACCGGCCAAAGTATCGTCTCCGGTGCTGCAAGGGCGTAAATGACTCAATCGTTGTCGTCCTCGCTGTCACTTCCACGGCTAGCATCACTCCCTTGCTCCAAACCCTCGATTTTGACGTCCTCTGCCTTCTCACCTCCGTTCCCGTCGTCCGCGCTGTCCTGCGCCTTCTTGGTTTTTATCTTCTCAATCACCTTGTCCGCGCGATTGAATATACCGGCAGTTGGTGCTCCGCATGCAGCACACTTTGGCGTCTTTGCGAAACGCTTGATGGCGCATGCTGAGCAGAAGTAATGACCGCAGCGAGTGACGACGGGATCAGTGTAGGATTTTCGGCAGATGATACACGCGAAGGGGATGTCTTCGTCGGAGTCCGAGTCCGAGGCATCCTCGACCTCTTTCTGAGGGTTTTCCGCGAGTTTGTCTAACTGCCAACCAGCGAGATCTAACAACAAGTGTCAGCTGTGAAACCGAAGGGCGGCCACGAAAAGGCTTACAGGTTCCTCGGTCGTGTAGGAATTTACACGTATCACCATAGCCGCAATAACCGGTCTCTATGATATTATGGGTTAGAACGTATTCCAGTCTTAGTGCACCGTATGCTTACCTTTGTAGTCCTTGCAGACGTCCGGCTGGTAGTCAACAATGGTCACAGTACGAATGGTACTGCCCGACGACCGCTGAGGGCCCACGCGCATCGCCTTGGGCACCTCCTGGTTCCTCTTTATGTGGCTCGCGTACGCCTTCTGGCCTCTATACAGCCCGTCATCAGGTATGCCTTCATCATCGTCTCCTTTGTCCTTCCGCTGCCGCTTCGCCAGCATCTGCTCCGCCTCGTCACCCTGCAGTATCTCCAGCGCCGCGTTCGTGTGCGACCCTGCTGCTGTCCACTTAACGTCAGGACCCTCACGCTGCTGCTCCTCGTCTGCATACTCGTCATCGCGCCGCTGCGCCGCCGTACGCTTCGTGCCCGCGCTAAGAAGGTTTCCTGTGGGTTTGCGCGACGGTAGGACTACTTCGGACTTGGAGGACGAGGGCACTGGGACTGTAAGTGAACCAGCGGGTGGAGATACGGACCGTTTGCGAGATGTTGTCGGTCTCCCCTTGCCCTTCTTCCTGAAGAATGGCACTGTTAGTCCCTCTGATGTAGACGCCATCGCTACCAGCAAGTTGATGGTTCTGAGAAGACGAAGGGTCTGAGAAGATGAAGGGTATGACTGAAGAGCGTTCTTGCTCAACTCGGAAGCCATCGCTAATTAATTACGTTGCTGAGTAAGCAGAATTTCCCCAAACAAACATAAATAAGGACCAAACTGGGAGACCGTCATAGCGTACTCTTTTGGTATGTTTTATGGGACCAAAGTCGCGAACGGTGCGCGTTTAGTCCTCCACGCACTTCTCAACTTGAACATCACACTCTCGCGACTGTACTTCTCGACGTTCCACTTCTTCTCCCTGATTAGATGCTGCACTGACGTATGTGAGCGTTTCTCACGGGTATTTGGTTAGTCTGGATTATCTTTGCAACATGTTCGGTACGCCGAGGTTGCTTGCACATTGATTACAAAGTGCCTGCTTAGAGCCTCTCTGTTGGTGCATGGAGCTCTGTGAGTCATCTATCCGGTGTTCATGTTTTATCGGGACGTCGTTTGGGCCTGTATTGATTTTCGGCCTTTAAATCACTTTCGACTCGCGTTCCAACGAGTTCGGACCAGACTGCTGACCTCAATGATCCCGAATTTTCTCTGAATCACGCCGGTGCTGACAGAGACAACGTACGGCACTCTTCTGTCGGAACATTGGAAGTGAGAGACTTTCATGGCCAAGACTGACTTATCATCAGAGAAGCAGGTGCATTCCGAATAGATTTGGGCCCTATGACCGCTCCTAGCGTGCGCGTATCCTCTAAAAGCGGCGCCGTTCACCCTGGCTGCCAGATCGTGAGCTAGCATCTGTCTGTGCACTGATAAATGTCTCCCTCGTTGTGCTCACTTCGCTGTCAACGAACGCATCAGGTCTGGCCAATTTGATGAAGACGGGATCGCTTGTACAGCAATGACACACTACTCCATTGGAGGTTGAAAATATTCAGTTCTATCGATGGGGCGTATCGCTCTGCTGTGTATCTTCGTTTTGAATGGTGTGCGACGGCCACCGCGCAGTAATGTTACCCTTGACGCTGCATTCATCAGGCGTATCGGTCCCCGCAATCTCGAAGTCGAAGAAGACGGTTTGCGGTATCTCGAGCCTGCGGTCCCCATTGTTGCATATTGCCCTTGGATTGCCCAACTCCTGCAACACTTGTCCGCAGACGATGGGCCGTACCGCTGCCTAGGTGGGGCCGGTTGTCGAGTCAGGAACCGGGAAGATTTGCTCAGGCAGAGGTCGGATACCCGATGGAGGCGATTTATCTTATCGATCCTATCGATCTTATCGCTCTTGATGAATGTGACGGGCCTGTATTTCTAGCGAAAATTGAGTTCACCTCGTTTTCCGGTTCCTGACGAGTGCGCTGAAGGACCTCACTCAAATAATGTATGTTGGAGGATCCTGAAAGAATAAGGAGACGAATATACTTCATTGTTCTGCGCTCCTTGCGACTCAGAGCGCGTTGATGCCACGAGGAAGAACTTGGAAATCAGGAAGCCAAGACGATCGAGTCAACAAATTCCTCCCAAAACTGTCACGGCTATCTTATCGCCCGAGGCATCTTAGTCACCTCCTACAAAACCCCTGCGTCACCTGGATCGGACTGTCCTTTGCACCCTCAGCACCACACTTGCGCAAGCATCACCCGCCGATACGTCGAATTACCACCAGCGCACCGACAATCGACGCAGTACGTCAAGTTTCACCGCCAGACGACGAGCACGCGGCTGCCGCGACCGCGCCGGAGTAGCAATACGCAGCCCCCATGGCGCCATCCCACCTCCAGGGTCTGAATATCGTACATCCTCCTCCCCCACCAAACCCCTACCTCTCGGACGCAGACCTCCTATCTGTACCACCTTTTCCTGACTTGAATGCGCAGCTGGACCTCTGGACGAACCTGAACTTTCAATCCGACGAGCCGGCAGCCCCCTCATCCCGAGGCGATAGTGGCAAAAAAGACCTCGGCTTTGACGGCAACTCACGCAGTCCGGGAGATGGGAGCGAGGACGATGGAGACCGGTACGATGACCTCGACGACGATGTGCATAACAAGGGCGGGGTCGCGGAGATTGGCGCTCACGAGAACGTCGTGACGGGGACGGTGCTGCCCCCCACTGGCGTCGCGCACCGCGGCAATCCCGGCGCACAGGCAGGGGTGAACGCTTCTGATCTTCCGATGCCGTTAGACATCGGAAGTCTACTGGCAGGCTTCGGACTAGACCCCTTCCTGGTTCCCCCAGTGCAGCAGTCTGCTCCCCAGGCCGCCAGCGCTTCGTCTATAGCACAGCTTCTCTCCTTACATGCTACCACTTTCCGCTCGCCCCAGATGGGCAACTCCCAGCAGCCCTCTCAGCTTCCCGTGCCTGCACAGGCTCCCCCTACCCAGTCGCAGCAGCAGCAGTCCCAGTCGCAGCAGTCTCAGGCCAGCGCTCCGGCGCCGAAGCGCTCGCGCACCACGCGCTTATCTGTGTCCTCAGCCACGCCATCCCAGCCCGACTCGGCTCTGAGCCCCGAGGCGGACGACAGGGATCCTGCGTCGCCCCTTACTGCGGCAGAAGATAAACGCCGACGAAACACCGCTGCGTCCGCGCGGTTCCGGCTGAAAAAGAAGGAGAGGGAGGCGGCGCTGGAGAGGAAGGCGAAGGACCTGGAGGGGCGCGTCAGTGAGCTTGAGAAGGAGTGCGAGGCGTTGAGGAGAGAGAACGGGTGGTTGAAAGGGTTGGTCGTCGGCGTCACCGGTGCGGGCGCGGCACAGCAGCAGCAGCAACAGGTTGCGGTCCCTGCACGCCCAGCGGCAGGCGCGAAGAGGAGCAGAGAGGATTCGGAAACGCAGAGTGAGGACTAAGTCCGCCGCGAAGAGGCATCGTCATTGTGTAATTATCTTGTTTTTTTATTTTCGAAATTCGCCGTCGACTCATCCTTCTCCTACATCCCTAGTATACTAGTGGTCCGCGTTGTATGCGTATGCCAAGCTTCTCTCTGTCTTCTTGCTTTGTGAAGAGCATCGTTCTGACTTCGCTTGGGTTATGGAGGGTTCGAAGAACCATGTACGACGATAGCGTATGTATTCTGTAGGCCCACCCGGTTGTATACTCAGTGAATCAATGCCCGCGTCGACCACGACTCCACGTCTGAATGAGTGGTTGTTTTACATGGATGAACTATCTCTTCGTGCGTTTCCCTGGCAAGGCTACTACCGTGACTAGGCTATCTGCCCCTGCAATGCAATCGGGACAGTAGTTTAGTTTGCACTCGTTTCTCAATGTCAGAACCCATTTTACTCTCTATGGATTCTCTGCTAATTCTGTGAGACACAATATTTGGAAGATGGAGCTCAGAAAGACAGAAGTCTTCGAGTACAAGTACTGACACCCGCTCGGAGAAACCGCGATTGCAGCAATCAGCGATCACATGACTTGCGTGACAAAACTGGTAGCAAGTCTTTTAGGGTTTGCACAGCTCAAAATAAATTATTCTACAACCACAGATATGTTTTAATCCATATATCAGAGTGATCTTTTATTGCAGAGATTTTATTTCTGGCCTGAGGAAGCGCCGAGAAGCTTTCTGCTCAGCTGAATACAGCCTCGATGTCACACGTGTCACAACAGTCTTCGGGTCACGGAGCTTTTCAGGTCTTCCACATCTTAGAAATAAAAATTCTGTAACCACAGTTTTATTTAATATACTTCTTTAGACAAATTTTGGTGGTGGAATAATTTATTTTGAGCTGTGAAAAGTTGAAACCCTGAAAGACTTTCTGCCGGTTTTGTCACGCAAGTCATGTAATCACGTGGCAGTGCATGTCTCCGTACATTACTTTACTGCCTGATGATTTTATCTCTTTCCTCTGTCTCTAGATTTGCTTACTTTACACTACCGCTACCGTACTGACGAGGTGCCTATTACGTGCCTGAGCTATTTTATTAGCGTAGTCAGCTACACAGGAAGCATTACCACTTTTATCCATTGGAAATAACCTGGCAAAAAGCATGGAAATCAATAATATATTTTCAGAGGAAAAACCTCGAGAAAAAAGTGAGAAAAGAACAAAACATTCTCACGGTTTTTCCCTTGGAAATAAGTTGCCTACCATATCAGGCAACTGGACATGCCAGGACATGCCAAAACCCGGACAAAACTACCATATTTGGCGACCAACTTATTTCCAGTGGAAAAACTGCGGAAATGCTTTGTTCTTTTACACATTTTTTCCTCATGTTTTTCCCGCAGTATAACTTTATTGATTTCCACACATTTTTCCAAGTTATTTCCTCGGGAAAAAAGGGGTTATGTGTCCTGTGCTAATCTAAATCGTTTAGTGAATACAGGTTCCCATATTAGAGCACAAGTCAAATTTCCCACGATCATTCCAGAGTTACTATGATACAGTCACCGCCACATGGCGAGATTACATTCCACGTAACTTATGCCGTTCAGCAATGGCGGCGACGGTGAGCACGACCTACTAGACTCTGTTCTCAGAAACCCCTTCGCGGAACACTCGTACGACTCCTTCACCTCTGCTGTCAGGCCGAAACAGACGAAGCCAGCGGTCAGACGGCGCGGTTCAGATGCTCCTTCCAGGGGTGAACACAACGATCATGATCCTTGGGACAGCAGCCATGCGAGAGCCAGGACGTTTGATTTTGGTCCAGTGGCTAGCACCAGTCATCATCCTCTGGTAGGGAGCCTGTGGTTCGGCTCTGACAATCTTGGGATCTCAGCGGAGGATGCGACGCGTCCCCATTTGAGGCGCCTGCTGAGTGACATTGAGGTTCCACCTTTTGGCTCTGAAGTAGACGATGCGCAGTCAAGGGTTGATACCCCATTGTCCAGAGAGATGGAGAAGGAGGTTATTGTCCATGAAGTGAGCAAGGCCATTTATTCTCTAAGTTCATCTCGCCAACAAATTACGCTTGCAACCTGCATTTATTAGGTCTTACCGAAAGACTCTCTCGCCGGGGTTGCTCTGAAGTATGGCATCACTCTAGCGGATCTTCGCAGAGTAAACCAACTCTGGGCCTCCGATTCCATTCATTTGCGCAAGGTACTCTATATACCTCTAGACAAAGCACGTCGAGCGAAAGAGTTCAGACCCGATCTGATAGACCTCTATGACGACTCTGACCTGTCCTCCGGACAACCTCCTGATGCAGCAGAGGATGGTGTCACAGGCCAGACGAGACCTAAACAACTGAATCAACCCACAATTCTCCGTGTTCCCATTTCCCAGCTCTCGTTCTTCCCACCACCATCGACACCGAGGACCTCAGTCGAATCTCGATTTCCTTCTAACAAATCCCGCACCATCTTGCACCCTAGGAGCGCAACCGTCAGTAGTACCGCAGTCCCCCCGGTCTTCTCTGCGTCCCCCTTCGGATCGTCGTCCTCGTCTCCTGCCCCGGGTTTCCTCTCACATACCCGATCCCGAACGCACAACTCGAGTACTCTCTTCAACGTTCCTTCCATCCGCGCGAACAAAAGTAATGTGATCGCACGCGTATCGTTCGAATCCTCTAGCGTATCGGTGTCAACGCCGAGCGACGAGCCAGAGTGGGGACACGAGATGGACGACATCAGTCATTTCCCTTCGCCTGCGGCAAGCAGTGGTAAAGCCGTCTCCGAAGAAGATCCGTACGCACGGTTGACCCTTCTTCCCAACTCTGCATCAGGCATCGCTACGGCAGGGAGCTCAGCGACCAGAAGCAATCGCCGCGGTGGCCGAGATAACAGTATAGAACTATCGCCGTTCCCTGAGACCCGCTCGAGCCCTGTCGCTCGCACACCTACTCTTCGTCGCGGCGATAGGCCTGCAGCTCCGTCTGCGACTCTTGCTTCTTACCTCCCCTCCGCGGCGTACATGACTCCAGATCGTGCATCATTAACTTCGCAATCACAGGCCGCCGTGCGTACAGCCCAGTTGGAACCCTCTCCGGTCATGCAGTTGCCATTGAGAACGGGACAATCGAAGTCGCGGTAGACTGGTACGGTTCATTCCCTCTGGGATGTATAAACTGTAGATTGCCAGCCTGCTCGGTTTGTGGTGCCGACATATCATGCCGATTGGGACCCAGTCACGCCGACTTGGCTCGGTTGTAGTGCTTGGATGGCTACCGTTGAGCCAGACGGGGACGCCGCGCACTCCTCGCAGTACAGGGAAGTGCAGAGAGAGCGTGCGAATGGGACGTGCTCGTGCTAATTTGCTGCTGTGAGTGTCGTGATATCGATGGAGGGCAAAATGTGTCTCTCGTGACGTATTTTAGGCGAAACCATGGTTCTTGTTCTCGTCTCGTCTTCTCTGTAGGGAGGAATGGGAAGCCAGACCTGGGGAAGGTCTTACTTCGGATGGATCTCATGAACTCCCACGCAGATATCTCTACCAATTGCAGCGGCGGGCCATCGTTCTGGACATTCGAGCTACCGCCATGTATATTCGTGACCTTCGCCTACGATTTCGACTACAACCATTATTGTTTCCTCCGCCGAGTTCCGTTCTCGGACACCCTGGGCCGGTCGAAGGCTCGGCGTGCCCCTCACAAGGAAGGTTAGGTTCCTAACTTTACTTGCTGGTCGGATGATTTTCGTACTTCGAATCTTCTGCAACGTTGTTCGCACTTACGTTGTCCGGTTCTTCTCCGGTCTGATGGTGCGTCTGGGCTATCGAACTTTCGGTAGCTTGCGCAGCTCTCGTCCAATATTGACTATAGCAGGAGTGAGTGCTGGTGCTCGCATGTATTGGCGGATCAATTGATGGCACCGGAGTTGCAGGTGGGGCTCGCGCAAGGCACCGCGGTGCGTTATGAGCATTGTTTTCGCCCCTTGGCTATGAATTGTCGGAAGTAAAACTACGAGACTTTTTGTTCAAATGAGGATTTATGAGTAGCTTTCAGTTATGATTCGGCTCCGAGACCGTGGGCTCGGACGAGATGAGTCCTTTTTGACGCCGAATCCCAGGCCGCACTTCTTCCATCCAATGATGGGGCTGTTGGCACAATCCACTGTGCAAGAGTACCAGTGTCGTAGCTTACGCTGATGAGCGTACGTCCTTCAGGGTGGGGTGTGAGTGCTACTGACTCATGCTAGGTTTTCGTTCGCAGCGATTGGAGTGGTATGCAGCCGACGGCGTAGTGCACAACCTTTGGAAGTCTATGCAGTTCTCATGCATCCCACTCGCTACCGGCTCTTCTGCATTTGAGTTCTGCACTACACGTTGAGCAGCTTCTGCCGGAACAATTACTCCCAGCTCGTCGTCTGGACGATGTTCTGATTCGTGTCGTGAGTTCTATGTTCCGTGGTAGTATCATATCGTCAGATCAACAACACGGATTAATATGTTTTTCTGTTAGGCAGATGAACGTATATGTACCAAGGGGGCAGCGTCTAAATGCACGCCGAAATGTAGCTGTGATGCGAATGCAAGGAGTCAGCGCCCTTTAAGCACGAGGAGAGCGAGCTACCTTGCGCTATGAAATGGTCAGAGGGGGTGGAGCAGTTCGCTATCGAGTCCTTCTCACGTTCCGAGTTAGCTACCGCCTCTGGAACGACAGAGGTACGGTGCATGCACGAGGTGATCCTTTTCATTCTTCTAGTCTGAACATTCGTAAGGCATGTGTCGTCAACTGTGCCCGAGCCACCCATCGCAAATTCAGGGTGAGGACCTTTCGAGGTGAGTGGCATGCATTCCTCGTTGATCGCACCGCGCCATGCCTCTTTTGAGTTCTAGACCATTGTGCAGCAGACCTTCCGCACAGCAGATCACATTAACGCGGCAGCGCTTGGAACCTTAGTCTCGAGGAATTTCAGATCGATATAGCGCGGACGGTCGTATCCCGGGTATCACGCCGTGGACTGGCGCTTCGGCATCTGGGCGGTGCGGCATTGTGGACCACCTTCTCACTGATGTATGATTCAGAGGCCTCACGGTGGTGCGACGGAAGACAGACGGACTCTTCACAGCTTGATGTCAGGTGCGCTGTCAGTACTGCGGCCGTATGCTAGCTATTGAGGTGCGTTTTTGTCCATCGAACTCTGTCCTTGATTGTTGAGCATATCACGGATGCCATACTGGCGCTGCTTAGATTCATCTATTGACTAGGGGGGGCCGCTCACATCTGCCGTGGCAAAGAGTCCGACGCGAGCACCCGTGCACCTAGTGCGTTTATGCTTTCCCTCCAGTTATTTGTCGCTGGAAGCGTTTTATGACCGGCTCAGACTATGGTCAGAACACAGCAACAATGTAACAGATCGGAGCAAGAGTGTTGAGGTCTGATCATGCTATACAATTGCAGTAAGGATTGTCGCTGTGCAATAGCAATGCGACCGCTGATCCAGCCCCCTTTAGAAATTTGATAGAGTTACCAGTCATTGCAACCCATTTGCATCATTTACCGATGTTTCTGTTGATCACTGTTGCGCCGTCCGACCGTCCTTAGTTTAATCTTCCAGAACACGTTGGTGGTTCCTTGTAATATCCCTTGTTAAACGCGCTCAAATATTAGAATTTGTTGCAGCGGCATCGGAACCTACCTTGATTGCAAATTTGGGTAACTTCTAGACGTTCCCGTGGTTGGAGGCGACATATACGGGCTTTCTTCGCTGAATCAATTGAACCGACAGTCGCGCTATGTACACGCCGCGCGTACTCCAGAACCATCCTGTTGAATGCTTACTTCATGCGATGTGAGCAGTTCTCAGCGCTGTATACGGGTATGAAAGTTTATCTTGTTTACAGGAGACAGGTTCCGCGTTTCTGTGTAGCCGCCGGTGGGCTTAGGGCGTGGCGTACCCTTCTCCGTACTCATTATTGGTAAAATTTGCAGTAATAATGAGAAGCAACCGAGTGCCAGAATGAATTTGCCTCGAAGTCCCTTCAGTGGCTTCTGCGATGTTCTGGGATTGTAAAAATCTCATGTTCATTCTTGTTAGGTTCATTGAATGGCGACCTTCTGGGATATAGAACAGGGGTTGATTATGTGTGCTGTGGTGAGTATCCAGTGTTGACAAAGATCATCTTGCCGATGTTTTATTGGTCACAGCCTGCCCTCCGGGTTGTACCCCATTATTCTGCGAACCAGACCTTCATTGACTTCATGGACGTTTTAGTCGGCCGGCCGTCTATCTGCTCCACAATCGTCGTCGGCTATCCAAAGATGTTCGGCCGACGTAAGATTGCAGGTGATGTTGACTACTCCTTCGACGAATCAAGTTGCAACTCGTGGGCCTTCCAAGCCGGCTATCGCGTTCACGACGACCTGCAGTCCACTTAAAGTTCATATTGTCCGACCAATCAACGCGTACTTGGTCGACTACGGGAGGTCGGTATGTCTGAGGCACCGTGTAGCCTGACAATTTACTCGCCACATTGTTGCAGGCGCATTGGATCAAGCGACTGATGCGTTGGTTAAACCTAATCATGGCAGCTTTGTGTGCCCCGTTTGGAAGAGAGTCAAGTCTAGGCAGTCTCGGCAGGGAAGCGTGCAGACTGTGTGCTGAGAGTTTTGCGCAGATGCAGACCTCTTGGCAGTGGTTGATACTCCTCCGAGCGACGCAGTGCTAAGTGCGATCGGATGGTCCGAAGAGATCTCCGTGAGTCGCTACTTTCCCTCCGCAGAAGCTGCCGACCACAACCGTGGTGTAAACATGCTGCATCGCGTATTACAAGCTGAACGCCAAAATGCAGCATCTCTGTGCCGGGAGACCCAGGTCGGAAATATCAGAAGGCTTGCAACTCTGTATCAGGTTTCTCTGTGTGGGTTGTTGGACAGCCTAAACAGACTAGTGGCAGGTACGTCTTTATCGCCGAATGCTAATTAATCTGGGATCTTGCGGCACACGCACGGGTGGATTCAGTGGGACCTCGAGCTCCGTTACGTTCTGGCGCACCATTGGTCAATGCTTAAGGTTTACGGGTGCTGATAGCAGTCACATGGACAAGACATGAATAATTTCTTTGCTAACATCATTGAACTCTCATTCCGTAATTATCTGATGGCGTATGGGGCACAGGTGGACTTGCTCTGCGGGAGAGCATGACGGAAGTGCGAAGATGCGCACCTCGGGCGACCGAAACTCACACCTGTTCTGTTCGATTTGTCAGTGATTGCTAAGGAGGTCTCATCCCCGTGTTGAACTTCTCATCCACGCTGACAACATGAATAGTTGACAACATCTACATACACAGCGACTTCTAGAGATTTATAAAGATCCACTGATCGCTCGCGATCATTATCGGGGTTTCTACTCTACGCCGCGGACTCTAGCCGCGCCTGGCATGAGCGGAAGTAAACCGGGGCTCGTTAAATACAATACAGTCAGCGGCACTAATACAAATTCGACGGCGGCCAAGGGTATCATGTACCTATGATTCTCACTATCGGAGCACGACAACTGTCACGGTATGTTTAGATAAGTCACGCACCTCAGCTTCCGCTTCGAACAGCCGCACTCACCTTTCACAATGCAGCGGACCGGAAGGACCTCAGCACCTCGTCATCAATAGGGTCTCGAGCTCTTGGTGGGACCATCTGGAGATACTCGAGAGGTGCAAGTCGCAGATGGTTGTTCCGATACACGGGACTGTGAGGGTCGGAAGACGAACTGGACGAGGAGGGGTCTACCCGGGTGTTGCGCTGCTGCTGCTGGGCCCTCGCGGCTCGACGACTTCCGCTCCTTGCACAGACGTAGCGGCCTTCCGGGACCTGAATGTCTTTGAGGTCCGGGATCTGATCGACTGTTCGGAGCTGAGAGATAGTACTCTCGGAGTAGTAGGCATCTGGTATCACCGATCAGATTAGAAACTGCAAACTGTGATGGTAAAGACTAGGCACTCACTGATATGCCATTTGCGCATTTTGCGAGGGCTGTCGACGTAAACAGAATACGTCTGCCTGACAAGCGTCGAATTTCTGCGTAGCGTGAGTATTCGGTGAGCATCTTGAAGCACGAAATGGCAAGCGCACGTCCTAATGCGACAGGCAAGGTGCTCAAAAAAGAATCGAAACTTACCCTATCAAATCCGTGTGAAACATCGACGATCTGCTCGTGTTCGTCTTTTCGAAATATATTAAAAAATCCTACCGAAGAGAGATGTCAGATAGCGGGAATGAATGTCATAGAGCAAAACTTGCATCCTGGGCCCGGGATGGTCCCCAGCTGCGACCCTCCGTGAAGCGTTGGATCTCTTGTCCAGTTGCTTCTAGTGGAGAGCTACTGCGTTGCTCCCACACGTACACGCAGCCCGACCTAAGAGCCATGCGTTCGTCTTCGTCCAGCCGGCGAGTGACCATAGGCCGCAAACCGAGCGCGACAGCGTGGAGTACGACCTCCGCATCCCTGACGTTGCGAATGTAAATCCCGGTGGCAGTAGGACACTGCATGTGGATGGCAGAGGACAGGGAAAGTTGTAGGGCAGAGAAGCGGAGAGGTATCCTTTTTGTATGTGCAGTCCCCAGGCGACACCTGCTATGGCTTCAAGCCTAACAGCGTTCGGAATGACACATTTTGATGATTAGGTTCACGGAGAACACGATGGCTAAACCATCGAAAGAATGCGCGCGACGTCAGAACGAATTAGAGCTGTACGGTTGAAGGTCGCATGCTAGTTAACCTGCACCCGTCGCTTACTCGGCAACATCTAAGCTCAATCTCCACCCCGAAAATGCACCCGCTCGTGGCGCCCCGCATTGTCTGGGCAGCGCGATAACAGTGCGATAATCAGGCAGGAAAGGTACTCACAAAGGCACACCCTTCGCCTCCCGACTATGTCAGAAGACCATCCAGAAAACACCACAAAGGCAACATCTACACGAGCTGCAGGATCATCCCGCGGAGCAGCTTCTTGATGCCGTGGCCAATCCTTTCGTAAGAGCCAACGTGGAAGTCTTCGCCTGCCGTGAGTCTCGACTTCGCCCTTGCAGCTCTGAGGGACCGACATGTGCTCTTGGGGTGGTGGAAGAGGTGGGTACATTCTTAGACTGTCGGCGTAGGTAAATCGATCTTAGCGGTCTTTGTCGCCGAGAAATTGAGTCAGTCTAACGGTTTCTGTCCCAAACTAGATCGCGCACTGGCCCGAGATGCTGGCCAGGAGTCCTCCAAAATACCGTACTAATCACCACTCTCGCTACCTTGTCCGCTTCGCAATATTCTCAGACCCGCGTCATTAACCTCGAACTTCTCCCAGCTTCCTTCGTATTCCATTCAGGTTCACCTCCCGCGAAGGTTGTCTGATGCGTGTGAGTAGTTCAACGTCAACAATGTAACCATTCGTGGCCGTACGCAGGTGCTATCTGTCTGTGAACGGTTAGTCGGTCATAAGTACCTACTCCGTGAGGATATTGGTGACCAGACGAGATGAAGAAGAGGTCAGCTGAACCTTCCTTCATTTGTTCTGGGCTGATCCCACTTCGATCCCACCTCGCATCACCATTATTAGGCGCCGCTTCCCAAGTGCCACTGTCAAGGGAAATCATTCAAGCTCCGCGCGTCTCCTATATCTCAGTTTTCCTACAGAGATGCGACGAGCCTTCATACTGAGGCGTATTTAGGTGTTTATTTCTCTGATCCTACTCTGGTTCCACGTAATCAGTGTAACATATCGTCCGTTGTTTTCTCAAGTCGTGTCAGTATGCATCAATAAGTGGTATTGACCCGTATTCTCGTGTTCCGCTGATCACTTCTGTTTTTTTCACCCGATCGTCATTCATGTACTGATCTCTTGCGAACAGTTGAATTGTGAATTAGAGCTCCGGCTGGATTTGGGCCGTCTTCCCATAGAGCAGACTGTAATCGGTGCGGGAGTAGCATAACAAATCCCGACCAACCTCCACATAAGCATCATGCGCTCGAATACCGACGCTCCCTTTTGCCGCGGGCCATGGCCCGTTAATGTCGTCCACAAAACAAGAGCTGTCACATCATTGGGCAGCTCGGTCGATTCTTCTAGACCATCAGCAACTGATTTTCCCTTCCTTGTGGTTCGCTGTGAACGCTGCTACTCCCCATCTCATACGCGGTCTAGGCTTCTCTGGCCTTGCGCCTCCTCGACTTCCATGACAAAATACGGTCTTGTCCCTCCGGGAATTTGGGTACACATGACCATCATCGTTCTCGTAAGTTTTACTTATTCCATCTCGCAGTTTGGCGACCTTCCTAACGCACTTCCGCTCGAAATCTGCCCACGCGATATCAAGAATACGTGGTGCGTGTGGGGCTGAACCCAAGGTCGAGGCCTCACGAACGTCCTCCAGCGCTTCAGGGCGAGACAACGGGCTTATCCATTGGCTCTTTGTGCGTAAGTCTCGACCTCCCGTCAATGTCGGCTCTTTAGCGTCTCATGGTGTAACCCTGTGTCCCGCAGACGCAGTTGCTAGCAGAGTCTTAGGCTCAACATAACCCCCAAGGTCTCAATCTCGAACCTCATTGAAATATTGTTTATGTCAAACCTTAGTGAGCAGAGAAGTTGCGCTTCTACGATTGGTGCTTCGGTCTGGCTTTTTTTCTTTATGTTCAGGCTACCAATCACAAGTCATCAACGCTGAGCGGGTCACACTGGTCTACCGATGGCGGCCGTCGGGTCTCGATGGTGGCTCCAGACAATTGTGATACGCGCAACGCTCTCGAGCAATCGCCATTGCGTGAAAGTGCGAAAATATGGGCGCTGCACGCGTCCTCCTTGATGCCGTGGTGCATGTCCGTGCCCGTGGTGTAGGCTTCGCGCTTGTACTGCAGCGTTGATCAGCTGCGCAGCCGGCTTTATGGTCATCGTCTGGCCAATATTGACCACTTATTATTACGGCGCTCACGGACAAGCAACGTTTGTTTCCAGTATCATACCGATCGAAGAATTTTCCAAGACCATTCTACCCGTACTCGGGTTTGCGATCTCTTGTAGATCTCGTCTTGGCCCCGCGTCTCCCACCGCACAATTCAAATCTCATGTGCAACACATTGCAAGCTCATGTGAAGCATGATATGTTCACGTCCCGTCCGAGTGGGTCCGCCTCCGGCCCTTGTATCGCCGCCAGGTATCGGAGGCCGGTCCTGCTGTCATTTAGGCTTTGCCACCATGTCTGTGGTTTCCGTACGGCATCCAGTTTTTATTGTACTATCTGATGCTCCTTCCCGTCAGATAAGTCACGATACTGAAGCGACTCTTACGCCTCGTGTGTCTCCACCAAGAAGCTTGACAACGTGCCCTACTATCACCTTACCGTGGAACGCATCTCAGTGGAATGGTCTATGAAGAAACTGGCAAGCCACTTGTTCAAAGCGTCTTCTTCGCCTGTTAATTGGTCCTGGATGTCGGACACGGGAACACAGCGAATTTGAATGTTATTCAATTGATTTTGAGGGTATGCGATCCGCAAGTAGCCAGGCGCTCTCGCTCCTACCGGCCCACGGTGTCATTCTCGTCGTGGATTTCGGTCTCTGCATTCCTGACACCTGGACCACCACCACTCCGTGTGGTAGAGCGAAGATGCCACTCGTGCGTGTCCGTGGTCGATACGGAGCTAACCGCGGACAGGGACAGATCCACTCGTGTTGGTGCGCTGTTATAACGAGTCTGAATCTCATCATTCTCCCACCGATTTGATTCCTGTGTGCGAAGCCTCCAGTGCGAATGCCGGCAGGGTCATAGTCCTCCCGTTCCCGCCGTCGATAACACGCTGCACAACACGATATCAGCAGCCTCCTTGTAGGAGTCCCGACGGTGCACCAGCCTCGCGTTCCTGGAGTGGAGCGGCCAATCTGAACGAATGCGTTCAGAAGCATATCTACTAATTACGAATACCGCAGCGGGTATCGGTTTTTTCTGTCCGACGACGCTCGTCCAATTCAGTTATATCCCCTGCATGGTGGACACCCGAGGCGTTGGCGCTTCGCCGTTGTCCAGTCTGACAGCTTTCGGAGTAGGCATTAGACTCTAAACTCATCACTGGTCCGCCGAGATGTCTTCCGACGCTTCTATCAGTCTTCGACCTCAATAACATAATACCGTTGTCATTAATACTACATATTCTTGCCTGACTTGCGGTGCACAGCACCCTGGAGGTTTCGATCCGCTCCGCGTTACACATCTGCAGTCTCACCGGCGAATTTGTAGGGACGCGTGGCAGGCTCAGAATGGTTTAGTGCGATTGTAGCTTTGTAGCTTGGCAGTAACAGATTCAAACTTGTACAAACGATGGGACCCACAAACAAAGGTTGACAGAGCATGGAATACCTTACCATGCCTGCAACGCCTTGCAGACGGACCGTAAGTCGCCTGTGCGAGCGTGGCAGACACGACAGAAGCTAGTACTAATGCGGCAGTCAATGAGGTTGTCTGCGGGCCATCTTGGACATTAACTATTGTGGGTTCAAGGGACACGCGTCTTGCAGACCGGTCCCGAGGACAGGCTTGGACGGCTTAGTATTACATGCAATTGACCGCCACGAGAAATTTACGCACTAGGCTTGCACTAGGCTGCAGATCGACGACTAGCCTCAGAAACCCTTGTTGTGTCCACCCTGTTCATAGAACGTCTCCATCCTCGTCACAATCGCGGCCAGCGCAGTGAGCCAGCTGTTAAGCTCTTCGTTCAGCTTATCGGCAGTGACTGAAGGACCACCTGCGGGATCCGATGCGAGCTTGGCGTAGAAGTCAGCGCGGTAAGGGCACGCTTTCATCGCAACCTTTCAAGCCGGGAGTATGAGCGCCAGTCACCCAAGCATTCTCAATAAAAAGCATACTGAAAATATCCCTTTCACGACAAAGTTGTGGAACTGCTTGAGCGTCTGCTCGTAAGACTTGCTGAACGCGGCAGCCAGCTCTTCTGTCTGGTTTGCTTGAGTTGCCTGCAGGGCCTTGCAAGTGAACGCGAGCCCGCGAAGCAACCACATCAGGCCCTCCGTTGCCGTGCGCTTCTTCTCGCCCTTCTCGTTGATCACGAGCAGCTCGAGGGTGGACGACTGTGTCGGAGTAGCCTCATACCGAACGCGAACTTTCTAGAAAGTATGCTTTTCAGTTTGAACCGCGACGTATTTTTGTCAGACTGACCGCAATGTTGCCTCTCAGGTCCGCCTGTACTACCGTGAATGCGGCAGATCCGAGTATATCTGTTCACCGCTCACACGCTCGCACGATAAATTCGTTTGAAGTATGACGCACCGAACAAGCCTACTACTCCCTCAGCTGCCTCAAGGAATGCGACGGTGTCGACGCCAGCGTCGGTCACAGGCACATCCACGAACGACTGTGCAACTAATCAATCCATACATCTCCCCAAGCCGTCTGCTATTAAACCAACCTTTACAGACTCGAGATAGGGTGCCATTTTAAAGGTCGTAAAGTGAAAATTTGTTGACGGGAGATAACAAGACAGACACAGAGAGGGGCACAGCCTGTTCGCTGGCTGATTCTGATGATCGTGCTGGCGGAGGCGCACAGCCAGACGTTATCTAATCTCTTGCCAGTTGCTCCCGCTGATCAGCATCACCTACGGGCCGCGTCGCGGCGATCAGCGCAACTTGAAGATGCCTCACGCCGACTCTGCCTTCGTACCCTCGGGGATCAACAAATCAGAATTTTGGGAACATGTTCATGGTCAGCTAGCCGCCCTACTAGAAGGACAGCGCAATTGGGTACGATGCTCTCAGTCATCAAAGTGAGAACAAGCGTCTGACCCGAAAATCAGGTCACAAATCTTGCCAATGCGTCTTCCTTGATCTACAGTTCACTTTTGTCCTTTCATCCTCACTTTGGAGATGAGAACAGAGCGGTCAATTGGTGTGGTAAGTCTTACATCCATCCGCATCCACTCCCATGTGGCAGGACTGATGGCGATGCGATTATACAGGCTTCTACATCGATTCCTCGTTATTTCCCTCACCTCGAATTTCACAAGTAAACACTGAATTAGACGAGACCATCCGTACCGGCCAGCTTTTGCTCGGCCCGTTCTGCGGAAAGCCTGCCTGCCAACTGATCAACGTCGCTGAGGGTAAGGCGCGAGGGGTCTGCGCCGATGCTTATCTCCAGCGAAGAACTTTGCTGGTGCCTGATGTGGATAACTATCCCGGTCATATCGCCTGCGACGGAGACACGAGGAGCGAGATCGTATGCCCTCTGATTCTCAGAAATCGTGGTGAAGAGACCCCACTTGGAGTGCTCGATTTGGACTGTCTTGCTTTGGGTGGATTTAACGAGGAGGACCGTGTAGGTTTGCAGAGCATCGCTGATCTGGTTGTACGGGCGTGCGATTGGTGATGAGACGGCCACGTAAACTGTAGAAGCCGTAAAGAACATAGTCTCACAAAAACGCGAATGAGCAGATGCCCACGAACATATTCTTGATCGCCGAACAAGCTCGGGCGAAAGTCACCGGCACAAAACCACCGCCTGCAACAATGCAATACTCGCATTTCACTGTGGCTTAGACTTCTGCCACTCGAGGAACTCTTCGTGCAGTGTTTTCTGCAGCGCCCACTCTTTCTGAACCTTCTTCCCTTGGTTCTTACTCAACTCCTTGCCCTTTCCGTCAGTCAGCGGACGGCCGGCCTCATCCCAACTCCCGTAGCTGCCCTCAGGCACGTTTGGAGATTTGAACATAAGTTCCGGAGGCACACGACCTCTCTCAAACTTCTGCAGTCGCTTCTGTCGCTCGGCTTCCACTGCCGCGGCCTTCTTCGCCGCCTTCGCCTCGGCCTGGACTCGTTTCTCGTCGCGGGCCTTCATCAGGTCTTCAGGGGAAACCAACTTAACCAACGCCTTGCCATCTAAGCACGAGGTAAGTGAGCACATAACATAGCATTGAGCCAGAGCGTGTGCATGGAGACTGCATACCTTCCTGATCATCCAATGCAACGCCCAAGGGTACGAGATCGACGTCTCGGAGTTTGTCAGAGAGCGCCAGGATGTCCTGGAGGGCCTCGTCGCCCTTCGCAATCGCGAGCTTTCGCACACCATCCCGGAAGGACGAGAGCGTCCGCAGATAAGGCATAAGAATTTCCTCGCGCTATGGGCGTTCCGTCAGTCGAGACAGTTCGAAGACAACAGCCTGCGGCCGCTGTTGGCAAATACGCACGTTCACGATTACTTCCACCCCCTCACGCTCCTGGCCCCAACCGATCTCGAAGGGCTTGCCCTCGCCCAGCCCAAACATGCGTAGCATCTGACCCACCCAACGCGCGATCCGCTCCACAACGCTTACGTCGAGATTCGTGCCGCGCGAGTTGATGTACACGTTGGTGCGCGAGACCAGGTCGCGAAGGACGTTCAGCGCCTCTGAGGTGTTAAATGAGTCGCATAACGCTTCCCGGAACGCCCTCTGGCTGTGATGGAAACTGGTACATGAAATGTTATGCATACATACAGCAGTCGGTCAAATTCAGGACAACTTACGCGTTGGTTGTCTCACGTTCCGCTTGCTGGTACTGATTCTTTCCATCTAGATGCGGGCCGTCCACCTGAGCCCGGCTTATGCGAGCTCTGACCGTCGTGAAGAAGTTCTACGGACGGTAAACGCGGTCAACTCTATCACAAAATGGAAGGGAGGAAGCATTCTATTCACGTTCAGGGTCGACTCCAAATTTCGCACTTCACCGGTCATGAGTGACTCCGAGAAGTCGACCTTCGCATTCCAAGTTTGTGTCAGGAAGGCCAGGCGGAGTTGTCGCGCTGTATATTTTTGGAGAATCTCCTGTAGGCAATAAACGTAAATCAAGACTAGGCATATATCACGATGGAGGATCTTTACGTCTATGGTGATGAAATTCTTCAAAGACTTGCTCATCTTGAGCCCCTCGATGTGTAAATGCCCAGTATGTAGGAAATAGTTTACCCATGCCCCGCATTCGTGGTAGGCCTGGAATATGGTCAACACCGGGCGTGCAGACGTAATTGCCTCTTACTTCTGACTGTGCCATCTCATTGTCATGGTGCGGGAATGCAAGGTCAACACCCCCGGAGTGGATGTCCATATTGTCACCGAACACCGCAGAGGCCATCACAGAGCACTCAATATGCCACCCGGGACGGCCATCGCCCCATGGGGACGGCCACGAAGGCTCACCGGGCTTCGACGCCTTCCACAGCGCGAAGTCGGCCCCCGAGCGGCGCCCCGTTGCTACGGACAGTGCGCCTAGCAACACGCATCAGTCAGTCCAGACAGCATCTACTATCTGTAGCCCACCTTCGCCCTCTTCTAGCAGCTCCTTATTGCCCTTGCTCCATGGTTCTAGTTTGGCATAGTGGTGATTATCTGCCTTGTCGAACGCGCGCGTGTCGAAGTACACGCTGCCGTCGACTACGTAGCCGTACCCGTTCTGGACGATCCCTGCAACAAATGACACGATCTCGGGAACGTACTCAGTCACGCGTGTGAGCGTGTCTGGATCACGCACGCGTAGGCGGCGCATGTCCTCGAAGAACTTGCCTTCCCAGTAAGAGGAGAGGGACCGAAATATTGAATGGTCTGTTATGGAGCTTCCGTACTGCGCGAAGTGAGCATGGATGAAGAAGACAGCTTTCGAATCAATACCTGTTTGTCTAATGATATTGCTAGGATATCCCTAGATTCATCTATGAGTGTATGAGCGACGTCCTGCCCGGTAGCACCGGACTTGAGGGATTCTTCCGCTGCTAAAAGCGCAGAATATGCACGATTCTAGGACGATCAGCACATAAGCATTTTGCGAACATGGGTGATCGAAGAACGCACCGCGGCAAAGAAGTGCATTTCGAACTTCTCATCCCGTTTCAGGCCGTCTTGCCGCCACGTCTTGTTGTTGAATTGCTCTACAATTTGCGGCCATGTTTCTCTCTCTTTCCCTTTACTCGGACGTTCCGCTTCTGATATCCCTTTACCGACCTTCGAGTCTAGGTACGCGGCCCAAGCTTCTTGTACTTGGTCTATTAGAGTCGGAGACAGAGCTGTGGTCTCCGCGCGAAATACGTTCACCAAATGTGTTTGCCGTGCACGTAGGATAATCTATAGGCAGTCAGCGCGCCCCTCCACAGCAGCTACACGCATTACACGCACTTTGTCATCGATGTCTGTAATGTTCATAACAAAGTGAACGTCGTATCCGAAGTAATCCGTCATGATCCGCCTGAGGATGTCCTGCGTGACGTAGTTCCTGACCACTGTCTCCTCAACACTCTCATACAGAGTTGAACACAATGCTCACCTAGCATGGCCCATATGCGATGCATCGTAAACGGTAGGACCGCAATTGTACCACTTTACATGCCGCCCCTCAGAGGGCACGAACTCAGTCTGCGCCACACATATCAGCTCAAGCACGGACGACGAGTATCAATCAATACCGACTTTCGTCCGTGTCAGCGAATTGTACACCTTCAGTACAGGCTCCTCCGTCTTCGGGGTCGGTGGAGACCATGGTGGTTGCCGAGCAGACATGAATTTGCGAGTTTGGACGCGTTTGAACGGAAGAAAAGGGTGTTTGGTACGAGTGGACGAGCGTAAGGGGTGATATAGCAAGAGTGAGATGCTGTACAGCATTCACTCCGTCAGATGGAGGTCAGACGCTGTCGATGACTCGCGCGAGAGCGCCAGTGCACGTAGTGCACGGAGATTTAGCCGAAAAATGTCTTCGGCCAAATCTGTGAAGAGCCAGAACTCGACAGTCGCAGATCACGATCGACCAATTCCAAACAGGATCTCCCCCAAGATTAGTTTTGTTGAAATCTCAACTTGCAGTTTGACAACATATTCACCCGCGAACTCCGTTGGGAGTTCTGGACATTCCAGGTGTAATTAGCAGGAAATCGGTACCGTATTTATTACTCAGTGAAACAACATTTACACCTCTATAAACACAAGCTGAGAATTACACATAATTTACCAAAGTCCGTGAACCAGCCTGGGAGTGTGTTAGATCGTGTCTGAGGATTGTTCTGAGTCAGACAAAGGGCCGGCTTCCCCTCGTCCTTGTGAGGTTCCGCGAAGTGTTTAGTGCCCTGTCAACATTATGCAATGTGCTGTAACCCGAGCTCTTGGCGAGGCATTGGCAATGACAGAAGACATGATGGTAGTCGTAATAATACCGATCAGTAGACGATTAGAACTTGGATGGTGTGAACATGGTCAAAGTAAGCTGCGCAAAATGATGCAGAAATCATTCTCACCTTCACAACTGTCTTGCTGCTGCTACTGGCATCGTTAGCTGCTGCTGGGCAGGGACTACATTTGCAGGGGCAGTCATATAATAATGAAAATTCTGTTCTCTGCAATGCCATCAACCGCAAACCTGTCACCCAACAGCAAATAGATTTGGGGCTGAACGTGCTGAACATGAGAGAAGTCGGGCGCTTCCACGAGCGCTCTCCCAGAATGTAAAGAAGAAGAGAGTACGAACATGAACAATTTTACCAACCTTAAAGAAGGCGCCAAAACCGGGGGTGGTGCCTATGCCTTCTGGGGCCGGCGTGGAACAAGAGTGTCGCAAGGAGCTTCACGGACGGATTGTTTGAGGAGTTTGCGGAAAATGTTGTCTTTAATAAGCTGTACACCGACAGTCTCCGAGGAGCTGTTCCTTAGACGACAGCTTATTAGGCCCTAGATCAATACGACCAACATTGGTACTTGAATTGAGGTAGGCATAATCTTGTGGGGAGCTCTTTCTGTAGACTAACAAATTTCGGAGTTTGAGGTGTGGACACACTGAATTTATGACATTGGACGTACGAAACGACTGGCTCTATATGTCCACCGTACCAATGAGCGCTTCTCCCGTGGAGATTGGCCCTAAAATTTGTGGAGTCATGTTGATACCGCTGACCATTGTGAACACCTCCCGCAAACTGAGGGCCGTACGTTGAATGTTGCCAAGTCACCGCTGTCAATCTGTCCGTAGTTCGACTCGGAAATGTCGCCTGACAGCCACAGGTCGAAACTGCATCAAACACCGCATCAGTATGTTCCTTCGAAGTAAGCACCTGGTTGTGTCCAATATCACTACGAAGTCTCATTGGCATTGATAAATATAACCTGGCAAATAGGATTGGCGATACCATGCTCAGAAGCTGTAGCCTACGCGGATAAAACAGAGAATACTGTACACGCTGCAGCGGAAAATATGGAGAGGGTGAGTATCTGACCGTAATCGCGGCAGGGCGAAGATGTTCTGATTGCATACGCACTTTCTCGTAGATGGCCCAACCCAATATTGCCAGAAGTCTGTCTACATAGAACTAGAGTTGTGCAAAGTGGTTATCGGTACGCTAGGTCGGTATGGCCCGGGTGGCTGAGTCGGAGACGAAACTGGCAATGGCATGCCCCATATGGAAGTCTGTGCTGCAATTGGCGCTGATCTGGCAAACTCTTCCTCTATAGGCTTGCACATAGCCCCATGCAAGTAATAACTCATTCGCCGATCAACAGCCCACAATTTTTCCTACGCAAGTGTTCTCCGTGAGACAACAATCATGTGTGTTTCGTATGTATCCTGACATTTTTTTTCAAGGAGAACAACTACCCCGATTGTCATAGAGTAGGTGAATAACGACGTCCTGCTTTATAACTTACTGATTGATAATTATTCCTTACCTCCTGCTGAAGCCCATACCCCAAAACGTAGTGCACCAGCTCACTGTTCGGGCATGTCGTGTTGCTCACGAGACGTCGTAGGTCAATCGATTGCGGCCACTGATCTTTCCACCCCTTCGCGATGAGTAATACAGTTAATACAGATTGCCTTCATCGTGTCCCTTCTTTGAGGGTTGTAACCAAATCACGACGTGAGTGGATCAAGAGTGGATTCCATGCTCGATGCAGGCGCCTGAATCTGCGATTCGAGGCATGATCAGACAACCCGCCGTCGAAGCTCGATCATGTGCGGTATGCAAGATCAAGCATCTATAAGCTGGGCTGAGATTTTCCGCCTCGTTCAAGGAACTCGTGGAGCACCTTACGGTTTCCCCGTAGCCAGGAAGTACCCTGCATCATCGACTAAACGTCAACAAGGTGGAGCTTCTTGCAATCTCGGCATCACCCAGCTTGTTCATCAATTGGCGTAACGGCTATTTCGTCGACACTCTCGTGCGGGGAAGGATCAATTGGATTATGGACTATCTTCGTGCTGACTGAGCTTCCTCGGGACACCCACCCTAAGGACAATTTGGAGCTGCAATGCCCAACGGTACTCACGAAAACTCCCTCGCGAGACCCTTACTCATTTCGTTTTTCAGATATCTGCATGCTCTTCCAGCTCTTTCTTCTAATCTCTCTTGACTCAGGGACATCGTACTTCTCTTCTTCCGCGTGGATTGCCGTCCCATGCCGCGGGTTTCGACGATGCACAGTTGCCGCTAGTCGGTCATAAGATTAGGGTCATGTTCCGGCTGCGGTAACGTTTTTCCCTTTGTGGTCAGTTTTGCAATATAACTAACTACTGTCAATGGTAGTCAGCATCGAGTTTCTGCGTCCGGCGTCTTCACAATCCGACTTTATAACCTTGACCGCCTCCATGTCAGCTCGTCAAATACTCCTCACCTTGCAGTCGCTATGCAGCAGCCTACTTGCAGCGGACTCCGCGTAGAGTCTCTTGCAGACTCCCATGTCATATTCCACGCTGTGATGCTAGGCATCCTTCCTATGGTCGTCCGGCGCCTAGATCCAGATGAGAGGCAGCTCATACACCCGGGTTGTGTCTTTGTATGGGAGGAACGTTGCCCGCTCGCTCAAGCTACCGGAGTGAGTGCATCACATGTTTATCTCGCAGTCCGATCCGACTCAAAACTCATACCGCTGATTAGACAGGTATGGAACGCTGGACCGACGGAAGACGCTGGGGGCCTTCTCGAGTTCGGGATGTGAGCTTATTCCAAATTTCCTACCGGATTAGGTGCCCTCTGATCCCGGCGACAGGAGTTTCTGCTCTATCAGGAAGTGCTTCCGGAGCTGGACGCCGATGAAGAAGTCTCGCACCGCCAGTACGTCCCGAATTTCCGTGGCCCGCAGCGGGTCGTGAGTGCCTATTTACTGAGCTGGACCCTGCATGGCCGCCCTACGATGACTTCGCTTCTGAAGGCTGCGAAATCGCCTAGTCAAGAAATCCTATTCCGTGCTTGTCGACCTGGAGAGGGGGCGTCGGAAGTGGCACCTCGGTCAGCCCCTCCTTTCGTCTATGTGATTGCACCTAAGGTGACGTCCGGACCGCAGTGGCGTATTACACACAAGATAGCCTCGAACGCCTGCACACCATCGCCGACATCCCGACGCTGGCCGCACTTCGTGGTTACGTCCCAGAAGGCAAATACATGACTGCGCGATCGTCGAAGGTGCGCACTCGCGCAGAGAAAGGAGGGGCTTCTCAGGTCGCCAATCAGGTGTCAGTATTCTCTGAACCACCCGGTCCTTATGAACCAGCACCCGGAGCCCCGCCTTCTCCTGATTCATACTCTGCAGCCTTCCCAGAGTCGAAGCCCTCTCCCACACCCACAGCACTCAGCACGTCGGTCCGTCTGCCCGACATTCATCAGGCGCAGTCGCCGGTACAGCGCCGCCGAAGCGCGTCGCAGGACCTCGCACCTCTGGTCTATCTAAAAACGCTGCCCTACATGCCACGCCATCCGATCGACGCCGTTGCCCTGCGATCGTTTGATCGTGCGATGTTCTGAGCGTGTCTCGTGGTCTGCTTTCAACGTGGTTGTATTCTTGTGCTGGCGCATGTATCTGGTTCCTGTCTCTGTGGACTGTTTGTATGTATTGAATGTGGGTTCCATGCTTTGCGCGATATGGCGTGTGGTTTGGGGCTCGACCGGACCTCCTTAACGTATCTGTATGCATGCCATTCCCTCCGCGCTCGTCCAATTGTCTTGGGCGCAGCCTCGGTCTAGACGGCTATACCATCCACGACCGTCGTCTCAGAATAACTTCCTTCCAATCGCCTCGCTCGCCGACCACTCTGGGTCGCTAGACCAAGGTTAGACAAGATTTTACGCACATGATAATTCGGAGTTCACTCGGATCTATTTGTCTGAATCGACGCTCGGTCCTCCTGCTTTACATAAGCTGGAAGCGATGTCTGCAGCGCGAATCACATTCGTACTTTAAGTGGACCCAAGCCGCGACAGGAATAGCCGCGGTACCTATAGCACTTTGTCGCCCGCGACCGGAATATCGTGAACTGCGAGAACTACGACGCTAAAAGCATAGTCTAAAATAAGCCAGCGGGCGCGCCGCTCGTCGCTGGCTACACGATTCGCTGGCCTGCATGCAATATGTGTAACAGCACGCGCGCTTCGCAGCGCTGGCAGCGTCGGCCAGTCTCGTCTGCCGACCTTCCAGGCTTCCCACTCCACGCTTCCTCTACGCATCGATCCCAGGAGGAAGCCAGGCGAGCGCACCACCCTGTCGAGGCGGCACCCGCGTGCGTTCCCATGTCTGACAGGCATCGTAGGCATCTGACTGGGGGAGCACCAGGCCACCAGTCCCCGTCCGCGTGACCGCGCACTCAGACTTGGCCCCCCGCCTGTGGGCCGCTGTGGACTTTTGGAGAATGGTGCGGGCTGGTCTGGACAGGACAACGAAGGTTCGGTACCGCCATGGTGACACAGGGTGGGTACACCACAGCTAGGCAGCTGCGTGCGCTGGCCCATTGATTGCTCGCTGACCAATCTCACCAATCGCGCGCGACGCTGTGCCGCCGGGCGTTCCACCGGTGGTGGATCAGGGATCTCATGTGAAGAAGCGACGCACCGCCAGGGCCTGGGCTGGACGTTGGACCCACAGCTAGAAACCACGTAGCGCTACATCTGGGTCTGGCTGTAAGTGAGGGTGACAGTTGGCACAGTCTTCTCGTGCCCGGTTGCCCTGGCAGCTATCCCTCCGAGCCCACCGGGGGCAAACTGTGCTTCGCAATTCACCGTAGACCGTGTGGCACCCCTGGTGGCCTTGTGGGCGATGGGGCTTCGAGCACGCGAACTCCGCGGGCGGGCGGCCGCGCTCTCAAAAGCATACCTGGCGAAGGTAATTCAAGAGGGAGCGGTATGCGGGCACCCGCATGAGCGGGGGACGCACTTAGTATTGAATATCAATTCAGATGACCATGCTGCGCCATTCCAACGCGCATGTCAGCAGGACGGTGCGCAGATAACCATGTGAGCAAGCTGCTGCCTCGCGACGTGTATCTGGTGGCGCGAGGCAGGTTGACGTGTAGCAGAGAAGCGGACGAGAAGAGTGTATCGTCCGCGGTAAGCACTGGGCTTTAGCCTTGACATGCTTGGCGCTGCGGAGGCGTTTGTCAGACTCATCACAGCTTTAGTAGCATTACCTTTTAGAATATTCTAAAGCGGCACGCACCTGATGCGACTGGCGTTTCACAGTGCTTAATGCGTAATTCTATTGACAACCCCCCAAAGAGCGAGAAACCAGGGTTTCGCGAGAAAGCCCACTCACAAAACACCTTGTAGGTTTACCTGATGCGGCTGGCGTTTCACAGTGGTTAATGCGTAATTCTATTGACAACCCCCCAAAGAGCGAGAAACCAGGGTTTCACGAGAAAGCCCACTCACAAACACTTTGTAGGTTTCTGCTCCTCCGGCCAGTGCGCCGGCGGGGTCAGCATCTCGCTGGCCACGGAGAGCGAAGAGGAGGAGTATTGCTGTCGCCATGCCACGTCGCTGTCTGCGGGTGACTTGCAGGTACGGCAGCACCTGCCAACATATCCTCGAAGCTCACACCGGGGTGACAAGATGACGACCTCCGATTTCTGCGTCTTCATCGCGTATGAACGGCCCACTGTGCGCAAAGCGTTGACCACGACTTTCCAGGGGTTTCTCACTTTTTGGAGGTGCCCCAATAGAATTGCCCGTGGTCAAGCCCCGTAAGTGAAAATTTCCTGCATGTCAAGATCGTCCAGGAACGAACTTACCATACGGCAGGGACCCTGGAATGGATCATACGGCAGAGGACGCAAAGTGGACGTGATGCTGGGAGAACCAGATGATCGGTGCTGGTTCAATATAATGCTAAAAATGGGCAAAGGGTCGGCGTCGGGAGGTGCCGAAGCGTTTGTATCAGGATGTGCGGGCCCCTCAGGACGACCCGGAAGCACATGTTGCGATTAATGCCGTTATGTACTGGGTTCGCTGCATCACGAGAGACAGTAGTAAGTAGTGTATGGGTATTATTGAGGCCTGAACAGCAACGGCTGCAGCCAGCGATACCCGAGAGCATTTGCGCCAATTCTCTTGGCGGAACGTGCGGCGTTTGGAGTGAGAATTTTGACAGCGACAATTGGGGTGGGAGGAACGACAACATCGGGTGGTGAAGCGAAGTGATAACACGTTTTCGAGTGAAGGGGGTCGCTTCGCAAGGGTGGAGCGTATAACGGTGAATTGGCGCGACTTGCACCGACGCGCCAAATATACCCGCTGGTCGGGCAAGTAGCCCGAAGCAGTAATTTCGGGGGTCCATGCTCGCGCGATGACCGCAAGACTGCGAGTACTTATGGGGAGCTCGAGCAATGACGCCATGCCGTGTAGCGGGCCTGACCAGGAGAAATGATGGGAGGAGGCCGAACACTCATTTTTTGGCTCAGTGAAGAAGGATGCACGGCTGCGAACGGTGATCCGCTGGGGGACGTTCCCGCGAATATGTCTAGAGCAGTGACATCTGACGAGGAAGAGTGGATCGTGTGGAATAAATAGATATTCCGGGCGAAGCGACGGGCGAGCGTCAAGGAGAGAGCAGGTGACGATTGGCATGAAGTGGCTGCAGGGCAGCGTGCGCCTGGGTGGGCGGTGGTGGCGGGAGAGGGACGATCAAAGGGTGATAAAGTTTGGTGCAGACAGCCCGTTTTACAGGGTGTATTGAATTGAATGGCAGGCATCTCGATTAGATTTGGAAATGTATCCCGTCCCTCGGGCCTCCTCTTTCTGGTTAAACTTGCTCGCTCCACTCACACCTGCAGTGAATTGTCTGATTAATCATTTCTAGATGTCCCCAAATCCGGGCCCTCTGATCGCATCCTATAAATCCTAGATTCTCTCCACGCCCTTCCGCCTTCTCTCCTTCTCCCTCTTCCCCCTCCTCCTCCTCCCCGTCCTTGCGATTGTCGCCTTATCGCCGCAGCCATGCAGGAGCCAACCCTCACCGACATCCACATTCGCTCCGTCCAGGACGCCCACAAGCTCTTCTACGCTGTCCAGCTCGGCCTCCTCGAGAAGATCGACAAACGTCTCGACGCAAACGAGCGCAATGCCCTCCGCCCGGGCAACGTCTACGTATGGGAAGAGAAGGGTCCCACCGCAGACACGTTCAGCGTCAGCATGGAGCGCTTCACTGAAGGTAAATCATGGACAGCATCCCGCGTCAGAGACGTACGTCGCCTTCGTCGTGCTGCTCCCGCGTCACTCATCCCCCTTCTCCCGTGATAGGACTTTCTTATGTACTTTGAGGACCAGAAGAAGAAGGGTCGCGGTGACTCTCAACGCGCGAAGTGCGTGCTCCACACTGTTCTCACGACGCGCTGTGCTGACCCGTATTAGATCGTCCGAGAACCAAGTCGTCCGGCCAGGCGAGAGCGATCAGTTCATCAAGCTCACATACTCGGTCTTCCGTGATGACCCCGCCGATCTGGGACAGTCCGACGAGAAGCAGAGGAAACCACGGAAATGGCATCTCAGTAAGCGCATATACCCAGCCATCTTCGATCCCTTCGCTCAATACTGGCTTTGCGAAGACGCGTACTTCACGAAACTCACCGAAGGTCAGCTGCGGACGATCGACGACATCCCATTCCTCCGTGACCTGCAAGTCCCAGAGGGCACGTTTAAGAGCGCGCGAGCGAACAAATCCGGCAAGAATCGCGATGCATCAAAGTCCACGAACTCGAGCGTGAAGCGCACCTTCGCTCCCTTCCCCTCCAATTTCCCGGCACACCGTACACAGGATATCCCCTCGGGTCGCGCGCCGTTACCTACCGCACCCCAGCCCACCATGCTGTCCCCGGATCAGATTCCAATTGGCATCATGCCCCTCGCCCTACCTCTCTCGGTGAGTTGGTGCCCTGCCTATTTTGAGACCCCCTCCCTTATCTGCAGCACCCCACTCTGACAGCAACAGGAGCATATCCTGCAGTCCCTCCCACAGACTGGTTCTTCCAGCCTCATACCCATTGACGGGTCATCATACATTCCACACGCTATCGCCGCATATATGACTGCGCCCTTCGTCTCTGAGCCCGCACTTGATGCCTCGTGTATACCGCCGTCACGCCATTCTTCCGATATGTCCATGTCCCCTTCACTCTCCGATTTCTCGAATGGATCCTGGCCTTCTCCCAGCCCGTCGCACCGCATGTCCGACTCGCCCTCCCATTCTGCATCTCCCGATTCGCCAATGGCGGATATCTTCGCGCCGTTGACGGACAACGGCCTGCCTTACGAGCCCGCGCCCGTCTCCGAGCAAGACGGCGGTCAGGCAGGCGGCGCACGCGTCGACCTCGCGCCGCTGAACTCGCTGCACCGCAGCCATCCGTACCGTCGGAGCCCCATCGACGACCGCGCGCTGCGCCTGCTCGGGCCCGGCGCACGTTGATAGCGCCGCGCGCGACGCACGCCACAAACCAATGTACCATTCACTGTATTTCGTACACGGATACCTCTACACTCTGCACCATTCTGGATATTCCCTGCACCATTTTGGACTTTTACACTGCTCGCGACGTGCTCATATTCATGCTCTATTTTCTTTGGATGCAGTGCGGGCCGGCAGACACCTGAACCGGTACAGATAACGTCTGTCCGACTGGCCAGAGACTCTTCGCGGCTGCCAAGCTTGGGGCCGCGATCGCGCGCTTGGCAGAGCCGGTATCAACGCCGTACGTCTGCGGCAGGCTGGAGGGGGCGAACGCGCCTCCTTGAGTGATGGTGGCGGACCTTGACTGCGGCATTGGGCAGCGGTGGTTCTGCGGCCATTGTGCGGTTGGTCTCAGTGATGCGGCTAGGCTAGTGCGCACAGGTAAAATGATCGTGGATAGTGGATTTGGATCGTAGGTAGCCCGTTAGCTCGTTGTGAGCTGCAGGCGCGTGACGTGTAGCAGCAGTTACAATTAGAACCGCAATTGCCCGCGCCCGACGCGACGCGGTGTATAGGATACTATCTGTGTGCTGCCGGTGAGCTGGTGCGTAGCCGGCGCATGAGCTGCGAGCAGAGAGACTGAATATTTGTTTACAATGTTTACAATACGATATCCGCCTTCGCCCCAGTGGGCTTGGGACATGTTCTGATGAGGCGCGATAGGGCTCCATCTATGCATGGATTGTTCTATTTCGTACTTGCCTTTTTTGAACCACACCCGGCAATGGCGATGGATCGGGCTGCACGTCTCGGAGTTGTGCGGAAGCCTTAGGGCGCGCTCACCGCAACGTCGGGACCGCGGATTTATGATACGCTCCCCGGCGGGGCAAAATAATGATTTGATCCCGGACGCTGCCCAGATATGATAGCTTGCCCCGGGTGCAGTTCTAGCGATAAGTAAATCCATCATGCTCGAAATGATTTCATTACTGCACCACTGTAAGATACAGACAAGAAGAAAGTACAGAGAGAATGGGTATGCATGGCGAGAATCACGGAGGAAAGGGTGGGTGCACTAAGGCTTGATGAGGTTCGATCTATGATAAGACGAACCCCCATCGCACCGTCCAGTTCATCTGCCCTCAGCCGAATCTGCCTAGGTTCTTGGCGCTCTTGCTCACGGTCTCCAGCTCCGCCTGCTTTGCCTTGGCGCGCCTAGCCCTACATAGACGAACAACATTCAGCGAAGCGCGTCGTCAGACGAAGGCGCATGCACGCACTCGTCCTTGGCCTCCCGCTCGAGCAGCCGCACGTGCTCACGTGCGGCGCGCACGGACGCCCGCGCCTGCCGCAGCGCCTGGTCCACATCGCGCTCGGCGGCCACTGCGTCCGCGACCTTCTGGCGCGCGCCGACGATGGATGGGTGGTTCCGCAGGTCCTGGCCCGAGTTGGACGACGAGGACCGTCGCTGGCTGAAGAACCCGCGCGAGCTGCCGTTCCCGCTGCGCGTCGAGTTGGCGGCGGTCGAGGGCTGGTAATCTGGAGAACGCGAGTTGCGGGAGAAGATGCTGCGGCTGCGCGAAGGAGGTGCCTCCTCTGAAGGGTCAGGTGTGGCAGATGTGGGTCCCTCCGCAGAGCTGGAAGGGAAGAAGGGCATCTGCGTGCTGTGTGCGTTACGGAGCGTATAGACTAGAATGAACACTCACCTTGGTATATACGAAGGCAGTTCTGGAAAGTGAGTTCGGGTGAGCAGCTCGAGCGACGTACCTTTTATCTCCTGCACGCCGTGGACGTCAGTGGAGTGGTGTCCCCACTCCACATCACCTGAAACGAGTTAGTGCGCAGAATGCCCATTGAGAGTGCAGCCACCGCAGCGAGACCTAGAGCAAGAGCCTTGAGATTATTACTGAAAGTGCGAGTTCGCATTACTGGGTTCGTCGAGGCCTGTCATTAGACATGTCCTAAGCCCACTGGGGCGAAGGCGGATATCGTATTGTAAACATTGGCATAGTGCGTCATAGCGGGATGGTCCGTGCGTGGGAACGACCTTCATGCCATCGGAGTTTGTCGGAGTTTGATTCTTTCCTGGATTACTCACCTTGTATAAATGGCCTTTCCTTGTCTCCTCCCACCACCAAACCGTGGCCCCATTATCGTGCTCGCCGTAGAAGACGATCCCTGGAGCTGAAACGTCGATGTCCAATAAAATAGTGGTGAGCTGCTCACCATGTAGTGCTGTAGTACTCCAGTTGGTGACCGTGAGTTTTGTCGATGAGCCCACCATCTATCGCACCGTCATCGACGACGTGATCGCCAACATTAAGACCGAGTTCGACGAGTACGGCGTTGGCGAGAACATTTTGGCCGATCTTCAACACGTGAGTATACCGTCCTCGCTCTTCACCTAGTGATTCCACCATGGTTTTGCGTAGATTTGGGAGAAAAAAATCATCGATTCCAATGTGGCCGAGTTTGAAACCGCTGTCCAGCCGCCTACACCTCAACACCCTCCGTATCCTCCACACCCGATGCACACCATTAGTCATCCCCAATACCCTCCGCACAACCCTTATGTACCGCCCCATGTGGCTCCGCCACCAGGGCCGCAGATCAAGTCTGAGCCTATGGACAGCAGGTACATGCTGACAGGGAACATGCCTTCTTATGGCATTCCACCACTTACGGGCCCCCAAATTCCGGGGGCAAACAGAAATATGTACAGTCAGCCCACCGGTCGGCCACCCTCAGGCCCCTCACCGCCTGCCCCCACGGCGCGGTACCCGCCTCCTGTGCAGGCAGCTCAGACAACGGCGCGAATTCCTCAGGTTGACGGACCTTCGTCCTCTTCGTCGGACTCGTCCACTCCGCCGCCAAGCCAAGCCCCCCGGTCGTCACACCCATCTCTTCCTCAGCCTTCGCAGAACATGAACGTAGCGCAGGTGGACGATGAGGCCATTAATAGCGATCTTGATGATTCAGACTCTGATGGCGATGACGATCGCGAGGATGCCGCTGCTGTCCCCGATATTGTGTTCTGCACGTATGATAAGGTGCGTCTGCCATGACTCTCTTACTGTGGCATTCTGAGCTCTCTTTTTTTACCAACGTTCGATGCTGTCCAGGTTGCGCGTGTCAAGAACAAATGGAAGTGCATCCTCAAGGACGGCATGATTCATGTTAATAGAAAAGACTACCTGTTCGCCAAGTGCACTTGGTACGTCTGGCAAGGTCTTCTATTCGCTTGTGTCTGAACCGTTTGTAGCGAGTTCGAGTGGTAGTCGAGAACCGTCAGATCGATTTCTGGGCTCGTCCTGCTAGGCCAAACATCTGTCTCGTTCGAGGGGGTATACATCTATCATTGTTTTCATCAGTCGCGGAGAAAGTTACGCGACACGAACTTTGCCTCATCCTTTGCATCCATATGTCCACTGCACTCATCTGTAATCTACAACTCACACGCTCAATATTAACCATGATCTATTATGCTGAAGTGAATAATTACAATCTTGAGTACACGGTTGGGAATAGCCCTAAGTTACGGTAAGTGTGCGTTGTAGTAGATCGAAGTTTCGAATCAGGAAATACAGAAGGATTGTGCAATCAATGCAACCGCGATGTCAACGAGAACAACGATTTCGAGTCATACCGGAGACAAAACATTCAGAACAGTATACGGACTCCCTCACGCCTGCGCCTTCGCCAAATTGTACTGCTCGACGTCGCTCTTGTGCACGTAGTCCACGCAGTCCGCCGCCATCAGCTGCTCCTCTGTGGCAGCGCTTTCATCGCACTCGGGGTCGGTATACAGCCAGACGACGCCCTCGCCGTCCTGGAGGTCGAGCCCGGCGCTCTCGTATTTCTCGGTCCACCAGATGAAGATGTCGCGCGCGAACGGGTCCGTGGACGCGTCGACGAGGAACCCCAGCGTGCGCACGACCTCGAGCGCCGGGAACAGCTCGCGCTGCTCCGCGAACGCGCGCAGGTGCAGCTGCGCGTGCGTCGGGCGGTTTGGGTACAGCCGGCTGATGCCCATACCCCGGATGCCCACGCGCCGCAGCGCCGCGTGCGGCGCGTTCAGTGGCGGCGCGGAGTCCGACGGTGGGGGCCCTGTGGGTGGCGGGAGCGGGCTGAAGAGCGACTTAGCGGGCGGCCGCTGCGGAGGCTGCTGCAATGCGGAGATGACAGGCGCGCTCAGGACGCGCTCGCGGCAGTCAAAAACAAGCGTGTCGAGCTGCGGGCAGACGTCTGGCTGGAGGAAGGTCGTGATGTCTACTGGGCCGGACGCGTATGATAGGGAATTTACTGGGAGAAGTTCGACCGTCGTGAGCTTGGGGCCGTGCACTGCGAGGAGCGTGTCGAGAGCAGGAGGGATGGCGGACAATCGTCTGGTACGCGCGGTTGACGCGTCGAGGACAAGGCGGGCGAGTGCAGGCAGGGAGAGCTTGGTCGCGAATGCCATGATGGCTGGGCACATCGGGATTAGCAAGTCAATCACGCCTGGGAGTACCACAGGGGTGTCCCCAAGCTCCGGCACGGTCTTGGAGTTCTCGAATGCGAGTTTGCGGATGTCGAGCACCCGAAGGGAGCGGTACTTCGTCAGGAACGTCGGTGCGAGCAGTGACGCCTCTCCTGCGGGCACCTCGCCCTCCTCCCAGTACAGCGCGCGCACCGACTCTCCGAGGTAGCGCGTGAATACGTCCAGCATCCCCTTCGACAGCGGACGCTCCCAGAACCCGCTCACTGCGTGCAGATTTGGCAGCATCGACAGAATCCCTGCGATTGCATACCAGAACGGTGCAGTCTTCGATGTACGCGAACAGGTGTGAATTTCCAGATGCCGGATCCAACGCGCGTGGCCCCGCTCCGAGGTGGTGTTCTCCGAGGTTGCGCTGGTACTAGCGCCAGCTATAGCCGCGCGAAGATCGCTCGACTCAAGCGTCCGCCCGAGTAAATACGCCCGGCGACTGCTGTTGATCACGACGTGCTCGTACAGAAGCTCGGTGGATACTCGGCGCCAACCTTGGCACACGAGCACCAGGCTGCACTTGGTGCGCATTGACGACACAGGGGTGTTCAGCGGGTTAAAGGGCCGCTGTATCTCGAACGACTCCCGCGGGCTGATGCATCGTGCGCGCGGAACGTAGGTTGCGTAACGGAAGATCTCGAGCCAGAGCTCTGTCGGTAGGCTCGTATGGTCCGCGCGGGGTGAGCACTGGGTGTCGGACATGGTGTTGGACAAACGGATAAGCGTGCGTTCTGCGGACATGGTTAGCTTTCAATAAATCGTGGTAGCCTCGCGATTAGCACAAGGATTTCGCATGCAAACTCTCTGGGCTGCAAGTAGAACATCGACTCACTGCGATGATCGATTCGCCTGCGGGATGTGCTGAAGTTGCCTGCGACGGCTTCCGCTGCTGCACTGCAGCGCGCAGGACGACCTGTGGGCGATGAAAGGTGATCAGATGGACTACACACCAGCCTGCGCAACAGAGAAGCGGTGGATAAAGAGATTAGTTGTCCCGAATCGGGCACGGCGACGATATAAGTACGGTCTGGCGATCCGGATCCGAGTCTCCGCAAAAGAATCACTGCAGCACTCACTGTAGCGGCCTTGCTGTGTTGGAACTACTGTGAAACCGAGTCTTGTTCAACTTATCGTCAAAACGTATCTTTCGCGCAGATGTTCAAGTGAGTGAGTGAGATCATAAATATGGTCTCCCGCCACCGGAGGCAAATAGGCACAAACAGCGTTCTTGAGTGTCAAGCGCCGGTACTAGTATGTAAGTTACTAGCGGCAGTTGAGCGGCAGCGCACTTTACCACATCTAAGTCAATAGGCTTCACTCATGAGGGGATCTCTGGTTTGTCTGCTACTGGCGGGCTTCGCTCAGGCTGTTGAGGTGTACCTACATCCTGTAGAAGATCTACCGTCAAGGCTTTCAGCAAGTCAAGCTGGTACTGCGCTCTCTCGGCATCTTGGCTTGGAGTACTTCGAATCTGTGGATGCGAATGAGTTAGACCGGCAGGAGTCATTTGTAGGGAAGGGTGTGTGGAGTGCCTTGTTGATCACTGTGGGCGAAGAGGTTGCAAAAGGTGCGTCATTCCATGATTCACTGGTGTAATGTCCGGAATGCTCTTTGCGGAAATGCGATGGGTTAGTCTGTAGGCATCTTGTAGACTTCATGAGTGGGCCGTTGAAGTGTACACGAGTTTATTGGAGCATGAGGGATTTCCTTGACATATTTCACCAGGGCAATGTGCAGAGAGCTTCCAGCTGACTTTCTCTTCTTGCAGATGTTGTCCCATCAACAATGAAACCCTCATTTTCCCTGTATACTACGCCATCACTATCTTCCCTCTCTTCCCTCATACCCACCTACCTTGAACGCGCACAGCAGGCCTATTCACATATTTTATCGCAACCCTCACACCCGGGCGTGCCGCGCATTCTCGACATCTTCTCCGTCCCCTCCTCCGCGACGGAAGCCTTCCTTTCAGAGACGGCCGCGCTCGTGGACTTCCTCGAATCTGAAACCACAACCGACTCGTTCGCCGCACTCGAGCTGACTGGCCTCTCCCAGATAGTCGAGACGTTCGGTCGCGCGAGTGAGCAATACGCCCTCGCAGCGGAGACCATGCGGGGCGTCCTTTCCAACGCAATGCCGAAGTCGGGGCTAAAGCTTGCCATCGTGACCGTCCCTACTGCATTATTGAAGCGCCAGGACGAGAACGACGGCGCGCAGCCACCTCAGAGCCCGCTCCCCGTGCCCTCGCCCGGGCCCGCGGAGCCGATCAGTGGCGTGTCAACGTGCTACACGTCTGCGGAGTCGTGTGTGGACGGGACGGGCGCTTGCAGTGGGCATGGCGAATGTGTGCGCGCGAGCAAGGCTGGGAAGACGTGCTACGTCTGCGCATGTGCGGCCACGAAGGACGACGGGGGGCGGACGGAGAACTGGGCGGGCAGCGCTTGCGAACGCCTGGATGTGAGCGGGTGAGTGTGGGCGCTGTCAATTCCCGTGGTGTGCTCATTAGTGGAATTCTGCCAGGCCTTTTGTGCTATTGACGGGCACGGTTGTTACGCTGGCGCTTCTGGTTGGAGGATCTATCGCGCTGCTTTCGGGGATTGGAGGAGAGGAGCTGCCGAGTGTATTAACAGGTGGTATTGTACCTACTACGAGAGACTGAAAGGAAGTTGTGCCCTGGACGTATGCGCAATGCACGTAGCATTTTCACCTCTTCACCGACCATATTCCAGTTTGCAATTGCGGTGTTATGCGCCTTCCTGGTAAATTGGACAATAATCAGGTTTTCTGCCGTTAGTGGAGGTGAGTTCATGGATCAGATCGTACTGCTGGGACTGCCCCACCCATTTGTCTGCAAAGTAGGAAGCATGCACCTCTGCTCTCTGCAACGATCTTCGACTGAATTTACTTCTGGGGAGCATCTACCTTTTCGTCGACGGTTGCATTGATTCAAGGCTGGCTATCACCCGGAAAATATCGCTGATTACTTACCTAGGATGCACACAGTCTGGACAGCACCTTCCACTATGTTCACATCCTCGTGTGCACTCCCCCTTAAAGTTAGTCGCCGTTGCGCCAAACCGCAGTGGAAGCTCCGAGGAACACGACCCGTGAGCTATTTTAAGTCCAATTCTGCTGTAGTGGCTGCGAAGGTTGAAACTGATCATTCATCACTTGGGTGTGCCAGAACATCTCCACCCGAGCTCTGAGCCGTCAACAGTTTCTGAACCATTCCCTCAGCGTTTCGTTGTACGCGTCGTCTCTCGCGGCATGTCGTCCTCTGTACACCACAGAAATTGTATCCTATTCGCCGACTCATCGAGTCATGCATGATGCAGGTGGCGACATTAATGCACACAGTATCAAAATCCGACGGTGCACGTTATCGGGTCCTTTCCGCGATCCTGTCCGCGATCTATGAGATCGGCAGAATAATCCAGTGCTAGCAGAAAGGAGGGAATAAGTATATACTCACGACTCCGATGTCAGCCTGGCACATGCCGCACATCCTCTGGTAACTCGAGACATTGAGTAAACGATCCTATTTATCAGACTGAAAGAGCGGCGGCATCAGCTGAAGGATAGTGATATCAGCCAATGGAATGCAAGTGTCAAAAGCTGAAGCAAAGTTGAAGACAAACATATGCAGTCGGAGACAGTGCGATACAGCTGAGATGATGATATGTTCCTCAAGAACCTATTCAACAGCAGGCACTTATATAGATATATGGATTACCATCATCTTAACAGATGCTGTGCCTCCTTGTGAACCATACTCATAATGTATGGAGTTGCAATCTTTCCGGAGAGGAAGTTTCTGTGGATAACCCCGTCTACGATTGCCGGCCCTACAGCCACCAATACATTGTTGACAGAGTCGTTATCATCGAGGTCTCCTTGTGGGAACAGAATGTCCAGTTTTTGACACTGTACTAAGGCATTACGAATGGCGCTTTCGTGCTGCAGAGGGTCTGCGTCGTATACAATTCGTGCGGATGGACCAAATCGCCAATAGGCATCCCAAAGATCCTCAGTAGTGCGCAACGTGAAGGTCTGTAGTGGCCTAAAACAGAACTGGATCAGATCCTTGTGACAGTCGCAAAACCATCAGACATACGCTGCAGCACATATCTCAGACCACGACCAGAGTTTCATGACATACTTTTCAACTTTTTTTGTTTGGCCCATTCCTTGTATCTGGAGGATTTCGGCAAGGTGCAAAAGACAACCTTCCACGGCAAGAAGTCCACACTGTTCCACACCAGCGACCCTTGCGTGTCATTCGAGTCATACAGAACCCATCCTGCATCCTCCTCTGCGAAATTCCCTCCGGGAACAACTCCATTGTGTATAGCGCGGATCGCCGAACGTAATGTTGAGCCATCCATGTCGGCACTTGTAAATCGGTAGGCACCGGACTCTCGAAACAAATAGTAGCTGAAGGGATTGATTGATAAAATCGTCGGTTGACCTTTGATGAGCCGTTTGATCAGAGCGTACACTAGGAACAGAGTCTTCCCTGGTCACGCAGGTCGGTTCTATCGTCACTTGAATCCGCGTGCTACGCACCAATACCGGGCTGACCAGTCAACACGACAGGCCTTTGGTCTTTCTCGAAAGTTGCCATTGCGTCTACATACTCCTGTCGAACGAGTATCATCGGCTGAGAACTTGCGATAGGTCGAGGCAGCCACGACAGGTCGAGAACAGTGTAGTTGATGGTTATGTTAGGGACATCAAAGACAGGGTCACCGACAGCTGAAGCAGCCGCCTCATTGTCGTCATGGCCTGCGGAAGAATCAACGTCGATATCGCTGGACTCCATCATGTCCCGTAAATCTTCGTAATCTGGAAATGAGCAACACTTCTGAACGAATACTTCGTCCGATTCGCTTTTCCATAATTTGCGATACGAAAGCTTCGGTCGTCTTCATCAAAATCATCGTCGTTGAGAGCGATACTCGAGAGGTGTATAACCGGCATGATAGACAAGATATTACCAGTGGGAAGAAGGCCCGCCTGAAGTTCCTCAGTGATCTGTCAGTGACAGGGGCCACGAAAGTTCAAAGTTGCGACAAGGTAGCTCTCGATCACGTGATGGCTACGCGTAGAGACGCGTCAGGACGCGTCGCGCGTTCGCAAGTTGCTTAAAGTTATTTCTCCTTTCTGACGTCGGTCGATCCGTGCTTAGGCGAGCCGTGAAGTGTACTTTTGTTGCGCATTTATCTCCACATTGCCTGATGCTAATAGCCTGCTGACGCGGGCCTTTGGTGCCCTGTTCGGAGACAACGGCTTGACCCGCGGCCCCACTGCGTTTCTTTTGTACTAAGGAGTATTCCATCCGCCACGATTTGGTCCTTTTTTCATGTTCATGGTTATTGCCGTAACTTCCGCCCCACCGCTGGATCGCGCTACATCGGGACCCTGAATTCCACGTTTTATCGCCGGGATGGACATACCTCAAACCATTAGCTACAAACTAGCCATATTGCTCAATGGACTGTTTTTACAGAGAAGTTTTCCGTCTTGTTACCCGTCGTGGATAGCTCTTACTAGTACACTAGCTCAACTCCATGTTGCAGTTTGCTTCCTATATCGTCACTTCAAATACGACCTTGACTAAACTACTACGAATATCCACACACTATTGCAAAAGAAACGCGCTCTTTGTTACGGCAGGGTCTCCGTTGTGAGTGGATGTCTCACGCGGTTTGAACCATTTTGCTGAACCGTACACAGGCTTTCGGCATGACACTGGTATTATCTTGCAATGAGTATCTTTATATGCCGATCATTCACGAACCCCAAAGAGTTGATTTTTCTTGTAGGAATCGTCTGTGTTGAGGTACATTTCGTCCAGCATCTTCCCGCAGACCACAACGATGGTGAATATCTTTATAGTAAATGGCTCGTGTTCGTGCTATGACTCCTTGTTCTCATTCCCACTAACGCTATCTAACACCAATAGCACCGTTCCATTTCAGCGAGCACACCAGCGTCATGTGCGTTCTCGCGTAGCACGATGGAGGAGTGACCATTCACTTCGGTGCGATTTCGCCATAGTGGCTCTGCGAAAGGCGTAATTTGCGACAGCAACTCACTTCTCACTGTTGCTGGAAAGACACTCTTCTCCGTGCTGCTGAATCGATGATGTCCTTATCCAGGTACCGTTGGGGTTCCATATTCGAAGGAACAATTTGAAATCATGCTACAGCACATTCCGGACCTGAAACTGACGAACTACTACGACCTATGTTTCCTGGGCATCTGCAAGTCGTCGGCTGCCCTCGACCTGCACGTGCAATACTGGCGCTTCTGTCTCACAATCTGGCGAGTCCTGTACTACACAACCGTTTGCATCCTTCACACCAGGGAAACACAGCTCGGAGTCTTCTTGTGTGGACGTGTCTTGGCCTGACGTGCCGTCCTCGTCCACATCTTGATCCGTCTCTTCCCCATCTCCCTCACTTCCATCTTCCTCACTCGCAGACTGCTCACCCGCATCCGATGCAGCAGGCCGCCGTGCGCGTCGCGTGCTGGCAACTGCAGCGACATACGAAACCTTGGACATGATCCGCGCACGCTCGCGGGCCGCCTTCCACCGCTTGACGTTCGCCTGGTGCGACTGCGCTTTCAGGTGCGCGCCAAGGGACTGACGCCAGATCCAGTCCGACGAAGACGACCTATGTTTCGGGAGGTTCGGGCTCGGGTTGTCCTTGCAGGCCTCACAGCGCACCTTCTTGGTGGCGGGATCCAGGTAGATTTCTTGGAGATAGTAGGTGAGAAAGTGATGCCACAACAATTTGTCTTGATTGCTCACCTTCTGGGAGGGGCTTTCGTTTGCGGGCCATAGCGGATAAGGTTATATGTGAAGTGAGTGGTCCGTTCAGGAGGTGGGCTGATCAAACAGTACGGACGTGCATTCTTGCAGGACTGCGCGTGCCAACGCGTGGCAATTGAAGTGGCCTCTGTATGGGCGGGACAACGTCCTGCGGATCTCTACTTCGATCTCATTTGTCCTTGTCCATCCGGCTCCGTTCTCGTTGTCCCTGCAAGTCCATACGAAGGCCCAAGATTCACGGGAGGGAGCGAACTTCACATTGCACAAAGAGTTATCAGTGACGCGTGTACTCAACCTGGTCCCCCGGTGCCCACCATTCTCAGCCACTCTTGCGTTTCTCAAGGTTCCATCTTTCTCGTCAGGTCCCCCTCCAGGTTTCGTTGTTTGTCCTACATTTCCATCTGCATGACGCACATATGCCGAAAGTTTTGAGCCCGAAGTTCTCCTGTAGCATGGAACACGAAGACCACGCACACCCGATGTAACACCCAACGACACCAGTCTTCGCAGCCTGTGAGCATCCAAATCCAAAGTCTAAGATAAAGCACAACGAGGGATAAATCGTGTATAACGAACGCAGGGCCACCACGTAGGACAGCAAATACATATTAAACGCGAAAGCGTCCGGCCAATCCAAAGGCAGTTACGGAGCCGCACACGTACTATATCCTTGCATTAGAATTACCGCACACGGGGTCATATCATGCAGCGACAAGCCACGCCGCGGCGAGCGCGACCAGCGACAGGGCAGCCGCGTGCGAGTTCACAATCAGAGGCGACGCGCCTGAGCTGCTCCCGCTTCCGTTTCCGCTTCCGCTCCCACTTCCACTCCCACTCGAGCCTGCGGATCAGTGAGTAACAGAACAGGGCGCAGAAGATGTGGTGGACGTACTCGAACTCGTAGGCAGTGGCAAGCCGGTCTGGGTGAATGTCGCAGAGCCGGGGGTACCAGGAGTACCTGAAGAAGGCCTGTGAGTGACAAGGGACAAACCTGATCAGCATAACAGCTCGCACCTGAAGAACCTCCTGCGGCATTTGACAGTTGTGCAAAGCCGACCGCCGGCGGATTCGCGCGGAACACGCTATACACATTTTTCTGCAAGAGGTCAGACACACGAATAGTCGTGTCCACTCAAGACGTACCAGGAAAGTGTCTCCGAACACCCAGCTGGGGTTCCCGTTCCCGACGCTGGAGCCGAGATTGAGGTCAAATATGCCGCCGAGACAGTCATTTTTGTTGTCGACGCTCCCGAGATTCATATCCGCGGCGCTAACAGGCCATGACTGTCCCCCAAACGCAAACGAGATATTGAGGTTGGTCGAGCACGCTGTAACCCGTCATATTCAGATGCAATAGAGGGGACGATCCGCGGAACTCACGGAACGACCAGAAGCCCGCGTACTGGCCCGTCAGCGCCTGTGCGCCGGGAATCGCACCGTAAATCGCCTGCACCGCCTGCGTGGGCGCGCCGATGAGCGTCGTGCCGGTGTCGATTGCCGCCTGTGCAGAAGTGCCGTTCTGGAAGGAGACCGACTTGCCCTGTACGGTGACGGCGGAGACGGTGAGCAGCCAGAACGACGGGCTGCTGCTCGAGCCGGTGAGGCTCTGAAACTCGATGTTGCCCGTGAAGAGGCTGCTGTTCGTGCCGCCGAGCGTGAACACGCCGCCGTACTCCTCCGCCTGGGCGGTGGGGTCATCGACGAAGCGGGTGAGCCAGAAGCTCATCTCGCCGCTCGCCAGCTGGCCGTCTGAGACGAGGGCCTGCCAGAACGGTGTCGCCTGCGTAGACGCGAGAGCCTCGAACGCGAGGCCAATAATACCAGAGACGTTTCCCGAGAGCAGCTGCGACGTGACCTGGTTCGCGAGCAAGAACGTCTGCGACTTGACAGTGAAGCCGCCCATGCTCACGGTGTCCTGCGCGAGCGTGCCCTGCACCGTACCGCTCCCATATTGGATGCTGACCTCACTGCCACCACTGCTGTTACCTCCGCCACTACCCGCCGAGGATGGTTGGGTAAGAGACGAGGACGAGGAGGGGTTGAACTCGGGCGTGCCTGACGCGCATGACACGCAATTAGTAGACGAGAGCCAGAGGTCCGAGGAGCCAGTGTCGAGCACGACGGGGAAACTCTGGGACGGTGTGCCTATCGAGATGCTCGCGATATAGGATGAGTCTGAGAACTGGATTATGATGTCATAACGGGACATTAATATTTTTTAGAGATGAAGGAAATTTCCCGAAGGTCAAGCTGGCTGACCTGGTTTATCATGGGAATGCCTGCAGTTGAGCCACGCCTCTGGAGCTTGGAGGATAGGGTCTCGAACCCGTACCGCGCGCGCATGAATTCCGCTGAAGCAACAAAGTCGTCGATGGCGGCTCGCGCCGCCTGCCTGCGAATTAAAGGGACATTGACGGGTTCGGCGACAACAGGAAGAGCAAACAACGACAGCAACAGCGACGAGGACCAAAACATGTTGGTGGTGGGGAAGAGAGGTGTAGCCCGGCGGTGGACTGCGCAGCTGCTTATGTCACGGGGTCTGCTGGCTGACGGCCACGATGACGAGGAGCGATTTGTCGATGGCCAAGACTCAGGAGATGCCGCGGCAGAGTCGTGTGCACTGCCCCGACGTTCCGCAGCCAGTTCTGTTCTGAATTTGGCCGGTTTGCTGTAGAGCCGCGGCCTCCTCCCTTGCCAGAGCTGCCGCTCCGACTGATACTGGAAATAACGGCAAAAGTCTAGGACATTCCACATCGCTATTGGCATGCATAACTCACTTCCACCGACTCCTGACCATCTTCGTGGGGACGTGAATCCGAACTGGAGACACTTGGGCTTAAGCGGCTGAGTACAGTACGTCGATGAGGGTTCGGGCGAGTCGCGCTGACTAGATCTGACTCTTCGTGTATGGTAGCTTTACGCACGATACAGATTCACGGTACGCTGTTTAAGTCAAAGATGCCAACATCAATCACATTGCTGTATAACTACTAGGATTTAGAATGATGATCACTCTAGCATGCGTTCGGTACGCCTTGGCGTGTCCTGTCAGTGTCAGCGTGACCCGCCGCTATCTGTGCGCCTTTTCATCCTATCGCTGTGACGTGTTGTGTAACTCGAGGCCAGCCCTGCCATCGATCTGCCAAGGAAGGTTTTTATGTTGGAAGCGGAAATGAGTCGAGTGGTCGAGTGGAAGACACTTTCAGCCACCTCTGCCTGTTCCGGGAAGGCCGGAAAGTAGCGAACGCGTGCATCTTCGGAACGTCTGTGTGTCCGAGTCAGCGACGGTCGTCAGCTTGATCTCTCTGTTGTCCGACGAGGCTGTTCTCGTTCTTCCTCTTGGGCCTTGGCTCTTCCGATTTCTGGCGTTTCTGTCATACCACATTTTACGTTGTCCTGGAAAATGATTTTTCAGCCCACAAGGCGCGCGCCCACTTGGCACGGCTTCCTGAGTTTATTATAATGCTCTCCACACGCTCGTGTCTTTTCAGACGTACTAGTACCGCCGCATCTCGTACCTGCCTTTCAAAAAGCACTAGCTTCCTGCCTGCTGTCGCGGGGAGCGGTGCTAATTGGCGTTTGCATCAGTGCTGTGGCTACTGCCAGAAGTCGTGGTGCAAAGTATAAGAACTAGCGCTTGGCTTTGATCGATTTCATCTCTAATTCTCCTTCCTTACATCCATGCTTTACTACCCTGGGCTGCAGCTCCTTCTATTTGCTGCCCTCGTTGCGGCGGAGCCTCTCCATGTCTCCATGAACCGCAAGAGGAATCCTTCGCTGGCTGCTTACGCTGCGTCGGCCGAGCGCATACGTGCCAGGTACGGTTTCGAGACGCTTTCCTCGAAACTCCAAAAGCGAGGACAGACTGCTGGTATTCCAATTACGGACCAGGTGAGCTCTCTCGCTCGCATCCCATGGGGCGTGTGTTTATGTCTGGCAGGACAGCGATGTCTCCTACACCGGCACCGTCACAGCCGGCACCCCACCGCAGGACTTCTCAGTCATTCTCGACACCGGCTCGTCCGACCTTTGGTTCCCAGTCACCAACTGCTCTACTTGTCCCGTCGGACCCGCCTTTGACCCTTCCGTCTCGACGAGCCTTAAAATCCCAGAGGTGAACGGCCAGGCGTACGCGGTGACGATTCCATACGGCAGCGGCACAGTTGCCGGTGTGCTTGTGCAGGACACGATAACCATGGGCGGTTTCTCTATAGCGCAGCAGGCGTTCGTTGCGGTGGAGGATATGACCTCGGGCGTGCTGCACGGCACCGCAGCGGGGCTCATGGGGCTCGCGTTCCAGTCACTCGCGTCGACGCAGTCGATGCCCTTCTGGCAGGCACTGATCTCGGGGAACCAACTTTCGAATCCGGAAATGTCGTTTTGGCTCACACGCTTTAACGGCGACGCGAACGCGGCCGGCCAGGAGTATGGCGGCGTGTTCACGCTCGGCGGCACGAATAGCAGTCTGTATACGGGCAACATCGAGTTTCACGACATGGCGAACGGCACGTCCAACCCGACGTTCTGGCTCCTGTCCGTGTCTGGCGTCACCGTGCAGGGCAAACCCGTTACGATCGGCGGTGGGAGTGACGCGCTTGCTGCGATCGACACTGGCACGACGCTCATCGGTGCGCCCACTGACGCGGTTCAGGCAATATACAGCGCAATCCCCGGCTCGCAGGCGCTTACGGGTCAGAACGAGGGTTTCTACAGCTTCCGTGCGTGCCTGCAAGTCATGTCTTCACACGTGTTTTGACGGTTTTGCAGCTTGCACCACTACGGTGAACGTGTCACTCTCGTTTGGTGGTCGGTCATGGCCAATTGACCCTACGGACATGAACCTCGGCACTCTCGACGCAGGCCAATGCATGGGCGGTGTATTCGACGTTACACTTGGCGCGAATGTGGGCAACGGCGATCCGAGCTGGATCGTCGGCGACACATTTTTGGTAAGCCCAGCGGAGTTGTTGCAGTGTATGTGCCTGATTAAGCGATGAATCCAAAACAGAAAAACGTCTACAGCGTATTCCGTGCCAGTCCTTTGTCGATCGGATTTGCGCAGTTGGCCGGCGGGTCTTCGTCTGGTGCGTCTTCTTCTGGTGCGTCTTCTCTTCTCGACTCTCTTTGAGAAGCTTTACTCACAATCATATGATCTATATTTTCTTCCCTGCCCGCCTCGTGCAATCCGCAGGAGGCTCCAGCTCCTCTAATGGTGCACAAAGCACTGCTTCATTCCACACCACATTCGGTATGTCAATATGCTGAGCTCGCGTCACTTTTCTCTAACTGGTGCGTGGACAATTAGGCGGTAGCGGTTCGCATACCACCACCGGCGGGTCACCCACCAGCGCAGGGAGCTCGCCCTCGGGCCCGCCAGGCTCAGGTGGCTCAGCGACTTCTGGCGCGCTCTCGACGATCGCGAGCGTCGGCGGGTTCTACATCGCGGCGGGCCTCGCGCTCACCCTTGCTTCCGCATGGTAGCCACGCATTCGCTCTTTTCAGTTTGCTTGAAGACTCGGACGCTTTTTTTCCCCAATGTATACCTGGGGTGATGGTGCTGCTATATTTACAAGTTTGGATGCAATCGCTAAGCTGAAGGGACTCGGAACTGCATGTACTTAATTGACGAACATTGTCGCTCATTCCGTATCGTGTTTGCTTGTGGCAATCTTGTTGTCGATGTCGCGATATGCATTCGAGGATTCGCTGTAACTAGATGGTCGTGGCTCCGCGTCAAAGCAAAGTGCAGAACATATTTTGGGCAGTAGCTGGGCTGTTGGAGCACTTAGCGCTTGAGTTTTCGATACTGGGTCACGGGACCGTGTTGAGAGCACGTGCTGACGTGCGCAAGTCTTTTCACGCGTTTGTCACTCTGTGCTATCTGTTTTGCGGCAATTCTGTCCGCTTCCGAACGGACACAATCTCATGCTCTCTGCTGCCACTACCTGGCGGCGTTTCGAGTATAACTGGGGTGAGGACAAGGTAAGTAGGTTAGTTCATGACATCCGGAGATTACGGCAGGCAACTGCATCAGATGCCCGTCTTTTACCAGTCGAAACGCAGCTAGGATGCCGCACGAAGTGTCTGCTATGACGATGCGCGTTTACAAGACTCACGAATTTTGCGCTACGGAACAGACCGTACTTACATACATCCAAAGCCACTGAGGAGACACCTTCGACCCTCAATGCCCTACGCTAGTTCGGCGAACCCAACGGCATTGCGAGCGAAGGAGGAGACTGTGTAGACATTGATTATGAATCTAGGGAGGAGGCAGAGTATGTGAGCAGTGCATTGCGCACCCATCAGCAAGGAACATGCCTGTCGCCGGGGAGGAAGGTGTTAGGACCAGACCTAACTTGAAGGTCTTTCTTTGCCCGCAAGTGCCCCATTGAACACAATACCCTTATCTAATCCCACCCAAGGAGAAGCTGCAGCAGAGCGCGATCAGTGTAGTTCTGAACTGATGAGGAAGATGTGAGACTCACTTCTCCGCGCTAACGGCCCAGTTCTTTCGTCCCCAGCTGAATGCTACGGAAGGGCGTTCTACGCACGGATACGCGTAGAATCCATTCACTGGGTCGAACAGGAACGAGCGAGGGACCGCCAGGTAGAACAGCTCGACGAGGGCGGGGGGGCCATACATGACACCCGTACCAGTATCAATGATGGTATCGATGCCGTTAACGACGGATTTTCCGCTGACGATTGCACTCGCACTCGTAGGCTGCCAGAAGCCAAATTGCTGCGTTGATGTCGTCACATTCTACGGAGCCGGTATAGAGCGTGTCGTCGGTGCCGCCGAGGGAAAAAGCTCAGATCCGGTAGAAGCTAAATTGAAGGAGAAGACATCCTCTGGGACAGCGCCTTGTTCGTACGCGTTGTTGAAGAAAGGGATTCTGTGTGAAGTCAGATTCAAGGAATATAGACGTGGACATTAGTTTCCATACCTGGTTGAGATTGGGTATCGCGGGATAGGCAAAGCCAAGCAAACCGTCCGCAGGGTTAGATCGGAATTTCCTCGGTAGCTGTGTCACGGCTGCAACATCCACTACAGGAACGTCAGTCCCAACGTGAGGGCCACTCTGACAGTGCTAGCGAACGCTCGACTGACCGGGATCGGTATGTATAGATGCGGACACAGTGGATTGGTCACCATACTGGAGGGAGAATGTGCCCGGCTTCTCAGTACTCGTGAACGATGAGCCCGTGTTGTAGTTGTTCTTCCCCTGGCAAATATTACTTGCACTGGTACGACGGGACCCAGAGGTCGGACGAGCCGGCGTCGAAGTCGTATGAAGAAAGACTGCAAGGTGCGCCGCCGGTGATATTGCCCGCCCACTCAAGGCCGTCCTCCTCGTCGGTGAGCGGCTCGTTTTGGCGCACCTGAGGAGAAGAAGGCGTGATCGCGAGACACTTGATCTCAGCACCCGGTGGAAATGCGGCGCGGCCTACGTTCCGCTCGAGGTTGATGAGATTCTGACGATTTTTGCTGCAATTTTATTTACCAATGAGAGATTATAGCAACATTAAGTGGGAGGGTGGACTTGCACTTCTGGGTCTTGACAGTTTGAATAAGGGCTTCTTCATGGTTAAAAGTCCCGTCTGGCCTAGTCAACGAACGAAGTGAAGACAGCAGAGAGTAGACGGACCTTAGACAAGATGATGGATGGGCGACGGGATAAGGAGAGATGGACACGTCCGGGCTCACCTTTATGTTGTATACTTTCTGGCAGGCAGAAGAGTGTGATTCGGTCCTAAGGGAGCCGTTATTCTGATCTGCGGCGCATCAGAGGAATTGAAGGTGTTCAATGGGATCTGTCAGTGTGAAACGAAAGTGCAGCAACTCAACCTAGATAGGAGGAAGCTTTCAAGAGAGAAACACAGATTTCAAGACCTCTAGAAATCTCGGTGTGTAGCTTGTCAAATCAGATATATGTGTGAGTGAACGAGTTACAAATGCTCTTGGCATCTCAGCGCTCGAGCGCTCATGACATATCCCCCACAGCGTGGAACAGATCGCAGTAACAGGACGACACCATGTACTGATGCGCCCCCACCTTCGAAATGGAGACGAACACTGATACGGGCACACCAAGTCCTGGAAGAAGGCTACAATAGCTGAATGACTGAGTCCTCCATCCTGCTCAAAATTGCGATGGAAAAATTTTCAGCGCATCGAAATACCCCGCTTGGAATCACTGCAGTGATGAATGAGAATACCGCCGTGGGATTTCATGCGCGCTCCAATCCATGGCATATTAATTGTAATGCTGTATGACGCAGCGGATACTGAGCGACCGTCTCTCGAAACGGGCCGGGAAGACTCACTAATAATCCTAAATGATAGTGATTAAAAACACGAACAGAGACGGGGAAAATTATCGTTCATCTACTGTCCGGTCTGTTCATCCCTGGCCTGTATCTCAGTAAAAAATGATACGAGAGATAACACTGGACACACCGTCGCCTGCTGTTCTGCACTCGTATGAACAGCCAATCTACTGCCGCGCGCACACCAGTCCTGAGATATGGTATCAGTAGGACACTCAGCAGCATAAATGACTACTGACCCCTCCAGAGCAGAGATGCCCATGACATCGAGACTCGCCATGCGCTCCCTGCGGTTCTCAAGCTCTATCTCCTCGCCGTATCGTCGCCGTGCGCTCTCCTGCTTCCGTCTGTGCCACTCTTCGTAGTCGTTCCGAATTTCCTCCACTGACAGGCTTTGTGGGCTATCCTGCTTGTTCGCGAGTAGCAGGAGCGGCACACCGAGTATTTGTGGGGACGATAGAACAGAGTCTTAGTTTCCCTTCGCACCATCAGCCTACGCAAGCTTCGACTACCATAGGAAGGACGCACCGAAGACTTCCCAGCCTTCTCCGAGTCTCTCTCGATCCTCTGCGTCAATCACGAAGACAACGGCGTGGCAATCGTCATAATATCTGTGCCAGATAGAGCGAATTCCCCGTTGTCCGCCGAGGTCCCAGAATTGCAGGATTGTCGAAGGAAGAGTGATCTTACCCACTGCGGCTGTATCACTACAAGGCTATCCCAACCGAAGGGGTGCACCCACTATTTTGCCCCACTGTGGGTGCTATCTTGTCCGCGGGAAGACCAGGGGTATCGTTATATAATGTCTTGATTTTCTCCAAGAGTGTCTGCGCGAGCTGACTGTGTGTTTCGACCAAACTAAATGAACTGGACGTACCGTCTTTCCGGCACCGTCTAATCCAATAATAATAACTGAGAATTCTTCCTTCCTGATCTCATCAGTTCAAAACCTCAAAACAAATTAATATGACGTGAACCTAGTCAGATATTCGTGAAATCCCTTGAGGAGATGATACATTTCAGAGTTGAAGTGCTTCGACCGGGTTAGGGTTGTAGGTCAGAAGAGGCGCCCGTTACTGCCACTTTCGCTGCATACAGCGGCAACGTCGCCCGAGACGATGGGCTCGTATTCAGTATACTCGGCCTACGGGCTTACAACGTTTGTGGTCATAGTCATCGCGCTATACCTACTCTTTACTGGTGTGTGCTTGTCTTGATGACGTGAGACTTGTACTCACCAACTTGATGGTGAACTGCGGTCAGGTTCTGGAGAGGCGTTCAACGTCGGTCGTTTCTTAGAAGAGACAAGTCCGTATGCATTCGCGTCGGTGGGGATAGGATTGTGCATAGGGCTGAGTGTGCTGGGTGCTGGATGGTGCGTGCACTATTGATTGTCACTCATCTGTGCAATGCTTACGCGTGAATGCAGGGGAATCTTCATAACTGGCGCATCAATTCTCGGCGGCGGAGTGAGAGCGCCGCGGATACGCACGAAGAATTTGATCAGGTACAGCACCTCATGTTCTGTCTTACCCTTGTTGCCTAACATTCTTTCAGCATCATTTTCTGTGAAGTTGTAGCCATCTACGGTGTCGTACGTGTTCAATACCCTCAACTGGTCGGGTTTGCTTATCCAACGTTCCGCAGATTATTGGCATTGTGTATTCCGCGAAAATGACGAGCGTACCTGACATGTTGCTATACACCCCAGAGAACTACTTCACTGGTGCGTGCACTCGTATTCATACCCGCGCCGAGCTGACTCCATCGAACAAGGCTACGCGCTTTTCTGGGGTGGATTGACCGTCGGGGCGTGCAACCTCCTATGTGGTGTCTGTGTGGGCATTACAGGGTCGACGGCAGCCTTAGCAGACGCGGCGGACCCAAATTTATTTGTCAGGATCCTCATCGTCGAGGTATTTGGCAGCATCCTGGGCCTGTTCGGTCTAATCGGTGAGTCTCGTTTAATGTTTCGTATAAGGGTAAATTGTTGAATTGTCTGTGCCGCTCAGTTGGCCTCCTCATGATTGGGAAGGCTAAGGAGTTCACAGCTGCTGCCCCCGCGATAGCAGTAGCGTCGCCCTATGTATATTGATTGGACTGTGTCGTCGATAATGCAATGCTCTCCGAAGTTAAACAAATATCCACGCGTAGCAACCTATGCGCGGCCGCGGCACTGTCATTGCTCAGTCACTACCCGTGGACGACCACTGATCATTGTTATGTTTCCGGAAAATTGCGCCATTGATCTCTCGTAGTGCTGAGTGAACTATCAATATGCTCTGAGCGTGTTACAAGCGGGCATGCCAAGATGAGGAGGCGCGAACTTGGCGCGCGAGCTACCTACGCACGCGCCTAGTGCCAACGACTGTTGTGACTTGCATCCCGTTACACTCTTCCATTCGTTCTGCTGGATTCTTGGGTGTTTCCCTTCCTGACGACTTTCGTTCCAGTATAACTTAGGCTTGTAGTCCGACACAATCCAATTTGAGGGGTATATATACTGATAAAGGCGAAGTGGCTGCGTATGAATCTCGCTCCCGTACCTCTATGTCGCGTGAAAGTACCGCGGAGCAGCATGGCATACCAGACGAAGGAGAGGAAGAGTTCGAGCTAATCAGGTCAGTGCGGCGCGAACCGTGCTGCTCCACGCCGCGTTCTCACTATGAGCAGGAACTACGAGGACTTCACGACTATTGGTATGCACAGTGCGGGAGCGAAGAGACGTGTGCTAATGCTCTTTCAAATAGATTGGATACAGGACTCCATTATCGAGCGCAATAGACGGCTCAGGAATGCCCAAAAGGTCCACGCTGCGCGCCGCGGTCCCCGGGGCGAGCTTACCGTCGCCTGGGTATGGTCTCATCTGTGGAAGATCCTGAACAGCGCGCAGAGCTGGATCGTCGTCAGTCTAGTAGGTGCGCCCCCACGTCCACCGAATGTGAATGCAAGCGTGACTGCTGACGGTGTGCAGGTATGTGCATTGGAGTGAACGCCGCCATCATCTCCATCATCACTGCTTGGCTGTCCGACCTTAAGTTGGGCTACTGCTCGGACGGGTGGTGGCTGAACCGGCAGTTCTGCTGCTGGGAGATCGAGGGCGGCGACGACGCGTGCGACTCGTGGCATGCTTGGAGCACCGCTGCGCCAGGGAGATGGGCTATATACGTGCTCTTTGCTGTAAGTCGGTCCCTCTTCTCTGCCTGATGTACCGCGCATGACATAGCGAGGAAGGCTTCATTCTCCTTCGTAGCCGCCCATCTCGTCCGTTCTTTGGCGAAGTATGCTGCAGGCTCAGGTATATCAGAGATCAAGTGCATCCTTGCCGGGTTTATCATGAAGGGATATCTCGGTTTCTGGACATTTGTGCTCAAGAGTATGACTCTGGTGTGTATTGAAAATTACTGTCCCCGTTTTCTCATTCACAGCGCATAGCCCCTAGTAATTGCCTCTGGCCTGTCGGTCGGGAAAGAAGGCCCCTCGGTGCATGTAGCTTGCTGCATCGGAAATCTCGTCGCGAGTTTATTCAAGAGGTATTCGCGTAGTCAGGGTATGTCAACGGGTTGTCCTCGAGTTACTGTTAATCAAATTGTGCTCAGGCAAGATGAGAGAAATCTTAACTGCCTCAAGTGCAGCTGGCGTTGCGGTCGCGTTCGGTTCACCGATAGGAGGTGTGCTTTTCTCCATAGAGGTATCGCCGACAATACCTTCCTGTGATATGTCATTGACCGTCTATTGAATCACAGGAAATGAGCAATACTTTCAGCATCAAGACCATGTGGAGAAGCTTCTTCTGTGCGCTGATGGCTACAGTCACACTTTCGGTAAGCGAATTCGCAAACTGCGATCCATTCTCCCGCTTATTGCTGTAATTAGGCAATGAATCCATTCCGAAGCGGTAAATTGGTGCTGTTCCAAGTCACCTATGACAGAGACTGGCATTTCTTTGAGATCATATTCTTCATCATCCTGGGCATATTCGGGGTACGCAGAGTCTCCCCGCTGACCATGCGATCACTCACATGCATTCAAGGGTTTATATGGCGCTTTCGTGGTAAAGTTCAACTTGCAATTCGCTGCCTTCCGCCGCAAACATCTCGCAAACTATCCTGTCGCGGAAGCGGTCACGCTAGCCACCATCACTGCGATGGTAGGGTGGGTGAACCGGTTCACTCGCATCGACATGACGGAGAGCATGTCGATTCTGTTCCGCGAATGTCAGGGCCATGGAGACTACGACAATATTTGCCAGTGAGTCTGACGACTCCCGTGGATGGTCCCGCCTGACGGAGTTGCTCGACCCTCTCCAGGACCTCTGTGCAATGGCCGATGGTCAATTCCCTATTCCTTGCCACGATCCTACGCATAGGGCTCGTTGTCGTGTCATACGGCTGCAAGGTGCCCGCAGGCATCTTCGTGCCTTCGATGGCCATCGGCGCGACGTTCGGGCGGATGGTGGGCATCATAGTCAAGGCGATGTACCGGTGGGTGTCATACAGCATCCACATACAGCGGTAGCACTCATACTGGCTCTGGAGATAGTGCGTATCCTGAGTCGAGCATGTTTGCGGTGTGTCAGCTGGATACACAATGCATCACTCCTGGGACGTACGCGTTCCTCGGGGCCGCTGCAGCGCTGAGGTGAGCATTTCTAGGTTTTCCCCGGGCACGTATTCTAATTGAGCGCTTGTTCACAGTGGGATTATGAGACTCACAGTGACCGTCGTTGTCATCATGTTCGAGCTGACCGGGGCCCTGACCTACATTTTGCCTACTATGGTTTGTATCATACTCGACGAATTTCTCGCCATGCACTCACTCACCGTCCGTCGCAGATTGTGCTTCTCGTCACGAAAGCCGTCGGAGACTTCCTCGGTACGAACGGCATTGCGGACGAGATGATCCGATTCAATGGATTTCCATTTCTCGAGAAAGACGATCAAGCTTACAATGTACCCGGTACGCCTCTTTGCAATGGTGATAGTTTCTAAAGCTGAATATCAGCAGTTTCAAGAGTAATGCGTAGAGAGCTACATACCTTGCCCGCATCAGGTATCTGTGTGCGTGACATCGGTAAGTGCGATTTTGAATCTGCGACAGCGTTCCTGACGAGCTCCAGAGGAACGCCTGGCTAGCACTAACGTGAAAGGCTTTCCAATTACTTCTCCCGATGCACGCCATTCTCTCGTGGGATACATCGAGCGTTCAGAACTACTGTATGTGCTAGGTAAGATATTTGCTCCTTTATCTTTTGGCTGTCGTTATTTAGAGTATGGCTCCAGACAAGGCACGCAAAGTGCGAAATATCTCCCCTGAGACCCCTTGTTCTTTCGCGTCAAATGAAGAGGACCAGCGTCGAGTTGAATACCCGGGCATCGCTACAGGGCCTGCTGTAGGAATCGACGAGGATATTTCGATGGAGATCATCGAGACATCGGCTACGCCGGACGTCCTCAAGTTCTGGCCGTGGGTCAACCAAGTACGTCGCATGTGAGACTTGAACGAAGATGCCCAAGTCTGATGCTGTCCGTCCAGACGCCTCTCACGGTCTCTCCCCAACTTCCGTTGGAGATTGTGATGCAACTATTCAAAAGAATGGGGTGAGCAACGTGTGTTTGCTACCTAATCCCTGTGCTGACACCATTTCATCCCGGCAGACCTCGTGTTATCCTGGTCGAAGATCACGGAGCACTTGCGGGCCTTGTCACGTTGAAAGATGTTCTGCGGTTTACCCTCACAGAGCAAAGCGAAGTGGAGTCTCCATGGAACCAGCGCCAGTTTGAGGGAATCGTGGAGGAAGTGTGGACATGGACCAGTTATCAGTTTGATAAAGCGATCTCGTGGTGTCGAAGGCTTGTTGGGCGATAATTTATTTTGTTTTTCTAGCCCCTCTCTCACTGAGCTAGCTACAGTAACTTACTTGTGCCACCTTCCTCTATGCTCTGCGATACAGGGATGGGCCTTTTAACAAATCGGATGTGCTGCCACTGCCAGTAATAGACTGGCCTTGTGGTTGCTGGTTTGAGCAATATCGTGAATTTAATTAAGACACTGTATCGTGAACATTCTTCAGTCGTGAGAGATCGTGAATAGTGAAAAGGAATGTTCCAAACTTATTTCTACCCTTGCTCAAGGGTGGCATGCTTTTGCTCTGGCGTATTCTTCTACACGGTTTGCTGTTCTGGCTCCGGTGGTTTATGGGCACCACCTTGGTCACCAGGATGGCTTCTTTGGAAGGGCTCTGAGGTTGACCGAGGGCGGAGGTCTTCCCCACTTCAGGGAGTTTCTGCTCTCGCTTGGATGGCTTTGTCTTGGGCAAATTAGCCTGAAATCAATGGAGGATAAGCTGAAGATGACAGCATGACTTTGTCTCGGCTTGGTAAGGTGCAAATCCTATTGAGCGTTGCTCGTCCAGAAGTATATGGCCAAGGGCTACATGAATTGATAGGTGACTCTGAGTTGTAGTCGCAGTAGCACAAAACGCCTGACTCACGGCTGTCAGAGTCATCGATAGGTGGTTACGTCAGGGTCCGACCCACCGAATCGGTGGAACGAAAGTATGTTATCTCCTGTTGGTGATCAATAGCACTTCATGTAGACGATTAGTGAGAAGTTTGCCCTGAGGTTGGATAGTAGTGGGAGTACCCACGACTTCCAGAGGCGCTGCTGGTAGCAAGGTGACGTGAACACTCCTTAAAGTCTAATGAGTGCAGAAATGGCCAAGAGGGTGGCGGAAAGTCAGTTCCTTACCACAGGTCGAAGAAGTCAGATAAGGGTCCCAAGGGGACCTCCCTCCCTCCTGCCATATTTGGCAATTTTACTGCCTTATATGGAATGCCATTCTCACGGAAAATATATATAAATTTAATATAATTTCATATTTGCACTCACAGCGGCAGTAGCGAGATCACAAATCACCTCTACCTGGTTATGACGCCGGCATTCACCTTCAATGCAAATCTTATCACAGAACTCATTAGTACCCACTGGTAGTGTCATGTGTATATTGATGCAGGTAAAATGGTGCTGCAATGAATCATGCCCCCAGTGCATGCAGAGATAGTTCAATGCTCACACAGCCTGCATGCCCCCATTCATGAGTAGACCTTGCAGCTGGTGTCTTTGAGAGATTCACAGTCACTAAGCCTTACCATAAATGCTGTGGACAATTCTGAAGCATTTTGAACCAAGGACAAGTAGTTATAGAGTGTGGAAGGCTTTTTCTGAGCATTCTGAATTGTCACCGTCAAAACACAATTTATGACCCCAGGACCACCCCTCTCTCCCTAACCCATAGTCTCGGCATTCTCCGGCTGAGTACTCTTGAGAATGGCCATGCCATTCCTATGAGTGATACTGCCAAGGGGATCAGATATCACACAGGTAAGGTTTATCTGGCATATCAAGGGTCAGATAACTCCGCAGGGAGGGAAGATGATGAACTCTGAATTTATATACTGCAATAAGCAAACACATGCTAAGACATGGTGCGTGCTGGTCCCTACTCTAAGTATGACTGAGAGCACGTTCTAGGGGGTTTCGATGTATCGTAGTGGGCTGCTGATTATAGGGAGTAGTAGAGATGGATGGTGTATGTCTATATGTCCACTTGTCGTGCTTAGGCCCTATAGCCTGTCAGTCTCAGCTGAGAATATAAATGAGTCCAAATTGAAGTGAAAAAGAAACATGCATTGTGCGGGTGTATCTTGTGTTGGGTCCTGTCATGGGGGCCAGTCGTGCCACCGTACATCTGGTTCGTCATCTAGTGACTAGGCCTTCGCAAGGGCTCAAGTCAATCGTGAGGGGTCCGACCTTCAGTCACAGCGATGACCAGAGGTCGGCCCAGTGGAGCTGTCTTATGAATGCTTGGCCGCTGTCTGCGGACCAAGGTCGATCTGTCGCACAGATGTAGATGGTAAAACTGGTTGATGTGTAACCAGGACAAGATGGGGACTCCAGCTTGTCCTGTCGGTCTTATATACAAGTACAGGCGTCTGTCTACCTGTAATACTAGAACTACGATTGGTCCATCAGTATCAATACAAGGGCACAGGGTTCGTATACCTGTCCCACAGTCGTGAGAATGCTGAGTCAGTCATGACTCTGCGTGAGAGACAATCTGTCCATATGGAGATAAGGTCGTGCTGCAAAGACAAGACAGCAATGAGGTCATCGTGCGTCTAGCGCATGTATCAGGGTCTAGGGCCATGCCCATGAGGTTCGGTATCTGTATCGTAAGGGTAAGGCAAAGGTGAGGCAAACATGCCTTTGTCGCATGTGTGATAGGAAGCGCGTCCTAGGTCTGGATCTTGTACATGAGGTAAACATGCCTTGAGCACAAGGTGCATATCATCAGATGATCTGGTAGATCTGTGCCGGATAGATAAGGGCGATGACCATGATGACATCATGGTCATGTGGTCAGTGACATCATTGTCACATGGTCAGTCTAGGCTCTGTGATGTTATTGTCACGTGATCGGTAAAGGTAAAGGCGGAAGTCGTCCGCGCGTTCCTCAGAGAGGAGCTTTGTAACAGGTCCTATACATGCATCAAACAAATTGGTGTGTGGTCATCCTAGCATATTTCAATGCTTCAGTCTACTGCTCCCCCTCTTGGTCTGATCTCCTCGCCTCTTCCTCCCCTTTCCTCGACTGGCTCTTCTGAGTTCTCCTCTTGCTCTTCGTCGGCTTGTCCTATTTCTGGTTCCGGCTCGTCCTTCCACCTCACCTTCCTCTTCTTCTTCCTCCATTCCCCTATATTTGTAAATGCTCTGCTCACATCGATGAATCTCACCAGCACCGTGATCCTGTCCTGGGTACCCAGGATGGTTGAAAGGTCGATCACCTTGCTCGCCTCTTCCAGTATAGGTCATTTAGCATTGTATCTTGGGCACACCTGTAATATGTGTCTTCTTGCTTGTAGTAGCACTCTGCATGGGCATGCAATGTCTTCTGTCAGCACAAAGCTCTTGTGGTAGTCTCCTAAAAATGAGTGACATGTCCTGCACTGTACAAGATGTCTGAAGGTCTCCCTCAGAAGTGTCCTGAATGTCTCACTCATTTTCATTTTTGGTGTAATGCGGTTGGCTGTTGCAAATCATCTGGTTGGTGCTGTCTTCTTTCACTCCTTCACCCATCTTTCATGTTCCCTCTCCTTTGCCCTTCGTAGCATGTGCAATCTCGTTGCACGCATTGGTCCTTCATTGATCTTTATTGCATCCTCTGCCAGTCTGTCTGCTAGTTCATTCTCTCATACTCCCTTATGTCCGGGTGTCCATGCGATCCCAGTAGTGTGTGTGGGGTCTTCATCCAGGAAAGCTGTGATTTGGTCTCGGAAGATCCAGGTGTGTCCTTGACTAGGGCCAGTTGGTGGATCAAATATCATTATGATCGCAGCTGTGTTATCAGCATAGAAGTGTAGATGTGCGATTGACGGGTCGGCAGTCCTTGCAAAATGGGTGACATCCCTCGCTGCCCATGAGAGTCCCGCCATCTTTGCATTATATACCTCCACCTTGGTTCCCATCCCAATCTTCCTCGAGAAGACTGTTTCTCCTTCCTTCAGTGCAACAAGCACTGTCCTGACTCTTTTGATTTTCACCTCGTTCTCCAGCATTGATCCATCTGAGTATACAAGGAGGTGGTCCAGTAAATGCTTGAACTCTTGGATATGAATGTTGTGTTTCTTTATCGCTTCATCCTTTGACATTCCCTTTACTGGAGGCACAGGAGGAGTATTCGCTCATTGAGTGGGTGCAACTTCTTTGCCAATTTCATTAGTCTTGTCTCACTTGGTGGTTTCTTTCACCTTGCTGTGACCAGCTTATGTGTTGGTAGCAGCAGTACAGGTGCAGCGACCTGGATAGTTCTCCATTCTGCAGGTAGACATTGTAACATTGGGCTGAATGGACTCAGCTTATTGAATTGTATCGCCGTGGTTCTGCATATCAGGTTGAGGTGAAACTTGATTGGCAGGATTGCCACCTCGAGTTCTAATGCAACAATTGGTGTCATTAAGAACATCACACATATGAGCCTCAATGCTCGTCTTTGGACTCTTTTGAGGCATGTGGTATATGCCTTCGATTTTTCTCGCCACCATGCAGTGCATGCATATATCATCTATGGTCTGACATATGAGATATACAATGTTCTCAAATGCATCTGTGACAGTCCCTTGATCATGTTAGCTAACATCTTCAGTCCATTTACTGTTTTCTCTGCTCTTATCACCATCTGTTTGACATGGTGATTAAAGGTTAGTTGTCTGTCCAGGTATACACCCAACCACTTAATTATATCCTTTCCACACAGTGTCACCTCTCTGGGCAATGTGATCGCTGGTGAATCCCCTGTGCATCTACATCTCTTGGAATAATGCATCAATTCCCTCTTCACTCTGTCTGGTGCCAATCCCACTCTCATCAGCTCTTCTTTGACTTCAAGGTATGCAATTCTTAAGATCCGCATGTTCATGTCTAATGACTTTGATGAGACATAGATCTTTCCATCATCCATGAATATGATCAAGTGTGTAGCTGTTAGACTGTCTGATAGATGTAGTCCTGCTGCTATCATCTCTGCCTTCATCTGAAAGATCTCTAGGATCTTCACAGCATAAATGATGGACAGGACTGGGGAGACCGGTGATCCTTGTGGAATGCTGTTCTCCACAGTCTCCATTTCTCCTTGTATTCCATCTAGACATATCACTGCCTGTCTATTTGCAGCCTGTCTACTGAAATGTAACGACATAGTTTGAATGAAAAGGTAAGTTTGAAATTCACATAGTAGCAAATGCTGCAGATTCATAACTTACAAGATCATTTTCCTTTCTCATCTCACCTTGTCACCATTTCATACAGTA